CAGAAGGCTTGATGAAAGTCACCGGAATCACCCAAGAAATTGCGCAAGTGGATGCAGCCTGGATGCGAATTGTCGAGTGGAATCCGAACGCAAGCATATTCCGTCTTGATAACCTTCGGGACACGACCAGCTCTCTTCGGAGCTTTTTCTCGAAATTTACTGGCCAACCAGAAAAGTCAACAGCTGTTCAACAAGCAGAGCGTCCCGAAGAGCCAAGCAACATGGCCACCATGGTGACCGCAACCGTGTTCTTACACATAAATACAGCCTCGATCTTGCCTTCGGTTAGCCATTCTCTGAGCAAAGAACTCGAAAGAGCCACCCGCAAACCGCCGCCCAAGAAAGCGACCATTGCCATTTTAACACCGTCTTACGACGCCAATATCGCAACGGGAGCATCTGCTTCAGAATCTGAGATTCTTGCCTCTATATTGCCCACAAAGTCAGGAAGGGTTTTTATTGGCTTCCCTACCCAACAGACTACTGGTCTTAACGCTCACGTATCTGCACCATCTGTCATCCCAACGGTTGAGCGAGAAAGCATCGATCTAAACACTCGTTACATCAGTAAATGGAATCTCGAGATGCTACGAGCTGTTGGTGTTGTCTGTCGCATTGCTTGGTCGGCCGAGATGTCCACAATCAAGGCTAAAATTGCATCTAAACTCCCACCATCCCGCTCAAAGATTCGAAAAGAAGATATCATCGATGTGCTCCCCGAGGCTATACACACTGCAAACCAGTTCGTGTTTCGTGAATCGACACCCTCGTCTGTCCTGGGTCAGACTATTGAAGATGCTTTCTGGATGTGCAACAAGAACGCCTCCATCGAGATTCTTTCTACCTGCGGTGTCATCCCAAGCCACCAGACAAGAATTGCTCCCAAGGACCTCAGCTTCATGGACTCCATTCCTGCTCTGCCGGAGGACTTTGTGAACGGTGCCAAGGAATTCGTCGAAAGATTAACATCGTTTGGGCTGGTGACAGAGATCACAGTGTCAGACATTAAACGAGAATTGGAGTCTAGCACCCTACGATCAAGCCAAGTTGTCGAGTTTCTCACCTGGCTCGGCCGAAAAACTGTGTCTGGGCAACTTGATAGGCTTTCGGTTCAGAGTCTTCTCCGGGTTGCGGTTGCCAATGACGAGGACAAAGAAGGACAAGCAACACGCTTGATCATATTTGCCGATATCACTAGCTTCTTGAACCCTCAGCGCATCCCGTCTGACCTTCCAGTTCCATCCTCCGTGGTGCCCTTCCGATTCACAAAGTCATTGAGCAAACAAGAACTCGAGGCTTTGGGATGGGTCGAGCTGCACATAGTGTCTTGGCTGAGCTATCTTGTCAACAAGGCTGGGGATCGTAACCTTCTCGGCGCGGATCAAGATCTTACGCAAAGTTCCACTTTTGCTGGCCAGATTCTGCCAGTCTTGTCAAAGTCATGGGATGTCCTCAGTCCTTCTGGCAAACAGTCCGTTGTCAACACTCTTCAAACTCAAACTATTATCCCGACCAAACTTGGGATGAAGCAGCCTGGGCAAACCTATTTTGCCTCTGTGCGTCTATTTGACGACCTTCCTGTTGTGCATGGTCTGAATGGTGTCAAGGAGAAATTCCTAGTGGCCCTCGGTGTTCGCAAAACGGTTGAACTTGGTGTCATATTTGACCGTCTCATCAATGCTGAGCCTAGTGATGCTAAAAGTGCCCCAGCACGCAAGTGGAACCACGTAGATCTGATCCGCTATCTCACATCTGTTCGTGAGGATATCCCGGCAAACGACATCCAGAGGCTCAAAAACACGAGCATCTGCACCGCGGAGAGCACGAAGGACGCACAGGCTGCGTCTGGGACTCGCTACAAAATATCTGAACTATACGAGCCCAAGGATTCGCTCCGAGCTTTAGGTCTTCCCGTGATCGAATGGCCAGGGATCTATACTAGCACCAGCAATGAGGGCAAATTTCTCTCGATGATGGGCTTGAAGACTTTTCCATCCGGCTCTGAACTAGTTCGTTTGATGATTTCAAGTGACCAAGAAAAGGATACCGGACGAAAGAGTAAGGCATTATCATACTTCCTCAACGAGTACCATACCAACGGCTACGATGCATTCGACATACGGGCCATTACAGTCCCCTTCCTACCAGTCGAAGGGTCGGACGGTCTAAGCACGCCCAAGAAATGCTTTACAGACGAGGGGGCATCTTTGTTCGGCTTTCATATTCTCCAGAAACGTCTTCACCCGCATGCCCTTAAATTAGGGGTTAAGCCCCACCCGCCTATGTCAGAATGTCTTCAAATTCTCATTCGCAAGCCTCCCACCAGCCAGAGGGAAGCCAGGGTCATTTTCAAATACTTGGCAGGCAGAGTCTCCGATCTCAATTCGCAGGACATTGAGCGCGTAGGTAGCAGCCCTATCATTCCTATCGCTGTTAAGGATCACTCAGAGAAGGGCTCTCGAACCCGGCTCGTTGCGCCGAGACTTTGCTACCTCGGCGAAGGCGAAGATTATAAAGATATCTTTGACTTTGTTGATTTTGGGCAAGAAGCCAACCTTTTCCTCATGGCTGTCGGCTCGAGACGGGAGCCTACCAAGACCGAAATTGCACGAATGCTTGTGAAAGAACCCGCTCGCGTCTCGTCTGCGTTCCAGAGCTCGGAAAAGTATTTGATGCTTCTGAGAACTCTCGCAGAACATCTTCCAATTCTTAAGAAGGACAAGGAACTTTTTAGTGAGATGAAGAGAGCGAAATTCCTCCTAGCAAGCCGTGATATTCCTCCTCAGCAAAATGGCAAAGGGGCACCTGCTGAAAAGCCACTCATTCCAGACCTTGATGAAGATTTGGACATCCGGGAATGGAGCCTTTCATCGGCGAGAGAAGTCGTTGTCGTGGACGATTTCCAAAGCTTCAATCTCTTCAAAGAACACATCCAGGCTGCACCGCAGGAGGAAACACTAGAAGATTTCTACGTTGCCCTTGGTGCCATTCCTTTGAGTACCCTCGTTGAAGAACAAGCGCGATTCGGTGGCGTAGCAGTGGACCAAAGTCTGGGAGCCAAGTTACACAAAATCATCTTGGAACGCGCTCGGCTCTTCTTACACGACCAGCCCGCAGACGCCGTCCAACATGAATCCCGATGGCTTGAGAACAGCTTTTCCGTGCAAGTAGTCAACTCGATCTCTCTTACACGATCTCTGAAGGGCCGACGTGTGTCGCATACACAAAAGCGAAACGCTATTGTTGCACGTCTATCAAGCAATTGGGGATTGTGCATCTACCCTGGCAAATACGACCTGTATGAGATCAGCCAATCGCTCGTCCATTTGATACTAAAGCGTCCAAAGCTTCATTCAACTTTGACGCTTGAAATGCTGCTGAAAACGGATCTATTGGAGCTCCGTGCGCGAGGCTACAATGTGGAACGTATCCTTCGACAGAAGGCCCAAGAGGCACGAATGGCAGAGGACAAACGACAAAAACAAGTGGAGGAGGAGAGACGTGTTCTGCAAGAGAGAGAAGCCGAGTGGGCAGCCGCCCAGGCCCAACGAGCCAAGGAAGAACGACTGGAGGACTCTCGGCCAAAATCTCAATCTCAAAATGCAATGCCTGGTGTCTTTCCTGAATCACCCAACAGCAAGCAACCATCGGCGGAGACACAAGTTGCTCCAGCCGAACCTCCTATGCCAGAGCGAGCTCCTCGTGGTCTTTTTGCAAACTTGCAGAAGCGTTTTGGGTTGGACGGGAATCGTTCAGGCTCAAATGCAGAGCCCGGCGAGCAGTCTCAATCAATGCTTCCCGAATCTTCAACTCCCCCTCCACCACCCTACTCCCCCAACCCCACGGATCCCCAGCAGCCGCGTCCAGAGCAGCCTGTCAATGTTAGCTCCCCGCATCAACTGAACCGACAACTTCTTTCTGCCGTGCAGGCATGTCGACCCCACGGATCCTCTGATGTCTTCAGTCGGCCAGAGACAAATCAGATATCGGAAAGCAAATCTTATTGCGATGAACGACCGAGCCATGACTTGGAGTTTGTTGCCAGTCTCCCCAGCGGTGTCAATGTTTTGTTCGTCAGAACCATTACTGATCGATCTGCTTTCTTGGCGGCTAATCGGGCGGGAATCAACATCTTTGCATCAATCATTCTCGACTGCGGTTCGATTTTTGCAATGCGTGCCGACAGTCTAAGCATCTTTTACGACCCGGGCGGCAAGACGATCGCGTTCAACCGAGCCGGTAGTATATTCTGCAATTACTTCTATTTCCAGCAATTGCACGAACAGCCACTACTTCGAGGCCCCAATCCAGATCGGACCGATGCGATTGTTTACTGGTGGGTAATCCTATGTCATGAGTTGGCCCATAACCTTGTGGGTGATCACAGCTCAGCGCACAGTTACTACACCGAAAGCTTTGTGGCTCAGTATTTCCCCAAGGTGGCCAGCAAGCTCGCCAGCCTCCATACTGCCGCCGTGTCCAGCTCCAACCCTTGATTTATTTTGAAGTGATCTTTGAAGCGATAATTGAATACCCACTTGCTGTAACTGTAAATTCTCCGATAGATTAGATGGAATCAAAAAGTGCGTTGCCACCCGAAACCATTCCGGTGGTACCCGCTTTTTACCTTTGCTCAACCTTAATTTTCTTCCTTGCAACCTCATCTCCCTCACAATGCATTGTTAACTTTCGTTCATACCAATACTCATATAACCAAGTGGACACAATGAGCCGTTGATTGCCTGACCTTTCCTTTTTCCCGCGGAAAGAGGCGCTTCGTTCTGTGTGTGTGAGAGGGAGGGGAAACTCGACGCTCGCCACGCCACCGAACCCTTATTCGGGCCATACCTGACCCCCAGCAAAATTAGTCACCAGGGCGTGACAGGTACCGGAAGTCCTGCAGAAATCCTGCATTGCTTCTAGTGACACTTATTCCATCATTTGCTGCAATCACCGTGCTTTGGCCGTCACTTTTCTAGCGGGGCTGCTTCGATCTCATCATGGCACCTTTGCTTGGCACAGATGGCAATTGGGATGGAGGTGCTGCATGCTCATCTCGCAAATCCGAAATATCAGTGCCTCATCTCAAGAGTATTCTCTATGTTGATGCATACGACTCGTTCTCTTACAATGTCGTTGCGATGCTTGAGGAGACGCTCAACGTCAAAGTCACTGTGATGACTATCGACTCCGAGTGGCCTGATGGAAACATGCACGAATTCCTGCGCCATTATGAAGCCATCGTTCTCGGGCCGGGACCTGGAAACCCCAACGATCCCAAAGATGTCGGCATCATGAAAGATATCTGGAATTTGCAGGATACCGAACTGCTTCCGGTTTTCGGGATCTGCCTCGGGTTTCAGAGTTTGTGCTTACATCACGGCATCCCCATTGAAAGACTGCCGTATCCCATACATGGGCAAGTTCATCACATCGCTACGGAGGCCAAGGACATATTTGAAAATGTTCCATCTCTCGAAGTGACACTCTATCATTCCCTCTACGCCAATCTTGATGAGACGATTGATTCGCAAAATTCCGCAATCAGTGACCTAGACTTTCTGGCATCTTTGACTCTGGAAGGCGGCGCCACTTCAACCACCCGGATTCCAATGGCCGTCCGACATTGGCAGAAGCCGTTCTGGGGTGTTCAGTTCCACCCTGAATCGTGCAAGTCAGAAAAGGAAGCATGTAAGATACTACTACGAAATTGGTGGCAGCTGGCTCTCAAATACAACAAAGTATCTGGCCGCGGTGGTTATAGCCAGCTACCCACCGCAATCATCAGCCCTTGTGAAGATACCACGCCTTTTCCTAACATCGCCTACGACATGTTGAACTGGAGCTCCGCTACGTCTGGATCTTCCACCCATCGAGTATTTGCCAGGGACTCTTTGAGCACCGAGACCATCAGCAACCTATTCAACGCACCAGGATCTCCCACGGTCCTATTTCAATCTAATGGCCAATATAGCATTATCTCCGTCCCGAGCCCTGGATCTTGGCGATTGGAATATTGGGCCAACACGCAAAATATCAAGATGTACCAATTACACGGCGAAGAAAAGATCATAGAGAAGCGTATATCTGTTGATCAGCTATGGGACGCTTTGCGCTACTTGATGGAAATGAAGAAGGTCGACTCTGGAAGTTCCCAGATCCCCTTTTGGGGTGGCTTCCTAGGATACTTCTCCTACGAACTTGGCCTGGCATGCCTTCCTCATTCCCATGGATCGCTACCCATACCTACGGCTTCGGGTAATGCAAATGGCAATGCTCCGGAGGGTCTCCCAGATGTCAGTCTGCTATGGTGTGAGCGAAGCATTGTGATTGATAACACTACCGGGGATGTTGTGATTCAATCAACCATCGAATCGGATCATTTGCCTCTAGGCTGGCTTGATGAAACTTTACAGCTCCTGCAAGAGCGCTCCCGTGGCCCAAAAGACAGCCAAGGCGATGATGTTGCTTTTCTGGACCCTATCCTTCGTGAGGGCATTCACTTAACTCCAGATGAGTCGGCGTACAAGCAGAAAATTGCAGCTTGTCAGGCACAGCTGGAAGCTGGTGAATCATATGAGCTTTGTCTTACGGGCGAGACATCGATCTCCCTTCCCATCCCAACCCAAGAGAGCGATCGACTCGAATTCCCATGGAAACTGTATAAGAAGCTAAGAAAGTACAATCCGGCTGCATTCAGTGCTTTCGGCGACCTTGGAAATACAAAGATTGTCAGCAGCAGCCCGGAGTGCTTCCTCAATTGGGACCGCACCTCCATGCTGGAAATGAAGCCAATGAAAGGAACAGTGAGAAAATCACCCTCAATGACTTTCGAGAAGGCCAAGGCAATCCTGGGCTCGTCGAAGGAAATGGCCGAGAATCTGATGATCGCCGATCTAATCCGGCACGACTTGTATGGTATCTGTGGCTCTGGCGGCGTTCACGTTGAGAAGCTTCTCGAGGTGGAAGACCATGGCCGAGTCTACCAAATGATCACCCACGTCAAGGGCGAAGTCAAGCCTGAAAAGCTGGGATGTTCTGTCCGCCACATGCCACAACTCAAAACCTCGAATATGGCTGTCCACGGTCTTACTGCTCTGCAACGATGCCTACCTCCTGGGTCCATGACGGGTGCACCAAAAGAACGCTCTTGCATGCACCTTCAAACCATCGAAGCGCGCAAGCGCGGAATCTACTCTGGCGTCATGGGATATCTTGATTTGGGTGGTGGTGGAAGCTTCTCAGTCCTGATCCGTACTGCTTTCACCTCCAACTCGGCAAATTCTCCGGGTCGACAAGTCTGGCGAATTGGCGCCGGTGGCGCTATCACTACTCTCAGCACCGCCGAGGGCGAGTGGCAGGAAATGCTGACCAAACTGAACACTGTTCAAAACGTCTTCAGGCCATCCAATACTGCCTGATTCGCTAGAATGGGGTTGAGAGAAAACTTTTTTGTACATTTGTACCACAAGATCACGGAGCACTCTGTCACTCTGATAGTGCTTTCAACATCCGGATCTGTTAGTTGGTCGCAGAAGTGTATTCAACATCTAGCGTTGGAGTTAGGGTTTGCTTTTTATAGATTTACATAGCATATGGGGGCAAATAGCCTAGTTAAATAACAAACAATATATAGATAGACCAGCTTTACCGGGCAAAAACTCAAATATTTGTAAGAATTAATTAAATTGGCATGAGAAATGGTGGAATAAGCTCTGAAGTGAGGAACTATAACTCTTAACTATAGCTAGAGCTTACAGAGCTAGTCGGGATCGGCCGTGCAAACGAGCTAAACGTCTTTTTCTCCGCTTCAACTCTCCGCCCTTCTTATCTGCACCTCGCAATTTCGCCCGCGCCTCCAGTCAGAAGCTGAAAGGCAGGTAGATGAAGCTGGCCTGAAATACAGTCGACGCAATAAACCTAAGCTACTCATGGCAGGCCAAGATGCCTCGATGGAGGAGATCCTCTGGCGGTCTCCCCCGCACGTCCAAATGATGGGCGGTTACCTGCACTCCAACAATAGTGAGTGCGCTACGCCCCATGACAATTGACTCCTCTAGAATTGCTAATATCAATTATTTTCCTCCGGCAGTCCTATTCTATTTCGCCGAGTCCCCCTTCTTTGACCCAACCTCGAATAATGCCTCGCTCGCCATCCAAGCAAACTACAATGAAGCCTTCCGCCACTTCGTCGAGACGCGCGAAGCCTTCGAAGATCGGCTAAAGACAATGTCTGGCCTTGAATTTGTCGTATCCTACGACCCATTACAAGCCGCAGCGCACTCTGACACTCGCTTTGCCCATGAACCGTCCAATGTCTGGGTGATTCGGAAGCAGAACCGACGGGGCGACGAGGTGACCGTAATCTCGACATACTTTGTCGTCGGCGACTGTATTTACATGGCTCCCTCCGTTGCCAGTGTAGTCGGTAACCGAATTGTAAGTTTTTGCTTCGTTGTCCCCCGGGCTCGGAATCAAACAAGTTGCTAACGACGCTTTCTTCTTACAGTTGTCAGCCGTCACCTCTCTATCCCGACTCATGAAGACCGCTTCAACATTGCCGAACTTCACCCCATCTCACGGACACACATACATGCCACCCGTGGCCCGCACCATAGAGTCCAGTAGTCAACAAGTATCCGCATCCCAGCCGAGCAAAGAAAACACACCTATGCCCGACATGCCCTCACAAACGCAATCCACCGAAACACAAACAACTAGTAAAACCGGCCTGGGCATCTCGGGCTCCAGCTCCAGCTATCAGGATACCCGCAGCCTGGCCGATGCCTTCAACCTCTTCACTCGCTACGGGGACGAATTCATGGACGAGAATCCCCTGCAGGGCGAACCCGGCTCGTTCATCCTGTCCAGGAATGGCGGTGAGAATGACCGCACTGGAGGTGCGAACAAACCTACAGCGAAGGCGGTCGCTGCGCCGGCATCGGTCAATACGCCCGTGCCCGGCCGGGTGTCGACACCGCAGGTCCGAGTCGATACTCCAGGCAAAGCTTCGGACAAGAGCAACTCGCCGCCCAGCTCTGGCGAGAATAAGGCGAAGCGAAAGAAGAACCGCGTTGCGAACTAAACTTGAATTGAAATTATGATACCCTCGATGATAGACATGGAATACTACAGATGCTATTTATACACTTTGACCGTACTATACCTTGGTCCATATCTACCAGGATATGAATTATCCAACATGACATGTCTGGATTTCACGAGGTTGTAGCTTGATTCTGTATTGACTATATGTTGAATCGCAAATATCATGATGTCAACCTTGGAATATCATGATCTTTTGCGGTCGTGGCTGTGACGTGGTGAACCATCATTTCTACATCGCCGGTCTTACATTACAGTCAATGTGAGTCCCGTGATTTGGGTATGATACATCAACCATTATATGATTGCTGCAACTAGTATTTAGGTAGTTAGTCACTAGTCCAGTAAACAGTCTACTTCCTAGATTTAATTGTCGTCTATACCGACCAATGATACATGACCGAGAAAGCCTGGGCATGGAGAACTATACTCGCACTACTCCGTAGATCCCCAGAGCAAGCACCACTGGGCAATGTACACCTGACCACGAACCCAAAGTGGATCACGAAAGGGACCAAACTTGTTAAAGATCCCAGCCAGTCGGACAGCCTAACCAGCCTCCGTGCATTTGACTCACCAATTTTATCTCTTATCGTGGTGGAACCCTTCCCAGCCCAGCCAAGAATAACCACTGGATCTTTGGGAAATCTGGGAACCTGGGAACCATTATTTCTACTTCCGTTCCTCACGTTGCCACGTCACAAAGAATATATAAATCGTCTTTTCCCTGTTAGTTGGTTTACAGACGCATTATCTGTATAGAATCACGAATATTATATCATTCATCATGACCCAACAAGACAAGCCCGCGGTGGTTTGTGTATTGTGAGTCAACTTCCCCTCCTCCTCGCCGATCTTCTTCCCCGCGGACCTCCCCAACATCCGCCGAGTCAATATGCGCTCAGCAGTCAGTTAAGGGGAGAATAGAAAGGGCAGGAGAGCTCTTCTCTAAACAAGAAACGCACCTTAATAAATTATACTAACCTCTTTCCCTTTAGCTGCGGTGCCACAGGAGGTAACGACCCAGTCCACCTCGAAGCGGCGCGGGGCCTCGCCCAAGAATTCCACAAGAACAATGTCCAACTAGTCTACGGCGGCGGCACAACCGGCCTGATGGGCGAGATTGCCAGGACCCTCGTTGCCCTTTCCGGACCCAAGGCTGTCCACGGCATCATCCCCCGTGCCCTCGTCAAAGTCTCCACAAAGAGCAGCAACGGCAATGGCAACGGCAACGGCAACTCAGAGCAACATAACGGCGAAGGCAAGGCCGCCGAGCGCGTCGTATCAGAGGCCATCGATGAAGAAGGCATCCCAGAATCAGAGTACGGTATTACAACTATCGTGCCGGACATGCACACGCGCAAGCGGTTGATGGCCACAAAGGTTATGGAGGGTGGAAAGGGATCTGGCTTTGTTTCTCTTGCCGGTGGCTTCGGTACCATTGAGGAAGTTATGGAGATGACTACTTGGAACCAGCTTGGTATTCACCGGGTTGGGTTGGTGTTGGTCAACATCAATGGATACTGGGACGGTCTCCTGGCCTGGGTTCGCAACGCAGTGAAGTCGGGTTTTATCAGCAGCGAGAATGGTTCGATCCTGGCCGAGGCTCGTGATGTATCTGAAGTTTGGCCCAAGCTTGTGGAGTACCAGGTCAGCCGTGATCGGATGCAACTGAACTGGGGAGAGGAATAAGTATACGTCATTTGGATTGGATATGCATAGACCCAAACATACATAGCGCGTGGAGCTCGGGGTTCTGGGTTCTTCTGGGCTGTATTTTCGAAGGGTTTCTCGGGTTTTTCTTTTTTGGTCTTTGTTTTTTTTTCTCTCTCTTTCTGTCGATATTCATGAACGCTCCAGATGGTAGAAGAGAAACTATTAAGCCTGGATGGGCACCTTCTCATCCGAACAAAGAGTATACTATGTGATTTTTTTTATAATAAAACCAAAGGGCACAGCATAAGCAGATACTATTTCGTGTCTATGCGAATCATTAAAAATCAAGAAGTTTATGAGTCGACCTCCATGGACTCCTCCGCGGCACCATCTGCCCGCTCAAGAGCCTCCAACAGAGGCACCGTCTCCTGACCCTCATACAGCTTGAAGCTCTCAATCCGGCCCTTTGACCCCTCAGGCGCCAATCCAACCACACCAACCGAAGTATTATCCACTGTGAGCTCCTTATCCTGCGACAGTGTCTCCTTGAGAGCTCGCAAGCCGTGGGTAATCAGCTCGTCGCGGCTGCTATCGGGGAACTTGTCGAGATTCCGCTCCAGGTACGTGCGGGCCATCTGGGAGCGAGCACCGATAGCACAGGCAACCATCTCATGTGTGAGGCCCGAGGGCTGGAACTCAAACAGGTGCGGGCCGGCCTCGTCGACACCAGCCACCAATAGGCCTACACCGTAGGGCCGTTTTCCGTAGTGCTGCGTGTTGGTCTGCGCTCGGTCGCCGATTTGGTTAACGATGCGGTCCAGGGGGATCGGGCGGCCGTAGGTCATCTTGGAGCCGAGCGATTGCTGCTTCATGAAGTTGGAAAGAACGCGGGCATCTGAGGCCAGGCCAGCAATGGCAATGGCCATGTGGGAGTCGATCTCGATGATCTTCTTCTGATAGGAGGAGAGCTCTTCGGCATTACGCTGGAGTGGAATCATAGGTTAGTTCGTTGTCCTGGCTTGTTGTCTGTCGTCCCTATTGGGGGGGTAGATGGTGTGAGTGAGAGCGAACCTTGAGGCCGACCAGCACTACATGTGTCTTGTTCACCAATCCCACAACCACGGATCCTTGTTTCACTGCTTCCTGTGCGTATTCAACCTGGAATATCCGCCCTTGCGGGGAGCTTCGGGGCTTCTGTTAGAACTGGTTATGAATTCGCGGAGAGGTTGGGGTAGGTCTTACAAGGTGACGGCATCGTTGTCGTAGTTGTTTCTGAACATCGTGAATGGAGAGGACTAATGTGTCCTTGGGATATAGAGGATAGAGGTAAACTTGGCAATCAATGAGGGGAAATGGAAGCGCAACAATAAGAGAAGGACTCGGGGACGGAGATGGGGGAAGCTGGAGCAGGCAGTTAAGGTGACGCGGTGTGAAGCATCGAGCTCTTGTGGCCTGAGGCCGCAACACCCAGTGACCTTCAGGCGCCAACGTCACTCATTCCTCGTAACAACCTCCAAAGCTATCTCTCCCCTCGCTCCCTGTCAATGGGGCTGTCATCCCTCGACTACAACTGAGATTCCTTGTACGACACGTGCGCTACCACTCCCCATCTGAATTTAACATCTCCCGACGACCGAACGACTTCGGTGACTCCGCAATCATGGCCGCTGGACTCAAGACCATCATCGCGCTCTCCTTTGTACGCTCCACCCCGCCTATCATCTTGCGCCGCTAGGAGAAGGGATAAGTGCTGACTTGAAACAGGTTCTCGCGATCGGATTTCTCCTCGTTATTCTCTCCTCCGCACTATGGCACAAGTACTGGCCTCTGTTGGTCGTTGCCATCTATATCATTGCGCCGCTTCCCAATTGGATCTGTGCACGATGTGCGAACCCAGACGACTTTATGGACAGCTCGAGTAGCTCAGCGATGGACTTTGGGCGTTTCATGACTGGCTTCCTGGTTTTGACTGGTATTGGTAAGTTGGTCACCTTCTCAATGCGTCACATACCTTCCCGCAGTCCATTTGATTGAGTACCCCCGAGGCCAATATTGGAGAGAGAGAATCTCGATATTCTTTTGGGAGACATATTCATTTATTCTACATTGCTCATTTCACCATATTGTTCAAATGACATTGCTAACACCCCGTCCTTAGCCCTCCCCGCAGTTCTCGCTCACAGCGGAGCGATCGAAATCCCGGCTATGATCATGTCTATCTTCGGTGGTCTTTTGATTTACGGAACTATTATTAGCTTCTCTATGTTCTTCCAGGAACAGGAGGAGTTCTAATAGCGAATGACGGCTCTCCGAGCAGGGCTGTGTCCAACCAGTCTACACTGTTCTAGTACAACGAGAAGGGTCCATCAAGTACCCACATGCAACCCACATTGCTTTTCATGATGATGTTCCTTTTGCGCGACCAACTTGGTTTTCACGTATTTCACACCTGGGCAATATACTTCGGGTGGGTGCTGGAGATAGTTCTGGCGTCAATTTGCCATACCTTTATGGCTAGCATTTCTTTGGCTATGATAGCTATGATGCTCTGAATGGTTTTTAACGCAATGTATATATAATTCACATTCAGTTTTTCTTGAATCCCTGATTACTAGTACCAATCCTGGAGATTAATTGTGTAGAATCGCTCGAATGTTCGTAAAAATCCCGTGATTGGGAAGTTGGATGCCGTACCTAGATTTAGGACTTAATGGTTAGATCACTTAACTTTGGTACACAAGGATCCTCAGCACGATCAACAAGTGACCATACAAGTACGAGTAGGTGTTTTATAGTTGTGGAAAATGATATATTGCCATCTTTAAATGGAGATCCGGCTGATGAATACGAGTGCCTGACAGACCCCACTAGCGCGCGTTCCAGGCGCGTCGGCGAAGTTGCAGGATGCCAATGCTTGACCGCCCACTTCCAAGGTTCAACAACATCACGAAGATGAATCTCAGGTTACTACGACCTGGTAACTGTTGAAAATGAACGTCTGGTCAGGGTCTATTACCCTGGATCCAGACCAGCTGTTGGAAGGTAAAGCAATCAATACCGATTTCGCTGTATACAGTCGGCTGACCTACCAGGGATCCGCTTGGTTGATTCGACGTCACACTGGCAATGCGATGTATCCAAAGACAGCAAACTTGAGCTTCGAAGCTTTGTGAACCCAGCTCTCATCCCTCTCCACGCGCGCGCTGGCCCCAATCTTGAAGTACACACTCTCAACCCGACGACGTCACAATGGCTCCAACGAAAATTGACCGGCGCAATCTGGGTGAACGAGGATGAGCTGGATCTCCACCAATCCTTACAGTGCCCCGTTGGCCTGTTGGTCAGTGTCAATGGCAGTACGATCAAGAAGAGCGGACCCGCTACTTCTGAATTCTTGATATATGGCGTACTATCCAGTTCAACCTCTTGCGCGAGACCTCCCACTCCTCCACACTCGTCTCCATCCGACACCAACACCAACACCAATACCTCCACAACGAAGCCATATGAGCTGCGAGTATATGCAGCCCCCCCTCTCAAAAACCCAGCTCACACAAGCCCGAGCCTTCCCTTCCCCGCCACAAAGTTCCAACGGCGAACATGGCTCTACCCCAGCCGAGTTCCTCCCAGACATCAGCTCGCCGAGCCCCAAACGAAAACGAGTAGCAACACTCTTCGAAAGCGCGGCTCTCCACCACCGGCGCGTCCGCCAAAAGAGGCGGCGAAGCCGTCTCCCAAATGATGGCACCAATCCGGCCCTCATCATCCTCGCAAAACATTTCCTCACTGCGTATCAAACGCGAGCCCGACGACGACCAACCCGGACTCCCAACTCTCGACCGCATCGCCGCTGCCCGCAGATCCCGCTCCGTATCCATCGGAGCAAACCTGCACCGCCAGACAAGTCTCCGCGGATCCCGCGGTCCTGGCACAAGCGTGCACGCCGATCCGCAAAAGCGCGCACAAACGCCAAACCCATTCCTAGAAAACGGTTCTCGTCGTGGCTCACAAACGATCCAGCCACCGTCCGCCTTGTCATCATTCGCGGAAGAGCAAGATAAACCACTCGCAACGGCCCCTTCATCTCCACCCAAAAACCCGGAAACAATTATCGCCGATAATAAGAGTCTCATCATACGCACGATTTTGACGTGTATGCGGCTTTATGGCTTCCACCGCGCTAATGCAAAGTCCTCCACTAAATCTGCAGGCGGAGCAGGAGCAGGAGGGTCGGACCCTGATCCGTCTCTAGAGACGTCCAATGCAACGCCTGCGCCGGAAATTCTGCGTGCGGAGACGCCGGCTCCCGGTGTCTCGGCGGATGATGATGAGTTTAAATCGATGTATCACGCGACGTATAAAGCGGCCGCCTTTGCGTTGCGCAGATATCTCAAAGACCCGGTTATCGGGTCCGGCTCTGCGCCTTTGCTTTTGGAGAAGGGTAAGGCGATGACTTGCATTGATGAGCTTCTGCGACTTTTCTGCGAGGACCATTGACTTGGGCGACGGTGGATATCTGAAGATGCTATATTATGACTTTACGGATTGATGTATATATTCATTTGGAATTGGCGTTTAATGTTTTGCATAGGATGGTCTCTGGCGGGCTACATTTGCAGGGAGTTTTGCTATTGGGCCTTCATATTTTTAGTTCACATCATAGCAATTGTCTTCAAGGTCCTTTTCCACCTGCTCGCGATCTGTTTCGGCATACTAGGCACCTACTAGGTATACAGTTAACCATATACTACAAGTACTAAGTAGTAAGTGAACTTGCTCGGCCCAATCTACAGATAACCACATCGCATCGTTCCGTGGAAGAGAGTCATAAAAAAGATTTCATCCATGCTAAGCTCCAGCAGTAAAGCTAGAGATGCGAATCAAAAAGAGCCATCAAATCCGTGCATAAAATACAGACAAATCACATCAGAGTTTCCCAGGTATACTAATACCTCAAACGAATCGCTTTACAAAGCAAGGTTGTAGGTATAATCGTCCTCGATATTCTGCGAAACCCAGAGAACAATAGAACTGTCGCAAACAATTAGCATCAACAGCAATCAAATCATAATTAGTAGTCCTTCCCCAAGGACAAATCCCACATACCTCAACATAACCAGACCATTAGCAACAACATTCGCGATACCAAAGTACAGCGTCTGAATCGGATAATCTTTGATAAGATACTTGAGAACCATGACCGTCTGCGGGGGAAGAAGTTAGCCTCGGCCCATCCCATCCTGAACAAGCGCAAATGTCAAGATATGTAGGGAAACATACAACACTGCCCGCAAGGCCACCAGCCAACAGTGCAAATCCAAGGAAGAGCACAAAGCGCGCCTTCCACGCAACCCCGCTACCGCTGTAACTGAAGCTATCGGCCTGCAACCGCGACTTCTCAATCGAGTTGATCACCAGCATACCCAGCGCGGAGCAGATGCCGGGAATCCAGTCGACGAACTTGATATGCACGTCCGAGCCGTTGCGGGGGCTGTGGGAGAATGAGGCGACGTCGATGAGGAAGAAGAATCCGGCCGCGAACTAAAAGATGACGATTAGTCTTGTTTGTGATCGGGGGTGTGGTGTATGCGCCCTGGGTAGTAGGGTCTGGTCTGGTTTGGTCTGGTCTGGTCTCCAGGTCCAGGTGAGGCGGGTCGGGGTTTATCAGGGACTCACCAGTGCGCCGGAGACGTAAACTCCTGTGTTTCGGACGGCGGAGTTGTTGAGCCATTCTGGCTTTGAGAAGCGGAAGAGTCGGTTGTTTGAGACGTCCATTGTGTTGTTGGTTGGGTTGGTGATTGGGAGGGAATGAGCTGGTGGTTGTCGGAGCTGCCTGCGATGACGACCGGCGTGGTCGGAGGAATGTCGGGCCGGGATGTCTGGGGGGTTTACCTAGTAGCATGTAGATCCCGCGAACTGAATACTTTATCGAAGTCTGTACTAAAAGATGTTTTAAATTGAATGATCTATAGAGCTGATTTCTGTTTATCCTTAGTATCTACTTAGCTACCCCTGTGCCACGTGATAACTTAGTCAATGCTCAGCAGCTTGAACTTGAATACCTACCTAGGTACTAGTACTACTAGGTACTAACTATTACATACATCACCGAGTCAGGAGCAAAATTGGAGTTGATTGGAAGAGGGTACCAAGGTATTTAATGAGAGCTTTGAAAAAATAAAGTACTACCACCTGGGCAACCTTGGAACTTGAAGCCCTGTATCTAGTAAGTACTGGGAAGCTTAATTCTACATAGGTATGTATAATTTTTGGATTAACGACCTCGGGAGAAAATTTGTCCTACACACTGCAGGCAGATCCTACTATTCCAAGGTTAAGCCCCAAGGGAAACAACCGCCCGACAGCTGACAGTCGTGTACCGAGGCTCTAGGATTCATTGATAGATATCTATGGGTGTACCTAGGTGCCTGATTAGGTTTCCATGTCAGAGCACAGTACGCGTAATATCTTTGATAACAATGAAGCCTTTCGCCCAGGCAACAATATACTAGTATTCCTTCGCTGGCATTCTACACCTGATACACGTACTACGTACCAGTAGGTAAACATTTACATACCTGAAGTTCTAGGTGACCATATTTGTTCAAGAAGTTTCATATCATGAGCTTCGTCAATTCAGTGGGATCTAGTTGTCCCGGGGTATATACAAATTTATCAAACCACTTTTCTTCTGCCTAGAAACTCGCATGCGTAATGAAGCATGGAATCCGGCACCGCGAAACTAATATTGCAAATATATCCCATGGGATCCATGAGAAAGGGAGATAGGCACCCATCGTCGTTGTGGGTGAGAATGGGAGGCTCGGACCATCACTCACGGCAAGGTAGCCAAGCCAAGCCAAACCGTCCCATTTCACCGGCAGAGTAACTTGGAATCAGGTCTTGGCGGAACTAGCGACAAACGCAACACACTCGGGATCATGCCTCCAGCAGGGTGCATGAGGGAACACCGCTATGATAGGTTTTCAAGCAGAGGTAACGGGGTGAGCGCGGAGCTTGTCCGTGACGACATCCACGGCCTCCATGTCGGCGGCATCGATCTTATCGGTGGGGTAGCCTTCGGGGAGGCTCTTCGACAGCTCGTTCATGGCGGGCTGGTAGTTACGGACGGCGGAGGAGAGGGCGTAGACGGCCTTCTTGCGAGTGGCGGGGTTGGAATCGGTTGTCGCGACGTTCACCAGGGAGGGAATGGCATTCAAGACGATGAGCTGTGCGATAAACATGTTAGTTATATATTATGTCCTGTTGGTTTGTTTCAAGTATCTATAATATGCATATATGCATATATTTTCTTCGCTTTCGAGCTGGCGGGGTATGACATACCTTATCTTGAGCCTTTTCGTTGTTCTGTACAGCAGTACCGATACACCACGCGGCCATGCGGCGCATATCAGCGTCCTCGTGCTGAAGCAGCTTAACCAATGGAGTCCACAGTCCGAGGGGCTCCAGGTTATTCGCATTATCGATACCCTCGATCATCTGCTCAAAATTGTCGAATGCGATCAATTTGTTCTCCAGGTCTGTCTCGTCCGAGTAGAGCATTTCCATAGCAGCCTTCATGAGGTCGGCGTCTGAGGGACCGCCCATGAGCGCATTGATCATGTCTGGGGTCAGGTTGCGCTGGAGTTCTTCGGCGCTGGCGGGGGCAGTGACGGAACCGTCCTCATTTTGCTGCTGGGAGTTTTGGACACTCCATTTGAGGAGCTTGTTCATTTCGGGATTCATTTTTGAGGTGATTGGATGGGGGAATTCGCTTGTAGTGAAACGGTTGTGGGGTGTGAATTTAAGAGTATGTGTATAAGGCAGCCTGGTCGCAAGAAGTTCAGGAATACTTTGGTACCATGACGGGCTCTATGATATAACTGCCCGCCATACCCACATTTTGAATGACTAAGGAAACGACTAGACTATTCGGGAAGCGCCCAGCCGCTTCGATCAGCTGATATCACGTGGGATGACACGTGACACCCGCTCACCGTCTTTGAAATGGCGGTAAATGGGGCGGCTTGCGTCAGGCTAGCAGGGTCAATTACAGTAGAAGTGGACAAGAGGTGAAGTGGCAGCTAGGGGGGAGGGGAAGGGCTGATTGGAATTGGGGGGGTTCTACATATTGCTCCGTAACATTCCTGGGAGGCGAGGAGTCGTGGCAATCAAGTACCTTTGGAGTACTCCCATGACATTCCAATGTGGTTTGTCGCTGCGAAAAGAGGGGGTTCTATACTTAGAAGTGACCTGGCCAATCTCTCGCATTCGTAAACTGTACAGCCTCCTCTCCCCGCCACATACGACAAGAATTGGATGGGGGGAATTGCGGAAGCCTGGGTACTTGATTCAGGCGGCCATACTATTCAACCGCGTGTCCTGGGTGCATTGGACCCTGACAAGCCGGACTCGTGGAGCCGGCTCTCTCGTAAGACTTGTAAACCGTTTGTAATGCTGCTGTTTTTGTGGCGAGGATTACCCCGTCCCGAAATAGGGTCATCCCAAAACACAGGAGAGCCCCACGAGGATGCGCAATCCCTAGGAACAAAGTAGAACAGGTGAAAGTGTTTCTGCCTTGAGAGATCAGAGCCATGGAAATGGAGATGTATATAGGGTGGGTTTATGGAGTAGTCGAGGAAGTGCTCACTTGCGCACACACCAACTTTGAAGTGTCCAGTGGCAGTTCCAGTCCACCAACCCTCCCCACTTCCTTCTCGCTCTCCCTCTTCTTCCCTCTTTCCCCCCCCCCTACCTATTCTCAACTCTATACTCCCCTCCTCCCCTTTTTTCTCTTCTCCATCTCCTTTTAATCCACATCTCCTTTCTCAGTCACAATGGAAGGTATGTTATATCATGATATATCCCCCTCTCACAGCTTCTCGCTTGAGGCCACAAGCCACGTCAACTCTAAGCCTCTCCAAACAGCTGGGGAGAGCTGAGCCTGAACTTGAGCTGCTGGTCATCATCCCAACTCTCATCTGGAATATCTCGCTAATACGTTTGGTCTCCAACAGAGGAAGTCGCTGCTCTCGTTATCGACAATGGGTATGTGATGAATCAACTGGTCGCCTGAGAGTTGGTCCTGGTGTTTGGGGGTCTCACGCCGCCCGGTCGCGCCCATCTCAATCACTGCCCCCCCCTAATTCGCCGCCCTGGCAAATTGAGTCCCAATCGCACACCAGGCCACCTCCAGGATCCCAACCGATCAGCAATTATGTCGATTACCGACAAAGAGGAATTTTTTTAAACTGATGCTTTGTTTCTAGTTCGGGTATGTGCAAGGCCGGTTTCGCCGGTGATGACGCCCCCCGAGCTGTCTTCCGTAAGTGCCACATAACCCCCTCCGCCTCCCAGACACCCCTCCTCCTTGCCAGCGATCCCGCCAGCCCTTGCGTCGGATGACATCTCCCGACAACGAGGTGCTATTTTGATAATGGGTACATGATCACATGCTGGTATTGGAATTGGAGGGGGATATAGGGAAAAACAAAACAAGAAAAGAAGAAAAAAAAATACTAACGGTCCAAATAGCCTCCATTGTCGGTCGTCCCCGTCACCATGGGTAAATTCCCCCCCCACCCCCCTCTATCTGCTTGTTTCAATTGCGAGTTCTCGATATCGACTGCCGCAGTTCAGACATATATAGAATGGGAAACTAACAGACGGCTAGTATCATGATTGGTATGGGTCAGAAGGACTCCTACGTTGGTGATGAGGCACAGTCCAAGCGTGGTATCCTGACTCTGCGCTACCCCATTGAGCACGGTGTTGTCACCAACTGGGATGACATGGAGAAGATCTGGCACCACACCTTCTACAACGAGCTCCGTGTCGCCCCCGAGGAGCACCCCATCCTCTTGACTGAGGCCCCCATCAACCCCAAGTCCAACCGTGAGAAGATGACCCAGATTGTCTTCGAGACCTTCAACGCCCCCGCCTTCTACGTCTCCATCCAGGCCGTTCTGTCCCTGTACGCTTCCGGTCGTACCACCGGTATCGTCCTTGACTCCGGTGACGGTGTCACTCACGTTGTCCCCATCTACGAGGGTTTCTCCCTGCCCCACGCCATCTCCCGTATCGACATGGCTGGTCGCGATCTGACCGATTACCTGATGAAGATCCTGGCTGAGCGTGGTTACTCTTTCTCCACCACTGCCGAGCGTGAAATCGTCCGTGACATTAAGGAGAAGCTGTGCTACGTTGCCCTCGACTTCGAGCAGGAGATCCAGACCGCTTCCCAGAGCTCCACCCTCGAGAAGTCCTACGAGCTTCCCGACGGACAAGTTATCACCATTGGTAACGAGCGCTTCCGCGCTCCTGAGGCTCTGTTCCAGCCTAACGTCCTGGGTCTCGAGTCCGGCGGTATCCACGTCACCACTTTCAACTCCATCATGAAGTGTGATGTTGACGTCCGTAAGGATCTGTACGGTAACATTGTCATGGTATGTGTTCTTTTTGTTCTATCCAGCGTTCCATGAACCTCCCATACTAACAATTTTCCCCTTAGTCTGGTGGTACCACCATGTACCCCGGTATCTCCGACCGTATGCAGAAGGAGATCACTGCCTTGCTCCCTCTTCCATGAAGGTCAAGATCATCGCTCCCCCCGAGCGCAAGTACTCCGTCTGGATTGGTGGTTCTATTCTCGCCTCCCTGTCCACTTTCCAGCAGATGTGGATCTCCAAGCAGGAGTACGACGAGTCCGGTCCCTCGATCGTTCACCGCAAGTGCTTCTAAGCTATTATCTGATAGCTTTGATCATCTTCGCTCGTACTTTCCTGGTGTATCAAAAGGCAGGATGAGGAGGGAGGCACTGGTGGATCGCAAGCGTTGTTGTTGGACTCGCATTACCAAGCGGATAGCCTGAAAAATGGAAATCTCGATTTTTAGTGGAATAGAGTCGGTCTTTGTTTTCATCTTCTCTCTTTCCCTCTTTTCGTCGTCCTCTTTTTTTCCTCTCGCTCTTCAGTTTCACAATTCCTAGTTGTGCGCTTGGTGCGAGTCACACCATCTCTGCCTCTTCACTGAGGATTCCGATTCTTCGGAAGCGCTCACCCTCCCCTCCCTCCCCTCCCCCTCTCTTTCGAAGCACCTCGGAAATAGCTTTGCGCCACGGCGACATGGTGTAGTGTGATGCGAGGATGTGTGTACATGGAAGTTGGCACAGGTCGCGTTCCTTTATGTTCTAGCCTTATGCGTTGTATCTCCGACTAAATTGTCTTCAGTTGAGACCTTCCTCCGCTTATGCATGTGCATGTTCTGTCGTAGCCAGTAGGATACAGTAATTTCAAAAGTAATCTACTCCAATCCATTGAAAGATAACAGTCAGACCAGAGTAAGTTCAAGGCCCTTGCCTAGCTAGGGCTATGCTTGCTTTTTCTCCCCCAGGCTCGGCGACGCTTGCTGCCGTTCGTTTAATTCAACCTGAAACTTGAACGGCCCCGGGGGAATGAACCCGTGGGGCATACCTTATACTAACTACAGGTGATCACTTTCCCCTGATGTTAGTACTAGCACTATTAGTAGTAAGTTCAAAGTAGGTCCTCGATACTCGGATGTCAGATATGCCATACCGGTAATACAGGTACGATAGAGAGCCCCGAAGAGCAGGAAACCGGAATCATAATCTAGGAAAGCTTTCATTCAAGTAACCAAGATGTAGGAGGTGTATATCATTTCATCCGTCATACAGGATTCGCATCAGTCGTTCGTTGGACTCATCCCGTCCTATTTTGAGCTGCAAGTCGCAAGCATAAAAAACATAGCCATAAAAAAAAAGAAATAGAGTCGGAAAACAAAAGAAAATTGGAAGAAAAAAGGTCGATATCAGAATCAAAAATCTTATATAAGATGCAATAGTTGGGGCACTGAATCGGATCAATTACAAAAAACCGACTCTAAGCCATCTATGCGCTCCACGACTCAAGTCCAGAGAGAACACATCCCTCTTCACCCTCAGCACGAGCACGCAGCTCACCAATACGGTAAACAGCCTCGCCCTGCTCTTCGAAGCTCTGACGAACAGCAACCTCGGACGCGGGGTCGACGGCGATAATCATACCGATACCGCAGTTGAAGGCGCGGGCCATCTCCGCCGCGGAGACGTTACCGGCACGCTGCAGCCAGGAGAAGACAGAAGGCTGGGCCCAGGTGCTGACGTCGATCTGCGCCGTCAGGGTATCGGGCAGCATGCGGGGGACGTTCTCGACGAGACCGCCGCCGGTGATGTGAGCCAGACCCTTGATGGCAGCGGGGTGGGAGGCGAGGGCGTTGAGGATAGACTTGACGTAGATGCGGGTAGGGGTGAGGAGGGCAGCGCCGAGGGAGGGAGAAGAGGAGGACTGGCCGGGCATGGTGAAGGGGGCCGGGTCGGTGTAGCTCAGGCCAGCGCGCTCGACAATCTTGCGGACGAGCGAGTAGCCGTTTGAGTGTGGGCCGGAAGAGCCCAGGGCGAGGAGGACGTCGCCGGGACGCATGGAGTCCGTGTAAGGGAGGATCTTGCGGGCGTGCTCGCCGGTGGTGTTGATGGCGCCGACGGCGGCTCCAACTGCGTCGTAGGACTCGTCGACGAAGAGGCCGGGCATCTCGGCGGTTTCACCACCGATCAGGGCGCAGCCGGCTTGCACGCAGCCCTCGGCGACACCGGTCACGAAGGCAGCTGCAGTTGCGACGTCCAGGTGGCCACAGGAGTAGCAGTCCAGGAAGAAGAGAGGCTCGGCGCCTTGGACGACAAGGTCGTTGACGTTCATGGCCACCAGGTCGATACCGACGGTATCGTGGATGCCGACGCTGTGGGCGATCTTGAGCTTGGTGCCGACACCATCGATGGCACCGATCAGGGTGGGAGAGTGAGGGTGGTATTGGGAGTTGGCGGCGGGCAGAGAGAAGAGACCACCGAAGCCACCGATGACGGCGTCAGTACCGGGGCGCTTGGTGCGGCCCACGGAGGCCTTGATGCGGTTCACCAGCTCGTTACCGGCATCAATGGAGACACCGGCTTGGGCGTAGGTGAGAGAAGTGTCGGCAGTCTGGCGGAACGCACGGTGGGCGATGTCCTTACGGTAGAACATGCCATCGAAGTGAATGGTAGCAACGCCCTCGTAGCTCTTGGAGACGGCCTCCTCGAGGGTAGGGGCAGTCGCAGTAGCGGCGATGACACGGCCACCAGCGGTCTGCAGCTCATTGCCAGACAGAGTGGTACCGGCGTGGAAGATGAGGGTACCAGCGGGGGCAGGGTCCAGAGTAATGGTCTGGCCCTTGCCGTAGGGGCCAGGGTATCCGCCAGCAACGGCAACGACGGTGGTGGAGTAGTTGTCCTCGACCTTGACGGACACGCCATCCAGCCAGTGCTCAGTACAGGCGACCATGATCTGGGCCAGATCGGTGTCCTTGCTCAGCAGAGGCAGCAGAGTCTGTGTCTCGGGGTCACCACCACGGACGTTGTACTCGAGGACCTTGGGTCCCTCCTTGGTCATCATAAGACCAGTGAAGAGGATACCAACGAAGGGGAAACCATCGCGGCGCATACCATCAATGGAAGGCTGGATGATGGTACGGTCAATCTCCTCGCGCACCTCCTTAGGCGCAATGCGAGTGGGCGCATAGCAGCCCATGCCACCGGTGTTGGGGCCTTGGTCACCGTCGAAGATGCGCTTGTGGTCCTGAGCTGGAGGCAGGGAACGGATAGTGTAACCGTCACTGAAGGTGAGAATGCTCAGTTCATCACCCTCCATGAACTCCTCAATGACGACCTCATCACCAGCCTTGCCAAACTGGTGCTCGAGCATCATCTCGCGGAGGGCTTGGTGAGCCTCCTCCTTGGTGGTAGGGATAACAACACCCTTGCCACCGGCAAGACCGTCAGCCTTGATAACAACGTTGTGGTTGACGGAGTCGAGGTATTTAGCGGCGGATTCGTAGTCGGAGAAGTTTCCAAAGGCAGCGGTGGGAATCTGGTGGCGCTGCATGAAGTCCTTGGAGAAAGTCTTGGAGCCCTCCATGCGAGCGGCAGCCTTGGAGGGACCGAAGCATCGGATTCCAACTGTAGATAGAGGAGATATGTTAGTGAATCTGAAGGCATGGAGACATGAGGCGAGAAGATTAGTTTGTTATAAAGTGAACTTACCAGCCTGGAAGTAACCCTGAATACCGTCGACGAGAGGAGCCTCGGGGCCGGGGACAACAAGGTTGACATTGTTCTGCTGAGCAAAGGCAACCAGACCGGGGTAGTCATCACCCTTGACATTGGCATTGGTGATCTTGCTGGAGGCACCCAGACCAGTGCCACCGTTTCCGGGAGCGACGTAGACGATGTCGACCAGCGAAGACTCGCTCAGCTTCCAAGCCAGAGCATGTTCACGGCCACCATTGCCGACAATGAGAATGCGTAATTGTTCGGAAGCCATTGTGAAAGGCAGTGTCTCGAGTGACTATGTTGAAGTTGTTAGCGACTGTGGGAGTCCACCGCGGGTATGCCCCTCCTCCGCTAGGATTGGAGGGCCAGGGGAATGGAATTGAGTGATTGAGAAAGAGGAATGTCCGAATCTGGGGATAATATAGTAAATATAAATCAGATACTAACCTCGAGGGACCTGAGAGGCAACTGCAAAGGGGGTGGATTGCGGTCGAGAAAGACTTGGTAGACTTTGTAGATTGGATTGAAGATAACTTTTTTTCTGCCGGCGGAACAATTTTCTCCGCCGCGTGGACTGACTCATGTATGGCCCGTGGGGGAAAATTATTTATGCATTTACATTGGTAATTCTTCATTGGTGGGCATGATTGAATTTCGGCTGCTCAGAAAGACTGATATTCAATCTAAATAGGTACAATGGAGTATTCTTCTAGAGATCTACTCGTACATTATCTATTAGAGTATCGACCAAATCAAACAGATACTTCCAAGGCGGGAAAACTTTAAATTTGTAGGGAATTGGATCAGAATTGGTGAATTGTTAAATTAGAATTACCAGAACTATTATTATTTTCAATCAGCTCCAATACATAGTTCAATACTCTAATAACTCACGAGCCCATTTGCGTACTACGTTATTAACCAGCCAACTAGTTACTTCTAGTACTAGTTACTATTGTCTCTCCTGATATTTCAGGCATGAATATAAAGCGGTGGCGCGAGGCAAAAAAAACATTCTGCGGCGCGGAGGTTTGCCTGCGGTCGACTCGTTTTCGCGCGCCAACTTTGTCAGGAGACATCCCTTTCTTTTTCTTGTTCTCCTTTCGATTGGAGTCAAGTGGACCGAATGCTTCGTCTTTCAACTCGGTCTGTCTCAGGCCCAGCACGAGGCCATGTCTGCATCTCCTGTCTAGCCGTCCGATCCAGCGCGCCAGCCAAATTCCGCCAACTACATACCACACCTCCCACTCTTTCCAAACATAAGACTGCTAAGACCAGCAAGCAATGGAAGAAGAACTTTGAGGATCCGGACGCGGTATGGCGCATATTTTTCTGTTCTAGAGAACAAGACACTAACGCAATTTGACTACGATCCAGAAATCAAAGCATCGGAAATATGAGCGGAAAGGAAACTCCAAAAAATCGGAATCTGACGGGGATAAATCGACCAAAAATCGAGATGCCGATGCCGAGGCGACTGAACAAAATCGACTCGAACAAATCCAGACTTCTAATGAGCAGGTTTTGGCCGCATCGAATATCCCCGTGCTCGAAGGAGACACCCCGTCCATGAGCCCAGCGGCCAAGGCCAGGAGGGAGACTGCTGGAGAAGATAAGGCACTCCTCAAACACATTGGGAAAAATATCGAGAATAAGTACACTGGATCCATCAACTCAACAAGCCAGCAGGTGAAACGTAAGTTCGGACAATTGGCGCGAAATGCAGGTCCGGTCCCATTGCTAAACATTATTTAGCACTTGATGTCCCCACGGCGCCTGTTCCCGGTCTTTCTTTCGGACTCGATCGAGTCCTGTTCAAGTAAGTTTGCCGGTTTCTTCTCTCGCGCTATACCATCAGTAGTCTAACATGAGCACACAGCCCTGGTGTCTACCACCTACGGGATCCTCGTTCTCGCGTCTACAATTTCGACCCTTATCTCGGTTCGATCATGCCCGTCACCGAATTCGATTTCAACACGTTGAAGGATTATATTACGTCTTCTAAGGATGATACTCTCCGCGAGGTCGCCGTCAAGGCGAACAAGAAGTATATTGGGTCTTCTTCCAGTATGACCTCGGTCCTGTCCCACTTCCATTATCTTCTCTCTGCTTGGAGAGAAATCGATGTCCGCACCGTCTCCCAGGGATTTCCGGAAAAGATGCGCAGCTTTACTCGCCTGCTTCGATCACCCGCCGCCATGTTCCTCCATTACCAGGATGGTACTTATGCAATTGATGCAGACAAGGAGTTTGATTCGGCCAATATTCTGATGAATCTTGGAAAATCCATGGAGAAGCTTCTCACTCTGCCAAAGGAAGAATTCGAGCGTTATCGACGCTCGCATGAGAACAAGATTTCTGCCGAGGAGGAGGAATTAATTCCAGAAGCTTACCACTACTCTACATACGGGGACTTTGTCATGCGCTCGCAGCTGGACGCTTACGACCCCCGCCTACCCGGAACCGGCATGTTCGATTTGAAGACACGAGCCGTTGTCTCCATTCGCATGGACGCAAAGAACTTCGAGCAGGGCCTTGGATATGAGATCAAGGACCGATACGGAGCTTTTGAGTCCTACGAGCGTGAATTCTACGACATGATCCGCGCCGCTTTCCTCAAATACTCGCTGCAAGTGCGTATTGGTCGCATGGACGGCATCTTCGTTGCATTCCACAATATTGAGCGCATTTTCGGATTCCAGTACGTGAGCTTGCCAGAGATGGACCAGGCTCTGCACGGCCAGTCTGACACCGCTCTGGGCGACACCGAATTCCAGCTCAGTCTGGGAATGTGGAATGAGGTGTTGAACAAAGCCACAGAGAAGTTCCCCAAACAGTCTCTACGCTTCCATTTCGATTCGCGCGACACCGTCACGCCTTTCATGTATATCTTTGTGGAGCCCGTGACCCAAGATGAGATCCACGCCATCCAGAACAAGAACAAGGATGAGATCGAGGAGTACCAGAACCGTCTTCTGAACCTTATCCCGAAGGAGGAGGAAGTTTCGCTCGAGCCTGGTCTCCGAACCCCTGAACCCGATGTTGTTGAAGAGTCCCAACAGCCAGAGGAAAACGAAGCAGACATTGCCTCCGGCATCTACGACTCATCCCTACCCCGGGACGAAACCTTCAACACTGAACAAACCGAGGCACTCGAGCCAAAGGGTCCCCTGCTTGCATACTGCCTGACAGCCAAAAACCTCGTCAATGGCAAGCCTGTGAAGAGGCCAGAGAACTTCACCTCCGCAGATCTGTGGACTGTCGACTGGGAGTTGAACGAGCTGAGCGATAAGCAAGGACGACACCTGTACAACATGTGCCAAACGCGGCGTCAAAAAAGCCCTCGCAGGCCGAGGCGAGGAGGAAATTAATGAGCAAAACAACTTCTACCTCCGCAATTTGCAGAAACTCGCACGCCAGGGACGCAAGTACCGCGCGAAGGAGAATAAGCGCGATCAAGAAGAGGGTATTGTGGTGTTGGGTGGTGAGGTGTAAAAAAGACGTGACGTTATGCCCTCATTCTTGGGTGGTTTTGATACCTATTTGAGAGAGCTTAGGTCTCTCTTCCATGTATATTAGTAGATATTCTGTTTTTTTCTTGTTTTCCTTTTTACTACTTTCAACTCTGGCATTGTTGGGCATTGGTCTTTGATTTTTGAATCATTGGGTTTGAAATGTTTTCTATATTGGGTTGTACATCTATCATTAAAGGTCACTTGAATTCATATGAGCGGAGTTGTTCTTTTTTCATTCAGGGTGGGTATAGTTACTACTGCTCCTCCCAAGGTTCCTTTAGAGCAGTTTCCTGCTTCTCTCCAAGTTCCGCCTTCCAAGGTTCCTACCTAGGTACTATAGTAGGTATCTTTCTTTCTTCCTCTCAAACTCTTCCTTGTCCGCTAGCCGAAATGGTCTCGGTGACACTCCTTGCAGATCCATTCTAGGATACCGAATGAGCTCGAAAATGATTCTGCCGAAAAACCCAGTCCGTCAATTCGAGAAGACCTGAGAAACTCTTCAAGACTCGGCGTGATTGTTTGCACGGAACCGCTGATTTTCCGAGTCATGCGCCAGGGCAACAGTGCGGAGCATCTAGTACAACACGGTGATGCAGACTTCGTCCATGATGGGCGAGATGGGGGAGCAGAGTATGCATATGTGCATGCTCCTGCAACGGAGAGAGCTGTACGTTCCGACGCCTATGTGAGTTCTCGCCTTGAGCAAAAAGATCCTCATTGCACAAGCTGATATTGTACTAGCAGTCTCAAAGCAACTTCCTTATCTGACCCAGCGGCCTTATTTTCCGGTATAAATTACTTCGATTGGACAAGTGATACAAAACAACTCTCAGCTACCCTGTCGAATATGCTACCGCGAAAGTATCCACAAGCGCCAAAGAAAAGGTCTTGATGACGATGGAGTAGATCTCCCAGTACACATCCAGAATACTGGGGACTCAGCAACTACCAATACTACTCTCCCACAACTCTAGAATTTATGAGGGATCGGATCCTGGTGATCATGGTTCTAGCGGTGATGGTCTCCGCCACGATGGCTTCGATGTCCTCGAACGTGGGCAGGAAGAAGGAGAAGTTGCTCCATCACGAATAGAATTGAAGAACGAGGTGTTTCTACTTATCACCGCTATGTTTACAATCACATCAGGCTAACTGATTCACAGCTCACCTATAGGGAACACTCAAAATGTTCCAGATCCGATCTACCCAAGCAACTCAAAGTCATCAGCTACATGCTATTTTCAGTTTTTTTTTTTCAACAACCTGCATTGCGGCGGTCTTTGCCACCGAAAGCAGTACTGCCCCTTCTCCAGCGCAATGCGTCTCGAACGCACCCCCATTTACCAAATAGTTTCCCCTTCCTTTGCCCACCCCGGTTCAAAGGGTACCCTATAGTCTGGAGGTGTAGGAAGATCCGGCTAAGCTAGCCGCTTGGGAGCACTGAAATACTCTTCCGTAGCTCTCTCGGTTCTCGACGCTATCCATTCATTCAGAAACGCGCGGAACGTTGATACATCAGAGTGTAGTTCGTGGTAAACAGTCCGTTCAATATTCTGCACCATGTCTATACTTCGTTCCCAGTGGGGAATGCTCGTGGGATGTGTTATTGGTGATGATCTCGTTTACCGTGAATACAACTCCAGAAACATCGTCTCGACCATCTAGTAGACCTTCTTTCCTACAGGCAGCCCAATCGAAATCGAAAAGAATTATATTTGCCGTTTCGGGGTCGACGAGTAGATTCCGTGGTGCGATATCTTGATGTACGATGTCCCATTAGTGGTCGTGCGAAGGGGCTTTTATATTCCAGCGGTGTAGATCGAGACTTCATTAGAGCGGCGGCAGCCAAGATACTACTAATAGAAAATCCCCACCATGCAGGCTCTCGATGGAAATTACGTACCTAACTAGTATAGTAGTAGCCACTTGGGTATTTCAGACTCAAGACGTGATGTTCATTTAATTTATGCCCAGACACTACCAATGGATCTTCAGACAACAGCATCATGATTAATAATTACCACAGCGAGTACCCAGACCAGCCAAACCAGCTCAGCAAACACCCTTGACTACCATCACAAAAGCAAAGCAATCACGTAAGTAATATTCACGGTCACATTGAGAAGCCCTAGTGGGCAGTAGGGTAGGATATAGAACGAGAAAAAAAAAACAACGACGAATACAACTCCAATGACAGCAATGCCGGGGAAAAAAAGGAGCAAAAAGAAGAAAAAAAACGCCGTCGCTGCGAAATGCCGGAGCGCCTCGCAAATTGTATCCACAAGAATCGCGCCAGAAATGGATGGGTAGAAGCAAAAAGAAAAGAATAAAAGAATTACCAGAGGACCCTGTCATGGCGGTAGTGATGAGAAAGTAGAGCAGAGTTGCAGAATGGAGTTTTTTTTCGAAAAATTCAAGGGTATCGAGGGCCAGAGGCTGGTTAGTTGATGCATTCTGAAACGAAAACACAGAGGTAGAATGACCAGGGGAGGGGGGTTGAGTGGTAGTTTCAAAAAGCTCAACATGGTAAAGATTCATATATAGGAGGCGAGAAAATCGTGTGCGCTCAAGAATCCTAAATAGGAATTTCTGAAGACATGCTTCGTGGAGAAGTGAAAGGGTGTGGTGGTGGTATAGTAGGTAGAGTGTGGTGTGGGATTCCCTTGCTGTACATCTCGTATGGTCTGGCCATAGAGAGGGGAAGCTACTGAAGCTCCTGCAAATCGAGTTTTGGCGGTGCCCAGTCTAGCCGTGGGGGGGCTGTCGTTTGATACATTTGATACACAGACCGGGCGTATCGACTCCACTCGTCGTCGCTCCTTCAAGGCGCTGCCAGTCAAGAAGTTTCGTAGGGAGGACGAAGCAGTCCCGTAGGTGCTGCGTGCGCTACCGGTGCCAGTTGAGACGGTGCTGGAACTGCGGGCACTGCGAACACTGCTTGCCTTGGTCACCGCCGAGGGTAGAGGAGGGACGGGAAGGGCGAGACGTGCGGAAGAAGGGCTGGAAGAACTGAATCCTGGTGGCATTACTTGCGATGTGCGGGCTGTTTGTGGTCGCAGGTTAGGCACGCTCTTCATTCGGCTGGCCGTGCGCGAGCTCTTGGATGAAACCTTGGGTCTAGGCTCTGAATCGCGGCGTTCGGTTGGGGGCAGAGCCATGACTTCCTCAGGGAGGTGGATTGATGCGGCCGAATCATCAGGGGGAGAGGCATGGACTTCGTCTGCAGACACGGCAACTTCGAACTTGAAGTTATCTAGCATTGTTCCCAGGCTTGCTGCGGTGCCAGGACGTCCATCACTAGCTGCGTCATCGGTTTCTGGGTCTTCGATTCCATGAGTAACATTGTAGTTACGCAGGAGATACCTTTGCAGCCGAGAAATTTCCATATCCCATTTGCGGTGGAGTGATTGCAGAATAAATTCCACGTTTTGGGCTGCAAGTTGCGAGCTCTCGGTGGGCGACACAGAAAAGTTGGCCGGTTGGTGTTTGCTCAGACGGTGGCTCTTGGTACCCATGGCTGCATGCAAGGAACGGCGAATTGAGGTTGCCGTCGAGGTATGAGTGGTGCCCGCATCCCAACGAACGTTGTCAACCTCGCGACGAACCTTATCAAGAGACATGTATCGGTCTCGGTCCATATTGGAGAGGCTGAGCAGGGTACGGTTGCATTGCAGACCGTTGACCAGTACTGTGAACGATTGTAGATTGATGTCGTTGTTCTCGCAGTGCACCTCACGTAGAGATTCGTTTTCCTCAAGCACAGATGCCAACGTGTTTGCGCCCTGAAGGCCGAGCTTTTGATGCTCAATCTTCAGGACCTTAAGTGAGGTGTTCTTCTTCAGACCAGTGAGTGCAAGATTGAGACCAATTCCGAAGCGTGCCACGTCTAGATGCGCACTCTCTCCGCTGATATCCAAAGCTTCGAGGGTATCGTTCTCCTCAAACATCAACTGCAGCGACCGGCAGGTCTCCGGGCCAGCATCATATGGAAGAGAAGCTTTCGAGATGTCCAGATAGCGAAGAGTATTGTTCTTTCGTACCGCATCGACCAACTGTCGGAAGTGCTCCTCTTTCTTGAAGTCAATCATCTGCATGGAAAGGTGGGATGGGGTCAGATTCTTAGCGATCGCATCGAAAAGGAAGGAACATCCATTGTCAAGACGATTCTCGTTGACATGCAAATGGAGACTTCGCGGTTTGCCTGGGCCGGCAGACATAGAATGCATGAACATGGCGACATCCTCTCCAGTCAATCCACACTGATCAAGACGAATCATGCGAAGATTTTGGGAACGTTCACTGGCCAGATAAGTAGCGAGAGAGTCCACAGTTTCGCGATTCACCGCTGTTCGACTGAGAATCAGCTCTTCGAGCCGCCAATTGAAAAGCATCTCTGCTGTAATTAGAGGCTCCGAGCCCGATGTCCTGGGTATGCGAGAAAGATTGATCTTCCTTATCTGGCCAAAGTATCCAATGTACTGCTGCAGGACATCCGGGTTCAAGCGACCTTGTACCCCCGAAATGTTGATAGCTTCGAGCGTTGACTCTTGAGCAACGATGGTAGACAGTAAGAGGTCAATTTCGTGCACAGACAGCCCACAATCACCAACCTCCAAAGCTCGCAAATGGCTCTTTCTTTGCGATGCGGCGTCGACTAGATAGTCCAGATCAGACTCGCCCAGTTTGATTCCATTCAATACAACCCAATCCACATTGGTCAATTCACGACGACAAACTGGAAAGATAGCCTCGGGGATACCACAGCCGGGGTCCCGGCTACCTTTATCCAGAGTTGGAGTTGGCGTTCGTGTTAGACAGTACGAAAAGTCGAGTCGACGAAGCGATTCGCTCTTCAATGCCAAGGCACGCACCTCTTGGGACAGAACAGTCAAATTGGTTTGCCCTGGGATGTTCACGAGGGATCCAGATCGGTCAAGATGAACATCAACATCCACCCCAAGTACATCACGAATACCCTGCAATGCATCGAGGTTTATCCCACGGAACGAGATCGATCGAAATGATTCATTGTATCGCAGAGCACGCATAACGGCGATCAACTCATGCGCACTATAGCGCGAAGTTCTTGAAGATGCCGGTCGAAGAAGGCGAAAGCATGGCGCATCTTCACATTCCAAGTCGATGGTATACCGAATATTGGATGTGTCAACGTCATAACTAGCCGAATAAGCAACTAGAGTGCGGTCGAAGCAACCATAGTCTTCATCCAGAGCAGCGGGTGGGAAATTTTCGTTCTGAAGTTCACGTGGTACCACGAAATCATACGGCTGTTGCGTCCACAGTGGGCGCAGATACTCGGTATGTTGTCGAATCCAACAAGCAACTTCGACTGAATGAACCGAAGCCAGGAACACATTAAACGCTTTCTTCAAAGGGGTACTGTTTCATCATTAGCAACGTCAGTGGCAGATGCGGGCTTCCGTGATGCCTCACCGGAAAGTTAAATGCAGGCTATCGTCCCCGTATTCCATGGATAGGCCAGTCAGGTTCATAAGGCCAAATGATGTAGCGGTCTCAAGATCGGATAAAGATACGACGGATGATCGATTGGCTGCTTTCTGCATCGGAATCAAGTGGACCTTGTGCAGTCCAATTGCAAGGTAGCAGCCAGTAGGCGACAATTTGGTCAGGTCATCGGAAGACGAACGGGTAGGAGACTTGCTGGATGCAATCTGTATGACCCGGAACATTCGGAATACAGCCGGGTCGTAATCTCGTTCGTGTTCCAACATCCTTGTTACATACTCAACCGAGCCCCGGTCGAAAGGCAGAGGGTCGTTTGCCCGTGCCATCTGCGCCGCTTGGCGAATACCCACCATCCAAAGCTGTAGTTCCTGAAGGTCAGATGTCTGCATTTGAACCAGGGCAGCCTTGTGAGTGCGCTCATCAAGATAAGCCACCTCTACCGTGGGGGAAACTCGGGCGTCCTCCAGCATGTAAACTGCAATAATGCTGTTCAACGCAATTCCTGCAGAGGGCTCTGCAACCAACAGCTGCATGTCCTGCATTGAACTAATCGAGGCGACGGATTGGCGATGCGAGGCAGGAGCCCGTGCATACGAATGCGGGATTGAAGGGAAGGAGTCGGCGGCCTTGGCCTGGTTTTTGAAACGAATGATGTGGCTGTCGGTGAGGACCAGGTACTGGCTCTTCTTTCGCCACATACTGCCCGTCGTTTGGAGGGGTCCATGATGAAGGATTGCCGAGGACCAGATCCCATTTCGGGGACTAATACCGGCATGCTCGTCACCCAATGACCCGACGGAGGCACTGAGAGGGTCATCGTCTTCCAGGGAATGAAGTGACTTTAAAGATCCAAAGACCGAGGTGCGCTTCTTCTGCATTGATTTGCGACTTTGTTGAGGGGCTTCCATGGTGGGCGTGGCTGCAGAGGACATAGCCGCAGACCAGGCGGCTGTCTCTCCCGCAGTTCCTGGTCGGCGGAGGACATTAGGTCCCGTTGACCATCGATTCGGGCTTTGGGACCGACCAAAGAAGCCCGAGTTGCGACGGGACTTCTTATTCTTCGTAAAGGTATCATCAGAGGGGGTTCGATCGTGAATCGGAGGTCGTAGAAGCGGGGCTGGGGGTGTTGAGGCTGTTGAGGCTGGGCTGAACATGCTGAAACTTTTCCTCCGTTCTTTCGGGGCAATTTTGAGCTCGGCCATGGCGAGAGTATGAGGGAGGAGGAAGAGGGTAGATTTTAACTAGTAGCGAGTGTAGGCGTCGAAAATATCGGCGGAGATAATGGTGAGAAACGGGCTTGTCCCATTGACGACCCCAACGTCGTTCACACTGGACAGCGGCAGTTAGCACAGAAGGCTGGAAGACATGTCGGTGGTTGCCAGGCAGAAGAGCTGGAGCTGGCAAGTTCCGAAAGGCTTTGGGGGGGACTGGCGAAAGCGGGGGTACCGGGGTAGGGACAAGGAGATGGTCAAGGACGTACAGCTTCAAGTCGCCATGGAAGCAATTGACGGGTAAAGATGCTAGGGATAGCAAACAGACTCCACTGTCAGAAAAAAAGCGGATCCGGCGGTTATATTGAAGAAGACTGAATTGCCCCAGACGCGTGTGGCAGCTGTCAACAATGTGGCGAAACGAGCGAGAGAGAGAGGTTGCACCGAAGGTTATAGGTTCGCCGGAAGGGGAGAGTTCAAGAGAGCTTGGCCCGACAACACAGACTCAAAACGGCGAAGTCTAGAGAAAACAACAAAATAGGGCGGTGATCAACGAAACCGATTCGTCGTAGAAGATCTCTTCTACACTTCCGAGAGCTGATCTGACCCAGAATGAGGTCAGGATTGTCGATCAACTTGGGATTGTGAAAGACGAGCAGAGTTCGACTTGGTGGCGGGGGGGGGGAAAGAGGGCAGAGACAGGGAATCTTAGGGCAAGGGTCAAACTCTACATCAGAGAGTTTCTCCCGCGAGCAGAGAACAAGGAACTCACCAGGAAAATTGGACGAGTGCAGCGATGAGATTAACGGTCCCCTCGGGAGGAAAAAGGAGGTGAGGTGAGGAATGGACGGATGCAGTAAAACGGTCGCCCCTCCCAGCTGCTTCGAACATCGCCATGTTTCAGATCTTTTTTTCTATGGAGTATGGACTCTGTACGGAATAGACTGGTTATTGTTATCGGTCTACTCTTTTTTTCTTTTTTTCCGTTTTCTTTTCTTTTTCCTCTGGTATGGTGTGAATATAACCCGTGGACTAGTATCCTCACTCTACGGAGTACGGGTAACTATCCTACTACATATTCAGTATGCATTTCGCATCTAATTGGGTACTTGAGTGTGTGTCATCTCATACATCGGCCAAATGCACCTTCTTACGATGAGACATGCGTTCGCGACATGTCGAATGGTAACCGCATTCGAGAGACTGCGGCTTCTTGGCCACGTAAGAGGCGTACTCCACCCACATCGACTAAGACGTAGTGTATGAGTAGTGGATGTACATGTACTGTACGTAGCAGGGATATTGGCCCGGCTATCTACTCCGCAGGAACCACCCGTTCCCGCACGGCGCTTGCGTGATTCGCTCTCGTGCCACGGTGATGTGGACAAAATTGTGATGCGATGCGATCCATGATGACTATTGATATGCTACGGATGTATATGGGGCGACGATGACGGAACTATCAAAGAACTCCGTACGATCCTCCCGGATCCACATCGAAAAAGGGTGATCGACACCCTCGCGAGCTCCGCTGTCCTCGGGCTTGGGGGATGTATGGAGTACCCCCAGGGGGGTTACGGAGTAAATGGGGTAAAACTGACGTCTCTGGGGTCCACGAACATGGAGATCGCAATATAGATCGACAGCGCCACAAGGGGGTAAGCTTTGAGATAATCTCCAGGATTCAGATCAATTCCATTTCGCGTGGCATCCCATCCTAGTCAATGAGAAAGAAGAGACTGCGTCATCAATCTCTTGCCCAAAATCCTGCCCAAACAAAAAATTAATTCCCGGAGCCTTCGGGAAAAGCATGTTTACTTATTCGGTCAGTTCAGGTCGTTCTCGCAGATACGAGGTACATCCGTCGATCCCGCGCATCGGTGTAGTCTACTCCGTATGGATCATAGTATATGTATGCTCCGCATGACTCGAGCAATTTCATTTTACACTAGTACGGCCGGGAACCCTGATTGCGCTCGGCCTGGAGACGCTCGGCTCTTTTGATACGCCGCATCAGTTCAATGTACTCTGCGACCCGTCTTTCGGCCCAGATGCAGCCACCGAGCGTCATGGCTGCGATCTGCAGGAACACCTTGAATTGCGGTGTCAAGCCGCGATAAACGCGAGAACCTGGCGAGATCCATTCTGAGAAGCCTTCAAGCGGTCGGTAAAAGAGACGAGAACGGAGATAGTCGCGCGAGAAGATTGAGGGCCGAGAACGAGCTTGCGATTGCGTGGCGGGAGGCTTTGGGGGAGAGAAGATGAAAGGATGTGGGAGGTTCATGATCATATGTGCGAATATGGAGACTGAGCCGAACTGCATCAGGTGTTAGTTCTCATTGAACGGCGGTCTACCTGCACTTGGCTGTCAAGGAATACATACGCGGAACACACCGGTCATGAAGCCCAACATGGCTTGAGTGGTGACCTCCTCCGGGGGTTCAATGTCCTTCCGTTGGTTGGATGGCGGTGGCATAATGGCTGTAATTGAGTTTCTATCACTGCCGTCAGATGCAAGGAGTGGTCGCGCAGCCTAATGCTGGAAGATATGATGGCGGCGGTGGCTATTGAGCTCGGGGCGCGGAGGAAGCTGATGAGGCGGCGAAAAGGGAACAAGGAAGAGGAATTAAGTAGCCGAGAGGGAGAGCGAATTATACTGAGTTGATCAGATATAGATCGTGTAAAGAAATCTGGACCAGCCAGTGTTTTTAAAGGGTGGAAACGAATTAATCTGAACGGTCTTTGCTTCAGACACCGAATGGTTCGACATGGTGCGGATCAACCCTTTTTAGAAAGTTCCCCCGTCGGAGAGCGGCGAGTCACATAGAAAGAAAGTATGATTAGCAACAACTTAGATGACTCGACCCCGACTCAACTCTCTCACCGCTGCATAAACACCTCCAATTGACCACCATGGCCCTCCAAGCACGTACCGCCGTCGTCTCGCGCGTCACCAACGAGACCAAAATCCAAGTATCGCTTTCCCTTGACGGTGGCGTCCTCCCGCCTTACGAGCCCTCCACCCACTTCCCCCGCCAACAGATCCCGAAGAAGCAGAAGCCGCAAAGAAGGGCATTGTCCCTCCTAAGGATGCCAGTCATGCCACACAATTCACCCCGACCCAGCAGATCACCGTGAGCACTGGAATTGGCTTCCTGGACCACATGCTGCATGCGCTGGCCAAGCACTCCGGAATGAGTCTGGCGGTTCGCGCAAAGGGCGATCTGTACAGTAAGTTGCGCCAGTCTCGACGACAACAGTCAATCGCTTTCTCTCGACTTTTTCCCAGCATAGCGAAGAACCAGACCACTAATATCTTCTCCCTTTAGTTGACGACCACCACACCACTGAGGACACCTTCCTAGCCGTCGGAACAGCATTCACAAAAGCCCTGGGCGCCCGGCAATCACTGGCGCGATTTGGCCGCGGTGACGCCCCGCTGGACGAGGCTCTCTCATGGGCCGTTATCGACCTGTCAAGTCGTCCCTGGGCCGTGATCAACCTTGGCTTCCGCCGCGAGAAGATCGGCGACCTGAGCACTGAGATGATCACCCACGGTCTGCAGAGTTTCGCCCAAGCTGCCGACGTCACGCTCCACGTTGGCTGCACATACGGTGACAACGACCACCACCGCGCGGAGAGTGCCTTCAAGGCTCTCGCGGTTGCTATTCGCACCGCTGTCACCCGGAAAACGGCCGGCGAGGTCGGCGCTGGCGATATCGTTAGCACCAAGGGTGTTTTGTAAATGTTGGCAAAAAGTTGGAGCCTTTTGTATATGAAATGAGATCTACGGCAATGAGATGAGATACCAAGTTATCTATGTTAATATTCTTTACGAATAGAACTAGTTCAAAGACGTTGCAATTTGAAGATTGCGCGGAAAATCGTGTACCATCGATGACTGTTTTTTGGAGCTTTGAGATAGCATAAAAGACATAATTCATACCTTAGACGCAGACAGAAGAATCGATGCGGAATCCCCGATTTCCGAAATGCCGCGAAGAACCAGCTTCGCTGCAAGGAAACAAATTCCTGAACCCCAACGCGTGAAACGCCGATTCTATGATCTACCAAGACGATATCCAAGCATCTTCTCACACACCGAGGGCCTTCACGGCTCGCTCCCAGTACTGCTTGCGCTCATCGGTAACCGAAGTGCCAACACAGCTGCTAATATACTTTTCCCAGCCCGTCTCAGAACCATCCTGCAATGCAGAGCGCACATCCTTAGAGCACTGGGTGGTAAGGAACCAGGCGCCAGATCCGAAGTCGTAGGTCTCATTATCGCGCAGCAAATCGAGCAGATCAGTGGGGCTATTGGAGACGGCGGCAATCTTGTCTTTCAGAGCGGGGATGCTGCTGGCGTATTTCTTGTTGAAGGCTGGGGATTGCATATTGCGAGCTATTGGTATTTCTAGTTAGAAATGGAGGGATCCGCGGAAGTAGATGACGCAGGTACTTACTGCCTTGGCCTGGGTTGCCGGGGAAATGGTTTTTGTTATACTTGAAGTCGTCGCTCTCAAAGGCCATCAGACTCAAGATTGCGGCTTGCTCGGCCTTGTTGGTGACCTTGTAGTCATTGAAGGACTGAGAGCTGAAGGTGGCGGCTGTCTTGGCTGTAGCGCATTCTCCTTCGGCGGGGGCATCGTCACAGGTCTTTGATGTTGGGGCGATTTGAATCAGTTGAGCCTCAGTTAGGGCTGTATCCTTTGTTGCCAAGGAGAATGGGATGGGAGCTGCAGTGGAAAAGACAGCGAGCGAAACGAGGAGTGAAGCGGTGAGAATGGATTGCATCTTGGCGGGTTCTTGAAGGGCGAAGTAGTGTTCCGTGTGTTGAAGTGATGAGTTGAGGATTTGGCGAGAGTAAAGGGGATATAGTCAACCGGCAACTATATCAGGCGAGTAGGTTGGCGAGTGGGTTGGCTTGTATTGGTGGAGACTACAGAAAGGAGAAACATCGTCCTTTTATTCCACACCTGCTTAGGCTAACATTTCTGGGTTGCATTGCATGTGGGGGATGGGAGGTGGCGGGTTTAGAAACAAGCAATTCATTCCAGGCAGATGGTGGAGGCATTCATACTGGTGGAGGTGGTTGGGGAATGCGGATCGTGCAGTATGTAGGCCTCCAAGTAGAACAATCCATGACATAATTCGTCCAAATCCATTGTCCTTCAAACACATCGTATTTCAATTGAACCAGTGACAAGAAGTGACAAAGCGACTGATCCTGCGTTGAACAATGCAAGGTATGCTGTGACTTTTCATTGGGTGGGTGAGTTAGGAGTTCCCCTCACTGAAACGTTGGCGCGGTGGAAGGTTTGGCGCCCAAGTCCCTTAGGGCGCACCCCTGGAATGCTTGAATGATAGTCCACCTGACCACCTCTTAAATGGCCGCTGAATCTGACAAACGATTGCTTAAACTGAAACCCGGGAAATTACAAAACTTCCAAAGTTAGCGAACATGTCATCTTCCACGGAAATCCAAGATATGATATCGGAGCTGAAGAGAAGCCATACGCAGGTTCCTTGGTGCGACGAATACGAGAAAATGATAAGTGGAATGAGGTCCGTCATTTCTCTACCACTATCCCCGTTCCATCATTAAAGCGTAGTCTCCCTAGCTTTACGGCCTCGAGATCTCCCGAACTCCAAGACCATAAGCTCCGAACACTTACATCGCTGAATGAATTCAATGAGACAACTATTCCTGAAGGAAGTACGCTTGCATCATTAAAGACTCGGCGTATGACCGTCGCTAAAGACCTGCTGGGTAAAACGGGAGAGAGAGTAAATATCGAGCCGCCCTTTTTTGTTGGGTGGGGCTGTAACGTCTTTATTGGGAACGATGTATACATCAATCGCGAGTTAGTTGACATCTCTTTACTGACTGGCAGCCCCCACGTCTCATGCACTACATACTTACAGAGACCTCTGGGCTCATAGTGCATCCCTTTTTGATAATGCATTTATCCGAATCGATGATCGCGTTCTGATCGGGCCCGGTGTGTGTATCTGCACGGGTACACATCAACCCGACGCAAAGGACCGGAGAGAAAACAGTGGAACTTCTTTTGCTCGCCCAATAATTATTGAGGCAGATTGTTGGATTGGAGCCCGGGCTACGATTCTGGACGGTGTTCGTATTGGATCAGGCACTACAATTGCAGCAGGAGCTGTGGTGACACGCGATATTGAACCACGGTGTCTTGCTGGGGGTATACCCGCTAGGATTATTCGTAGATTTGAGGATGACTGAAGTCTGGACGACTCCTGTGTTTGAAAGGTAGATTGAAGGGCAGGATTCTATATTTTGAAGTCAAAGTTTCTTTAGGGTGTTATTTACTAATGATGAAACCAATACTGGAATGTGCTGGTGGGAATGCCAAGACATTCTAAACAAGTTCACCTCAGCCTCTCTCGCCTAATTTCCCGAGCTCCGGACCCTAGATTTCTAATGTCAATTGGTTAATTGAGCAATTGAGTCAATGTAATTGGTTTTAAAGCTAGCTACAATCGTATATTTCACAAGAATTGACCACTGGGGCTCATGGCGTGATGTGTATGGCGTGACTTGTCACATCATCCCATGATAACACGAAATAGTATAATCCCGGGCTAACAAACACACCAATTGAAGAGCGAATAGTCTCTTCCAAAGCTCTACAAGCTTTATGAAGCCAAACCATCAAACAACAAACGAGAAACATGCTAATTAAAGCCCTCCGTCATGATGCATTAAGGTTGGTGGGGCCGGGTTTAGTGCAACCCCCCCGCATTTTCGGGGGTATGAGGTCACGAGTCACGCGAGATGCGGCACCATCTTTGGTTGCTCAGCTTCGGCTTGTCTTCCCTTTCCATTTCCATTTCCCTTTCTCATCCATCTCAAAACATCATCTCAAGTACTTCCCATCAGTTCGTCCCCTCCCCCGTCCTCTACCGTGGTTCGTTGGCCATCCCATACTGATGAGGACAGTGACTCGCTCTCACAAATTCAATGACCGTGAATACCAGGCTCCTGAGAGTGGTGTGATAGCCCCTCAGGAGAACCTCCCTCGATTCTTCGGCAAGTCCGGTCCAACCGATGCCGACCCTAAGAAGACAAAGAAAGATGGTGGTGGTAAGGGTAACTGGTAAGTCTACTGAACTGCATCCAATGCATCATCGTCACCCTCCTTGTCGTCCTTTCTCCCTCGCCATTCGCTGCTGGAACCATGTACTAATCCGACCCCACCTCATTCAGGGGCCGTGATGGCGAAGAAGTCCATGACTATGGCTACACCTTTAACAATGCTCGCCGTCGTTCAAACAGCAGCACACAGGGCCTCGCCGACTTCAGAACCAAGTTCGAGACCATCGACCCGGAGCCCGTTTTCGAAGAACAGGTCCACGGCGGCGAAGTGGTGAACGAGAACGGGGAAACCGTCACCAAGGTCGATAGTGCCAGCAGCAGCAGTCCTAGTGAGACTGAGCAGAATGGGGCCAAGGTGTAAGCGGGTCGTCGTCATGGTCGAGTTGTTGACGACCTCGTTGTTTCTATTATTGTGCCAAGATCTACATAACCAAACCTACGGTAACGACTGTCAATGGAGTATCTAAAGTCTCGGAATTTATCATTATTTTTTGTTTTCCTTTCATCAAACCGCGTAGATAGGTACTATTATAATTGAAATAGCCTTCTATTGGGCAATCAGACTGACAATACGTTAAAGCGCCGGTTGATAGTAGTTACTAGTCGTCCTCGTACTTTGACGTTGCACCCACGCATCAATTGAGTCTGTGCCACGCGTCGACCAGAGAATGCCTTCATTGAAGGCGGGGTATCCATTGACGAAAATATCTCGTAAGATCACCCAAGGCAACAAGATATTTCAAGAAACATATCATTACGCGAAAGAGCACGAGAGTGAACGAGAGAAATAGGAGACTCAGATATTCCGTAAATGCTACAAATACAAATCATATCAACCCGCAGATCATTGTGAAACCTCTAGCACCGCCACGAATCAAGGGGAAAAAAAAGAAACCACACTGGCTTAAACGAACGTCAATCGCGCCTTGGAATCCTGCGAGGGCGAAGAAGCCTGGACCCCAGCATTGCCCGCGGGAGTATCTGGTTGGGGCGCTGTCTGGGACCCAATTGATTCCAGGAGATTTTGGAACCAGAAGTCAAGCTTGCCGGTTTCAATATAATCACGTAGAAGATCGTCTTCTCGCTGGAGGTCGGTAGCAACCCGCGCCCTTTGTTCCGGGCGGAAGCGTGAGACGAGGATGTCCGACTCAGAGTCGGCCATCAAGGCCTCGGCAGGGGATACGGGCTGGAAGAGAGATTGGAGACTCATATCAGAGTGTTCTATAGAAAGGATGTTAGAATGTGATGTGTTGGAATGGAGATTCATCTTAAACTTACCTCTCAAACAGGTCAACAAGGTCTGGTAGATGGCGGTGTCACGAGTGGCACTGTCCGAGTCTCCGTTGGTTCCCTCTGCGGCCTTTCCAAGAGCGTTCCAGTTATCCTTGATCATGCATCGTCGCCAAATTAGCTTTCGCAAGGCAGATACATATGAAGGGTCTCGCTGCGCATCGCGGCTATGATCGAGAACCCGGAGGGCTTGGTAGAATTCGCGGCTGCAAATATCGCTGTCCACATCTTCCGGTACCTCGACATAACCGATTAGGGTGAGGACATCAAGAAGTCCGTCGGTTCCGATGAGACTTCGGTTGACGAGAGTAGAAAGAGCGTCACCTAAGATTTCGTGAAGAGATGGACGATCTTGCGCCAGATAGCTTCCAAAGTAATCCAAGGCAAGCTCTTGCTCGGCCTTGTGGTCGATTGCACCATCAGTAAATTGACGGATGTAGTGGTAGAGCTTGTGTTGAGTCTCGTCGATGGCGATGGAGTCGTCGAGGCGGTCGATATCCTCTTGGAAGGCCGAAGTGTTGCCAAGGGAAGGGTTCTTTTCCCTTGAAGCCAACTTGCTGAGCTTCGCCAGCGAAATCTCGACATGGTGGTTCCAAAGTTGTTTTTCGCTGCCGATGGCCAGGTTTTCCAAGCATGCAGCAGCGGATTCGTAATCATCTTCGCCGGCCACATCGTTCATCCAGCTGAGTTTAGCATATGCAGGTGTTTTCCGGAGGAAGCTGGTTACGGGCCGCTGATACTTCCTCATTGAGAGTAACGCGCCAGGATTTCCCATAGAAATCTGCCGTGTAAAGTATGCGTCTGACCAAGCCTCGCCAAACTTGTCGAAATATTGTGCAATCCGGCGCTCAACATCTGCAACGCTATTTCCGATAGGAGCTACACCAAACACAGATGTCTCCGCGTTCTCTAATGCCAGACCCTTCTCTGCGCGTTCCTTGACTTGGTCAGAAAGCTCGAGAATTAGCTCGACCAGAGCTTCCATGTCACGGAATCGCTCGGCCAGAACGATTGCGTCTTGGAGATGGTCAATTCCTGCCAATTTGAAGAGCGACCACTTGCGTTCCTTGACAAAAGATTGCTCAATCGAAACACCTTCATCGACGAGTTTGGGGTCATCCTGTGCTGCAAGCCAACGTGTTCGCTCGCGGTGCATTTGACCGACGGATCGAAGGTGACGCGTACTGTTTGCGGCGAGTCTCTTTGCGATTTGTCCGTCCGGTGCATCTGCGCTAGATTTCTTTTGTTGCGCCCAAAATAGAACGCTATCGATTTCGATTTCCAAAAGATCTCTGGCTTCCGCGTATCCCGTTCGTCGAGAGGTCCAGAATTCGGGTAGAGTGTCGTACCCATCGGCAAGAACGCCATCCTCCACAAAGTCGTCGCCCAGGCCATACATTGAAGCATGATCATCACGATACCGGAAGGCTGTTTCTGTAACCGCAAGGAACAGCTCACTGGCCTCCAAAATCTGCTCCGAGTTCTTGCGCGTCTGCTTGGAGCTGCCCTTGCGAGACTTGACCGAGTGCTTGATCCATGGAATAATATGCTCCATCTGATAAGTATCCTTCAAGAACCACTGACGGACGGGATCGGTGTCGCCGCTTGGGGAAGTCTTGAACTTTTCGTTCATCGAATCGATTACCTGGCCAAGGAACAGACCCTCGTTCTTGTTCCGGAGCGTCTCTTCCAATTTCCACATAGCCCGCTGGGCAGCAAGCTTCTCTGCGCCCCAAAGGAGCTCCCATCTAGCCGTACGGCCCAAGGGATTGCCCTTCTTTGAGAGTAGAGACGCAAGGTCGCTGAGGGCTTTGGCCCGAAGTCGCAGATTTTGATCGATGGAAATCGTAGTGCTGGGAATAAATCGGGTGTCGGACTGAAGAAGCTCCCTACAGATTTCCAAGGAGGCTTGTTCAACCTCCTCGGGAGGAAAGTCGAGACCGCCATCGCCAACCAGGTTAAGAGGGTTCTTTGCCATAGTACCGAAGAAAATGGCCTGCTCAAGTTTGTGTTTGGCCGTGACTGGGCCTTCCTCCACATCATGCTCTGTAGAAAATTGAGGAGTCACATCGATTCGGACAACACCAAAGTTTCGAATCATGATCACACATGAAGAGCCGTCTTCATCGTCAGTGCGTTCCTCGGGGCCATATCCCAGTACTTCGAACTCTTTGCCGGATCGAAGGTTGATTGTATCCTGGAAAGGAAGGGCCAACCTCTGGGTGTCGTGTAGGAGTTGGGAGGTTGGAGACTCGTCAATAGCTGTAAGTGATAGAATAACGACGGATTGCCCAAGTATGATGAAAGCAGTATCTTCGGAGCTTGTGGTCAGAATCTTGGGTTTCAACTCCTGGCCCATGGCCGGGATGCTGTGGAGGCCCACGGCAAATGTAGACTGGACGCGCGATTGGTTTCCAGATAACTGGAGCTGGACGACAAACATTGTTTTGGCCTCCAACGACTGAGGGGTGCTGACGACAACGAAAAGGCCCCATGATTCATCAGACTCCTGCTCCTCCGAAGACTGAGCAGAAAAGGCAAAATCCATGACCTTGAGATCGACCTCACTCACACTCTTCATATCCGAAGGGAGTGCTGCCGCAATCTCCTCCTTAACATCGTACTTCTTTTTCAAGGCGCTTCCGTGATGCCAATGGGTGTTCCAGATCTCAACCAGGCCAGTCGAAGTCGCGACAAGCACATCTCGCTGTCCACGCTGGCGGGGGGCACCAGGGCGAACAGCAGTGACCTCTTTCCTCCAATATCCACCGCCCAAAACATTCTTCAGTCCGCCGAAAAGTCCACCTCCACTGCCACCAGTGCTCCTGAGGAAGTTGACCAATACAGAGGGCTTGCCCTGAGGGTCTCTCAGGGTGACATGTGCTACTCGCCCAGAGGAGAATGTAATGATAAGCCCCGATGGCTCACAGTTCATAACCTCCACCGCAACTTCTCCGGAAAGTAGTCCGGGCGTAGACCCTTGAATTCCATTTTGCTTTTGTCGAGATAATGCCAAAGATGCTGCGCTAGATACAGTCTCCCAATATATGATTTTGCCCGTCGAAGGAATGATGATGAGAAGACCGGGGTGTTCAGTGGCTGTAGATACTAGGGCACCGATGGGTACGGGTCCATATGGGTCTCGGCATGATTCGGGAATCGACACGGTGAAGGTTTCGGAGGGCGAAGGCGAAGAAGTGGCGACTGAGTAGGGCCATAAGATAGCATGTGAGTGTGTCAAGGCCAAGGCATGGTCATGACCGGGCGCGAAAAAGCACTTCAATGGATCTGTTTCCACCATGTTAGGGCCAGTATCACAAATTCAGACAATATGTAGAGCAGCTTACCTGACTGTGAGCCTCGGATCTGATCCGGCAGAGCTGGAAGTTGATTGACAATGTAGTAATCGGTTTTTGACTATTTTCAGCGGTGTCAGCGGCCATACCTTGCACACAGACAAAGTGGTATCTCCAACGGGCAGTCGATCAAAGCATGTATTGACTTACTAGGGCTACTGCTCCCTCCGAATCAACTTTAGAAGCTTCACTCGGTTTTGCGCCGCGAATTGGTAGATGTGAGTCGAGGCCAGTGGGGTCCGTAGCTAGGTCGTGATCGTTGGACAAGACCGATGTCGCGGACTGTGCTTCTGCAGCATTGTCTCTCAGCAAGCTCGCAGCGGTGGTATCTCCGGATTGACGTAGAACGGAACGTTGTCTCTTCGCTTTGGGGGGGACCGACCGAGTCGTCGGAGCTGGTTCTCTGGCGGCGTCGAGACGTGCGAGCGGCTCGAGGTGCGAACATTTTTTTGGTATCGAAACTGGTCTGAGCCTTCACATTACACCGGCCGAAGCCAGGAGATAGAGTGAAAGAATGGCCTGGGGAGAATGCGCCTAGATATGGCGAAGAAGGGCGCAATCAGACAGCAATGGAAGGATGGGCTCAGAGCTCTGGCAATGAGTGTTTACACCAAAGAAGTTGGCGTTCTGCCCGGGGCGGTGAGGACGTCGCGACCAGCGGAATGCACTCACTTCCCTATTAGTACCTACTAGTAGTAGTAGTAGTAGCTACTAGAAATGGACAATATATCGTATTAACAGTACTTAATACTTATTTTACTTACTTAAAAGGTCAATTGATTCATTAAAAGTTTTATCTCTGGTAACAAACTTTGAACTTATTTAGTCCTTCAAAGGAACCTTGGAACTTTGAGCTAAAAAGGCGGCAATATATAGCAAAAGTTGGAAAATACTAGTAGTATTAAGAGAATCACAACTGGATCCAGCTAGTTCAACTACTAGTAATGGTCTCCACTAAAAATACTATACATACTTAGCAAATGACTACGCAGCGGCATATCCGAAAACACGGAAAATCATCCCCCGTGTTCTACAGTAATTTGTGGCTCAGGACTGGACAAGTGCCGCGTTCCGGGGCCGACTGCCCCGATTCCCCCGAAATGCGGAAGAAACGCTCACGTGAATCCCCAGCCCCACGCCCGCGTTGGGGATTCCAAAGGAGTTGCTCAACTTTATGTGTGGCCTTCTGTCTCATCTTGATGTCTGCTCTTTCTCACGGGTAACTGCAGCTATCACCATGATCATATGCTGCGTTGGGTCTTGATCAAGGCCAAAGTCGCCCAGCACGCAGTCTTACAATGCGCTCGGTTATGATTTCAAGGCGTCACCTGCGGGGATTAACTTCCCCGGCCATGACTGGGGCTCTGAGGCTGATGACCCGGGCCCCTTCACCCAGGAGGGAGCTGCACACGGCTCTCTTTTTCCCAGGTAGGTACCTCTCTTCTTTGACTTCCTTGTCGTTAGATGTCGGACCGCAGCTAAATGATATAACCATAGGTCATGGAGTACAACGGGTGGGCATGGCCGATACCTGGATGGATCGGTTCCCTCGAACCACGACGCGCCTCCTGGATGAGATGGACTCTATCCTAGGATTCCATTTATCCCGCATTATCTCCGATGGTCCCAATTCAAAATTAAACAAGACCGAAAACGCGCAGCCGGCCATCATGGCCATCTCTGTGCTCATCCTCCGCATTCTGGAGAATGAGTACGGATTTAACACCACATCCCGAGTGGACGTGACTCTGGGTCATAGTCTCGGAGAATTCACAGCATTAGTTGCTGGAGGTTATCTCCAATTTTCCGACGCGCTCAAGCTAGTGCGGCACCGGGCCGAAGTCATGGCCCGATGTACCCGAGAAATGGTCGAACACTCTGGCGAAACATACGGGATGGTAGCACTGATCTGCGAACCCGAACACCTCGAAAGCCTCCTCAGAACGGTGCACGAGTTCCTCGGGCTAGGAACTGACGACACCGTTCAAACCCCATCAATCCAGCAAGTTATGGTTGCGAACATCAACTCCTCCAATCAGATCGTTCTTAGCGGCAGTATCGAGAGAATCAGAACTCTGCTGGTTCAGCTGCGCCAATTTGGCGGACACGATCCTCGTGCCGTGAGACTCAAAAGCGAAAGCCCCTTCCATAGCCCTGTGATGTTTCCCGCTACTCAATACATGCGAACAGCACTCGAACACACCGACATTAGCTTCCCTGGCCGAATGCCTTGTATCTCTAATGTCTCCTCCCTACCTTTCCAATCAAAGGAAGACCTCAAAAATCTACTTTCTCGACAATGCACCGACACTGTCCGGTGGTGGGACAGTATACGCTATCTCCACCAAGAACAGGGTGTCAGACGCTGGATCGGCATCGGGCCAGGCAAAGTTGGCCGGAATCTAGTTGGAAAAGAAGTTGGCCGAGTCAACGCCAAAGGAGGTGGCGTATGGGCCGTCTGCAACCCAAGAGAAATGGAGGAAATGATCATTGCCCTGGAACAGACCGAAGCCGAAGTGAGGAATCATTGAACCCGCGCCTCAAAATACATCTATTTGGAAGCGGACTTTGGAGGAAATACATATTTGTAATTGTATTTAAAATTTACGTCCATTTTATGACAAGCAATGAATTTATTTGAAGCAAAACATGTCGGTTTTCATTAAATCATAATCTATGCAGTAGCACCGGGAACCCACGTTTCGCCGATACGCTGAACTTCGGCGATGAACTTGGGGTTGGAGATAGGCAAGGAATTAGATGCTGCGCTAGCTGCTGATCCAGGCGCAGGAGCGTGATCATCTGGGGAATAGAAAGGATTTTGTAGGAGTTGAATGTATGCGCTCTGGAGAGATCGAAATGCCTAAACCATTGGGGTTTTAAATTAGCCAAAAGAGCCCATTTTGATCTTCCTAGGAGAGACGAATCCTTGACTTACGGGCTTGACATCAGCGTCTCTCAAGCCGCTGACCGCTGACCCTGTTGGCTTCCCTGCACCAGCATTCTCTTGGCCAAATAGATCCACGATGACTAGAAGCTTCACGCCCGTTGTCGTCAGCCAGCCGTAGGCTGCTAACCTCTCGTCAATTGCTTGTAGTAGACCGAGATCTTGGTCGATAGATGTGTGCTTGCGTCGGATCTCGAAAATGTCGAGGCATGAGTTTAGGAGGAAGGAGAATTCAATCGTGGCATCTGTATATGGAGGGAAGAGGGAGATATGGAGAGGATTGTCCTAGATTGAAGTTAGCAAGGAATTAGGTTTCGCAGAAGCAGGTTATTTCATACTGATTTTCCAATAATACCAATGCAGGCAATTTTTGGTCCTGCCATTTTGCAGAGTGTTCAATCCCCGAAGGTGATTGTTTAGATCAGGTTCAGAATCGGAGGGGCAGCTGTTTGTTCCCCTTTCTGATTTGCGTTTAGGGACTGGAGAAGGGCAACGGATAATGAGAGGTTCGATATCGGTGCTTAGATGTGGCGTGAAAAATGAAAGCAGACTATGCTTCTATTCGAGGGGTCGCGAGAGAATGCAGTGAAATGGAGGATTGAATTGGATGCAGCTAAGGTCCAAAGCACCCGCATATCGGGCCAAGATAGCTGGGGGCGATAGCGGAAGGGAATGACTAAGGTATGCACTGACCACAATTTTATGGCCTCAGGCCAATATATGGGGAACCAATCATACGAAGCCTGATTTTCTTTCCAAGCCACTGACCGCTTTTACCATACACGACACAGGAACGGAATATTACCAGCTCTCCACCAATAACAGACTCGATAATCCCTTACCTCAACCTGCACAAACCAGTCTGTTACCACGTCATTCTTACCGTTTTCCTCCGGCAAAAGTCCTCCTTACCCAGAGAGCGCCCGCCACCTTCAAGCTGCCCGGATCAGACTCGCTATCTCACTGAGACTACAATCATGATGCCTCTCGTGCGACCGGCTCTCTCCGGCTCTTTGAGCGGTACATCCCCTCTACTCGCAATGCCTAGATCCCTTCTAATCCGTCCAACAGCGCGCGCCCGCCTGGCGACATGCCTCCCTCGCGCCTCGCCCATTGCGGCCCTCTCGACCTCATCTGTGAAATCCGCCACTGCCATTGAGCAGCAATCGACATCATCTAAGGGCCTCACTGCCTCTGGCAAGGTCCGCCAGGAGGTTCCTCTCCTCACCCAGGAGCCCAAGAAGGGTGCTATGCAATACGTCTTGTACGGTGCCTCGGCAACCTCCACACACAACCGTCTTGCCACGACGTAACCTGTCTGCGGTGCTCTGGCTAACAATCAATCGCTTCTAGGACCACCCTCGATCAAGTTACCAACTGGGCCCGTCAATCCTCTTTGTGGCCCATGACCTTCGGTCTCGCCTGCTGTGCAGTCGAGATGATGCATCTTTCCACCCCCGCTACGATCAGGATCGCTTGGGTATCATTTTCCGTGCCTCCCCCCGTCAATCCGATGTCATGATTGTCGCCGGTACCTTGACAAACAAGATGGCCCCCGCCCTGCGTCAAGTCTACGATCAGATGCCCGAGCCCCGATGGGTTGTCTCCATGGGATCTTGTGCCAACGGCGGTGGTTACTACCACTACAGTTACTCCGTTGTTCGCGGTTGTGATCGTATCGTGCCCGTTGATATTTACGTTCCTGGATGTCAGTATCATTCTTCCCTTGTTATCCTTGAATTGCCGTTGCTAACTATCACATCTTAGGCCCCCCCTACCTCTGAGGCTCTGATGTACGGTATCTTCCAGCTGCAGAAGAAGATGCGTCACACTCGTATCACCCGCATGTGGTACCGCCGTTAAGCCATTGGGCAAATACCTTTTCTATTTCCGTTCTCCTTTCCTTGATACGTCCCGTTAGACGCGGTGGATTCAAAACGCATACCAAGCCATCGTGGAGTCTCTTGTGTCTTATTACTGTAAATTTTAGGCCTCTGGTTGTGACTCCAATTTCTTTGATTAGTCTAAATGAATTTCTTACAAAAACTCCACCTTTCTTGGCCCTGTCTTGATACAAACAACATTACATGAAACTAGTAAATCCGGAATCATGACGAGATCCATTGTCTTGACGCCGAGCAAACTATTTTGCTATTTTAGAGTGCTTTGTACTGGGATAAGAACAGTACTTTCCAACTTCAATCGTCAAGTCGGACATCTAACACGTAACCTTATAGATCATTTTATATCTAAATCGCCTAATAACCCTTTATGCTGATGGTCTTCACTAAAGCAACACCTAATGCTTTTCGAAGCCAGAACAACCCTTCGAATCACTGACGAGCTTATCCATTTACCATAATACCGCCGTTGGGATGCAGACACTGGCCAGAAATATAACTACTGTCCTGGCTTGCAAGGAAGACAAAGCAAGTTGCAACCTCACTTGGCTGTCCCGGACGACCCATCGGCACAGCATGGAACTGTTCCATCGCCTCAGTCATCATAGTTGCCGGGATCAAAGGAGTCCAGACTATAGCATGTTGTTAGTCACTGACATTTGAGCCTTCGGTTTTATACAGGGCAGATGCATACTAGGACCCGGGCAGACGCAATTGACTCGAATACCCTTCTTGACCTGTTGATTTGAGAGCGCACGCGTGAAAGACACAATGGCCCCCTTGGTAGACGTGTAGTCTAGCAGGTCACCCCGGCCGATATACGGATTGACCGAAGCACAGTTGATAATGGTAGAGCCCTTCTTCATATGTGGGAGCGAATATTTAGAGAGGTAGAAGAACGAGTGAATGTTCGTGTCGAAAGTCTTCTCCCATTGGTCCCTGCATCAAATATCAGCACATCCGCAGTACCTCTCACGAGATCTGGGGTTGTTTTTTTTATCTTGGAACAAGGCGCTTCTCGCAAAACTTACTCTGTAACCTCGCTAATATCAGCAAGCATATTCTGGAAAGCAGCGTTGTTGACCAGGATATCAACACCGCCCATATCCTTAACGGCCGTATCGACGATCTTCTTGCAATTCTCCCTCTTGCGAATGTCGATTGGCATACAATAGCACTTCTGGCCGTATTGCTCGACCAGCTTCTTCGTTTCTTTGGCATCTACTTCTTCCTCGGGGAGATACACGGCCATGCTGGAGGCTCCTTCCATAGCGAAGAGGATCGCACAGGCACGTCCGATGCCCGAGTCGCCACCGGTGATGATGGCTTTCTTTCCTTCGAGCTTGCCGGCGGCCTTGTAGATTTGATATCCGCCATCTTCGGTGGGGATCTGGTCTGAGACAGGCTTGGGATTTTCCATGTCTGCTTGCAAACCGGGCATCTTCAAGTGTTGGATGGGAATCTTGTGGCCTGTTCGGTTTTATTGAGTATCTATCAACCTCCCAGGAAGTCGTTGGTATCTTACCTGGCTCGAACTGCGACTTCGAGCCGCTGGCTGGCCTCTCTGTGAACTGGGAAACGTGGAGCGGCATGTTGATTAATTCTAATTATAATGTGAGAGACAAAGGGTGTATAGTTTGGTGATCTCTGGTGCGTTCATGGAATTTCAAGGTGACAGATGGGTTGATTCAAGTTTAAGAGATTAGATCTTGATTGTGTTGGGAGAGCATTTATTTAAGCATATCGGGGCGTCTTTTCGTCACGATGACATTTTTAATTCTTCTGCAACAATATTATAGCCAAACATATGTGTCACTTACTACAGATGGCATTGATCCGTACTAGGGGCTGGTGCCACCGAAGATGTAGGTTCCCTACCTATGCATCCTCTCAAAGGCAAGATCTGGCAATTCAATGGCAAAAGTCGTTATCAGGTGGCACTTATGGATTCAAAATAGTTCTAGACACATAAATAATTACTCTGATTTGAGTGGGCTAGAGGTGGGTACAATGGTTGGGGGTTGCCACGTTCGGATCAGATGGCAACTTTGTTGATCCAGGAGCATGATGATCATTTGTCGTCATCTACAAACGTCCATGAGCACCAATTCTGATACTACGGAGGGCCATAATCTATGATGAAGCTTGGGTTCTAGTTATTCTGTCGATTGATGGCCGAGGTGTCTTCTATGGGAGGTGTTGGATACGATTCGCCACAGCATTTCTCTAATGACTCGAGCACTGATAATGATAAAGAATAACTTCACTGACTCACTATATGGAGTAAGATAACCTTTAGGAGGCTTCTTAAATACTCTCGAATAATGAGAGCGACATTTGGGAATATTATGTTGAAGTCTGAATGTTGAAGTATTCGGGAGCTTTACAATGGCATCGTAGGCCCAATCCATGGTTCCCATAGGGTAGACTACTTTGCGTAAATTTTTTGCTTTTTGCTCAACAGTTCGATCCTGCCTGTTATCACCAACTTCCTTCCTCTTTGGCAGGCGCTTTTGTTGACATTATTGACATGCGGAAGGAGCTTTCCCTGCCATGTTTACCTATCCACTTTAAGTTACTTCCTATTCCTTCAACTCTACCACTCCCTGCATGTATCTCCTCACCCCAGAGTAGATCCTATGCAAAATATCATTTACCGATACCGACACGGATTTCGAGTCAGCAGGCGAAGGAGCCACAAGCAGTTCAAAGATACCACGCCGCAGTCGAGGAAGAGCTGAATTATGAAGTGCAAACCGAATGGCACAATCTAGAATGGTCAGCCTCTGAGACCAAGAGAGAAGAAAACATCAAGAACGAGCTGGACACGAATTACATTGTCAAGTTCATCACAATGTCCAACAATACCAATACCAAAGCGCCATCAAACTTTCCAAAATGCCCGGAGGCCAGGACTACTTGTGCCAGGAGTCTGAACTGCCAGCAATGCAAGAGCATTTGGGAAAATTGTCTCCAATTGGATCAACAAGCTCGAAATATACTCCGGAACACTAAATACTATCCCCGAGTATGTTCCCCTGACCGAGCGATAGCCAGCCACATCTATTGTTCATCTCCTATAATGACTTCCAACCTACCCGCCGCTTTTCAAACAAACCGGGCCAGTAAGCGCCTCGGTAATTTTACCGCTGATTTGGAAGCATAAATCAACCATGCGGTGAAGTTTACTCCATATCGAAAGACGGCAGTCATCGCGTTTCAAGTCGATACAGAGCTCAAAGATAGCAAGTCGACACTGAGCCAGATGTCCGTCTGGCTGAAATCCCCTGCCTGGTGCCCAACTGTAGATGAGAAAAGTCTTGCAATTTGCGATCCTCCTCCATTTTGCCGGCTCACCGACGAGCAAATCTTTCACGTTATTAGGATATTGAACAGATAGTCGTGAAGGACCTGTCCGACGTGATAGGTCGTCGATGGAAGAAGGAGAAGACCTAGGCGAGGAACAGTCTCGAGGACGAGATGTTGCTGAGAGAAGGGGTCATGTCACGCGCTCTATGCGCGCACTTAGTTAGGCGTCTCTAGTCTTACACGTGACGGACGAGATATCTCCTTCCCTTCCAAGGTTCGTTAGGAAAAGAATACATAATCATCATCATCTTCTTCTCCACCGCCTTGCAGACTGTAAGGTCATTACACATAGAATGCGGTAGTAAAGGCTGTTGACATTGTTTGATACAGAGCTCCGTAGAGAGGATCTTCATTTACATAACACTGTGTAAAATTCAATTTTCTGCGATTAATTTATTAGACTAACTTTGGAGCAATTAAAACAATCTTCATAAAGCAATTCACTACACCATACTATAGTTAGACAGGATCCTGACCTATGTAAGGTATACCTTCCTATGGGTGGCTGAGGTTATTTCTTATCTTATCAAAAACGGCGGTGATTGGCTCTCCACCGGGCCCGTACAATTTTTCTTCGCGGCCTCAAAAGATTCCTCCGCCTCGGAAGACCATCGCCCAGCGATTCCAACCGCTACACGCCCACACATAAATTCCACAATGGCGAAACGAAAGAGCACTTCCGACGCAGCCACGGCGAAGCCCGCCACCACCACAAAGACAGACCTCCCCACCGCGCTGTCCACACCCTGGTCCTTCCTCCAGCCCTCCAGCACCCTGCACGCCCTCCTCGCCGACTCAGCGAAACAGATCCTCGACCCGCTCGCAACGTCCGTCGTAGACGAGCAAACCGCCCGCAAACAACTGAACAAGAAGCGCAAGCGCTCGGAAGAAATCGACGCCGCGCCGCCTCTGCAATTAAAGAATCTCTACGTTGACGGCTTCACATCGAATCAAGTATGGGAACAAGCGACGCGGATACTGGAGTCTGCGGGCGCGGAGATCCAAAGGGATGTTGCTCTTATTGCGCAGTTTGGGGATCTGCTTTCGGATGATGAGGAGGGTTCTTTGGCTGAGGGATCCGGGCCTGAGGAGCTTGGTTCTGAGAGCGATGATGCTGAGAGCATGTCAGATGCTTTCTCGGGCGAGGAAGAGGATGAGCTTGAGGGGTCTGAGGCTGAGCTTGGAGAGGAGGATGAGCTTGAGCTTGAGGAGGGCGGTGTTGACGATTTCGATGAGATGGAGGAAGGATTTAGCGATGAGGATGAGGAAGGGTCTGCGGCCTCTGAGGAAGAAGAGGAGGATGGCGGATTCTACACTGAGGATAAATTCGGCCTTAATGATGGGTTCTTCTCTATCGACGACTTCAACAAACAGTCCGAAGAGCTGGAGAGGCAAGATATGAAGGGAGGTGCGGACGACGACGACGATGAGGAAGAGGAGGAAGTCAACTGGCACGCGGACCCCGTTGTTGCGACTGACGCTCTTCCCAAATCCAAGCCAGCTCCCATTGGGGGTGATCAAGATGAGGATATGGACGACGACAGCGAGGAAGACGGGCCGACTTTCGGCAACGCTGATCTCAACGCCCCCGACTCCGACGACGATGCCGAGCCTGATGTCGACCCCGAAGCAACCAGCTATGGCGACACCAGCAACATCAGATATGCCGACTATTTCAAGGCGCCGGCCCGCAAGGCTTCGGAGAAGAAATTCCGCTCTCTCCCGAAGACCCAGCCCAAGGCTGCTGCGGATATCACCCAAGAAGATGTCGACCGAGCCATGGCTGATGTCCGACGCGACCTCTTCGACGACGAGGACGAGATGGAGGATGGAGGTGAAGATATGGAGGTAGATGGCGAGAACCAAGGTCCCAAGTCTACCCACGAGAAGCAAAGGGCCAAGATCGCAGATGAGATCCGCCGATTAGAAGCCGCCAATGTGGCCAAGAAGGAGTGGACAATGGCCGGTGAAGCCCGGGCCGTGGAACGACCCGTGAACTCGCTCATCGAAGAAGATCTTGACTTCGAGAGAGTGGGTAAGCCAGTCCCCGTCGTGACGAACGAAACCTCCGAGGACATCGAGGAACTTGTCAAGCGCCGAATTCTCGCCAACGAGTTCGATGAAGTCATTCGCCGTCGTCCGGGCATTGGTGACTCCAAGGCCCAGCGTCGCGCACGATTCGAGCTCGCAGATACCAAGCCGCAGGAAAGTCTGGCTGAGATGTATGAGGCTGAACACCAGCGCGCCAACGACCCCAACTACGTCGACACTAAGGACAAGAAGCTCATGCGAGAGCATGCGGAGATCCAGAACCTCTGGAAGGAGGTCAGTGCTCAGTTGGATACGCTTTGCAACTGGCACTACACTCCCAAGACTCCTCAGGCCAACATCAATGTGGTTACCGATGCCGCGACCATCACGATGGAGGACGCTCGCCCTACAGCTGGCAGTGCCGCTGGCGGACCATCTGCGCTTGCTCCCCAGGAGGTCTACGCACCTGGCGACGATGGCAAGGTTGCTGGCGAGGTTCTTCTCAAGACTGGCGCGTCTATTTCCAAGGATGAGATGAGCCGCGAAGAGAAGGCCCGCAAGAGACGACAGGGCAAGGCCCAATACAAGTCTAGCGACAAGCCCGCCGAACCCAAGGGCAAGGCTGCCGAGAAGCAACAGCTGATGTCTGATCTGAAGAAGGGTGGTGTCAAGGTCATTGACAAGGAGGGCAAGGTTACCAACATGGACGGTGGTAAAGACAGGAAAGAGCACGGTAACAAGGGTGATAAGCTAAAGCTGTGAAAGCTGTACAAAACAAAAAGGAGATAGGAAAGGACATCCTAGTGATGGGGAGTTGAGGAGCCACATTCTGTGTATAGAACTTTTTATTTTTATTTCATGAGTTGGATAATATCATCGCTGCATCTATTGGTAAAAAGAAAAGGACCATGATTTCTTTATTGTCGTTTCTGTTTTGCTGGAATTCCTCGTCTATTTCGTTGCAAGTTCATTGTTGCTTTTGGGTGTCTTGCGTCGAATGGAGTAGAGAAAGATATTTTCGCGGTTATAGGTAGTCGCATTAGGGTCGTCACGAATTTCTTGCATATCGAAGGTCTTCTTGGCAATTTTCATGAATCGTAGATCCGCTCTTCGCCGCCGCTTGTAGCAGAAGTAACACACTGTGTTGGGGCCGATGAGATCTTGTAAGGTGATGAGGAGAAGAGGGAAAGCGGGTTCGAAGTAGACGCAGTCGGCAGCAAGGATGATGTCCGGATTTGCTGGGATGTGCGCCGGGAGTGGCTCGCCCCAGTCTAGTATTGAGGCCTTGACTTTTGTGCCGAGTTGATTCAATTGGATGTTGTCTTGCATTAGGTCGAACATGGGTAGTTGATCAGTGATGTGGATCGGGGATGCGAATTCGCATCCGCGCGCGACGCCGAGACCGACGAGGCCTCCTCCGGCTCCGATTTCCACGCTATACTGCGGTGTTAGTTTGATTCTGTTTATTTGGTAGCAGCCAGAAGAGGGGGGAGGGGAAGAGAGGTTGGTGATGGCGATGGGTTTCCCCTAACACACACACGGGCTAACCGACATGGTTTTCCCAGACATGTCCGAGGCGTGTTGAGCGAGAAGATATCTGGCCAGGGTCATTCCAGCGGGCCAAAGCTGACCACCGCAGCCATTCTTGAGGTCTTCCTTCAAGAGTAGCGGATCGCTCAGGAGTCCGTCGAAGGTAACATTCGTAGTACCGGCGGCCTTGTTGGTTCGTGGTGGAGCTAAGGTATTGCTCACGTTGAAGGGAGCATCCGAATCGGAGGCTGGGCTCACTGATCTCTCCATTGAATCTGATTGTGAGTGCTGGCAATGGATGTTTATTTTGCTATTTTTTTTTTGGAAGGGTGGAAGAGCAAAGAATCTCGGTGCGGCAAATGCCATCCAGTCTACTGCCATCCAGTGGGGCCTTTTTCGCCTTAAGCCGGTGCTTATCGCCGGCGAATCACATGATGGTGAAAACCGTGAAGCTATTAAATACTGTCCCATAGATAGAGAGTAGATGCAACTAGGATGTAGAGGACGGGGTGTAGACTGATGTAAATTTCAGATGTACAAAATACAATCTTTGATATTAATTCTATTCTCCATTACTGCAAAACTGGCTGGTCTCTAGGATCACTCTCCGTGTAGCGGGTTGGCTAGGATGAAGAACGATGTACTCCGTACCAAATGCAAGCTGGCATCGGAGAAATAACATGAAGAAGCAAAAAGAAGCTTGAGCCCGTGCGCTGTTCCCCAATGGAGATCTGCAAATCCTGGCAGGTGAACCCCCACATGGTGGAGGTGCTACGGGGTCGACCCGGGGCAGGGGACATCTTACCATATATGGGCCTTGTTGGGAGTACAAGGTAATCTGACGTGCGTCCTGAAGCAAGTTCGTTGTAAAACAAGTTCCAATTTCAGAGACAAGTTCTTGGTATTGGGGCTTGCAACTAATCGTTTTCATGCTTTCCGAGGAAAGAATCACGGCCAGTTTCAAGGCGCAAATGTCGTCTGACGTCATGTACCCTCCGCAATTGCACTGAATCATGACGACGTCACTTGCATACCTACCACGCCATGGAAAAGCTCTCAAGTCACTTTAAAACCTAATGTTTCCCCCGAAACTATTCTTTCACTTAGCTTTCATCATCCAATAAAGCAATTCCCTTCATCATGACTACCTTGCACTGTATGTACCTGCATTTGCCGGCTGCAAGACAGACAACCATACAGAGCGGTTTCACTAACCTACTTTCTACATCTAGACCTTCCTCCCGTTAAGCCCTCGGCTATTGCCCTGGGTACGTTCTTCACCCACACAGCTTCCCTGGGCATTCTGGCCCCGGTCTTCGGCGACACCTATCACCGCGCCCAGGCCGCCAACTCGAAAGAGGAGTTTATCAAGTCCAAGGAGGCTGCCGGTGCCGCCGCCGCATGGGGAAGCTCCCTCGTCGGCAGTGCCGTCCAGACCTACGGTGTCGCTGCTCTGATCAACGCCACCGGCACCCTGAGCTACAAGGGCGCCGCATACCTCGGAACGCTGATCTTCTTCGCCAGCTCTGCTCCCGGTGTACGTTCCTAAGAAAGCGCAATTACTTCGAAGTGCACACATGCTAACCTTCTCATAGTTCGTCAGCCAGATCTTCGCTGAGAAGAGGCCTATTGACACCGTTGCCGTCGGTGCGGTATCTCGCGTGTTCGAGACTGTCGGCCTGAGCTTGTTCCTCACCTGGTGGGGAACTCGCACCAACCCGTTCGATTAGTTATCTCTACGGAGTCTATTTGCCGGATAAAGTATCTCAGTTAGTTCGGGCCCGGACATGATCGTTATGGAGAGGGCGTCGGCGTCTGTGTATCTACGGTCTAATTCTTCTCTTTAATGTAAATGAACACCAATGTGCCTTTTCCATTCACCAAGATGTCCTGTAAAGTATCTTTTGTAGAAGGGTTGACTCTTAAACCGCTTCAAGTTGTTGGTTTGAGTCAACGTGTCACATCCGGTTCAAGTAGTATACTGTGGTATCATCTAAGTACATACGGCTACTCAATGCATAATTTTATACATGCGGCACCCGAGTAGTAGTTAGGTACAAATAGTACACATAAGTAAAACTCCTCCAGACAGCAGCTCGTATTACCCAAGCAGCTTGTACCCGCAAGCTAGATGCATACCTACCACCCGCATATTGGAGAATAGGACAGTAGACATCGGGACTTGATATATTGAGCCTATACCTACAAATAGTACTGAGCAACTGACAAATAGAACAAAGGTTGAATATCCTTCGGCTACGCCAAGATGGCCTGATACCCAAGCTAGCGTCTTGTCTCGGCTATCTCGGGGGATCATAGTTCAAAGCACAACTTCATTAAAGCGACAACCGAACGAACTTCAAGGCCGAATTCAGCTGGCTTTCAAAGTCCTTAAACCGCCTCTTTACGATTCCATCGGACATCATCTACCGTCACGGTTCCACTTGATATCAGATTTCCTACCTAGGTAGGCAAGACCAACAGAAATTGAAGATAAGAAAATATGTATTGAATGTCACATAAACTAGCCAGCCCTTTTGAGGGCGCAATCAAAACCTCTCCACGAAACAATCTAATCAAACAAAAGTGCGGCACGGGTAGCTAAAATGCTCTTGTTAGTAATCGACTCAGGAAGAGGCCTCGCAGGGACAGGAAACTCACATATCGGGGTAACCGTTCTCTGTGCCGAGTTGGTATGTGGACTGAGACTCCTTGGCGACAGTGTTGATATTGGTAGGGGAAGGAGGCAAGCCATTGGCACCCAGAACGCTGGCAATGCCAGACTTGTTCTTCTCGAAGTAGCCGGCAAGACCGCGCTCCTCGCCCTCGGCCTTGACAGCGACGATCTGCGCCGCACCGGCCTCGCCGAGCTGCAGGACGTCGTCCTTGGGCGCGGCCTGGCTGCCAACGGTCAGGAGAGACACGGCGTCGGCCTGGGTGATGGTGCTGAGGGTCGGGTAGTTCCTCCGGGCGTCGCGCTGCCAGTAAGGGTTGTCGGCGATGTCAGCGGCGGGGAGGGTGACGGGGTCGTCGTAGGCGAGAGGGGGGGGTTAGAGCCAGGGGTGGGCAGGCGGAACTGAGAGTTCAGAGGGACACCGGAGGATCGGTTGGGGTCGACCGCGAGGGTGCGGCGGACCCAGTCCCAGATACCCTTGGACTCGAGGGTGTATTTCTGCAGGAACATATGATAAGTATCGATCATATAGACCATTGCTCTTATCTGAGACGTACCTGTGCAAGTGGAACGACGTGGGATGCCGCCTTAGCGGCTTTAACTGCAGCACCGCCGGCCATATTGAAGACTTTGAACTGGATCACCTTGTCAGCGCACGCAGCTCAGGAGTCTCACTTTCAATGGTAAAAGTGTGAGCGTATCGGTGTAATTGAGTGTCTTACTCACGTTGGAAAGTCTTTGAGCTCGTCAAGCGGTGGTGGCGGCCTTCAATATTCAAGATGCGGCACGTCAGGGTACGGAGTGGTGCAGTTGAGGTCGGATTATTGTATCTCCACATTTCCGGTTGTCGACCAACCACAAACGCTCCCATTACTAATGTCCTCTCTCTCTCTCTCTCTTCGACTTTAGTTATAATCAATGATAACTACTGTCTGGCAATTTCTAGTGGATTAAAAAAAAGGGAAATGAAGAAACCCAGCGCTGAATCAAGAATTAATCTGCTCATCTATGTGCGTGGATCGACCGCCACTTTTTTACTCAATATCTGGAGTAGGTGGTAGGGCATGTCTGCAAAAGCCAAATACCATAGCCTCAGCAATCCACTATCAACAAGGCCCAGCAGAGACCTAGTGGACAAGCCTGGAGTAATTCACTATTTCGTGATATATGATAACTATTCGATGGAAGTTCTGGGAATTGGTTTGAATTTCTATTATACGCTAGTACTATGGTTTTATCCATCACGACTCGAATGTACCCCTTTGCTTACTGACGTTCACATGGGCTATGTTTTACAGATAGTAGCAGCCTGCTGTTAATCGGTCTTCAGTCTTGCAAAGTTCACTGGCTGTAAACCAGTGTTTCATAAACATGAAACACCCAATAAACACAACATTCAAGGAATGGAATGGGGTGGCTTGCATGGGGTTGCGCCCGGGCCGCAGCTGCTGATGGCATTTCTGAATTCGGTCGCACACACCACGGCAAAATAGCTGTGTATATTGACGGATACTTCACTTGTGGGGAGAACTGAAGACAAATATCACCTTGGGTATTTCCTAAAACATGTTTGCGTAAATGTGGTTTCGTTACAAATCACAATGTTCGGGTGATCTGGATCTGGTACTACGTCGAACAAGGGTGATCACCATAGCAGGGTGTTCTCCGCAATCTCACCATGCCCAACACAACTATTTCGCCTCATCACCATTCTCCTCCTTAGCCTCCTCCTTTTCATCCTCCTTTGCTTCCTCCTTGGTCGTGCCCTTGGCCACAATCTTCTGGACAGCATCAACGGTGGCATCGGGGCCTCCCTGCTCACGAATCAGGACCTTGCCACTCTTGTCGATGGCGAAGACACCACGAATAGTCCCCTTGGGAGCCTTCTTCAGGCCAATGGCGCCGATGAGGCCGTAGCTTGGGTTACAAAGCAGCTCATATGGAAGATTCTGCTTGGTCTTGAAAGTGGTGTTGGCCTTGGGAGAGTCGCCCGAAAGACCGTAGATAGATAGACCGGTGGATGAAAGGTGGACAAAGTTGTCGCGGAAAAGGCATGCTTGCTTGGTACCTAGGGATGAAATGTTAGATTCAAGATTCAAACATGATGACTGGACGAAACAGTGATGGCTATTAGCGCGCGCGGTAGAATGGAGACATACATCCAGGAGTCGAAGCTTTGGGATAGGTAAAAATGACCACACCAGCCTTGCTGTCGTCGACAAGCTTCTTCAGAGATGTCGCGGTGCCTTCATTGGTCTCGAGTTCGCCACCAAAGCCCTCCAGGTCAAGGACATCGCCCACCTGAGGTACCTTTGGCACAGCATCATCTGTTGGCGCGACAATTTCCTCCTTTTTGGTCGCCTTTGGCTTCGGGCCGGGCTTGCTCTTTTTCTCGACAACAGGAGGAGGCGCGGGGGCCTTGCGCTTGCGAAGTTCAACCATAATGAGGGGTATAGGGATGTGAAGTGGAGAGAATGGATAGCTCAGCTGCAGCTCCTCGTGCGGTGCCTGCGTACCTGGTACATTGATGCATGACTAAGCCAAGCACTAGTGAGTATAAGGTAAGCACACGGGAGATTCCGACCCACGGCTCCTCTCGGGATTGCCCTGACCCGCGCGCGTGAAAAATCTCGATTTGACGTTTCCCTCTTGATCGCCACTCAAACCCACATTCCCCATTCTTTTTTTCCTGACTCATCTAGGGATTTTTCGTGTCCACTGATATTGTTTCGACCTCGCCACTTTGATCTTCGCATTTGCAAACTCTCGATACTCTCTTTCAACCCGTTTGGTGTTTCGCATTTTCGCAATCACCCATACCCAAGCGACTCGCCCGTTGAGCACGCTTCACTATGAAGGTCTTCTCATCTACCTGCGATTTCGACTACTCTTGGGATGAGGTGTCTACAGCCAACTGGCGCAAGTATTGCCCCTGGAACGACAAGGCCACTCATGTTGTTGGTGTTGACACTCTCTCCCGGACTATCGACCCTGCGACCGGAATCGTGAGTCAACAATCAATAAAGCATAGCATGTGCTATGTTGGACCCCGAGCTAACCTTTCTTCCAGCTGCGTACCGAGCGTCTGATTACTTGCAACCAATCTGCACCCCAATGGGTTGTCACCCTCCTCGGAGGATCAACCACTTCCCACGTCTACGAAGTGTCCTACGTCGACCCCGTCTCTAAGAAAGTCACCATGTGCTCCAACAACCTGACATGGTCGAATGTCCTCAACGTCCGCGAGACCGTCACCTACCAGCCATCATCATCCGCCACCACTCAGTTCACTCAGGAGGCGAAGATCACCGCTCTCTGTGGCGGATGGCAAAAGATCAAGAACAAGGTCGAGGAAGCTAGCGTGGAGCGATTCAAGGAGAACGCCATCATCGGCCGCGAAGGCTTTGAGACAGTCCTCGAGATGAGCCGCCGAGTCTTTGGTGAGCAACGCGATCTCGAGAAGCAGAAGCTGTAGAGCCGACATCGGCCTCTATATTCGTACCACGCAACGCCTCCCGCTTCCACTTCCAGCTCCGACTCCTCCCTACTCAACCCGACGACATTCGAAGCATCACCTCTCCTTAACGATTCCTGCATCGAGCGATTGCATAACACCGGCGCTTTTGTTTTTTTCACTCTCCCGTTTCTTATTTCCCCAGCATTTTGAAGCACACGGCGCTCACCGGAGTTTACCCGAATTCGTTTTTTGTCGTTTTCCGCCCTACCCCTCACGGAAAAAGGGAACCCTGCGCCATGCACCGGAACAACACCCGGTGCCGCATATTTCAACATGGCCAGCGAAAAGAAAAAGTTTCATGAATTGTTCCCAGCGATCCGTCTTTCTACGTTTGAATACAAGCGAGTGATATCCAGCCCTCGAGGGCATAGAGATGCATAGAAGTTTTCCAAGTTTTCGAAGTGAATACCGAACTCTCTCAACTACTGTACAGAATTGCCTTGATTAGGTCTCGTTAAATCATATAATTCATTCGAAACTAATTCTGTAAATCCACTAGCCAATATCCAGCCATGTCTGTAAAAATAGAAACGAACTCCCGCAAACGCCGTTCTCGAATCGTAACACAGATAATTATATGTAGGCCTGCGGAAGCCGGTGAGATCTTCGGAACCCATTCATAATCTAAAAGGCGAATGTCGTGATAAATATCCGTCCCATACCCATACCCATACCCATCCCATATCACATAATATGAAATCCAATCAGCCCATCAATCCACCAAGCACCACCCGATTGACGCCAGAAACCTCATTCTTGACGTTATTCCGACTTGCGTCCTCGAACTCACGCACCGCACCAGCAACCATAATCTTGCGCAGCTTGGCATCCGCCTTGGAGAATAGTTCCCCGAGACCAACCGTACAAGTCGAGGGCGACGAAACCAGGCTCAGAATCCTCGTGTAGCAATCAATCAGCACATCGCAAAGCGTAGCGAATGTCTCGAAGAAATCCGGCTCAAAGGGCAACGAGGGCGTGAGGAGGTACGTGTATTCTTCGCCGGGGAGAAGGTCGGAGGACTCGGTGAGGGGGAAGGAGATCATCGAGGCAGCGGCTGCGTTGGCGGGTGAGATGTTATTCGCGGCACTTTTCAGATCGGAGGGGTCGCTGTTTTGCATTGGGAGGCCGATTTCGGTTGCGGAGCTCGCCCGGCGAGTCTTAGTGCCGGCGTGGGCGGCGCGCTTGAACATTTGGGGTATGCGTGCTCGGGCGAGACTGGATGAGGAGCTGCCGTCTGGCGGGTGGACTTGTTGGTATGCTTCGAATTCGAGGAGGAGGGCGTTCAGAGCCCGGAGGTACTCGAAGGGAGTTGAGCTGACGTCGAGGATTGGGGGGAGGGATAGGCCGAGTAGGAGGTAGTTGACGGCTCGGCGGGAGAGCTTTCGGGCTTCGAAATATGGCATGCGACTGATGTCTGCTCGTGAGAAATGGACGGTATTGAACCAGTAAACACGGCCCTCGAGGCTGAAATGAAAGGGCCTGGTTAGCTTGCCAGCTCAAGAGATGGGTTGTATCGTCCAGGTCAATATCACTCACGCCTTTCTCAAGTAACCCAGAGTCGAGATCCGCTTCGCGGCCATGTCGTGAATTTGTTGATATATGGCTGTGGCGCTCTGCGGCCCAAACGGACCTCCGCCGCTGGACACTGGTGGAATGCTTCCATGTGCATTGTCATATCCGCTAGTGGACTTGGCTGTGTCTCGCCGTGACAGGCTTGGGGCAAATGTGGATGCAATCATCATGGACTGCAGTTGTCTCTCGATCACTGAGATTCAATAGGCGATATATATGACGTTGGGCGCACAGGGATGACAGACAGGGGGGTCCCCCGGATTATCGCGATTGCATCCAGGGAAATTAGATATAGATCGAGAATCGAAACCGACAGGAGTGAAGGATGGAGGGGTAGATGACGTTGTAAGGCGAGAGCAACTGGGTAAGGGAAAAAAAGGGAGGTGGGCGCATCTCCTGAGATCTGGAGACATTCCCCACAGCCCCTCCGGTCCCTTTTCCGCCTGGAACTAATTAATTTACTAGGAATTTATTACCCCCCCGAGACCTTTCTCCCTTTTCAACCACGTTCCCTTACACTTCTGTGACTCAATGACCTCTACATCCCCCGAAGAACAGGTCCCTCTGCCTGGCCAATGGCCGGTAGACCCCCAGGAGGACCAGCCCATCACTGAGGACAAGATTTGGGTCGACGGTTGCTTCGACTTCACTCACCACGGTAGGCAACCAAATGCGCCTGCGCATGCCCCCTCTTGACACTGCAATAAGCTGACATTAGAACGTTCTCTCTAGGCCATGCTGGCGCTATGCTTCAAGCTCGCCGTCTTGGCAAGGAGCTTTACGTGGGTATTCATTCCGACCAAGCAATTCTAGAAAATAAGGGTCCAACGGTTATGGCTCTGGATGAACGGTAAGCTCCGCGAATTTGCGCCCAATTTCCAATTCTTCCAACGCGCTAACGTCTTTATTTTTCAATCCTTCCAGTGTCTCTGCTGTCGATGCTTGTCGCTGGGCTACTCAAAGTGTCCCCCATGCTCCCTATGTGACCTACTTGCCCTGGGTCTCCCACTACGGCTGCAAATACGTTGTTCACGGCGACGATATTACATCCGACAGCGATGGAAACGACTGCTACCGATTCGTCAAGGCCGCCGGCCGATTCAAGGTTGTTAAGCGCACCCCTGGTATCTCTACCACCGACCTCGTTGGCCGTATGCTCCTCTGCACCAAGAACCATTTTGTCAAGTCCGTCAAGAACACCCTGTCTGGAGAGGAAGGATCAGGAAGCCCCGAAGAGCGCAAGGCATCCGCCACAGATCTTCTGCAGAGAATCACCGACTACGCGACAGATGAGAGCGGTCTGCAGCCCGGTCCCCAGGTCTGGACCTGGACTGGATCCGGCAGCGCCAAGATCGACGACCAGGTCGAGGAAGCAGGAAAATACGAGACTCTCGTCGCTGGAAAGGGTCCCAAGCCCGGCCAACGGATTGTCTATGTTGACGGTGGCTTCGACCTCTTCTCCTCCGGCCACATTGAGTTCCTGCGCAAGGCTATGGAGCACGAGGAAGCCGAAGGACGTACCCGCGGCTGGTACGAGCCCGAGCAGAAGGAAAAGCGCATCCAGGAACACGGCGAAGACTACGCGCCAGCCTTCATCGTTGCCGGAATTCACGACGACGATGTAATCAACCACTGGAAGGGCCTGAACTACCCGATCATGAACATTTTCGAGCGCGGTCTCTGCGTTCTCCAGTGCAAGGTGAGACATTTCGCAATTTCGTCCCGCCCACTATTTAATTTTGGGGGGCGCCTCGTTACATTATGTTAAGTATCCACTGACCCTTTTTTTAGTACATCCACGCTGTCGTCTTTTCCGCCCCCTTTGTCCCTAGCCAGCCTTACCTCGAGACCCTGCCATTCGGCACTCCCGACGTCGTCTACCACGGACCCACCACTTTCATTCCCCTGACCTACGACCCCTATACCGCGCCCAAGAAGATGGGTATCTTCCGTGAGGTGGACCACCACGCTTTCCAGCATGTGAACGCTGGCGAGATTGTCGCGCGCATTCTCAAGAGCCGCGAGGCTTATGAGGCTAGGCAGCGCGCTAAGTTGCAGAAGGGTGCTGCGGAAGACTTGGTTAAGGCGCAAGAGCAGGGCTCTGCTTAAACCTGTCTCGGTCCATTGTTTTACTAAAACGGAAAGGCGGAAGGAAAGGAAAAGAAAGTTATTAGCTGTACATATATTGGGCCTCATCAACTGGGGTTCATTCAATATGGGGAGGAGATTTTGTTATCGATACAGTGAAGTTAATATACATACTAGTACTTATGGTTAAATGGATCTTTATATCCTTATGATTACGCAGCAAAATAACCAGTGCTAGTACTAGTATATAAAGCCTGTTTGAAATTTGACAACTACTATTTGGATACAGTTCTAACTTCCTTAGAATGCCCACCTGGCAGGTGTTTGCAAAAGCAACCTTGGAACCTGACTGGAGACCTGTTTTCGAGCATCCTACGCGATCAACTTGAAGTCTCTCCAACTTGACGATCCGTTCCACAATGGCATTTGTGATGAAGGGACCTAACTAGTACGCATCTAGGTAGCTTACTCCTTGATTCCTACTGTGAAGCCAAGAAGATCTAAGCAGCAGTTTTAGCGTGACTCGGGACAACTTGAAAGATCCAAGTTGCTCTGAGTCAGAAATATACAGGACAGTGGCACTGTTTGACTGCCCTGTCCAATCGATTTTGAGAATGCAATTCTTTCCATTCGGGATCAACCCCGCAGATCGACACAAGCCATCGGAGCTTATTCACACCGGCAGTTCTCGAGCGGCGGAATGACGCGGCTCAGATACCAGTACGAGCCCTCGGGGATATGACTGCTTTTGGTGGTTACACATAGTATCGTCCATTTTTTTTCACATTCAAAGGTTCCCAGGCCACCTTTGCCTCATTCATCGAGGGCTGTGCGGGATAGTATTCTAGTTGACTTGAAATTTCCACAACTTCAAAGTTCTTGCTATGTCCAACCAACCTTGGAACTGATGCCCTTTTTTTCAAACAAAGTTCTATCTGCATATTTGCCTCGTGTCTTTATTCCCAGGCCCATTTCTCATGGATAGGAGTCTATATACCTATTTTAAGTAGCCATGCCAGCCTTCATTCGAGAATCATCACCTCAATCCGACTTTCCATTAAATACGGACAACCGCTACGTCGTCGGACTAGGAATTAGCGCCATGATGATCGTTATTTCAAGCACCCTAGTCGCTTTGCGCTTTATCTCTCGTCACATCACCAAGCCCATCGGATGGGATGACTGGTTCTGCTTGATGTCTTTAATATTTGCTTATGGTATTCTGGTTACTACTGCCTTATCAGGAACTGTTGGTCGTGCCGGTTACCATATCACGGTGGATACCACTGACGGCTTAGCGAAGTTTTACAAAGTAAAATTTCCCCCCCAACTTGTATGATCATCCCGTTTACTTTTCTATACTGATGATCGAAATCTTGGCAGATCACACTGGCCAACCGAGTCATCTATTTATCGGCTATATCAACGTCGAAACTATCTATCTTGCTCTTCTTCCGCCGAATATTCAGCGTGAAAAGGACTTTCAACGTCGCAGTCTGGGTAGTTTTTGGCCTGGTCGCCATATATTGGATTGGTTCGGAACTCACCTTGATCTTTAAGAAGAGTCTCAACCCGATCATAGCCCAATCGAGATCCTGGCTTCCGATCGTGGAATTCATGGAAGGTGAGGACGGGAAGTTCTGGATGGCAATGGGCGTTATCAATATCGTGCTGGATTTTATCATTCTCTGTCTACCCCAGCCGTTGGTTTGGAAGCTTCGCATGGATACGAAACGTAAGATTCGGGTCTCTGTGGTACTTTGCCTTGGGGTTTTGTGAGTGTCACATTCTCTTTTCATTTTACAAATTTGGATATAGATTTCTGACAGATAACTAGTACATGCATTTCTAGTATTGTGCGAATGATTGCCCTTGCGGGTGCTCATTCAAGTATGTTCAAACTAGGCAGCTTAACTATCCCGCTTCTCTGGACCATCCTTGAGATACACATGAGTATTATCTGCTCATGTCTGCCTCTGGTGCCAGGCCTGCTACGTCACTATCGGGGCAAATCCGAGCTTGGTAGCCAGGCAGCTGGGTGGCCGAGTAATCATCACGATGTACTTTCGCCGAGAGACTCGCAATATCAGCCAGGATATACTCCTAGTGAATCTCTAGAGCTCAGAGCCAAGTCAAGCCGAGATTTTGAAGTGGGACTGGTACATGGTCCGAGTCCCAACGTTGCCTAAATCAACCAAGAAACAAGTGTCGCTACTCGTTTTGTCCAGTCCCTCGATACAGTGGTTCAGACTTACTAGATGTATATCGTTTAGGCAAGCCCATCGTTGGAAATTATTTTCTTGTTATACACCCCAGGGTAATAATAAACATAGCAGGAGAACTATGGGTTGTGCGAAAATCACCTCCAAGGGAGAGAAGACCGCCTGTCAATTGGCTGCTAGAATAATCCAATATGTATACTTACATGTTGATCCACCCGGGCCGTTGAAGACGCTCTTGAAAGATCAGTTGGCTTATCACTAGCATGGTCTTGAGATTCGTTCGATTAGAGCTCACTTTATCTTAATCAGGCTGATTTCACCGAGTGAACCCTGCACCGCGACCTGTGTCCTCCGCCAATTGATCATATAAACTATCCATCTCATTTGGATGTCTGCAGTAGAGCCATGACATAGTTGGCTCTTCTCAAAATCAATCAGTTGCGCCTTATCGTCTTGAATGATGGATATATATCTGTTGGCGTTGCCATGGAGGATGCCAATGTCATGTAGGCGCTGAAGGGCAGATTGACAAGATGAAAGATCCTTGATATTTGCTTCACGCCCTTCAAGCTGCTCTAGCATGAAACCGATTACACGGCCAAGGAATCGTGGGGCAAGACCTTTTTCTTCCAGGCTTTTATAAATGAGAGTCTCCTGCGATACACGGGGTAGTTCCCACTCGAACCGTGCAATTTTGACAATAACAACCGGCGAGCTCATAGTAACCAAGGGCTCGCCACCGGAGTAAGTTGCTTCGTATGTAGTAGCGGTGAACTGCTTTATTCTTTTTAACTCGAGACAGTCAACCGACACAGGATGCCAAAGGTGTGTTATGCCAATGAAGTCTTTCTGCTGTAGTTCCATTGCGACTTCACCGCTGGACGGATCTCGATTGACGTACACCATATTCCAAGTCTGGTCTTCAGGAAATTCGGGCAAGGAGATGAGAGGCATGGAAAGCGTTAACCGTTCGAATGTACCGGCACTGATAATTAGATATCTGACCCGATTTTGGACTCAAATCCGGTAATCGCTGTCATCCCTACTCGATACCTCCATCGAAAGTATCTTGGGAGGAGAAGACATGTGACTCATCTGGGCAAGGCTAAAAAAGGCTGTGAATCTGGAAGCGGCAGCCAACACAGGAAGATTGAGAAGTCTCTACCTTCAAGGGCCACGAAAGAATGAAAAGACCTGTTCGAGAAGGTCAAAATAGCCCTCAAGTCGTGTAAATTTAATGGCGCACGAACTTTCGCGAGCTGGAAAGGCTGAGCGCGGCAGTAGGAAATGTGTCAAAGGAAAAGTATGGCCGATTTTGTCCAAGATACGCACTTGTGGATCCTCTAACCTCGATGGTACATGTGATGTGACATATGTGATGTGATTTGCTTGCATACTACTAGCCGATTAGTAATCTTATTGGATGGTCAAAACCATCATTTTACATATGATACTAGATGTATTGATCTTAATTCCCCTACCAGCCCAATTTACACACAGGATAAACCCCCAGATCTAAAGATGTTGAAGAATAGATGTTTTTGGATGACACCCCATGGGCCTCCGGTTTTCATCAGGACTCTGACCAGTAGTAATAGAATCAAAAAGAAAGAATTATCCTCCTAGTACCAAATGCCGGATCTTTGCTGCTTATGACCGTTTCTTCTTTATGCTTCTTCTGCTACTAGTATAGTCCTGGATATCCAGAACCTCTATTGTAGCCACCGTAGGTATAGCCTCTTCCTCTCCTCTATTTTCCTTTATTTAATCTCGAGTTCTAATAAATCTAGGTATTTGGCATGATGTAAGTTTAGAATAATAGCTTTTCTCTATCGAAATAACTAAGGTATAGGTCTGTTGGCCATGCTCATTGTCTGCCCTTATTCCCCGCCTTCCTCGCCATTCACACCGTATATCTCTCTGACCTGCATAGCATCTCACTTAAAGTCGTCTAAATCTTTCAAACCTCCTCGTATCTCCTGTGCTCCATCTTCCTAGCCATGACACTCCGAATCACCAACTGGGAAGACCTGACATTCATTTCGGAGGAAGTAGACCCCGACTCCAATGAATTCCAGTATACATCCTTCGGCCTCATCGACGACACCGACACATTCCATTACGGCCAGCTAAACAATCCCAAGACATCAATCTCGCTCGAAAACCTCACGGCTGCCTTGAATCCCATCCCCGACAACACTATATTACCCCCATGGCCCCCTTCAGAAGCGAACCTCCGCAAGGCACCAGACCCACCACCTGCAAACGTTCATATCAAACGTCCCACGCTGGAACTATACAGCATGCTCAAGAAGATGGGAATCGAAAAACAAATGTCCAGCGCACTCGTAGCAGAGGCGCAAGTCCTGGAAGAGCTATCGCAGCATCCACACCCGAATCTGATCTGCTACCACGGCTGTCGAGTCGCACGTGGACATATCACTGGCCTCGTACTGGACAGACACCCGCACGACCTGCAGATTCATGTGAAGCACGGCTACGAGCTCGACAAAGCGCTTTTCATGGCCGCGCTTGAGTCTGTGATCCTGCACCTGCATGGTCTTGGCTGGGCGCATAATGATCTCACCCCGACCAATGTCCTCGTTAGCGAGGCCGGGATGCCGGTCTTGATTGACTTTAGCGGGTGTCAGAAGCTGGGCACGAAGTTGGTACATATCCGCGGAACTAAAGGGTGGATTGAAGGGGAGGTCGGGGATCATAATACGTCGGAGGCAGGGCATGATACCTTTGCACTTGGGAAGATTCGGGTTTGGCTTGAGGATGCAGGCTTGCGGCAGGAAATGTAATCTGTTAGGTGCTCTCGTCCAGAATGAGCCTGAGAAGGGATGGGATATTCAATCTAAAAGGATGATGAAGATATTTTTACAAAGGTATTAAGCCGGTCTAGCAATGCCAACGCACTGCCAAAGAATAAGAAAGCCAAGGTATCAAATTTATTGGTCCGCCGCCACCAAGACACCCTTCTCCTCGAGCATCTTCGAGAGCTCACCGTTCTGGTGCATCGACATCAGAATGTCGCATCCGCCAACGAACTCCTTGTCCAGGTACAGCTGGGGGATCGTAGGCCAGTCGGAGTACTCCTTGACACCTGAGGAAATAGTCAGAACAAACCCTGAACAAGATCATTTTAAGCTGATTCGGTGATATTAACTTACCCTGACGAAGCTCTGGGTCCTCGAGCACGTTGAACGCGACAAACTTCTTAGGGTCGACGCCCTGCAGACCGAGGATCTGGATGCTGGCGCGCGAGAAACCGCACTGGGGGGGTCTCGGGGGTACCCTTCATGAAAAGCACGACGGGGGCGGATCCAACTGCCTTGTCGATGGCAGCCTTGGTCTCGGTAGAGAGGAGACGGGCGTGGAGGATGGAGGGAAGTTGGAAGGCCGGGGCGGAGGCGCGGACGGGGCGCAGAGATGTTGGCCGCGCGATAGGGCGGAAGGCCTGGGGAGGTTAGTTTGGTCTTGAGATGACTGGATGCTATGCATATGGTATTTGCGCACCGAGAATGCAGTTCGGGAGAACATGGTTTCGGCTGTGTGGGTGTAAAGTTGGAGAAGTGAAGGACCGAAGGAATAGAAGTGCGGGTGTCGGAGTTGCCCTCGGAGGTTTGGGTTGGTTTAGTAATACCTTGTTAGCCGCAGGCCTTACGTCGTTGCCCCACATCAAGCTTCAACCCACTTCCCTCTCACTTACACTGTCAACTACTCTTTCACCTACTTTCGAACAGTGATAATCACTGTAGGGGTAGTATACCCATGGATCCTCACTCAGACCCCCCATTCTCTGCGCAAGAACACCTCCAAGACAACAAAATCCACATCCTACTCGCAGCCTCCGGCTCCGTCGCCACTATCAAAATCCCGAATATCGCAGAAGCCCTCGGTCGTCACCCAAATGTCTCAATTCGGATAATAGTCACGGACTCGGCAGAACGATTTCTGACGGCTCAAAGCGCCGAACAGCCAGTTCTTGACAGCTTGCGCAATACCCCCGGAGTTGATGGAATATATAGGGACAGTGATGAATGGGCAAGGCCTTGGGTTCGCGGGGCACCGATTCTTCACATTGAATTGCGGAAATGGGCACATATTTTACTAGTAGCGCCCTTGTCCGCTAATACAATGGCTAAGATGACAGTGGGTATGGCTGATAATCTCTTACTATCGGTGCTACGGGCTTGGGACACGACCGGTCTGGTGGATTTGGGGTTCAAGGCTAAAAAGCCAATGGTTTTTCTGGCGCCTGCGATGAACACGGCGATGTATGTCCACCCGGTGACTGAGAAATCACTGAAGATACTACGGGATGAATGGGGCAGGAGTGAATCCAATCCGGAAGGTTGGGTCACCATTCTTCCTCCCATTGAGAAGTCGCTAGCATGCGGAGACTCGGGGACGGGTGGAATGATGGACTGGAGAGATATTGTGAACACAGTCCGAGAATACCTGGATCTCCCGGTGGTTGATTCATGATCTATTTTACATCTATTGCAGTGTTGACTCGGGCTCGGAAGGCCCTTCATCGCTATTGTACAAACCCAGGTATTGCGCGGCATACTCGCCAAGAAGACCCAACGAGATACCACCACCCGTGATAAGACACCCGTTCACAAACCACCACCAGCAGTTTCGAACATTCTTCAACTGAACTTTCCAGATCATCAGGCCAAGGGACAGGATGGCACTGCCGCAGCTGCCAATGAAGAAGACCGGTCCACATCCCGCAGCAACACCGGCTGCTCCCAAAAGTCCAACCTGAACTGTGGCCAGACCAGTCAGAATGGCTTTGGTGTCCTTGTCATGGCGGAGGGCGATGGACTTGATTCCGGCCTTCACGTCATCCTTGATGTCCATGTGCGCATAGATCATATCGTAGAGGACAGTCCATGCAACACAGCTTGTATACAGGGCCCCCGCGGCCATCAATGCATCATTATTAGAAAGCAAATCCACCCCCAGGGCTGGGAATCCCATAATTGCTCCCCACGAGAAGGCTAGACCCAAGACTGCTTGGGGGTAGTGGGTCACCCGCTTAGCCAACGGGTATGCCACGACAAGAGGCATACTCGGGATTCCATACCAAAGGCATTGAGAAGGAAATGAAACCAGAACTCCAAGTCCAGCTAGCAGCTGCGAACCGGTAAAAAGCACAGCCTTCTTAGGCGAAAGCGCTCCTCTCGCGATTGGGCGAAATTTGGTCCGTTCGACATGAGGATCCAGATTCCTGTCCCAAAGGTCGTTGATTGCACATCCAGCGCCGCGCATAATCAAAGCACCACTGAAGAAAAGCGCAACCGTCCCCAGAACATGTATCGGTGTGACATTGGGGGCCATTGGCGCGGCGAGAAGTGTAGAGAAGAGGGTCGGGAAGAAAAGATAGTAGGTACCGGTAGGCTTATCCAGGCGAACTAGCTCGGCGTAGGGAATCCATGATTTCGGCAGGGATGCGATCAATCCTGTCTGCGGGGGGATATAATGTGTTGCTGGGTTTGCGTTTGCATTCTGCGTCTCGGGCTCGGATGTTTGGACCTGCGCGTTGCGCCTCGGGATGATCTGCAATGATGTGCATTGCGATTGGAGCGGAGAAGGTCGGGTCCGCTTGGTTGTAGTCAATGACTGTGTGCGAATGAAGGTCGATAGGGCACCGCTGTACCGAGAACTGCCATTGTATCCTTGTGTTTGCCAGCATTGAGGTAGCCGGGACCGTCGGAGTAGTCGGGAGCCGGAGACGGAGGAGAGCATCACGGCAGGAGATGGGAGGTGCGGAGGTGTGGAGAAATGCAATTAGGCGTAATAAAGGTGAATTGCTTCAAGTGAAAGAACTGGAGTGGTGCTACCGAGTCATGATATTGTCTGTAGGGAATAATCAGGAAAAAGAATTGGAAAGGTGAACTTTAAAATGGGCGAGCAAAAGGACCCACCGCCTGGACTTGGAGAGCCTCGGAGGCACTACTAAGTGGACACCTTCTTTGGCTATCTGAAGACCCTTTCCTGTCTATTTAGAAAAGGTGCTATATGAGTAGGTAACTAAGTATGTACCAGTAATAGTTAGTTGACTATTGAGTCACCAATAAGATGCGACCCTTAAAGCCACCAGTAACTATGGAGTAGAAAAGGTAGGTACAGCAGATGGCAGATGGCAGGGGTCAGTCTCCCGCGGAGCCGCCAGGTACGCCATTCACTACATTCCCCACCTTCAGTTCCTTCACTACCTTAACACTTCCTTACTTCCTTATTTCCCTTCCCCTGCGCCTTCTCCCACTCCTATCCTCGCACCTTCTACTATCCTCTCGACTCTCATCCGACTTCTAATTTCTCTAATACGTCCGACCTCTCCCAACAATCTTCACTGAGTGGACTCTTTCCAGCGCGACGCGCCTCGTCTCGTCCACGCTGCACCCCTCCCCCGAATCTCCCCATGAAACGACCACGACCCCGAAGTGCCGACCAAGATCGCCATAATTGATTCAACCTAGCCGTGCGCCGGCACTGTCGCCATGAAATCAGGTGCGCGCGCGGCACAAACGACGGCGTTTGCGCCGTTCCCAACCAATCTTGATATCCGCGACTTTGTCAATTCAAAAGAGAACATTGTATTCGCAACCCGCATAACCTGCGATTCTGTCGACGAGTATCCGCTAGAAGACCTTGAGAATCTGATCAACACCCATGTCATTCGACTCGGAAAACCTCTGGTCATTGAAGGGTTCGAGGACCGTCTCAACCAGAACTTATTTTCGGCGGATTGGCTGCGGAGGGAAAAGGGAGGCCAAAGTAGGTTCTTCGCTTCCCCTGCTTGTGTTTGATCAGATTGCTGACTAGGATATTGCTCCGTAGGAGAAGATTGCCGAGATCTGGTTACCCAACAAAACAAAAAGTTCTCGATCGCACATTATTTGAACAGCATGTCCACGCTCACCGAAGGCAACGTGGGTTCAAGACGGGATCTCCAGAGGATCTATCTCAAGGATGTTGACTGCCCCGACGAATGGCACAAATCGCTGGAAACGATCATCCCGCCCTTCCTCTTCTATTTCAACGACTCTCCCAAATCTTACGCTGGCCCAGGCTCAAAATACACCGATTTGCCACCCTTACCTCGAACTAAAGACAATAAGCCCATTGCGAAGGCTGGGGATCTCATGAGTAGCTTGCCCGAAGAGATGCGCGCAAAGAATCTTATGTGCTACATTGGTCATGAAGGAACCTACACTGCAGCACACCAGGAAATGTGCGGTACCCTGAGCCAAAATCTCATGGTGGAAGCATCGGACGGTACTCCCGAGGGTGGTAAGACGATGAGACCAGGAACCTCGATCTGGCTAATGACGGAGACCCATGAGCGGCCCATTGTATCTGAGTACTGGAAGTCGGTTCTCGGCCACGATCTGGACCTTGAAACCCACTTCGCAAAGCTCGAGTCCTGGAAGAATGCCCCATTCACAACATATGTGGTTGAGCAAACACCCGGAGATCTCGTTATCGTCCCTCCCCTTTCCGTGCAGCAGATATGGAACCGGGGCACTAGAACAATGAAGGTCGCATGGAATAGAACGACCGTTGAGACCCTACGTTGGGCGTTGGATGAGGAGCTTTCCCGTGCGCGAGCGATTTGCCGGGAAGAGTCATACAAGAACAAGGCGATCATCTATTACAGCCTGGAAAAATATTCCAAGCTGCTCGAGCAAGACCCGGAACAAAACCACCCAAGCGTGAACACACTCTGGGACGACTTTGAATATTTGTTCAAGATGTTCACCGACATTCTCTTGTCTGAAAGTTTCTCAGCAGAGTCGTCGACGAAGAAAGTAGAATACCTGGAGTTCACTAGCGATGTGACTTGTTCCTATTGTCGCTGTAATATCTTCAACCGCTTTCTGACCTGTGGGGGATGTGTTGATGGTGAGGAGGCCTATGATATCTGCATGGATTGTTATGTTTTCGGTCGAAGCTGCAAATGTATTTCCAAACTGAAATGGGTTGAACAGTTCCGTTGGAAAGACCTCGAAGCCCGCCATGAAAAGTGGCGACTCCAAGTCATGAGCCACATTGCAAAGGAGGGATACGGGATGGATCATCCTGTCCTTTCCGCTGTTCGGGCTTCGGTGACTCGAAAGTCTGTGGCGGAGATTTGCCAAGAGCAACTCCGTGTGCGCCCCTGGGTCGATTGCAACAAAGAGGTGAAACCAGCGACCCCCAGTGACTCTGAGTCGGAAGAGATCCACGGGCGTCGAACAAAGCGTCGCAAGACCAACAACAACCAGGCCAAGGACAAGAGAGTCAAAAAGAAGCCCGGTGAGATGGGACGCTGCCACACTTGCAAATATCGACCTATCTGGACGCTGAAACCTTGTTCAACCTGCGACTCACAGTACTGTTATGGCTGTCTTTTCCGTCTCTTTGACCTGCCACCAGAGCAGGCAATGCAATTTCCCGTTTGGGAATGCCCCAAATGTAAGAAGATCTGCAGCTGTTCCGGCTGTAACAAGAAAGCGAACATGATGGAGCCATACATCCCCCAAGAGATATTGCTTGGACACGACACACTCAAGGTTGCGGATGAACGAAGTGTCGAGTCGCTCGTTGATCTTCGTCAGTCGAATGTCGGATGGATGAAGAAGTTCCAGCGCACGAAGCCCCATTTTCGCGAACGACGTTTCGACAAGCTCATGCGCGACGCTGATGAGGTGCGCAAGGCCTTAGATGAGACCAGGACTGTCGTCGTTGAGCAGGTCATCGCCGAACAGAACGGACTTCATTTCGACGATGCACTGGCTGACATTGCCCAGGAGGTCTACGAGCCAATCAATCTGTCCGTGGACCCCTCGCTGCGCCTCGATGACACTTTCATAGCGACCCTCGACCCTGCTCTGAGCTACGTGTGATGACCGACACGCATCTTTTCTCTACTAACTATCCATGATTCAAAAAGATCCACCTATGGATTATTTCAGCGACTTACTGCATTTACCACATACCCCTGCCAGCATAGCTACATCTACCTTGCTGTACCAGTAATAGGATTACGACGATATGAAAAAATTTCAAATGGATTCCGCTCAACAAAGATGAGCATTCTAAGCACCTTTGTACTCGTATTGAAGATCCTTGAGAGTTGCAAGGTCCACTGAAAGCATAGTATCCTTTGCAAGTAAGATAACCGCAAGCATGACTAGGGGGCGAGAAATCAGCTTGAGTTTCTTCTGCACAGCCAAACGAACTTCTTTTAAACATGACTTCAAATTCAGAAGACTTACCTCCAGGAATCAAATATAGGACCGGACTGATAATAAAGGAGGAACCTCCCCGCAAGAACAGGAGATAGATCATAGTGAGCAGAATACATACTGCACCGTTGACAGGCAACAGAGCGGAACGTATAACTTCCAAGCGTTCATTTTCTGGTAAGAGGGGTTTCTTGCCCTTCCGATCAGGTTGCAGGGGAGCTAATCGCATCATATAAGCCGTAGCCAGCAGCGAGAGTATTCCTAGCAGCGAAAGTAGTCTTTCGCCGAAGCTCCGCGCGGTAAACAGAGATGGCAAGAAAGTCAGAGTGGAAACTAGCGGAATCGCAGTAAACACGAGCTGTGAAGCTGTCAGTACCTACTAGTAGGTATATATTCCCTTCTTTGGTTCGTGCAAAGAGCCCGAGGGGTTGTGAAAGAGGTGAGAGGTGGATATAACACCCATGGATCACATACACTGTACTGCGCATTCCGCGCCTCATTCTGGAGCTGCAACTGCTGGATCACGCGGTCTTGCTCCTCCTCATCAAGCTCCTCGCGATCATCATCCGATTCCTCGGGATAGCGAAATGCCTTGCGCAGCCTCACAGCTGCCATGTTGAGCAAAAACTTTCCGTAGTCGAGGCTTAAGAAGCAGCCTAAGCGTCCGTGACGTCGGGAACTTCCATGTGAACAACAGCGGTGCGGCCGGATGTTTGTCCTGTTTGCCGGGAATTTCTCACACCACCCGCCAACGGCCTCACCTTGACGCTCCACGCCCCGAGATCTACACAATTCCAACCTCCAACCAATTCCCCCACCACCACACGCAACTCCTCCACCATGCTCTTCCCACGAGCCCTCCGGCGCGCCGGAACCCGCACCATCCAACAATCCCGCACCGCGTCCGGACCCCGCCCATCCCCCCGACGCACCATCATGCCAGCCCCAGGCCCCAACGCCGGACCCATCCTCGAACGCCGCGCAGACCGCGAACTACCCTCGCTAAATAAAGGCCGCAGCTGGCTATACTCGCTGCCGATTTTCATCGTCGCCACCGGCGCGGGTATGCTGGGTATATTCAATTACCAGAAGAGCTCGAGCAGTATCGTGAACAGCACGCTTTATGCGCTGCGGACGTCGACGCAGGCGCGCGATATCCTGGGCGATGAGATCTATTTCGCGCAGCAGATTCCTTGGATTTCGGGGGAGATGAATCAGTTGCATGGGCGGATTGATATTTCGTTTTGGGTTAAGGGGACTAAGGCGCAGGGGAAGATGAGGTTTCGGAGTGTTAGGCCTGATCGGATGAGTTTTGTGAGTTTTGTGCTATATTTCCTTTTCTCTGGATTATTCTGGGCCTTGCTTTTAGTAGGCTTTTTTTTGGGATTTTTTAAGGCTGACTTTTATATTCTTGTTTTAGTTCCGGACTGAGGTGTGGAGCTTGGAGACTGAGGATGGAACGGTTGTGCAGCTGCTCGATGGCAATGATCCTTTTCGACGGGACTAGATTAGGGGAAGCTCCATGGAATGAAGAGCTGCGAGGAGAAGCCTGTACAAATATATTTGAGTGCTTGTGCATAGGATTGGCGTTTTGGGATCATTACGGAAGGGTTTATTTGCAGTCTTGTCTACGCTATGCGTGGCGTGATGGGGCAGAGCTTTGAAGAAGAAAAGGATATCATTTGAATGTATCATATACAAACGCCGCTCAAGTGAACAATATTGCGCGAATGGTGTAGTGGTGTAGTAGTACAATAGCTGCCGACCTAGCCCATTAAACTAGACCGTCACAGCTTCGGCCTCAGCAGCAGGGGCAACCTCGGGCCAGGGCTTCTTAACAGCATCCTGGATGCGGACGACGCAGCCCTTGGGTCCGCTAACATGGCCTAGAGAGGACGAAAGAGTTAGTAAAAATGCTAAATTGCAAACATCCAGCGCGGAAGGGGAGATGAAGGGGAACCTACCGCTCACAACGACAACACCATTATCACGGTCCACCTTGAGGATCCTCAGGTTCTGCACGGTGTTCTGGTTGTTTCCCATGTTTCCGGCCATCTTCTTGCCGGGGTAGACACGAGAACCACCACCCTGACCAGGACCCGACGAACCCATGGAACGATGCTTCAAACTCACACCGTGAGAACGATCCTGACCACCGAAGCCGTGTCTCTTCATAACACCAGCAAAGCCCTTACCCTTCGTATTGGACTTGGTGTCAACGAATTGGCCCTCCTGGAACCAATTGGCGTAGATGCTCTCTCCAACCGGCAAAAGGCCCTCCTCACTCTTAACGCGGAACTCATAGACATGACGCTTGGGCGAGAGGCCATTAGCGGCAAAGTGGCCGAGCAGTGACTTGGTCATGTTGGACGGGTGTTTCCAGCCCGCGCCAACCTGGACGGCGAAGTATCCGTGTTTCTGGCGAGTCTTGTGCGAGACGACCTCGACACGGTCGAGCTGGAGGACTGTGCAGGCGGTGCGCTTTCCGGACTCCGGGTCGAAGATGGCGGTCATGCCCTTCTTTGTAGCGATTGCGCCGGTTCGCAGGGGCAGGGAGTTTGCTTTGCGGAGGAGGGCGGCGGTCGTGCTCGATTCGAGGACGGGCAGGTTGGCGCCGACGTTGAAGCGGTTTGGTTTGGGCTCGTTGAGGGAGCGGATGCCGAATTCTCGAATGGGGATGAGGGGGAGCAGCGATTGCTCCCGTGCCCTCACGGAGGAGGAAAGCTGCAGGAGCTTCCCTGCTAGACGTGGCGACATGGTTGTGGGTGGTGAAGTTGATCGGATCGGACTTGAATGTTCCAATGGGGTTGGCGTGGGAAAGTTTTTGGTCGGCTGAGTAAGCATCCAGACGGCATAACTCAAAATTATGGTATACTTCACCCACGCATCTTTGTATCCTATAAGCTATCATTTCTTCAAGTTTTTACAATAACGTGTTAAGGAGTCAGAAGTGCTGCTTTTGCTTGGATTGGGTATCTTTGTCTATTTGAATTTTTCGAACACCTCGAGCGTCTTGAGTCTCAACCCTTCACCACTCCCACCTTCAAGTTGCTACCATTTAGAAACTCTACCAAAAAAGCCCCCAGCGGTAGTATATCCCTCGCTCGTGTTTGGGTTACCTACTAGAAGACTCGGAGATTAACTGTTTATATTGTTGCCCATGTGAATCTTGTGGAAGTTATGGAAAGCTTAGTCGTTCATCCCGAGCTTGACAGATCCCCCACTACTCCCCAATACAGGCTACCTAGGTAACTATTGAGGTGCAAGACACTTATTTCGCTTCCACTTGACAAAGAGAACTGCACAGAAATCCTCCCTGGTATACAATTTTCACTGTCAAGTGGAACCGATACAAATGTCTTGCACCTCCACGGCTGGTCTGAGACAAGTCATTGTATTTACGTGAATATCCATGGATGTCGAAGGAAGGTCTTTCCAGCCGGTTCCACGCCTGTAACATAGTAGGAAAATGAAGTTAGAGCCAGGCACAATCCAGACAAAAAGAAACATAGCATACACAATATGAAATACATGGCAGGTAGCTGAAATTGTGAGAAAGAACTTGAAGGTCGGACGAAGTTGTGAGAGGGGGAAAGAGTAGTTTAAGTAGAGAGCCGGACAAAGAAAAGAGCAAACAAAGAAGGCTAAAAAGGCGAAATTATTTTATGACTACCATAAGCATCATCCATGATAATAATGCTTCTAATAATATTATTAACGTCTCTTAGGCCCCTTCTATAGGGACTCCGATATCTACTAGCACTACGGAGTGTTCTCTTCGATACCTTGAAAGCCTACCTTTACTAAGGGACTCGATCGGCAGTAACACAGCACAGATCTATACATCAACAAAGCCACTCTATTGAACAGAACAGAACCTTGAATTAATGCACCAAGCCACAAAGAAGCAAAAAGAAGCCCGAAGTCCAACAGAGCCATGACTCGAGAATAAAACCCGGGATGCAAAGCATAAAGCGCGCAGGCCGAGACTAACTCCGAACGGACCGAACCCGCCGACGCCGGAAAGGATCGCCCCAAAAAAAGCCAACACCCACGCCGAGTCACAAACACTCCTCACCCCTCCCACTCTCACTCTCACTCTCACCTATAATCCCACCCTAATCCAACCACCCAAATCCTCCTCCACACAACCTCAAAAACACAATGGCCCTCCGCCCAACACCAGCTCTCACCCGCTGGCTCACGCCAACACGCGCAACCCTCCTCCGCGCGCAAATACAAAGGCCCGCCCTCCGCCCATTCTCCCTAAACACCGCGCAAAGCACCACACGAACCCTCCCAAAGAAATACACACAACCATTCCAGCGCCCCAACCCCCGCTCCACGAACAACCAACACCAATACCAAAAACGCCCCAATTCCACAAACTCCAACCCCAACGCGCAAAGACCAGGCCAAGGCCAAAGCCAAAGCAACAGCCAACACTCGCAAAGCACCAAAGAACCAAGCGGCCTCTCAGCACGCCTAAAAAAGCTCACCCGCGAATACGGCTGGGCCGCACTAGGCGTGTATCTCACGCTCAGCGCCCTAGATTTCCCCTTCTGCTTCGCAGCCGTGCGCCTCCTAGGCGTCGATCGAATCGGGCACTTCGAGCACGTTATTCTGGGTTATCTAAAGGGTGCCCTGGGCCCTCTTTGGCCCGGTTCTTCTTCCAGCTCTGAGTCTGAGTCCGCTTCTGGGGACAAGGATGGGGAGAAGGAAGGTGAGAGCGAGAGCGATGCGCTTGGTGCGGATGAGAACGCTGTTGTAGCCAAGGCCGAGGAAGCGAGTACGTATATATCCTACCCTACCACAGGCCACGCCACGCCACGCCACGCCCGTGCTGGAACATGCCTAGCTAACCATTTGTACTCAGGTATTTGGACCCAGCTAGTCTTTGCGTACGCTATTCACAAGAGTCTGCTCATCTTCGTGCGGGTTCCGTTGACGGCGGCTGTGACGCCGAAGGTTGTGAAGGTTTTGCGGCGATGGGGGTGGGATATTGGGAAGCGGGCGCCGAAGAGCTCGTAGGGAGGCTGGTTGAAGTGTGATCGGCTTTCTGGTCTGGTTTGCTTGGATTGGCTTGCGTTGGTCCTATTTTTGTGTAATATTTGGAGAGATGGTGCGGAGGGATTTGTTTTCTTTTTTCCTGGGGATTTTGGAAAGATTGGAGTATAGAGCATAGCGATGTTGGAATTGTATATTATATAGATAGAAGGTCTCATCTAATTCAAATCCGGTCTGAGGATCGTCCCCGCTCAATCTACGGATCTGAATCGATCTAGAAGGAAGGGAAGGGATGGGATGGGTTATCATATGTGCCATTCCTTCCTAGGTAAGTGGGTAGCCTTGAAACCCTTAATGATAATATCTGATAGAGTACTAGAAGTACCTCGTAGAAAGTAAGAGCCACATAGCCACGGCTACGGGCAGAGCCATCATATTCCCGTTCTATATAAGATATCAATCAATGCCACGCTAGCAAAACCAGATCAGGAATCACAATCACAATCACAATCGCAAACAGACATAGCATAGCTACTTGATTCTCGTAGTCTTCGTCTCGTAAATAAAGAAAAGGGGGCATAGATGGTGATGCAAGATTGGCATGCTAGATGGGAAAGACAAGGCAAGCAGGCAAGCGTGTGTAGACATAAGGTGAGGTAGGTAGAGTAAAAGTAATAAGGTAAGTTAAGTAAGGGTGTTTGTGGTTGGGTTGGGGGTTACATGTCGATCATATCGTTGAATCTCAAGATCCCGTTTGCTTTCATCACGCCGTTTACACCGTCTGGCATCCGGTATGCCCAGTCCGCCACGCCCAGTGCGCTGGTGACGGGGGGAGCCTCGCCTTCCGGATGCCCCGTTTCGTCAGAGGTATCGGCGACCAAGACGAGGCCAAGTTCTTTGATTGTTTCCACGAGGGCGGGAACAACATTCTAAGTCGTGTTAGTGGTGATGATTGCGCGAGGGCTAACGAGTAATGAAGACGTACCAATAGGCTGGACCGGCAGATTATGCCCATAAAGTTGTTGCTTTGGGCTATCCGGGCTGATTCCTTGATTGACATTGAGTCCCGTCCGCTGCTGTCCACGTGAGGCATGGAGTCCACGTTGCGACGAGCCAGGTCACGGATCTGTCCGAGGTCGTTGCACAGGAGCACCGGGTCTGGGGGAGTTGTTAGTCAGTAAACGGATGTCTCGCGGGGCGATGGGGGTATGGTCAAACTTACAGTTCGGTTGCTTCCAGTTCAACGCGGTACAGATGTTTGCATTATAGGAGGTAAACACGACGGAACGCATAAAGTCGGGGTTCGTCTCGCGGGCCACACGGGCGTGGTCGAAGACTTCGGTCAGAATTCGGTCAGCAAAGCTGTTGACATCGGCCAGAGAGTTCATTTCCAACGCCTTCTCGTCGGCGGCAGACGGGTAGAGAATGGAGAGGTTGACATTGAGGGCGATGGGCAAGTCACGCAGGACATCGCGAAGAGACATAAAGGATGCCGCCAAGATGCGGTGGGCTTGTGGCATATTGCCAGCCGCCTTGGTCTGCAGGTACTCGGCGACTTCACTAGGGTTGGCACCTCGTTCGAGGCCAATCCTCTGGAACTGAGCGTACGATAATTGCGAAACTGGGATGTCAATGCCGTGGTGGTCGATCGTGAATTGAGGGTATAGTACCGGCACACGGTCCCGGGTCAATTGGATAAAGAGCTGCACATAATCACCTGACAAACTAGAGCCAGTGACAAAGCCATTGTGCTCAGAGTCCAGTGCGCTCGTGGCCTTCCAGTATGTCGCGAAGTGCGTAATTTCCAAGGGGTCGCCGTGGTATGGCTTAATGACCTGAAAGTTGAACCGCAGCTGACCGATGCTCCGCAGGCGAGGGTCGAAGAGTGGTAAGCAGCAAGATCCGGTGCTAGACTGCTCAGCGCGGAAATTGATCGGCAAAGCCACGCTCTTGGCAATGACTTTGGAACCAAAGGTAGGGAAAATCTCAAAGTCCACAGTGAAGGTGTCCAATTTGTCAACGTGGAAGGATATTGAGCGAGAGTCTTCTTGAATTGGTAGTACAATTGTGCGAGGGATAAGGTCGGAGAGTTTGGAGGAGATTGTCAGGCGGGCGGCAGGATGACGACCTGACTGGTCAAATGTAATCGAGCCAGGCGTACCTTGGTCGAAAAGAAGTTGCACAAACACCTTCTTGTCGAGGAAGTTGTGGCCGTACCGTCGGAGAGGAATAATAGGAGGGGGGAGTTCGAGGTCGGGAATGCCATCAGCCATGTCCATCTCGGCCTCACTGGCACGTCTAGAGGCACTGCTGTCCTCTACCATGGGGTCCTGGAACTGTATACCATTCAAGATATCGAGTGGACCCCGCGACGTGGGGTTTTGGGAAGGCTGGGCCCAGAGCAGGAGCATGCACTCAAGATGCCCCTCCCAAGCTGCGTAGTACATAGCTGAGAGGCCCTTCTCGTCTGCAACCTTTGCATCCACTCCAACTTCCAGTAATGTGCGCAAGCATGGTACACAGCCTTCGCTCGCCGCGTGAAACAGCGGCGTCCACTGGTATAGCTTGTCTCGTTGATCAAGGTCGGCTCCGTGGTGCTTCAAAAGCAAAAGAAGCTCTGGTGATTGCGAGGCGCGCGCAACCATATGTTGAGGATAGAGGCCCTCTGCATCTGGCAAAACCTGCGCCTTACGCTCAAGGAGCATCTTGACGATCGGGAGAGAGCCGTGTTGGCAGGCAAGATTGAGGGGAATGTGATCCGACTCGGAGGTCGGATCAATACGAGCGTTGCTTTTCAGCACTTGCTCAGCACACGCTAGTTGGCCCTTGACAATACTGTGGATCAAAGGAGTGAAGTTATCGTGGTCCATCATATCGACCGTATGCGGTCCCGCAGCCAGCAGCTCCCGCACCATCTCCGCTCTGCCATTCCTGCAGGCATAATGCAGAGGGATCCGCCCATATACATCCGAGCGAGAGATGTCGACCTCGGCTGCCAGTCCGGCCTTGAAAACAAAGTCTCGCCCGGAGATGGTCGCCTCGTGCAGACAATTTCGCTCGTTGATATCATCTTCTGCGTGGATATCAACTAGTCCACTCTCCAGAAGCAGAGCAAGGACATCGTCCGAGAAGCCATTGATAGCGGTCAGGAAAGTCCGAGTCGCCCGGTCACGAGCGTCCGCAGAAGAAGCCAGCCTCACCAACCACTCGCGCAAGTTTTGAAGATTGCCAGTTGAAGCAGACTGCAGGACTTGCTGGTCCAACTCCTCCTCCTCAGAACCAAATGTAAGCGCCGGGCGATCTGAAGGCCGAGACGTGTCAAACTGCAAGTTCTCTCCCCTCCGCCCACGCCTCCAGCTCCAACCTAGCCGTCGTCGCTCGGTCTGCGAGATCACGGAGGACCTCTCTGTTGAAACACGGTTGTACTTCGACTGCGCGGTGTAGGTAGAGCTCCTTCATGCGGGACTTGGAGGTTTTATCCCATTTCTTCAAAATCTTGGACACGCCGGTTTCGTTGATCTCCACGAATTGCTGTAGTTTGTTTAAGTCGCCATCAAACTGCTGGAGGCCCTCAAAGAGAGCCACGAAATTTGAGGGGGCCTTGGAGTTGGAGACGGTCCGGGTTTGGACCACGCGCTTCTTGTCGACTAATGTTTTAAGTCGTAGCGAGAACTAGATAAATATCTGTCAGTTTGATGCATTCTACTTTCAACAGGGAAGGTCTGGACCAGCCTACCTCTGATTCTTTTTGGAGGTAAAAGGCATTAACCTTCTCGATCTCGCGTTCCTATAGCGCGCTTATTAGTATACACTTGCGGGCTAGCTCATTGGAACTGTCTAGAACTTACCAAGCGGAAGAAGAAGACTTCCTTGTTTGCGCGGAGGGCAGCCTGGGGATCCAAAGTGCCATCCTGGGCAATTTCCTCGGCGGTTCTCTGTGCAGGGATAGTTGGTGTGGCACTGAGCTGCTTGATCAGCTGCAGAAGGGTCAGCGGTGCCTCCAATGAAAGTGCAGTTGTATTGTTGTCATCCATATGATGTCAGCAATGTGCACCCACCTTTTTTAAAGCTTTGTAGTTTACAAAGCTGGCCGCATATTCGGGGAGATCAAGCTGCCGGCGCTGAATCTGCTTTCCGAATTTCCTGCATGTATGGTTAGTTTTCTGTTTCGTGGTACGGCGATTGCGCTAGAGGGGTACTCACATGTTCGCAAGCTCTCAGGCTGAGAGCGCCAACGATCTCCTAGAGGCAGTGATTGGGGGGGGGGGGGTGTAATGTAAAAAATCAGGCCTCGGGAATCAATTGTTGAAAAGCGCAAGGGTTGGAGGGAGAGAGAGAGAAGGAGATGAGGGAAGGAAAGAGAAGAGGAAAGATGAGAAGAAAAGAATGCCGGGCAGGACGTGGCGTGGCCAGACAAGGTCCAGGGAAACCTCGAGTCGAGGGAGGGGCCAGCGCAATAAGGTGGGGACGGAAGTAATAGGAGTGGGACAGACGCGCAGTGTCACTGTACGACAGGGAGGTTGATAGTAGTTGAAGCCCGTTGCCGGTACATGAACGCGGGGGATTGGAGGTTGCTTTGGTGGACACCGCTCGGGTAGTCGGGAACGAACAGACGGCAGAACAGAGAGAAGGAGCTGTAAGTGAGATGAATAGATAAGACCGTGAACACTCGAAAGTACAAGAGTACGGGATTAACGAGGGGGGGGGATCAGATGGGATGTTCCTGGGGACAGCCGAGAGTACCCTATCAAAAGTAGACCTGGAGGGATCGCGGAGGAACTAAAGTCGTTCAGTGGGGAGCTTTGGCGGGTGCCAATCACCGCTTCCAGCCGGAGCACGTTGCTTGCTGACTACTTCAGTGGGGCATCATGATTAGTCCCTTTTATTATTAACATTAATATTCCGGTGTTAATATTATTAGTATTAGTATTGGTGACACTTGACTACATTGGAAAAGAACAGGCCAGTTCGTGAAGCTGTTCTTCTACTAACATGCATATAGCACTTTCCAGTGAACCACCGGGTATCACAGTGTGATATTGGATCTATGCACACTGCAGCACCTACCTAGGTACTAGTATCATTTATATTGAGTACCTAGGTACCTACTAGGCACTTAGTATTTACAATTTACCACCTATCCGTATTCGTATTAAGCATCTACTAGTACTTAATTAAGTAGTATTTTTTAATAGCCCCCATCATATTTACTCTACATTATCTTCTCTAACCAAATACCACTTATCACGTTCATCACCCAATTCATACCAAGCCTAACCCACTAGCGCGCGTCAGGGGATCTCGTGGAGTACATACACAGGCCTGAGCGCCCAGCCGGCGCCTCTGCGCCCAAAGTACTAGTACTATTGGCTTTATGAATCAGGTGGGCTTCTGCTTAATATTGCTTACTGGCGCTAATTGCCGATTTATGACTATGATCTGCAGTGACGGGGCGAAGACAGTCTGAGGAATTATACCATCAGAGAAAGCATGACCGAAGTGTTGGTATATTTACTGTCACCGCGGATAAATCATCTATCATGTTGGCTGTCATGTTGGCTGTAATACTTTATATCTGTATTGCTCGGTCTCGCGATGGAGCTGTGGCTACATTCATCTGAGGCGTTGGGGTGAGGGCTAGATACTAACTAGTATTGGCTGTTTAACCCTCTGTGGATTGGCCCTACATATATGACTTCCTGTACGATTACCAGTATTATCTGATCATTCGATACGAGAATATCTGTTCGTTCTGCTCACTATTGACTTCAAATTGTTAAGATAAGCGTGGCGGAATCGTTGAGTTAATCAGCTGAGCCGTCCACGATTATCAGTGAAAATGCGTCACTTCCACTCCAGTTCATGGTATTGACTTTGACATCCCCATTGGATTCTAGAAGATCGGGTTTGTTCTAGTTATGACTACTATGTGCTAGTATACTAGTACCGTGACCAAACCCGAAAACCAGGGCTGGGTCTGCAATGTACCTTAGTACTGAGTCTACAGCAGGTCCAACTTCACTCTACGTTACCGTCTACAATTTAGAATTTACAATCTACAATTTACAGCCAAAATCTATACCATCGTGAAGTCAATTGAAGACAAACACTATAAAACAAAAAATGCCCAGCCCAATGGACAAAACTGAATCCGACAAAAATTCGGCACACTGTACAGTCAGGCCCAAAAGAGAAACAAGTCAAATCAAGCCATAACAAACCGGAACAGAGTAGGGCATATCAGAGCATAGCAGAGCAGAGCACGTTTAGAACAATCAGAGGAAACAGAAAGAAACAAGAAAGAAACAAAGACCTTGACTTGATTTGATTTGACTCGAACAAACATAGAATTGTGTAATGTGAAACAGAGTTGTGCGGGGGATATATCAGATGAAGAAAAAAGAAAAATGGCAAACGGAGATGGGGGGATCAAATCCGACAGAACCGATTACGTAGAGGGAGAAAATGGTCTGATTCGCAAGATGAATGCACCCCGCGAAAAAGATAAAGAAGTGAAAAAAAGTGACACAAAATCAAGACGATTGAGGGGGGGGAGGGGGCCAAGTAAAGAAACGGAAAGAGAAAATAGAAGAAAAAAAAGGAAACAAAGGTAGAGTAAATGTAAGAGAGGTCAGACAGATCAAGAGAAGTACAGTATCGAATAAACATATGGCGAAGCGAATGTCCATCACGCCGGGAATCTAGACAAAAATCGATATCGAAGATAAAGACACGGAGGGACTGGGCCAAAAGTCACAAAGGCGGCCCCGCTAAGGAGTGGAATCGGCGGTGGGGTTTTAAAACAAACAAAAGATAGAAAGATGGAAATCGAATCGGACCTAGGAAAAGGGAGTGTGGGTGTGTATATGTATTGCCATTGTATGCGAGAACGGAATGTGTGGTTTGGGGGGGAAGCCGAACTTTTGTCGCGCAATCATGTCGTGGAAATGGTGTGGCTGTAATAAGATGCAACAGAAAATGCGGTACAGAAGGCTGGGCAAAGCAGAGAGGAAGGAAGAGAGATAGTGCACTGCACAGAAGCTTTCCTTTTTTTCTTTTTTCTTTCTAAAAGTTCTGCGCAATGCCCGCATTACCCTGGCGCGGGTACACGCCAGGGTTCTCGATGCGCGTGTTCCGGCGCGCTTGCACATCCCGAATGACAGGCTGGTAGTCGTCAATGCCGTAGGCACCGTGACCAGTCATTTCACCATAGTACGGGTTATCGTTGTAGTATCCTCCCGATGGGTGCGCGGCAGACATGTGGCTCTCCTCCGAAGCCTCGGAGCGGTTAGCAGCAGAGTAGGCGGAAGAAGCATTCGATGGTCCGCGGTGAATATCGCCGTTACGGTTGTTAGCAGCAACGGGAGCCGAGCCCAGCACACCGATGGGTTCCACTTCGCCGGAGTCGGGACGGCCGTCAGAGTATTGCACAGTGCCTTCGCTGGGAGTCGCGTTGTGGTGATAGGCTCCACCAGCACCGCTGCCTTCGGACATGGCCAGGCCGCCCATGCCGCTGGAGAGATTGGTCGAGGCCTTGCGGCCGGCGGAGGTGGTGCCCCAACCGCGATATCCAGAAGAGGTGTCGTCCTTGGGGGCGACGCTGCCACCCGCTGCCATCATGCCGGGGAGGGTCGGGTCGTTGTTCGGGTTGAAGCCATACTCTTCGACTTCCTTGCGGCGCTCCTCCTCGGCGGCCTTGTTGGCCTTGCGCTTGCGCCAGAAGAAGATTGCGGCGAGGATAATCAAGGCGACGGAGACGACGGGAACGACGACGGCCACAGCAATCTTACCGCTATCAGAGAGACCGCCTGATCCAGAGGCTGCACTGGTGCCGGACAAGGAGGGCGAGTCGGTACCGGTGCCGGTCGCACTGGTTGAACTGCCAGTCGCTGTTCCTGACTCGGTCTGAAATTGGGTGACCACAATGACGGTTTGCTCGCCATTGCTGCTACTAGAGGTCGTCGTGACAACAGTGGGTGTGGCGGTAGTGTGATGGGAGGTTGATGTTGTTGACGTCGAATCAGAAGTTGTGGAGGGAGCCAGGGTAGAGGAAGATTCCGATGAGGAAGTCGATGAAGTCGATGAAGTCGTTGATGTGGTCGGCTCGCTCGAGGACGAAGTAGTCGTGGTGGACTTGGAGGTGGAACTCGTGGTCGGTGCTTCGCTAGAGGAAGAAGTTGTTGTAGTCGATTCCTTGGACGTAGTTGTCGTGGAATCAGCAGCAGTGGTCGATGGGACCGGGGTCTCGGAGGCGCTGGAAGCCGTGTCGGCGTTCGTGGCGCTCGCGGCACTGCTGGCTCGCTTTACGTTGGACGACATTTTGGCGAGAGACACGGGGAATCACGACAAGGAAGGGTCCAGGAAGCTTATGGGCGGTTGTGAGGAGTGAATCCTCCGCAGGTTCACACCTGTCAGACGGGGCGAAAGGTCGGGCCCGGGACTCTGGAGGTCTCGGGGTACACACACGCAGGCTTCGGATTGCTGGAAGTCGGAAGGGAGGAAGGATTCAAGATTGAAATCGAAGGACCGAAGAACGAGTGACGGGGGATTCGAGTTGGACGTGTTTTAAGGAGGGTGATACGAACGTTGTGGTGGTCGCCTCAGGGGGAGATGATCACGAGCATCCAAACACCGGGGATAGTTGAAAGAAGAAAAGAAACGAGAAATTGAAGAGAAGTGAAGAAGAGCAACCCAAGACAAGACACAGCACCGAATCTAGTCGGGAGCCATGGGCGAAGGTGGTTGAGTGTGTGGGAAGAGTGGGAACGGAACCTGCTTTGGGGGGGAATCGAGTTGAGTGGAGTACTCCGTACACAATTACGATGTGTATGGATGGTATCCGCATTCCTAGTCGTATTAATAGATGCATGCGTTAGACTCTCTTAGCGCTCTGGACACCAAAGTCCGTACTATTTACTGTGTATCTCTGTATCTCTGCTAATTTCTTTGTCTGGGGAACCGCTTGCAGTTGTGCATATCCCTGGATGCGGGCATCTCCCTTGCGGCGATATAAAATTGGGAAACAACCAAACATTGCACCCATTCGGAAAGGGGAATCGGGGCTCTTCCGCTTTGGCAGATTTTGCACTGCCAGATTCAAGCTTACTACGTAATAGTCCCCTGAATCTGGGCCCTTCAGGGCTGTTATTACCAGGTAGCCTAGACACACTCTCTCGGTATATCTACACAATACTAGTAGTAGTAAATACTAAATAATAAATAGCATACTCTGGATAATCATCAGAAATGATATCCTATGCCAATACTAGGACTCATGATGTCGGCTGTGTTCACTCGCCACGCCAGTCAGCGAATCACCGAAGTGGCCCCGACCGTTCCAAGGTACCGTTGCATCCTCGGCGCAGTATTAGTACGCTTGGTGTACTGTGCACTGTGTATTGTGTACCTCTGTATTACCACAGAATAATCTTGCCATTGTTCACTGCATTTGGTCGCGGTTTCACGGTTCAATGGCGCGCCTAATCTGATACTAATATACTCCATCCTGTGTACAGCCACAGACTTCTATTTTCACTGCCCACCCCTAAAGGCTTGTCTTCGCTAGCCCAGATAACTCCAGCGACGGAGGGAAAAAAAATAACAAGGAAAAGGGGGCCAGGGCCCACTACGGACTTTCGTTGACTCTTACGTCGCCTAGGCCTGGCCAATGCGGTGGAGTAGATGATATGGCCATTGGTACGTACATTCTAGGTCGTTGTTTTAAGTTGGCTGTCAACGCCATATGTGCGGAGCATGAGGATTCTAGATTCTGGCAAGATCTTTGCTCCGTACTGAGTAGTTTGATGATGACGAGGAAGAGTGCTCCCCACCATACCTTACGAATCATGTACTCCGCCGAGTGACTGGGGTTGTCTCCGATTGGATTCATTGCATTATGCAGGTCTATCAAGGCAATCTCTGATTCGGCACGGTCGCATTATGTATCTACATATGTATCGCATTGACTAAATGTTGCGAGAGATTATCAGATCCCGATCACGTCTCACATCTAATATACAACACACAATACACAGAGATGATCGATCGTCAGATTTGGTGCTTGTTTTCAGATGATCCTAACGTTAGCGGCCAACGGCCCGCGGCCCGGGAACAACAATCTCCAGGATTTACCCGTATCAAACCTAAGGTGTGTGTGGGAACTTGAACCTTTCTAGTATCTCCCGATTAATGGTTTGGAAGAAATAAACTGCGCTGAAGTATCGCTTCGGTAATCTGGGAATGCTTGGAGAACTTAAATACTGCCCAGGGACTCGGTGTGCGAATTTAGTACCAGTAGGTACTAACGTGTTTCGTTTCACAAGCGAGCCGGCCACCCATGCGAACCGGCCGCGCCAAAACACATAGTAAATATGATAAATTACAATGTTATATCTCAACAACCTTCTCTATTTAAGAGGCTATATTCAGGCACTATATCCTAAATATTATTAGGAACTAATATTTTGAAGTCTAAAATCCGAAAAACATATACGTAATGGAAACGTATATATCTTTATCAGAGATGTTTAAATTACTGTTTTTCTTTTTTGTAATTTTCTATAATGATAATCTAAAATAAAGAAACTAAAGCTAGAACTATTATTTATCATAGTAAATACCTATATTACAAAGTAGAATCGAAAATAATATTTATTTGTTGAGATATTTAAAGTTGCGATTTGTTATATTTCCTGTATTCCGTGGGGTGGCCGGCTCGCTTGTGAAACACGTTAGTAGTACTAATAGTACCCGTGGACTGCTAGTAGTTCAAGAGCTGAATACCTAGGTACTCAATAGTATAATCGTCGGTTCGGACTCGGACGGGATGAAGAGCCGGACAGGATGCACTTTAATGATGCACCTGGGCACGAATTTGAATATGTGTTTGCCGAGGGACAGAGGAATGAGAATGAAGCCAAGAATGTACTGTACAATGGAAGACAGGAGATCAAAGGTAGTAAACAAGAATTTGTAAACAGTGAACGGAGGAAGGTCAAGGAGTTATTGAAAGGATTTGATATCGTGATAGGTTTGCAACCTGATATCTACCTAGGTACTAAAATGGGGTATTTACCTCATAGGAGATTCGCTCTCGTGGTTCAAGTTGTTTTGCAACCAAGTAAATATTCACAATCAATCAATTCTTTCAGAGAAGATGGATGCTCTGATTTCTTTCTCCGACACGAATATAAACGTGAAATCCAGGAAACTTGACGATGATTTGATTTTATATGTTCTGCGCTATCGAGTATTGCAATTTGCAATTCCTCATCCCTTCACCCTCCGACCCTACTATCCTCCAATTCCATTTTCACGACGCGTTGGAAAGACTCCCTGTTACCCCAAGGCTCAAACTCAAGCTCAAGCGCCTCCAAAACAACCTTAGACAAAGAAAAGATGGTATCAAAACAGCGCTGAATGTACCCGCGCACAGCACGGAGAGCAACAAAAAAATGGCAAGGTAAATATGCGGATAGGAGATGACATGAATCACTTGAAGAATCGGTACTTCTTCTTCTCCTTATCATCCTTCTTATCCTTCTTCTCCTTGTCCTTCTTATGCAACTTTCCACCGGGCGGAGGAGTCCCGGCCGACCCGTTCGACCCCAGAGACATGTTGGACATGAGTGCCTCGGGAGGCGCGGGTGGGTTCAAATGCGAGGTAGAGACAGCCTTTTTCTGCGGCGGAGGTGTGGGTGTAGGAGGCGCCTCTCGCTCGAAGAGATGAGCAGGGGCTGTGGGCTTGGGTCGCTCAGCAGGTATATCAAGGCGGCGCTTGTCGATGCCCAGATCACCGACCTGGCGCATGAAGAGCCCCGGTGTCAGCATGTGGGAGGTGGCTAGGAAGACATCACGGCCGTAGGTCTGCGAGATCTCGTAGCAGCTACGTGATTCGCCATAAGTGGCACCACCGGCCATGAAGACAATCATACGCTGGCGAGGTTGGTCGACGGATCGGGTGCGGGCCCATGTAGGCTTAGCACTGCGCAGGGAAGCTTGCTGAGAGAGCATCTCCTGCGCGGCCATTCCACCATCGGTGTCAGTGTGAGGCCTGGTGTAGGGGAAATAACGTCGAGTCCAATGTGCCTCGAATTTGCTCTTCTAGCATCTGTTTAACTCCGAGTTCGTACCGCGTCAAGCTCAGCTCTTCCGATTCCGGCACAGGGGTTCGTCGCTGGAACAGTGGCTGCGGTGGTGGCTTCTCATCCTTGAGAGGCTTCTCTACACGGATGCCAAGAAGTTCAAGGTTAGAAATGACGTTTCCATCTTGGCCTGGAAGCTGTGCGTGTGCCATGAGTTTCCGAATATCGCCACCAAGCAGGCCGCCTCGATAGATGATGTACAGTAGGAGTAGTCGGAGTCGATCCGGTGTAATCACTGCATCATCATCGAGCAGCTGTACAAGTTGCGCCGCCAAATTCTTAGCTTTCTTGTAATTTTCGTCGAGACCCGTGGCAAAGGATTGCTCCATAGAGCTGACCTCGATAAGCTTTCGGGCTCCAAAGTACTTCATGCATTCCCCTGCCATATTCAAATGGAGAGTATACGCATCTTTCCCTTCTGTGAATTCTGTCAGTCCAGCCAACATGTCTTTGATGGTGTTGACGTTTTGTTTGTCGTTGCTGTAGAACTCGTTAGCCTGACACAAACCGGGAAAAGTGGGAGCAGGAAGAACCTACTCTTCGGCAAACTGTGGGTTCGCTGCTCTGAACTTAGCAAAGTCCTCGCCGAGCTTCTGGAGTACGTCTTTCATGTGCATGTGTCGGTAGTCTACCCATACTTTATCGTGCTCCCCAAGCTCCATCTCCTTTTCCTCTTCGTTGTCTTTGCCCTCGTTGAGCAATGTCTTGTATGTAACTTTGTCACCCTCTTTGATCGGCAGAAGGTCGTGCACCATTGCTTGGTATGTAAACTCGTGGAGAAGAGGAGCGTAAACATCCATTGAGCGGTCGACAATAAACAAAACTCCTCGTGGACGGTTTGAGGGGGGAGGGAAATCACGCTGGAATTGAGCAAATTGATCTAGTTCCTCTTGGATAAACCGCGCCAAGTGCGAACACAGGACACCAGCTTCGTGGGTGGGGGATCGAGGTCGGTAATAGCGGATGACCGGGTATTCACCCAAGCTGGCGCAGAGAGAGACGACCTGCAGTCAAAATTTAGCTCGACAGCCGGATACCTCAAAAACGAGGGAAAATGAATACCTTCTGAGCGAGATCTTGAAGATGGCGACGGATTAAATGGTTGCAGCCCGGGTGGAACAGGACGGGGAAGCTCCACGGATCGCGGAAAGTGACCAGATGTGACTCGCGGGGGTAGAAGTCGATGTTCATTATGCGGTAATCAGCAATGGCATCGCGCGCCATTTGTGACCGGTCAATTCGAGCGCGCAGCTTGGGATCAAGAACTATTTCGATTGTTAGCTGAGATCAACCGAGGTCCCAATGCCGCTGACTGACATGAAGTCCACACCAAGAACGCTCTGCGGTATCTCTTCACCTCGAAGTCAGCCATGAGACAGTCCACAATCCAAGACTCCGGAGAGAGTATATATAAGGCGTCCATATCCGGGTTGGACATTCGCCGGTGGTCGATCTGCTCGATGTCTGCGGGGCGATGATGCTGTTTAGTAGGCTGCCTGACGTCCAAGCTGTAGAAATTAAGTAGGCAGGCTCACTGGATACATTGAGGTTCAGAATGTCTTCCTCTTTCACAGCACAATTGATCAATTTCCTGCTGTTCTCGTCCACCACCAAAACTTTCCACTGTGCGGGATAGGCGTCAGTATTCGCAGGCGGGGGGAGGGGCCGAAGGTGTGACGTACTTCGTGACCACCGGCATTACGGATAGTATTGAGGATGACTAGCAAGAGGTTTGATTGTCAGTTCATTTTCTTTGGAGGAGGTATCAAGTACCGGGGAAGCCATGGGGGTTACCTACTGTCGCGTTGGACGTTGATGATCGAAGTGCTCATGTTGGCGGGCAGCCCGAAGCGAGGCTCACGCAGAGAGTGTCAACGAGAGAAAGCGAAGCGGAAGTCACGGAAACACCGCCGAGCAAAAGGTTGAGCACGCCAGGGGGGGCGAATAGGGGATTTATGGGAGGAGACTCAACGGAGAGGTGGCCCGTATGAGGTATATGAAGGAGAGCGCGGATTCCCCACCATTTGATGATGGGAGCTTCTCAAGTGGATCTCTCGGGTGGCGCGCCAGGGAACTCATCCCCGATAAGCATTCGTTTTTCTGCATGCCTGCCCACCCTCTCCTCCCCTCGACTTTCTAGCGCGTTCACTCACTTCCGCCTATATCTATTACCCACGACTGTTCAGGAATGCAGTCATGGACTGGCAGAGGCAGCCGTTCCCTCTTCAGCGCATTGCAATTCTTCCCTCGACCCGTTGAACGACAGCGACAATTCACCACCTCCCTCCCCCTACACCGGTCGAAACGCGAAAATAAGCACAAAGAAGCTAGATCGAGCAATGCCGGCTCCGACTCAAAGAGATCCGCCAAGTCGGCGATGAAATCAGGCCCTACGGGTCCCAGCCGAAACAGCTTCGCGGCCCAGAGGGATTTCAACCGAGTCGTGCAGGCCGCTCTGCAAGATGCGAAGGCCCGTCTTAATTCGACAGGGGAACTACCTGAGTCCTGGGGGAAGTTTGAGCGTCAAATATCGAATGCTTGCAAGGTGGAGGAGTCGAAGTCGGATACCAAATGGGGCCCTTTGAAGCAAATCAAGTCATCACTGCAAAGGGCATACCTGTCCGGCGGAGTTGCAGGACTGCGTGGCGAACTGGACTATATGCGCTATGCGGATGATCTGACTGCAAAGTACTCGACCCCGAATCTGAAGGTACACCAAAAGATAGCCGATCTTCGCTATCCCGCCGAGTGGTACCCCAAAGCCCGGTCTATGCAACGAACGATTCATCTCCACGTTGGCCCGACAAATTCTGGAAAGACATACCACGCCCTACAACGGCTGAAACAAAGCAAATCGGGTTTCTATGCAGGACCGCTGAGGTTACTCGCGCAGGAGGTATACCATCGATTCAAGGCGGAAGGCATTCCTACAAGTCTCGTCACAGGTGACGATGTCAAGACGCCGGAAGATGGCCAAGTACCCCGTATCGTGAGCAACACAGTTGAAATGGTCAGTGTGGGACAGGAATATGATATTGGAGTCATTGACGAAATCCAAATGATATCCAATGCACAACGTGGATGGGCGTGGACACGAGCTGTTCTGGGAAGTCAGGCAAAGGAACTCCACCTCTGCGGTGAAACGCGGGCCGTTCCTCTCATCCGTGAACTATGCGCTCTTACAGGAGACACCCTAGAGATCCATAGATATGAGCGATTAAATCGCTTAGAGGTCATGGACAAAAGCTTGAGGGGTAACCTTAAAAGTCTTGAAAAGGGTGATTGTGTTGTCGCCTTTTCCCGAGTTGGAATCCACGCCCTGAAAGCAGACATTGAAAAGGTTACTGGCAGACGAGCAGCTATCGTTTACGGAGGTCTACCCGCCGAGATTCGAACGCAACAAGCCAACTTATTCAACGACCCGGACAATGACTACGATTTTCTGGTTGCAAGTGATGCAATTGGCATGGGATTGAACCTGTAAGTTTCAAGCAGTTCATTGACTTGGTCAAAATAGAACCCTTACTGATGAGCTTTAAAAGGAGTTGCAAGCGTGTCATCTTCGAGACGTTGGTCAAACGACTCCCTGGCGGTCTTCAGCAGTTGACTGTACCGGAAATCAAGCAGATAGGTGGTCGTGCCGGTCGATACCGGCCAGCTGGCGCCAAAGAAAGCCCAAACGACAAGTCAAACGTGGGTTTGGTCACGTCCCTGGAAGAGATCGACCTTCCTTCTATCCAACTAGCCATGAATACGGAGCCTCCACCCCTTCGCGCCGCGGGTATAATCCCGCCTAATGTCGTATTCGAGCAACTCTCGGCATACTTCCCCAAAGAAGTCCCGTTCGAGTATCTGATCAAACGATTAAACGAAATCTCTGCCATCAATCCCCTTTTTTTCATGTGCGATAACAAGGGCCAGCTTGAAAATGCCGAAATTATCGACACTACGAATGGCCTGCGAGTTGCGGATCAGTTGACATTCATGGCTGCGCCGATGGATACCAAAACCCAGACCGCACGCGAAATCACTGCCGCATATGCCGACTGTGTGGCTGAAAATAATCGCGGACGGCTGCTGGACATTCCCCATCTCAACCTGGAGATTTTAGAGCGCCCTGTATCTGGTAATAAGGATTACTTGCATGAGTTGGAGAGTCTGCATAAAGCTATTATCCTTTACTCGTGGCTAAGCTTTCGCTTTGGCGGAGTATTCACAGATCGGACTCTCGCCGCGCATGTCAAGGAACTTGTTGAACAGCGAATGGTGCGGGCGCTGACTGAATTCTCCGCCAACAAGTCGCTACGCAAGGACGCATCGTTGAAACGCCAGATTGCGCTTCAGAAGCAGCTGCATCGACAGAAGACCATTGACTCACAAGGTCTCATGCCAGAATCCGCTGAAGGCGGAGAAGGCGATGTGCGGATCCGTATGAATGAAGATGGCACTCCAAGGAGTACGGAAGCCGAAGTGTCACCGGAGGAGGAGATGAAGGATGATTTGAATGAAGAGAGCTTCGACGAGACAGTAGATAACGAAGCTTCCAGTGCGGAGCTTCGGGAGTTGTCTGAGGAGCAGATGCTGGACGCCCTCACAGGAGAAAGCCCTGAAGAGAAGGAGGTGCTGGAAAGCGAGAAACCCGAGCCACGTAACTCTGCGTGACCGGATTAGTGTAAAATTAGTATTGTATATTAAATGTATAAAACCCACTCTTTAATATTGGATCATATTTCCAAGATTTCTGCTACCCTGCCTAGGTAGGGTATGGATCGCCGTATAGACAGCCTTTCTGCCTCAGGCCGCTTATCTCTTATCAGTGGCGTCGGCTGCACTGATTTTCCGCCTTCACTTTCCTCGAAGTCACCTACGCGACCAGAGCTGGGTTCTGCGCACTCGCTCATTTCTACCTCGTCGGCTTGCGCCTCTCGTTTCCTCATTGCCGCCGTCGCTCATTTACCCGGTCACCACCATGGATGACCTGGAGTCCCTGGAGCTGTTGTCGCTCGTGTCCCGAGTGACCAACGAGCTCCAGAATCACCTGGGTATCAACGACAAAACGCTGGCTGAATTCGTTATTGACCAGCACCTCAAATGCAATGGCAACTTTCCCGAATTCAAGGCAGGTCTCGATGAGATAGGCGCCGAATTCCCACAGAGCTTGATGGAGAGTGTCGACCGCCTTGTCCTCACGATGCACCCGAAATACAAAGGGAAGAAGAAGGAGGAGAATGGCCACGACGCTGTCGCAGAAGATGACCTGATGGATGAATTCGGTGCTCTGGAGCGCAAATCCCGCGTTTTCAAGGGCCTTGCTGTTCCGGATAGAGACAACCGTTGGGAGGAAGACGACTACCTCGATAACAAAGGGAACGACGACCAAGCTGGTGGAGCTATGGATGATACATTTGCGATGCTTGAAGGATTGGCAGGGAAGCCAAAGGACGAAAAACCGCGCCATTCAAAAGACGAACGCGACGGCAGGAAACGCAGCCGCAGCCCTATCGATGACGATAACCGTGGGCGCCGACACCGCGATAAATACCGTTCTAGATCTCGGAGCGCGCATCGACGCAGCAAGAACGACGAATTGGTGGATGAATTTGGAAGATCTATTGGAAAATACGGCGGTAGGGAGGAAAGCCACCGCAATGGCCACAGTGATCGGCACAAGCGTCGGGATCGCGAAAGAGATGATCACTTCGATAAAGCACCACCCATGGAATTGGATGACCATCCTGTCATCTACAAAGTTTATGATGGTCGTGTGACAGGTGTCAAGGATTTCGGTGCTTTTGTCAATCTCAAAGGAGTCAAAGGCAAGGTTGACGGTCTTGTTCACGTTTCGGCGATGCAGGAAGGCGCGCGGGTGAACCACCCTTCTGACCTTGTATCGCGTGACCAACCTGTCAAGGTTAAGGTGGTTAAGATTGAAGGCACACGCATCGGACTTTCGATGAAGGAGGTCGACCAAACTACAGGGCGGGATCTGATTCCCCAACGCCGTCTGGCCTCAGGTGCCAACATGGAACGCCTCGATGGCTCATCATCAGATGATAGGTATGGAGCGCTGAGCTCTGATATTCCCATCATCGAGGACTCTGGCAGGCCAATGAGGAACCGGAAGCGCATGACCTCGCCAGAACGCTGGGAAATCCGACAGCTCATTGCATCGGGAGTTGCTTCAGCAGCCGACTACCCAGACCTTGAGGAGGAATACAATGCGACGCTCACTGGCGAGGGCACATTTGAAGAGGAGGAAGACGTTGATATCGAGGTTAGAGATGAGGAGCCTCCATTCCTGGCTGGCCAGACTAAGCAGTCTCTTGAGCTTTCTCCCATTCGTGTTGTCAAGGCTCCTGATGGATCGATGAACCGTGCGGCGATGTCCGGCGCAAATCTTTCCAAGGAAAGACGCGAATTAAAACAGCAAGAAGCACAGGACAAGGCGGCCGAGCGAGCAGCCGATGTTGACCTCAACGCCCAGTGGCATGATCCGATGGTTGCAGCTGAGGATCGAAAATTTGCTGCAGACCTACGCAGTACCCAGCAACAGGACGAATCTGTGCCAGAATGGAAGAAGGTCACAATGGGCAAGAATGTGTCACTGGGAAAGCGAACTGACATGTCTATCAAACAACAACGCGAGAGCTTGCCCGTGTATAAGTTCCGCAAGCAACTGCTTGATGCAGTGAAAGACAACCAGTTGATGATTGTTGTTGGAGACACTGGATCGGGAAAAACCACACAACTCACGCAATACCTGGCAGAGGCAGGGTATGGAAACAATGGCATGATCGGCTGCACTCAACCTCGCCGTGTGGCCGCCATGTCCGTTGCCAAGCGTGTGTCCGAGGAAGTAGGCTGCAGACTCGGTGCCGAAGTTGGATATACTATTCGTTTCGAGGATTGCACCAGCCCAGAGACTAAAATCAAGTACATGACCGACGGTATGCTTCAACGAGAGATTCTGCTGGATCCAGATCTCAAGAGGTACTCCGTCATCATGCTTGACGAAGCCCACGAGCGAACTATTGCTACCGATATTCTGTTTGGACTATTGAAGAAAACCATCAAACGACGACCAGATCTCCGATTAATCGTCACATCGGCCACTCTTGATGCTGAAAAGTTTTCGGTATACTTCAACGGCTGCCCTATCTTTTCTATCCCAGGACGAACTTTCCCCGTCGAAATTATGTACTCGAAGGAGCCCGAGTCCGATTACCTGGATGCTACTCTTATTACCGTGATGCAGATTCACTTGACTGAGCCTGCCGGAGATATTCTGGTTTTCCTAACGGGACAAGAAGAGATTGACACGTCTTGTGAGATTTTATACGAGCGAATGAAAGCTCTCGGTCCTTCAGTACCGGAGCTTGTCATCCTACCCGTTTATTCTGCACTTCCTAGTGAGATGCAAAGTCGTATTTTCGAGCCGGCACCGCCTGGCGGGTAAGTGCAGTCTTTCTTCGTTTTATTGATGATTGCTGACGAGAATTTCCAAATTAGGCGAAAAGTGATCATTGCGACCAACATTGCCGAGACATCAATTACGATTGACAACATCTACTGTAAGTTTCCATTGTTCCTCTCACCTGAAATTTCTTAGCAGAGCTGATATGATTTTATAGTCGTTATCGACCCCGGCTTTGTCAAACAGAATGCTTATGACCCTAAGCTTGGTATGGATTCCCTTGTGGTTACTCCTATCTCTCAAGCCCAGGCCAAGCAACGCGCTGGTCGTGCGGGACGTACGGGACCAGGAAAGACATTCCGTTTATATACCGAGGCTGCATTCAACAGCGAGATGCTTCCCACGACAATTCCCGAAATTCAGCGCCAGAACCTTTCACATACCATTCTCATGCTGAAAGCTATGGGTATTAATGATCTCCTGCACTTTGACTTTATGGATCCTCCACCAACAAATACCATGCTGTCAGCCCTGGAAGAGCTATATGCATTGTCTGCCCTTGACGATGAGGGTCTTCTTACCCGACTAGGTCGCAAGATGGCTGATTTCCCCATGGAACCTGCTTTGGCTAAGGTGCTCATTGCTTCTGTGGACATGAGCTGCTCCGATGAAATGCTCAGTATTGTCGCCATGCTTTCAATAACATCAGTCTTCTATCGTCCAAAGGAGAAACAGCAACAAGCCGATCAGAAGAAATCCAAATTCCACGATCCTCATGGAGATCACCTGACATTACTGAACGTTTACAACGCCTGGAAACATTCCAAGTTCAGCAATGCATGGTGTTTCGAAAACTTCATCCAAGCGCGACAAATCAAACGCGCCCAAGATGTCCGACAGCAACTTCTTGGCATCATGAATCGCTATCGGCACAAGATCGCCTCTTGTGGGCGGGACACGATGAAGGTCCGACAGGCCCTCTGCACTGGATTCTTCCGGAACGCTGCTCGCAAGGACCCCCAGGAAGGTTACAAAACACTCGTTGAAGGCACACCCGTTTACATGCACCCTAGCTCTGCTCTTTTCGGCAAGCCTTCGGAACACGTTATTTATCACGATTTGGTGCTTACCTCCAAGGAGTACATGCACTGCACAACGTCGATTGAGCCCAAGTGGTTGGTCGAGGCCGCGCCCACGTTCTTCAAAGTCGCTCCTACGGATCGTCTGTCGAAGCGGAAGAAGGCCGAGCGCATCCAGCCCCTGCATAACCGGTTTGCCGGCGAGGATGATTGGCGTCTTTCTGCTCAAAGGCGTCAAGGCAGAGGTGGTGGTGGTGGAACCTGGGGTTGATCTGTCTTATAATAGTATACTAAGGAAACGGAGCAGAGTTTGCAATCGATTTGGCCATGAATACCTGGCTGTGTACAATTTTATTTTGAAACAGATCTTTCTCGCGCCGTATTGAGAATGTATAATGCCATCATTGAGGTGATCAAAGCTGATAGTGGAACGTAACTCTTTTTCAATGCAAACCTTGAACTGAATATCACAAGTACCTACTAGTACATAATTGTAGCCCGACCTTTGAAATGAATCCATCGTATGCTCCAGCCCTGACTACTAGTACAATGGACGATGGACGCTACCGGGTTGATGCATTATTTTCTACTAGTAATATTAGGTTGGCATAGCCACGAGGCAATGCTATTTCAGCTAAACAAAAAGAAACCATGCCCAATAGGCTCTTCCGTTGTGAGTATCTAACTGCGTGGAAGACGGTAGAGAGGAAGATGATCTCTATCTTTCCTTCTCAGAGGAAAGAGATATCGACTGCGACACATGATGTGTCCTAAATGACAGCTGAGAGCTGCTATGCTATGGATATGGACCAACAGGACCCCGCTCTTCCACATGTCTTCGTCCTCGAGACAGGGGTATACCGTTTTTATCTTTCAGTAAGTACTAGAGGCTCTCCGAATCCCTCCCATATATCACGAAAGTGGCGAAGGTTTCCTGTTTAAAAAAGCAGGCGTGGAACTCTGCTGTCTAGATGATTCCGAAGGATACCTAGGTAGTTGAAAAGCTGGTATTGCTTGACTTGTTGGATGGCACCTCGGCTCTTTATAGTAGTTTGTATTCTTCAATCAACATTTCCACTACTCTTATAAATAGGGTTATTTCTGTCGTCCATGTGATAGTACCGAAGGAGTTGGAAGGCAGTTTCTTTATGCAGGCTTTCTCTGCACTCTAGAAGCTTGTCTGGTTTGAGACCAGTAACCAAGCTATGATCAACCTTTTGATTCTTTCGCTTTTGTCCTTGGCCGTCTTAGATCCATTATTTGTAGAATTGGATTGAGCTCTTGGCTGGGAATTCTGGGAGCCAGTCTGACTTGAAGCGATGATTATAGCTCCTGTAGAAGAGAGAGAGTGAGTGAAGAGGGAGAAGCTGATTCGGGGGCAGGAGCATCAATGGAAACGCCATGGCGAGGAAAGAAGGAACTTGAAAGTGCTCTGTTGACATTCGAGGCAAAAGCAGTCGGTTATTTAATATACCCCATTCAAGTTAGCGGCAACGACGCCCTTGGTACGGTAAAAGATTGATTACAACTAGCTTGAGACTGGTGTCATCAATAGAGCTGAAAAGTTTCTCTTCAATATGTTCAATATGGGTGCGGATATTGGTACTGGTAAGCCATTTTATAGTTCCCCTGTGTACACATAAATTCCGAGTAAACATAGGTACTAGGTACTAAATAGCACTTGAACTCCGGGACCGTCCCTATCGTGGACCAGGGAAAGAGCCGGACTTTTCTTTGCCAGTGTGTTAAAAGATCGCCTTCTGCCAACCTTTGCTCTCGAGACAGGGTGGGGCGAATCGTAGGAAGAACTAAATTGTACAACGACTTGAATCTTCTACTAGCAGGGAAAGAATCCGTCAATATTGTCATCATTTTGAATTGGAAAAAAGTGCAACCAAATCGCGTCTCAGGGACGGTGGAGCTATTTAGGAGAGGCCGCAATGGCATTCCTAGACTGGAACAAAGCGAGGTATGCTCAAAAGACTTGATCAATAGTTTTCATACTAATTCGTGAGCTTTGTGTCGACAATTTTTATACAGACCTTGTCCCTGCCTAGATATGTCTCAGGAGTCTGCACGGCCAGGGTGTTATAATTACAAGTTGCTAGTTGCTAGATACCACTTAGCTACACACTATAACAACAAGCTAAACTTCAAAATGTATGCAAGATACATGATAGCCAAATTATGAACCCTTATTCTAAGCATCTTTTAAGGTAACCGGCCACTTACTATAACCAGCAACTGCTATTACTCTGTCAGCATAAGAGGTAGTACAAGCTAGGCTTCGGCTGGGTGGCATGAATCGTTCGCCGTAAGGAGGCCGGCTCACGAGGTTGATCATGCACGGAGGTCTAGAACAGCACTGACTTACACAACGTCGACAAAAAGAAATAAAGAACTTCAAACAGAGGACCAAGCTCGTCCACGAGGATCCGGGTCGGCACGGTGCGGGTGCGGCGCGGAACTCTAGAAAGGGGTTCCGGCCGTTTAGCTGGATATATATTCCGGAGAAACAGAGTGGGTAAACCTTGGAAATGAAGTGATATTGGGGAATATGGGGGAGATCACAGGAAAAGTTTCGGTCGAGGAGCCGAGCTAGTGCTGTACCATGCAGGCATGTGAAGAAAAGCGGCCAATTGATATCGATGATTAGGGTTTTGAGGCTGGACATACATGGTCGATCTTGGGATAGAGCATATTCAGATACCGAGCATCTACGGAGTTGCTCGCTCAAGTACTTACCACTTGCCTGGATCTCTTCAATCTGTCTCTAGCTAGCATCCCGGAATGGGCAATATTGCATCTCCCCTGAATCCTCCCAGCTTTGCGAAAACGAGACGTAAGAAGCTGTTCTCGGGTCGATCCCCTGGCGATTAGCGTTGATGAAGTGGACATTGGGCCACCAGAATCTGCGGCTTGAATCCTTCACCCCTAGCTTTGCTACTGATTAGATCGATCCCAGTCACCGTACTCCGTACGCCGTGGTCACCCAAGGTACTCCGTACTGCTGGAATAAGCTCTCCGGCTGCCTTAACCCAGTGGGGCTAAACGCGGGCGACCAGGTCTCAGTTTTGGGTCGTTTTTGGGTCCTTGGGGGCCTCTTTTGCTCATCTCAACTGCGCTACGGCGATCCTAATTCCCGCCAAAACATGGCTAGATTGGTGGGCTATCGAGCTCCACTTGGGCCTCGCTCTGATCAACACCTGGTCTAACCCCATGTTGGTCTCCACTTCATGCACACGTTCAATAACTTTTGGGTCCGACAGACACTAACCCCCTCCAGATCTGCCATTCCCGTTCCCAGCTTTCAGAGCTCTACTCGATCGGATGCGAATTGCGGATTGAGGCTGTCGATCGAATCTCCACGCACGGCGCATGAATCGTACACTACCAACCAGACTCGCCAATTCGGTGCCGCTAGCCCTGGCTCTCCTTTTAGTACCTTTTCTACCCAGACATTCCGAGTGGACCGCATAGTGAATGCTGCAGGGATCTGGGCCAAAAAAGCTCACTTGGGATTCCAAATCATACTACGGAGTACGGAGTAGAGCATTGCCTATGCAGGATGCCCGGTACAGCCTATTGCAAGTACTTACGGGGGAAAGACTCGACCGTGTCCGTTAGAAACTTTATACTATAAAGGAGAGCACGTTCCTCCTGGCGTTCTTCTTCTAGTTCTGGCTCTCGAGTACTCACATCCAGTCATTCTTTTACTCCTTTCACCTTGAACCCTATACATTCATTCATTCATTCATTCATTCATTCGTTCATTAATAACTTTCTAGATCTCGGTCTATATTATACATTTATTTATACCATTCATAATGCAGTTCAAGAGCCTTCTCGTCGCCTCCCTCATGGCCATCGGTGCCGTCGCCAACAATGGCACTGATATTGCTCCCAGTGTCCAGGGCCGCATCGCCCAACTTGATCTCGGTTTCAAGCAGACCGATGTGATGCTCAACAAGCTGAAGCACAACATCGGTGGAGTCACTGCCAACGTATGTTCACAAGTCCTCCAACCTACTCGTACTAGTACCTATGTACCTACTGGTACTGGTACCCAGATACCTTCTGCCACTCAATCATTCACTGATTGATTACTGGGCGACCAGTAACTAATTCGACTTGCTTAGGACATCGTTGTCGCCTACAGAGAGGTCGTTGCCCGCGAGGCAACTGACATGATGATGGCTCAGCCATGGAAGGCTCTGGAGGACTCCCAGCAGATGGTTATCTGCCAGTCCTTCCACTCGGTAAAAACACCCCAGAAAGAATAAATCCAATTGCAATCAAAATCCCTAACAAGAATCTATCTAGCTTGCCCTGACTGGCCTCGAGCTGAATGCCGACTTCACCTTCGGCGCCAACTACTTCAACCAAACCCAGCGCCACGAACTGCAGCACTGCCTGAACAAAGTCACTGAGGAGACTGGCGTAAGTATTGAATCCCAAAATTCCCATTCCACCCGAGTCCGGCTAATCTGAAATCCCCTTGGATATAGACCTTCGTCAAGAACGTCGCCAAGACCGCCGTCCCTTACTGCCTGGACATCATCCAGGAGGACAACAAGGCGATCTACCAGTCCATCCGTGACGCTCGCCAGGCCCTCTCCGCTTAAACGCGACGCCCAGGGAATTCATTTCGCTATCAATAATGTCAACGTTCTGCCTATGGTTACGAGTATATAGGCGCAGGCTGGGTGGATCTATGAAGGGGAGCAGGGTTACCGGCACGCAGCTCCCCCACGCATCCATCCGCTCACGCACTAATGGTGTACAAATCTGATAAATTTAACTGAAGCGTTATTGAGCCCATTGCGATATCCATCTATGCCTTGATTTCTCCTTTTCCGACTCCGTACTGTTTTCTGTCCTTTTAACCCATCGCGTGACCCAATCGAACTTGAGGTACCTAGAGCCACTTCGGAGATGGGTTATCCGTGCTACCGACGCGCTAGTACGAAGCTAGGAGGAAAAGACGATAATAGTTATTCGATCGACCAAGCGATTGATAGATTGATTGCAAATCTTTACCTGTCGATATCTGGAATAATTCGTATCCACTGACGAAAAGCAAAACCCACGTTAGTGCCTGTCCGCCGAGCATAGATTGAGACAATCCTCCCACCACTTCACCACCACTAGATCGGTCAAAACCACATCATATCCCTAGATCCTCCTTGCAAGATAATTCGACTGATAGCGGCACCGGTGACTCGGCAAAGGCAGTCCCCTTGAGAAGCAAAAGCAAAGAGAGGAAAGAGGAAAGAGAAAAAAAAAAAGCAATAACAACCGTCATTGGATACAGCAATAACGGAGAACAGAGCCAAGAGCGAATAAGGTCAAGGCTGAGTGAGAATGGGCTGCTTGCTAGACAGAAGCTGGGCAACAGGAAGAAGGGCAACCCGTCGCCAGGGTACCGAAAATGGGAATGAGCAAATACAACATGGAAAATGAGGAAGACATGAAAGTGAAATTTGAAATAGAGAAGAAGAAAATGAAGAAGAAATTGGGGATGCTTTGGATCTTTCTCAAGAGGATGATGCAACATTGCCGTGTAACCAGGCCGGGTTAAAACAGAAGACCGAAACTCTTGCGCCACAAACACTCTTCCAACGCATCTTTGCCCAGAATAGTCACATATCACAACGGAGCAAGTAAATATCAGATAAGATGGAAAAGCTCGATGTTTCGACTGTTTACCTGTAAGGACCGGGTCCGACCATGCCGCCGCGCACTTCGCCGCCGCCGGGCTGACCAAACATCTCAAGCAGGTGTCGCGATGAGGGAGGGGGGCCTTGAGGACCGGGATTTCCAGGTCCGAAGGGGCCTTGGCCGCCAGGGCCAAGTCCCATCATAGCCTCTGGGTTCGGGGGCATGGGAGGAAAGCCAGGAGGAGGGCCACCCATGTATCCGGGTGGTGGCATCATACCAGGAGGTGGGCCTGGGGGTCCACGAGGAGGGAAGCCTTGCCGTTCGCCCATCGGAGGTCCGTTGCCGGGCATTGGCATCATACCTGGGGGGGAAATTGAGGGGTCCGCGGTTTGGAGTTGGGATTCCAGGGTGGGGGCCCATCGGGCTGAGCCCGTTGCCTTGCTGTGGGGGAGGCTGACCGGTCCATCCGGGAGGAGGCAAGTGTTCCAAGCCAGGAGGTCGCTGCAGTGGCATCGGAGGTTGATTTGGTGGGCGGGAACCACCCGGAGTCATGGGGCCTTGGCCGCCCTGGGGGAAAGGAATTTCATCAAAGTAGCCCATAGGCGGGCCGTTGGGGCCTCGTCGGCGGAGTTGCTCGTTATCAGGCCGCTGCATATTGGCAATGGCAGGATCGTCAAAGAAGTTTGGAGTCTTCTGGCCAGTCAGTCCAGGGGGAGGACGAGGCATCATCTCCGGCATCAAGCCTGGAGGAGGAGCTGGTCCAGCATTCGGGGACCGCTGAGAGACACCACCTTGAGGTCCGGGGCCAATTTGAACCTGCTGCATCAATCGAAGAAGATGCTCACGCTCGCCAGGGTGGGGTTCCTTCCCGGTCATCTGGGCCAAGGGATTCTCTTGGGATGGACTAGCAAAGTCCGGATGACCCATGTGTTCTCTGATTGGGGAGGACATGTGCATGGCCGCACGAGCATGATCAGGATGGACCATCGGTGACGGCCGAGAGTGTTCATTTTGGTGAGGTGTACCGTGTGGTGGTGGGCCATGTCCAGGGCCAGCAGCACCGGGGCCGCCAAGCATCGCCAAAATTCGTTGGAATCCCTCTTGGTCTGCATCTTGAGGGTTGGCAGGAGTGCTTCCTGCAGAAGATTTAGGAAGGGCGGGTGACTCTGGAGCTTTGAATGGACTATCAGGTGGAGGGCTGAAAAGTCCAGCAAATCGAGATGACTTCCCAGACTTTGCGACATATGGGTTTTCCTTCTGCGGGGTCGACTGGACCTGGACAGGTGATGCGACGGCCTCGGGAACTGGTGGCTTTGGGTCTCCAAGCATACCAAAAAACCGGTCCATAGAGGTATCTCCCATGAACTGAGCGCCAGAGCTAAAGATCTCCCCGTCTGTGCGGTGCGTCTCGGGCTTCTCGGCAGGGATATCCGATTCAGTATATTCTTCCTTCCTCTCCGCTTGCGATGGAGGGGGCTGAGAAGCGCCTGAGCCAGCCTTCATACGCTCCTTCCAGCGCTCAAAGTCTTCCTGTGTGTGTGCCCGTCGGGGCTCGTCACGATCGTTCGTATCCAACCATTCGGGTTCTGATTCGATTTTAGCAGCAGCACCACGGGCCCAGTCTCGGTCTGCGCCATGGCGGTCGCGCCGCCATTCTCGGTTGCGTAGCGCTGGCTTGTCTTCATCAGCCTCGATTGCTTCATTGCCGTTCTCTTCACGGAACCAGCTTCCATCGTATTTGGTTCGTGTCGTCGGTTGACCCTCCTTTCGTGCAACGAAGCGGGCATCCCGATCCCGGACTCCACGTTCACTGTTGGGAGCATCTCGAGGGGTCTCGCGGTTCTCCCATCGATCGAATTCTCCGGTGCGTCGGGGTTTGCGTTCTGGCTCTTCTGGTGGAAATGTCCGACGTGGGCGCCCAGCATTCCAGTCTTCCTTCTCTCCGCGTCGGCCGTTCAGGGCAGCGGGCCGTCCGTCTCGCCGATCATAGTCTCTCTCTTGGGGGGGTATCTTTCTCTTTGAAGATGCGATCTCGGAAGTTGAAACGGTCATTTTTCTCATCCGTCTCATTTGGGCGGGCGGATCGTTCAGTGAGGTCAAGAGAGCCTTTACCTCCTATGCGGGATGAGGCAAAGTTGGTCTTTGGAGGTCCAAGCACGATTTCATCTACATCCAGTTCAAAAAATAATAGAGTTAGTCAATGTCAGAGGAGGAGTTGGTCGGGTAGAGACTATGGATGGTATAAACGAAGGATGATGAGCGATACCTGAATTGGAGCCCCGCGAGATATGACGAGCTTCAAAAAAGCTCGGTCTTCTATTTGTAGTTGTTTCGGAAGGGTTATTGGGGTCTCGGGTTGTTGGTTGCTTGCGTTGGGTTGTAGGGTCGGGTTGAGGCCTATTGCACAGACAAATAGATGGTTAGTCTTGGGCCTCGAAAGATGCGGAATATCGATCAGAAAGATGGAGGGAGCTGAACATACATCCAATCTTCAATTGGGGGAAGGCCAGGAGGTTTAGTGACAAGAGGCGATTCGCGCAGCCATATCAGCTCGTCGATCTCGTACCGTCGCGCCATGACGGCGGCGTCTGGGGAGAGTGTGTGCGGTCTTTATCGACAAAGGTTTATGATCCCCTCATTGGTCAACGGGGGTGATATTTTGCAATTCACGGTTAGGGTTCGGAGAGGGAGCCAGGGAGGCGTATAGAATAAGGTCGTCACAGGGAGAAATCGTAGAGGGGGTTGAAAGGTTGAATTCAGAAAACGAGATCGAAGAGGTCGGGGTGAGGAGAAGCGGACAAGCCACTTGTGGCGAAGCTCAAGGTGGAGTCGGCGGTGACAGGAGATCCCAGCAAGGAGATACTCCAAGGCAAAAAATGATAAGGAACAAGTTGATTTGAGAGTATTTCGGTAGCAGGGTGGGTGGTCGAATATAGGAAAAGTGGTAGAGAGTGAAAGTGGGAGAAGAGTTGAGGTTCCAACGTCGAAATTGAAGTTGCCGAGGGGTCGTCAGAGCCGAAAGGGGCAGCTCCCTCACAGTAGAAAATGATGTAGAAATGTCACCCGATAACACTCGGTGGTTGACAATTATAAATAATAAATAGACTGATATAATAGTCAGCCTAGAATTTGGAGAGGAGAAAATAGCAAAAGGGACGATTTCATGGAGTTGCTGAGGTGGAGCTTATCACGCGGTCAAAGGAAGAGGGGAAGTGTGTAAGGGTAATATTAATGTTAGTATTGTGACTTGATACTCTGAGTCGGTATTCAAATTGATTCTGATTGTCCACCTGGGCACTTCTCAATCGGAGTTCAATTATTATTATTATGTTATCAATATCAGTAGCGATATTGAGTATCCTCATCGTCTATACCTACCTAGGTAGGCTGCTAGGCATCTACCTTGGGCGAACAATAGACTATCTTGGTTTCTGGTATCATGCTGGTAGGATATCAACACAATATTCGAGCTAAAACAATTAAGTACAGCGTGAACGATTTCTGTTTATAGTAGGCTGCTAGTTGAATGGTAACTAGCTACCTAGTAAATAGTTATGTACCGAGCGTAGTGGTTCGATAATTCCCGATAAATTTCCCGATTCACTCTGTAGAATTAAGTAAAAAACGAATCCTTATAATACATCGACTGATGCCCCATTTATGCCTGCTCAATCTGCTTGAGCGCCTGCTCAATCGTGCCTGCACTCCAAGCGTCAACTCGTTCACGATCAGACATTTCGTATAGCTTCCGTGCGAGAGTCGAGAGGAGAGCAGCCTCCTTGGCATTGGCCTCAGTGATCTGGACCTGAATCCAGCTGATGATGGCAGCTCGAGTGATGAGCGTCGTGCTACCACCGACTTGAGCTGCACGGAAAACGATATGAAGAATCTTTTTGCGAGCCTCGGTGCCGATGCTTGATGACTGATATAGCGAGAGAATGCGCTCGAAGACATTCGCCCGACGGTATATTTCCATATCCTAGAAAACAAATCGATTAGCCACAGTCCTTCCGCTGTCATTTTATCCACATGCTTCCGTTATAGACTTACCGCTTCGCTGCGAAGACCCTTCACGAACAAACCCAAAAGCCAATCAATCTCGTCGAAGAATCCATCATCCAGCTCAGGCTCGTGCAGGAAGATCTTGTCGATCCAGTAAGACGGAATCTTCTCAACTTCCCACGCAGGTCCCTTTTGCAAGAATTTGTTCACTTTGCCGTATACCTTGTGCAGCGGGCTCGTGATGACCGCAAGGCAGTTGGCCGCGCATTCACCGACAATCCATGGGATGGGCTTGCCCGCGCTGATACCAAGAGCATTCACCGTCTCGAGCAATTCACCAGTCAGGGTGTAAACAGAGCGCCATTCAGCGTATTTGGATTCTTTCAATTGGGCCATGAAGCGCGCGACGTTGGCAAACGCTTGTCTCCGCACTTCCTCGTGTTCGGAGCACAGGCAGAGCATCAGCTCGGCAATCTGGCCTTGCTCGATCGCTGCTTCAATTTCCTCTCTCTCCCATCGGTTCAGTGCGTTGTGGGTCGTGCCTTCGGTGGGAAGGAAACCAAAGATTTCATCCAGATCCACCTCCGCAGGCTTAATGGATGAAGATGGCTGGGTTGGGCCAGAGTCGATGTCCATTTTATCTTCCGATTCGACATCTTCACCTCCCTTAAGACATTTTTTCAGAGCAGAGCGGACCTTCTTGGCTTCCGTGGATTCAGTTAGAGCATCTCGTGCAGCCTTCAGAGCACTTGTGTTCTCTCCAGCTTGCTTGAGTTGACCAAATAGCTTGGCAATCCATGTCCCAACAGCAAATTCGGTACTTTCGTCGCCTGCCTTCACCACAAAGGGCCACTGCTCGACAACAGCAGCCACGAAGGGACTTGTAGCAGTAGCCGCACCCTTGGAGAGCGAGTCGATGAGATCCAGGTAGTGAACAGGTTTCTTGGCCACACGAGAAACACAGTTCTCAATGAAAACCAGCTGCTTGTGCAAAGTTTCTGATTCAGCATCCTCGAGACTGGTCAAGAGCGCATTGAATGACAGCGGAGAACTTTGGAAAACAGAGTTATCCACCAGCACAGTCCTTAGCAGAATAGAGATTCGTCGTGAAGAGACCTTGTCCGAGGTTCCGACGAGAACTTTGAGAACCGAAGTGAACGGCGAGTATTGCATAGAAGCTGGTTTCTGCCACCAACGCATCGATGTGGATTGCTGTGCAATCTGGAGAACGCTCTGGAGCTGGCTTAAGAGAAGCTCGGAATCGTCGGCACTGATATCTGACTCCTCTAGTCGTTTCAGAACCTCTACCAAAACTAGTGACACATCGAAATTCTCTTCCAAAGCGATGTCGGGCATCACCTCATAATAGAAGGTCAGTAGCTCTGCTACGGCCTGCTGCTGTTGAAGATCCTCCTTGGCAGTTCGTCGGAAAAGGAGGATAACATCCTTGAGGGCGGGGCATCGGCGAGAGAACTCAGCGAGCAGCCTGGAGGAGGCTTGGTTCCAGAAGAGTTGTCCTTGGCCATGGTCCTCTCGGAAGATCTTGAGGACTGCTCGCAATTTTGTAAATGCAAGAGACAAGATTCGCACAGAAAACAGGGTAATGATCTCCGCATTCTGGTTCAGGCATCGAGACATAATCTTCTGGCTCAAAGGGCGCGGGAGAATGTTCTCAATGACGATCGAGACTGGCGGTGGTAGGATTGGTTGTTTGTCTTTCCAGCCACAGTTCTTAGGAACGGGAAGCTGTACTGTTGAGAACAAGAATGCGGACTCGGCCATCCAAGAAGGTGTTGCTTTGGGGTCGGCAGTGAACATTGTCTTCTTGGTGAAGTAGTCGGCAATCAGCTCTGGTGCAACCTTGAAGATTGTCACGAGCAGTTCGATCTGGAGACTATCGACATCGGGGCGTAGACATTGAATCAGGTATGACAATGTGCCGTTGCGAACAGGAACCAACTCCCGGTATTTGTCGACATAGATTGGCGAATCGAGGCCCAGTTCAATACATTCATCATCGTCCATAGGAGGCGTCTCCGGGTCAACTCCGACCGGATACCATCCCGACTCAGGAAGAAGCACACCTAGATCGGCAGTTTTGCAGAGGTTCAATAAGATACGGTGGATCTCATTGGCGATTGAGATTCCTTCAGGGTTGGGCTCATCGCATTCTCGGTCGTAGCCATAAAGTGTAACCAACTTCTCCATATTTCCTCGATTGAAAAACTTGCTCTTGGACTTGCGTGGGATAGAGGCATCCTGGATAATATCTCTCTCGATTGCCTTGACCACTTCCAAGGTGATGTCCCGAGGATCTTTGCGGAGCGGGTCGAGGAATGCTCTGGTGAGTTTGAACTGCTCAATGATGTCGCTCTTCTCGAGTGTATGTTGCACCCTCAGATTGGCAAGAAGATAGCGCTGAGCATTTCGGCGGAGTGTCGATTTTGATACCACCTCCTTATCCGCATCGGGGTTAACCTTGTTGGGGGTTAAAAAGATCTCAAGGCGCTTAAAGGCGATATAGCGGCGGTTGTATAATTGCCGGGCCACCGCGCCGCCATCGTATGTGACGATTTCGGTCAAAAGGCGGAGACAGGGAGAAATAAGATGCTCTTTCACTTTGGCGGCAGTCAGGCCGCGATTGAAAAGCCTCAGTTGGTCCTTCTGTAGCAGATGCTTGCACAGCGCAAGGCCAAACTCTCGGAAGTCAATCTCTCGGGAGATGGTCTTCAAGAAGATGGCAAGTACCGAAGGAACAGTAGTCAGAAGAGGCTCATTGTTGTTAGAGTCCGCAAAGCTCCAGGCCTGGATAATGTCTGGGAAGCAGATGGAGTCGCCTTCTTCCTTGCCGGGCGAGATTTGCTTATCGCAGTAGCCCTTCAGAACCTTCAGCTTCTGGGCTTTGTCCTTTTCCTTTTCCGGATTATGGATAGAAGATAAGAAATCTTTGAAGTGAACCAGGGCTATACTCTGAGATTAGCAACTGCAATCTTTAGACATGCGATGCGGCAATAGACTAACCTTGCTTGGACGTCGCAGGATTTTGTTGGAAGACCAGCAGCTCGCGCAGCTGGGCCGGCGATGTGAAATTCACCTCTGGAACAGGATGTGAATCATCATCCAGCTTTCTCCTCTTGGCGCGTAGTGGATGCTCGGTGATGTGCGCCATTCTTGCGGTGACAAGAGTGTTGGGTGTTATTTTTTCTTGGTCGCTGCGAGGTTCGGATGCCATCGAAATTTCGCGGTCGCTGATTGGTCCGTGCCACTCCACAATGCCTCGATGGATCCACGCATAATTTTACCTACTACTTAGTTATACAAATAAGTATATGATGTGAGAAATCGGTATTTTATTTCGCAGTCTTTCGATATTCATCTGTCAAAGGTATCAAGTATACAGTCTGCAGATGCTATGGACAGCAAAGTAAACTGAGTGTATCTCCATGACTGTAACACCATAATGGGTTGCCTCAAATTCTCACACTCAACCTAGAGAGGGCGAAATGTTCTCTGCAAACAGAACTGTAGAATAAAGCTGGGGGCGGGACTATCCGCTGTCTTAGTGAATTGTGTGCAAACCGTGTGTATGTGTTGTGTTGTTGTGGGAAGGTGAAGACGTGTGCAAACCATCCCTACTTCTTCCATACTCCTGCCCTCTCTAGTTGATTTCTCTTTTGACACCCACTCATCATGGAACTTTCCGGAATGGTCGCTATGGAGATCTCTATTTCAGTTGATGATGGAGTAAGTCCGGATTCTGGTCCATTTTGAATAGAGCTCTGGGCTCCACTGATTTTCCAACAGGCCGCGAGGATAAGGCTGGTCCAGACTCATAGAGAGGAATCACCCATTGTGGAGGCTTTGCAGCGAGTGGACTCCCGTTCACACCATCCATCAAGCCCTCTAGGCTCTGTTTATGGGCCCGGATCGCCCCATTCAGTACATTCCATGACCTTACGTTCCCATACTCAAGCCAGTCTCACACCTGCTGCCTCACCTCAGTCTAACACTGATGTGAACCTCCCCACTCCTCAAATCCAGATCAGAGCTCCAGGACGTAAGTAAACTGACACGTCCAGTACGTTTAACAAGGCTTTGTGCACAAATTAACACTCTTTGTCTTTTCATACAGGTACAAAACGAACAATGACACCATACGCAACTGTAGCGACTCCGGAGTCCGACAACTCGGCTCCTCCCTCAAATGCAGCTAGTCCCAGCCCAGCAACTCGTCAGCCGCGCAAAGATCCATCATCCACCCCAACTCGGTCCAGATTTCGTTCATGGGAGGTCAATTTCCCACAAAATTTCACCATTTGGGATGATCCCCCCGAAAGAGCCGCAGAAGATTGCCCACCTGACCATATCTACATACCCGTCGCAGATGAGGACAAAGAGAATTCGTACGCCGGAAATATGGACTTTGAACCGAGTTCCGAGCCAGAGAGTCAGACAGTTGGCACGGATGAGTTCAGGCTGCGAGCCGGTCCTCTCGACGTCTTCGGTATCCCCGTCAATTCCACCTTTGGCCCTGCTCTTTCCCATAATTCTCTGGGCCCCGATACCACGCCTTCTGCCCAGCCGACTGCTGTCAATGACAACGATCGACCCACGTTGCAAGTGGCACTGCGGGAGGGGGACGAAGTAGCTACGGAGTGGGAAGACAGACCGGCGCCGGTTGAGATTGCGGAGCTTGTCCGACTGAACGACGCGATTAACCGAGCTGCGGAGCAGAGGTTGCAGCATGATCAAAACTCCCCTGAACGTGATCGCAATGCACAGAGGCAGAGACTCCTCCTTGAGGCTCGACGTGTCGCTCGTTCTCGGCGCCAACAAGGCCGTCGTCGTCGCTCGGTTGAGTCGGGCTAGCAGGCAGCAAAAGGCTGCTCTCGAGGAGGAATTTTGAGGGGGGCTCGATGGCCCCTCTCATATTTGAACATCTGCTACCGATCTAATGAGCGTACTCTACTGTGATAATGATGATGACCTTGATGATAATGATTACAAATTTCACTGTCAATCCTTAAGATTCTGCTAGAATAATACCAGTACAGAGTTTTTCACTGGAAGGTTCACCCAGTAGTAGTGTAATTTTTACGGGAATGATGCTGACTGTCTAATGTAGCTGCTGATAGCGGGCAAGGGGGTCGAAATTATCCTGACGGGACAGAATCCTGGTCCTACCTTTTGCATGTAAAATAGTGATCGGCTAATGGCTACTAAGTACTACTTTTGATATGCCGAGAGGTGCTACCTACCTAGGTAGGTACTAGTAGTTACTGGTTAGTAGTAGTAGTAGTAGTAGTAGTAGTAGTAGTAGTAGTAGTAGTAGTAGTAGTAGTAGTAGTAGTAGTAGTAGTAGTATACAAACTTAGGAAAATTACAACCACACCGATATAAGAGTTCAAGCGACCGTGTTTAAGCAGGAAAAGTATTCACAATTATTACCTAGGAGAACAATATTAGAAAGAGAGAGGGGGGGGGGGGAGCTTAAATATAGATTCAGGAGACGGCGGTCTACCTAGGCGGTTTGGAATTTCATAATTTCGTCCCCCTTGGCCGCTATCGGCTGCCATATGCTGGCCATATACACTGCTGGCTTACCTAGGTACTGCGAGTTGCACGCAGTAAAGTATTGTCTACTTGTAGAAACCTTGGAAACAGAAAAAGAATATGCAGAACGCAGTAACTAAAACAAATTAAAATGAAAGTGTGAAAATGCATTTTGAAAAAGATAAGAATATTTCAATGAATGAAGTAATTTAACTAACTGAATGTCAAATATCACCCACGCTTTATAATCAATTTGTTCAGTGGCACGAAAATTCCAATAAATCCACGGATGAACGACGCAAACGAACCTTAGGAACTCGCAGTGCCGGCAGATAGATGATAAGAAGAAAATTGAAACTCATTCTGAGTGCGAAATGCCGGATGAAAAGCAAAAAAAAGAATCAAACAACAATCAGAACTCGTTGAAAATGACTGCAATCTGCACTTCAATCCACCATGATGGGATCTTCCTTTTTCTGTCCACGTTCAAGGGGGGGTGATTAGATAGCCACCTCCTGGGACTCGTTGGATTTGTCCAAACCATTCTAGGAGCTGCTTATCTGTGTCGCGACCAGCGAGGACCTCTGGGCTAATCACTTCCTGGATTCGCTTCTTCTTGTCTTCCTGCATGTCAAGAAGCTTATCATCGATGGTGTCCTTGACGATGATCTTGACGTACTCGACTTCACGCTTTTGGCCGATGCGGAAGAGTCGACAATAGGCCTATTGATTGATTAGATGGGATGGGTCTCAGCGCCGGGTAGGATATGTTTGCTTACCTGCTCTTCAATAGCTTCGTTCCACCAGAGATCGACCAGAATGCATTTATTGGCTACCGATAAGTCGAGGCCGACGCCACCAGTCTTCAGCGATGCAATCATAACCTTGATGTCGGGGTCTTCGCGAAACTTTTGAATATTGTCGTTCCGTGCATGTATCGTCATTTTACCCGTAATCTGCTCCAGTTAGAACTTTGAAAATGCAACTTGTTGGGTTTTGAGTTGAGACTCACCTTGGTGTAGGCCCACTTCTCTGCTTTGCAGATCTGCTCCATCAATCTCGTTGTGTCGATGAATTGAGTGAATACAACAATTTTGACACTGTCGTCTTTGTTGATGAAGGATTGAATCAGTTCGCGAACTGCAGTGAGCTTGGCTCCAGGCGTGCTTTCCCCAATGATCGGAATCCAGTCCTCGGTGTAGTCATCTACTTCAGGGGTTTCATATTCTTCCTCATCACTGTCATAAAGAGCCCTCGTATGGAATACGCCGTATTTAGACTTGTGGACCTTGGATGACTTTCGTGAATGTCTCGTGATCCGCTTAATGCCATTGCGACTGGGCGTGTCATCTGGTGAGTCTTGACCTCCACTCTTTCGCTTCATTGGCGTTGAAAACGGCACAGGAGATGGTTGATGAGGGTCGATCTTATCAAATATGCCGCAATTTGTCGCCTCGGTAATGACCTTTTTGCAGCTGCAGCATTCCAGGGTTTCTGTGTCAGACTCGATATCACAAACTGCGAGAGAATTGAAGCATTCTTCACAGTATAGATGCAAGCATGACGTTAGTATGGCTCGCTGGGGCATGAATTGGCAATGCGGGCAGTGGAGTCTTCTCCGGCGCTCAACCCAGTTTCCGTCTTCATAGAGTCTTGTCATGAATCTTTCAAACTCGCCAGACATCTTCGTGTAATCGCCTTTTAGTTTCGAATTCCCCGCGAGGCCCGGATATTCGGTCATGAAGGGTGTCTCAGGAACGATAGGATTATCCTGGATAGTCAGGAACGATTGAAAAATCTGATTTGATGGATCGTCGGAATTGAGTTTGGCAAAGACTTTCATGTTGTCCATCAAATTGTCGTCATGGTTGACAGCATACTGGACGATGTCTTGGGCAGTGAGTACGTGACTGATGAACATGCGTAGCTTGAGGAACATTGTCAGAATGCAGTTCCATTGCAGAGATCCATTTTGGCAGAGCCCTTCGAAATAAAGTTATGTTAGCATCTGAATCTTCCTCGAAGTTACCCAAGGGTTTTGCTTTTGCTGTACTAGAAGCCTCCAAGATGGCCACCACGCAGTAGATGCGATCGATCATACTCGACTGAAACTTACTGTTGATTTTTGCAATGAACAAGTCTGTCAATGCCTTGTAGAGAAATGATTCTGCCTCGCAGAGATTCACTGCTATGACACGTTCCGTGATCTTGGGTATTTCAATGAGTGGGCGTCCCATGAACCGACTCTCGTGTGTTTTCCGATGCAGGATCGACCTCAGGATGTTGACCAGTCGCTTCCTGGATGCCAAAGATCCCTTATATAACTGGGTCAGAGATTGCCAGCCAGCCACGGCAATATTTGACTCACATCACAATAGCACTTCTTGAATATTTCAAAATCAGAACTGTTGGGAACGCCGAGGAAATTAAAGTAAGGGAACATTTCCTCAACGCAGCTAAAAAGAAAAGGCATAACACTGTAAGTATGCTATTCCAGAATATACTAGTAGCGATAAAAAACATTACCGTACTTACTTGTGTAGAGGAGTCCCACTGAGAATCCACGTGAAATGTCCGCTCAAAGCTCGCACAGCCATGGATGTATGCGAGCCTGGATTTTTGACGTAATGCCCTTCTATAACAAGATGTTAGAGTAGAGTGGTCAGAACTTTCAAGAAAGGTACGATTACCGTCAACCACAATTCTGTGCCATTTGACTTGGTGGAACATGCCTAGCTCGCGATCATAATGTTCATACCACCAGTCCATGATATCCTGAGGTGTTTTAAGTTGCTTTGGTGCCGTCGGCTTTGGATACGACTTCCGAATATCCTCGAAGGTGGCAATTCTGTTGCTGTTTCAGTAAAGTTTGATAAAAATGGGCCATGGAATTAGTTGTCTCACATCACATCAAAGTTGAGAATGCTATCAGGGTTCGAAAAGGCCGAAATCGTTCGACTGTCGTACTTGAAGGTGTCCCCGAAGATATCAAGATCGAAATGGAGTTTTATTTGTCGCATCCTGCTAGTGGATTAGTACCAGTCGCTGAAAATAATTTCTTATCGACAGCCTTACCAGTGATCAACAAGCTGGGAAGGCACAATGATGAGCGTCGGAGGCCTTTGCTCGTTTCGATCCCGGCGTCTGCCGTCCAGAATGTTGGCAAGGGCAGTGACCGTTTTCCCTAGCCCCATCACGTCACAGAGTAAGCCCCCGGATGGCGCCGTAGTTGATCTTTCCCGGTCACGCTAAAGAATGTCGCGAGAATATTAGTGCTTATCAAATCAAGACATGAGGATGAACTTACCATCCACCCTACAGCCATAACCTATTTGGAGTCAGCGTTAGAACATTGAAAGGATAGTTGATTAAATTTTCGAACCTGGTGATGGTAGAGACTTGATTTGAGGCCTTTGACCTTCCAACCTCCCTTCTCATCGCTCTTGGGCTTGTAGTCGAATTGTTTGATTGCCTCATTGATCCTAAACTTGTCCGACCGAGCTTCGGCTTGATCCTCAGTGGGAATACTGGCAACCATTTCCTCAAGAGCGACTTGTCTGTTTCGGCTAGTGAACCCAGGAGCAGCAGGCAATTCTGAGTTTATTCTAGCGCTCTCGATGATGTCGCTATGGACAAAAATGCTTTGAAGCTCTTTTTCCGAGAGTCTGGTCGTTCTTGTCTTCGATTGACGCTCCATTTCAGGAAAACGGGGGCTTGCTTGGGTGCCATCGAATCTGCGCTTTGCAGGTGTGAAAAGCTTGCAAAGTCCTATCTTCTTTGCCCGTTCCTGCTCCCTTTTCGACCGCTTGAGCCTAATTCTATTTGAAGGCTTTCTTTTCGGTGCAGCAGCCGAGTGCTTGACAGTTGCCTCTCTGTCTTTGGGTCCAGGGTCTAGAGTCTGGGTTTCTTTCTCTTCTGCATTCGGATTCTCTGCGTAGTCGCCAATTTCGTGACTCGGTGATAATTCGTGACCCGGAGACGCTTTGGTGGATTCTTTTAATTTGCAGAACAGCAGATTGTCGTCATTGTCGGAATCATCATCAAAGCCAAAGTCATAGCTGAGGTCCATATCTTTCTCAGATTCTTCCTCCGCGTCTTCCTCGCGGTCTTCCTCATTGACACCCGCCTCGCTAGATCCACTGCATTGGAGTGCCAATTGTTGTTTTTGGTTCTCCCTCTTGGCCCTTAGAAATTGAATTCGAGCTTCTGCTGAGAGATCTTCGGGGAATTTCAACTCCTCCTCGGGACCTTGAGAACTGGCTGCTGTGTTTTCACTGGGATCCCCTTTGACGTCAGAATCATCATCTGAGCCCTGGGTGTCCCGCAGAAGAAACTGAGCCCGGAAATTCTCAGTCTCTGGGCATAAACGAATTATTTCATTTTCAGGAGGCTGGGAGCTGCGTGAACCGTTCGCCTTGTATGGATCTTCGAAGATTCTTCTCTCATTTCTCTGGTGATTGTTGAACTCATGACAAGAGTTGCTTCTTCTGGAGCCGTCGGGTGTCTGCTGAATGAGCTTTCGATCTTGTCTCGGTGAATTGTTGACCGGAAGGTGCGATTCCGCACTAAGATTGTTGTCGCTGTCCATGGTATTTGCCTGTGAGGAGGAGAAATAGGGAGGCTTTTGGTCAATTCAGAAACTTGATGGGTGCATGCGTATAACTGGATGTAGATTGAGGGAACAAACCTTTTGAAGGAATGATGAAGACATCTGAGAGGACTGGAGGAGGTAATAGGTGTAGATGGGAAGATAGAAGGCAATATGGAAGTGGGTGAAGAAAAAAGGCAATATGGAGGAGGGAAAAGAAAGAAGTCGAGTAGGGAGCAGAGGAGGAGATATAAAAAGGGGCAGAGTGAGTGTGATGAAGAATTGTGTGAGTAGTATTGAGAGTTGAAGAGGTTCAAGATGTGGCGGAAGGTGGAACTTGGGAGTAGTGACAGTTGGAAGAGGTTCAAGACGCGAAGGATGGTGGAACTTCAGAGAGGTAGAGGAAGTAGTGGGATAGACATGGAATAAGTACCTTGTCAGGGTCCCATATATCTAGGATACAGCAGCTGATATCCCTACTACCCAGGTACCTATCTAGGTAGGTGGTAAGTTCTTAATCTTTGAGTAAGCCTTGGAATGAGATTCTGAAAATGATTGAGGTAATGCAAGCTACTACTAGTATGAGCACGTAGGTTTTGTGAATAGATATTTTTGAACTGACAAGCAAGGATATCGTTTCAATTGACTCGACGGGGTATAGGGAATCCAAAATTCAATGGTCATATCGGTGGCTCTAGGGCCAGAACGCCGTCCAAGATGGAGTCCGGAGTCACATCCATTAAAACATGAGATACAGCTCCCAGCTCACTGCCGTATTGGAGACTGCGATCGTCCTCTGGGTTTGCGACGATGATTCGATGGCGGAAGACCTTCCTCGCGGCCAGTGCCACAATCGATGGCGTGAGGTAATCAATACCGTGGACCGGAGCCAGAAATCTGAATCGGACAGTTAATGATAGATATCCCGGATGAAATGAAAGACATAATTTACTGTGCAAACCGAGCGAATTGGTTATTTGCTTTTGCAGAGACGCCGCCGGCAACAGCACGGCTGAGGCGCAGAAAGACAACTATATCCTGGATATATCGGACGACCTCCGCACTCGTGGTGACTGATTCACTCGCTTCTCGAAGATAGTCGATTTGCTTCAAGTCATTAGCAACACAAAGAAGTACCGGGGAGGAAATATTACTGTAGCATTGACTGTGGTACGTTTCCTCTTGGCCAGTATTGGATTATGAACAACGGAGGACACGGAGAGTTGGCCGTCAGAATACCATTCGCCTTCTTCCAGGAACACAAATCCATCTTCGGGAGCATGGAAGTGTGAAACCAAAAGGTGTTCGGTCTGTGATCTTGTATTAGAACGAGACCATGGGATTGGCTCGACGGGGAGGAGGAGGCTCACGAGATGTGTCTGTAAAGCGGGCTTGAGCTGATCAGATTCTCGGGCTACCAGTGGTATAAAGAGGAAGCTTTCTGGTGCACTGAGAGTTCCCATCTCGGTGACTAGCTTCCTCGTCCGCATCAACTATAGGTTTTATCAGTGTGGCCCGCTTCGACATTGTGATAAGGCAATGTTACCTGCAATGTCTGAACCTGGACATCATCCTCCACTATATTGAAGTTTTTTGCGATGACCACGTTCACCACGTTTGTTTCCCGTAAGGGGGTATTTGGGACTGGCGATTTGTTTCGATCACGACGGCCCATGTATGATGAGAGATTACTAGACTGTGACCCGTTAGTCCACGATCATATAAAGATATGAAAGACAAAATTCGTTGGCATCACACCGATTCTGTTTTCATTCGAAAGTATGATGGCCTCTCTTGGTTCCTGCGCGCGTCTGCAGTGAGAATATCATTGTAAAGTTCCCCAATGGAGGTTGCGGGGGTACAATCAACAATGCAGGATGATAGTTCAAATGTGTTGGAAGCTATCTGTAGAGTGTATTAGCCATTAGAGTCCAAAGAGATAAGAGCAACAAGAGACCAATGAAACAGGGAGTGGGAAATGTACTAAAACCAACTCTTTTGCAAGATCGTTGAGACAATTCCCCGTGGTCTCGATCAGACAATGCTCGCGACTGGCTAGACACAGAAAAAGGGCCACTTCAAGGTCCGAGAGCTGTCGAGCAATATCCTCCAAGCCGTGATCATCCATTTCTCAGCTCCATGAAGGTACCGAATGCCCTCGGTGAAATGTGATGGGGGTAATGACGAGTGGAGGGGAACAGACGGACATTTGAAGATGGCCTTGTTGCCTTACTGCCTCGACACCTGACTGTGGGGGCTACAAACAGCTACCACTTTAGGACTAGCGCATACACCCGCCTTGGCTGAGTTCCGTCTGGCCCTCCGTTCGTCAACGTCAACACGGGGGGAATGGATTGACGGTTTGTTCAAAGGCCATCGTCTGTGACACAAATCGGCCAGAAATGGCTCCTTCAAACCCCTTAGCCAACTGGGAAAAACTCGGTGACAGTTTCTATCGCAAAATTCCGGTCTACGATGCCGTGTTCGATGAAGAGGTCGAACTAGAGAACTACATCGTTGCGGGCGCTCCGTATGGAGGAGCAATAGGTACGACTTGAGCGGCTCCTGTGGTTAAGGGCGGTGCACACTAATGACAGTTTTGATACAGCTCTATATCGTGATGATAACAAGCCGTTCAGGTTACGCGACTCCCAGGCATTGCGGTCGGGTATCGACATTTACTCATGCTCAGGCAAACTGATCAATCAAATTAATGTACTTGTGTCTTTATTTCGAGTTCCTCAAGTATATCGGAAATTAATTGGTGCTTAGTGGGACCAAACCACCATTCGAGGGCTTGGATGGTCCGATAAAGAAGAGCTCCTCGTTGTTGCTGAAGATGGCACGGTCCGTCGTTACTTTGGGCTAGATGGCGAGTTCACATCTTTCTCGCTAGGCAATGTGAGTTTATTTCCAAAGATGATGATGCTCCTATTTCTCATGAGAAATTGCAAATCACTGACGGTATGCAGGGTGCAGAGGAGTACGGGGTGAGGAGCTGCCAATTCTGGGCCTCCGGTTTGGTGGCATTGCTGTCTAATAATCAGCTGATCTCTGTCTCAAAATACGATGAGCCACGCCCGCGACTTCTCGCCCCCTGTCCAGAGGGCGAGGTCTCTTCTTGGGCGCTAAGCCCACCCGCGCATACTCTCTCACGCTCGGTTGAGGTTCTGCTAGCTGTTGATAAAACAGTCTATCTCGTTGATTCAAATGAAGCAGAAGATAAAATCCTGCAGGACGGGCCATTCAAGCTTGTCAGCGTATCGCCGTCCGGACGTTTTGTGGCACTTTTCACTGGAGAGGGGAGATTGTGGGTCGTCAGTGTCGACTTCCAGAACAAACTCTGCGAGTACGACTCCAAATCCCGAGTTGTCCCCAGCTCCATGGATTGGTGTGGGGATGATGCCGTGGTTCTTGCCTGGGAAGATGAGATCCATTTGGTTGGCCCCAGTGGAGCCGCGTCCAAGTAAGTAAACAGATACTTGATATTCTAGTCCTTGCTAATGGCCGTTAGGTTTTACTATGATGCCCGAGTCCATGTCATACCGGAATTCGATGGTGTTCGCCTAATAACGAACGACACATGTGAATTCTTGCACAAAGTCACAGACGTGACAGAGAATATCTTCAAGCTAGGGTCTTCTACCCCAGCATCGGTACTTCTCGATTCCGTCGAGCAACTAGAGAAGATGTCACCAAAGGCCGATGAACACATACAAGGCATCAAATCAGACCTTCCTGATGCGGTAGATACCTGCATCAAGGCAGCAGGCCATGAGTTTGATGTCCATTGGCAGAAACGTCTCTTAAAGGCTGCTTCGTTTGGGAAGTCAGATCTTGTGCTTTACAACAGTGATGAATTCGTCGCAATGACCGAAAAGCTTCGCGTTCTGATCGCTGTCCGTGATTTTAAAGTCGGATTACCGCTTTCATATGAACAATATCTGCGCTTAACCCCTGAAGGCCTTATCGAACGACTCATAAGCCGCCATGAGTACATGCTAGCAATTCGCGTCTCTGAATATCTTGAAATACCCGCAGATCGCATCTATGTTCACTGGGCAAGCCAGAAGGTCCGGGTATCCACAGTGGATGACGAAGCCGTATGCAAACTCATTGTCCAAAGACTGGAAGGAAAGCCAGGAATCTCTTTCGAAACAATCGCACAAACAGCCTACGACGAAGGGCGAACACACCTGGCTACTAAGCTGCTTGACTACGAACCTCGTGCTGGTAAGCAGGTACCCCTGTTGTTGAGTATGGAAGAGGACGAGGTAGCACTGGATAAGGCGATTGAAAGTGGCGATGACGACCTGGTAAACTACGTTCTTTTGCAATTGAAGAGTAAGTTACCTCTCGCCAGCTTTTTCCGCACGATCAACAGCCGCCCCATGGCATCTGCATTGGTTGAGACCGCTGCCCGAGATGAAGATACAGAACTTCTCAAAGATCTCTTCTATCAAGATGATCGACCTATCGATGGCTCGAATGTCTTGCTGTCGGAAGCCCTTAGGGAAACCGAGCCAGAGCGCAAAACCGAGAAACTTCACCTAGCAGCACGTTTACTATCCGACTCAAAGGACCCAACGGTGGTGCTACAGCAGAAACTTGTTTCCGAGGCCTCCCAACTCTTAAAAGCTCAAGAATCTTTGGACAAAGACCTTGCAGACCGCGCTGAATTCCTCGGTCTCAGCCTGAATGAGACGGTCTATCGACTATTCCGAGCGGGCTACGGTAAACGAGCGCATAAGATGCAATCCGAATTTAAGATGCCAGAAAAGACCTACTGGTGGCTACGATTAAGAGCACTGGTCGCGAAAAGGGACTGGGGCGAATTGGAAGAAATCGCAAAGGCGAAGAAGTCCCCAATTGGATGGGAGGTAAGATATGATTGGCATGCAAAGTCGTGATTATCTGACACTGTACTAATATAAAAACCGCAGCCCTTTTATAACGAGGTTCTCGGTGCAGGAAACACAAAGTTGGCATCCGTGTTTGTCCCGAAATGCACAACTCTAAAACCTGCCGAGCGGATTGAAATGTGGGTGAAGTGTGGAATGATCATCAAAGCAGGAGAAGAGGCACAAAAAGCCAAGGACTTGGGGACCCTTGAAGCCCTTCGAACCAAAGCTTCTGGGCCGGCGTCCGCAGAGATCGAACGTATGATCAACCAGCTCAGGCCAAGGAAATAATGGGTAAGAGGCGTCGGCATAGTTTTTTGGGAGGCGTATCATGTTCAAGTGATTTCATCATCTTCGTCAACCGGGGCAGGGTCCGCATCCTCCAGCTCTACTGGGGCTGCAAAAACATTTGCCTTGGGTTTTTGCTGGGGCTTGTCTTCGGTCATGGCGTCGTCGTCTTCATCGTCGTCGTCTTCATCGTCATCGTCTTGCTGGAGAGCTGCAAATGCGGATGCAGTGCGGTTGGTGTCCTCCCACTCAGACTGGAACATTCTGTGTCAGTCACCGCGAAGGCTTCATACAATAGATTTTCAATATTAGAGGAATCATACACTTCTTGTTTTGATGGCCTTCGCTCGGACAATGCTTTTAGATCTCTTGATTTGCAGCTGGTCAGAGACTGCCTCGGCTCTCTCCATTCCCTTCTGCTGTCTCAAACGCTGTGCCCTTGTAATCTTGCTGTTACTCTTCTTCTTTTTCGAAACGCCGGCATTTGCACGATCGGCCAAGAGGGAAGGTCGTGAAGTAGTGGGGGAATCGGCTCGTGGTAAGGCGGCTATGGATTTGTCCTCCGGGGTGGCAGCCCGCCTCGCCGCGCGTTTGTTTTGGCCAACGACTAGTTGGGTGTTAGAGACATATAGACTCTGGAATACAAAGATAAGATAGAGGAACGGTGTGACTCACGTCTATTCTTCGCCATGGTGGGATGTGTTTTGAAAAGATCAAGTCTCTCCCACCCTGCTGAAAATGTGTGTGGAGAACCACTATCGATAAAAAAAAGTTTACGGTGGGCGCGATGAACCTAAAGCGCAGTCCCAGAACCAAAATATACTTGGGAAGTACAAGACAAACGCAATGTCACTTGCCTTCTCCGCTCCACCTTCCTACAAAGCCTCCCTTTACCCTCTAGTGGGCCGGTCAACTACATCCTGCTAGTCCATGCCTGACACGCATCTGTACTACCGCAGCTCTCTCAACATACCCTTTCCGCCATGAACGCTCAAGGGAGAGCTGACATCTTCTCGAACGGCCCCATCTATTACGCAAGCTCGAGCAGCCACGATGCGACATCTGCTACAGCACTGCAGAACCACCAGACTTTAGCATACACCTTTGTCGGTCTCGTCTCTATTTATCTACTTGCGGACCATTTTGGCTTCGCTCCAGTGTCCCTCATCCAGTTTCTTTGGAACATCTTGGTCTACATAACGCCCTCGCGCATCCTTGTCGCATTAGACTCCCGAATGTCGCCGTCCGATTCCGACCCCTCCAACCCCTCGCAAATGACCTTCCACGCCAAAAGCGAATCCATGCAACGTATTCTCGGCCTCGACAGCACTTCCTTCCCTTCTTTTCCTCGTCCCAGGTCGCTTTCCGGTATTGGCAGCGTTTTCTTGGGCAACAGCAGAGATGCCACTCCTTCGGGGCTGGGAAACTGGGATAACTCCTGCTATCAAAATAGCACAATTCAGGGACTGGCCTCTTTGAAGTCTTTCTCGAACTTTCTCAAGCGAAATGTCGATGAATTGGCGGAGAAGAGCCCACTGTCAACGCACCAAGCACTGCAAAGTATTATCGAGCTTTTGAATAGCGCATCGAACTCCGGAAACAAGTTATGGATCCCATCGGAACTGAAGTCAATGAGCAGTTGGCAACAACAAGACGCCCAGGAATACTTTTCGAAACTGGTCGACCAAATCGACATCGAGATTCGACAGGCTTCAAAAGGACAAACAAGGAACATGGGGCTTAAGATGGCTGGGCCGGAGGAAAACATTCTTGGTGGCAATACACATGAGTCAACGACCGACGACGACTGCTCTATAGCGGCTTCGACACACGAGGCGGCCCTTTTTCGCAATCCCCTTGAAGGTCTACTCGCTCAACGAGTCGGGTGTACCAAGTGTGGTTGGACAGAGGGCCTATCTCTAATTCCATTCAACTGCCTCACTGTGCCGTTGGGGGGGTAAATATGAATACGACGTGGACGAATGTTTAGATCACTACACCGCATTGGAGGAAATTGAAGGCGTGGAGTGTGCCAAATGTACGCTCCTGCGTGCTCAACAGCAATTGAATAACCTCTTGGGTGATATTTCCGAAGTTGACAAGTTTGCGGACAAGTCCACGTCGCCTGGCTTGTCAGACGCCGTCCGAACTTCCGCCCAAACAAGACTCGAGGCCGTCAATGCCGCCCTGGAGGCAGACGATTTCGCCGAGAAGACGCTCACGGAAAAATGCCATATTCCCTCAAAAAACCGGGTCACTTCCACAAAGTCTCGACAAGCGGTCATTGCTCGAGCCCCAGAATCTCTCATTGTCCATATCAACCGAAGCCTGTTTGACGAGACGACCTATTTACTCAAGAAGAACTACGCAGGCGTCAATTTCCCCAGGATCATGGATCTCAATCAGTGGTGTCTTGGCGTTCGACCGACCGAAGAATCCGGAGATTCCCATGAGAAATGGATTACGGACCCCTCCCAGTCAATGCTCCCTCGTGCAGGTGAAGTAATTGACATTCCAAGCAGACGATACGAGCTCAGAGCCATCATCACACATTATGGTCGACATGAAAACGGGCATTACATCTGCTACCGCAAGTACCCCACGGCAGTTTTCCCAGCACCTGTCCCAGACGAAGTTCTACAGGCCGAAGGCGACAAGGAGAAACCGGAACGCTGGTATCGACTCAGCGATGACGATGTCCAAATGGTGAGCGAAGGCCATGTGATGTCACAGGGTGGTGCGTTCATGCTTTTCTACGAAGCGATCAAGGACAGCCTGTCCGAATGCTCCGAGGAGGCGGTTGATCCTGAAACCGTTCAGTTTGACCCAGCGGAGTCGCTATCCAATTTCACCATGTCTGAAGACATGTCCACGGCATCTACAATCACGGATGCGGATTCTAGCACATCACGCGCAACTAGCGTTTCTGCCTCGGATAATCCTTTGCTTGCTGATACAATCAAGCTTTCGACTCCACCTTTGAAAACAGAAGAGGCGGTCGATGTGAATATTCAGAACACCCCTGATTCACTTACCTCCCCATCTATCGTCAGCGCGACCTGATCCACTTCCTTTTCCAATATTCTACTGCTTCTTTCGTCAACGACACCGCCGTTCAATCGGCTTCTGCATCATCGTGATACCCGAGTATATATTTCATTTGGGGCGTTTACAGGGGATTATGTCTTTGTTTGTATTTTTTTTTGGAAATGTAATTCTAGCGCAAAGCCTATCGCAATCATACACACCCCGCAAGGAGGCCATTTTGAATCTCGCCATGGAAAACGTGTGCCATGAGAAAGCACCAGTAGTACTCCTTAAGTTGTATATACCAGTCTAAATTACTAGTACTGGTCCTAAGTCGCTGTTCTGGGTCTCGACTTGAGAAACAGATCAGTAGCCACATAGCTCGCTTTATCCCGACCCCCGTTCAACGTGATGCCATTGCCATTGCCGCCCGCGTCCAAACATTGATTCCCATGCGTCTCCCCCCTCGCACATTCATACTACCCTCCACCATTTTGCAATGCTGACGCCACTCGCTGAGAACAACATCAATCTCCGTTTTGGTATCACCAACCAAAGCATCCATATTGATATCATTCCTATCATAACCAAAGGGATCCTCAAGCTGAGAGCCAATCCCCTCAATACCATAAAGAGTAAAAATCACCAAACTAACGATAGGAATAGCCCACCATCCCATCTCATCCACCATCGCAAAGGGCAGTACGCAGCCGAATAGCGCGAGAACCTGTTTCTGATGAATCCTGTACAGTCACTTCAGTCAGCACTCCTCTCTTTCTTCCCGGGCAGCGTTTGCAATAAATCACTCGTTGAGACTTACAGATGTGCGACAGGGATCGGAGTCAATTTAATAGTCTCCATCCGCCCATACGCCTCAAGAAGCGTATTCAACTGCGCTTGCATCTGGCTCGCACTCGGCGCACTAAACCACCCCCTCCCCTCCCCGCGCTTGATGAATCCGTCCACAAAGAACGTCAACTGATACGGTAATCCCAGTCCCTCGTCTTCGTGTCCTTCCAGTCCGGCTGGAAGTAAACCCGCATATTCGGGGTTATAAGCCGCATCTCCGTGCTCGTTCAGGTCGTTTCCGAGAAAGCCGCCGCCAGCCCATGCGGCGCCCCATTCCGCGCGGAGATGGTTCTTCGTGGCGAATGGGATGGCGACTAGGATGCGGATCGTGCGCTCTATGTCTTCGCGCTCGGAGGGCGTCGGTGGGCCGAGCTTGTTGTAGCTGTTTGTTACTATTGTTCTTGAGAGGTTGCGGACACAGGTGTTTAGTGTGCTCATGCCGTTGCGGCCGTCCCAGAAGCGATTGTAGGAGGTTTGGTTGCGGAAGACGAGGATTAGACCCACGACGATGGAGAGGGATGGGATCTTGATTGATAGTTAGTTGGCGATGTACCCTATAGTATCTTTCGATACGAGCAGGGGGGGACGAACAATGCTAGCGGGTAATCCGACCGATTCAAAGACATAGGTATCGAGATAGACCACGAATGCAGTGAACCATGCATGCAGAAAAACGGGTAGAATGATCTCGGCGTGGATTGCGCCCTTGATAAAGCGGAAGACGAGCGGCCATCTATATGGGATGTTAGTTGATTGGACGGGACGCAAAATATAGCTCGACTCACCTCCTCGGCTTCCTGCGAGACGAAAGCAAGTGCGGATGTGTTGTGCGACGCTTGTGGTGTCTCTCGTATGGCGAGGTATTCTGACGACTCATGGTCGGGGTGGGCGGCTCGCTGAAGTTCAAGCGCGGGCCGCTCTGGCGAACCCGTTCGATGGACATCGAGACAGCTCTTTGACGGTTATGGGATTTGACGCAGGTGTGTCTGCTTGTCAAGTGTCTCCTAGACTTCTTGACAGGGTTCTAGAATACCTTAAGGGCCGAAGACAGCCTCGTCGATTAGAGTGGCGGTCAATCAATAGGGGTGGGTCGAGATTCTGCGATGTCAACAGTGGACAAAAGGTGGGGAAGCCGCAGGGATCGACGTCAATGACATATGCAAGTGCCCCAAACATACAAAATAGTACTCTAGTCTGCAGATTTACGCTATGCCGGACTATACTAGATACCTAGGTAAGCATGGTGTTTGGTTAGACAGGAAAGCATTCCCTCTTCTTCAATCGGAAGCTTGACTTCCCTGCTTGGGCGGCGTTTCAAGATTACTAGTGTTACCTATACAAATTTGGACATAGATTATTGTATAGTGTAAGTAGCTTTAAAATTTTAGCTATAGATAGTCAGTACTACTAGTACTTTACAGATATGAACATTATACTACTTGGTTTCCTATCCAACTACATATCCAGTCCTCTGAATTGTTAGGATCAACCTTGGAAGCAACTTCAATTTTTCTAGGTACGATGACTTCGCTGAGAACTTGAAGCCTGCTGGGGGTGGCAGAGCCTTATAAAGAACAGGCAGGAAAACTGAGTCGTTTGCGGCTATGGAGCTCCGTACCCCCTTGACATCTGACGCCAGTAACACTTCCACTCACATTCAAGTTGCTTCACCACACCGACACGATGTCGCAAATTATCTGCAGCTTCTTGGTTCTTTTCAGTCTATCACTACTGTCAGTGGTCACTGAAGGTCCGGATATTTCAGCATTGAGACCTCACCATGGAAGGGTACTAGTATCTGACCTCATCGTGTTTGGCGTACTCATCGGGATATACACTTCTGACGCGCTCCATCCTATACCAGACCATTATCTCAACTTCACCAAATTTCTATCGCGGAAGACAAGAGATAATAGACTGGGCCACTTGTTTTGAGCTTCGGGGCACATTGTATTGGGCACCACCCATCTCCCATCAAGTGCCGAATTCCTGCTTACTTTGCTTTCTTCAGTTTTCATAATCTGGGATCAATCGAAATCCCGTGTCCCGTGAATAACAGGAGGCCAAACAAATGCACAATTTAGGAGTCAGTCTCAACCTCGTCGATCGGGCTGTTTGAGTTTTGCCCTTACTTACAAGAGACAGAGATCTATCATGTGCCCAAGAAATCGTCGCCTTTGACCGGTCACACTCACACATTCTGAGTATGGGAGGCAAGACGTGGCAGAAGCCGGTCGGACAACTCGCAGGGAGCGTGAGATGTGAGCAGAGAACTGGCGAGGAGGGAGAAGCTTGGAAGATCAACCCCAGCTGGATGAGACACTCTCGACAGTGTCCTGGTGATCTTTGTCGGACTGACCGAGATTGCGAGACTGGCCCCAGAACACCGAGCTGCTTCTGTTCCAAATTGAGGACTTGTCAATTCACAGGGTGGTAATTTGAGGAGAGACAAGTGACACAGTCGATAATGAAAGGATATCTTGTTTCAATAGTATCTTGATTTTCGTATCATTGTCGGTTTTTGAAACGAGCCACGCTCTCGAGATGTTCAATACTTCTAAAGTGGGTCCTGGATACATGGGTAAGGTACTAGTACCCTAAGAGTTTACTACGACTAGAGTACGGAAAAGGGTAGAGCATTTTTCAACAGTGATGACGTGCTGTTTTTACCAATGTACCGTGTGTTTAGGTATCCGAATTCATCCCTCGGACAGGAAGCCTCTTGCCGTGACGAGTCCCCTCGGTGATCTAAGATATGAAAGAATCACTCCCAAGGTCGCGGTTTGATCAGATTTCGAGATATACTAGATGATCCATCGGAGCCCACGTAATCACTTTATTTAGATCAAACGCTTGTTTTCTAAGATTGCCGGGCCAAACAGGGATCATGACTGTGTCGGGTTGCCGAGCTCTGTAGGCGGGAACCCTAAATGGCTCTAAATCTCGGGTTTTCCGAGCAGCACAACTTTGCAGGACCCTCTCAGTTCCGGATCCTCCGCCATCCGCGTAATGGCCCCCCCCTGAATCCACGTAATGGTCCCCATAACTCAGCAATAGGGCTACCGGATCCATGACAAGGGACTGACTAGTTGCCGATTTCTGCTTGTTTCATGTCCTGATCGACAGTCCTGATGTCGGCTCTCTCGGAGCCTGACGCAGTACGCGTCTCAGGTGTTTTACGTGATTTTTCATCGGAGAAAATACCGGTTTGAATGAGTATACTCCGTACATAAGGCTGGAGTCCTGTATCTGTATAAGCTTAAAAATGAGTTTATATCTTCCTAGATCTGCTCCGTTCTTTTCATCTTGAACTTTCATTTCTAGGCCCTGTTATCTCACACCTGAGCTATGAAGCTCCACTCGTCAGCCCTTTTCGCGGCCCTCTTGGGTTCTGCCTCTGCGTTGGCCAGCAGCGGAAACAAGGGTCTTCTCTCTAATGGCGATGGTGAGCCACCATAAGTTCATTTACTGGAAAGGCATTGACTAACTTTATACTTCAAAGTCACGTTGAGCGCTGAGTGGCAAGCCGCATACGAGAAAGCTGCCAAATTCGTCTCCAAACTAAACACCACCGAGAAGATCAACCTCATTACCGGCAGCAGCGTCAACACTACAGATGGCAGCCAGTATTTTACCGCGCTCCAATTCTTGGATGGCTCCATGGGTCTCCAGGACTATTACTATGTATCAGCCTTCAGTCAGGCATCGGCATTGGCTATGACCTGGGATAAGGATGCCATCTATGCGCAGTCAAAGGCCATTGCTACTGAGTTCTATCTCAAGGGAATCCAAGTTGTCGATGGTCCCACTTCCCAACCGCTTGGTCGCACTCCCTGGGGTGGTCGACTTGTTGAGACCTTTGGACCAGACCCCTACTTGAATGGTATCGCCACAGGGTTGGGTGCCAAGGCATACAAGGATACTGGTGTCATTGGTGGCATCAAGGTATGTTATCTGGTGTGAATACTTTCAGGTAGTCCCCGCTAAAATTTATTAGCATTTCATTCTAAACGAGCAGGAAACCAACCGTACTGGGAGTATGGGAGGAGGTGGTGGAGGAGGTGGTGGTTCCCCTCCCGGCATGGGCTCTTCCTCGGGCTCCTCGTCGAGCTCTGCAGCAGCTCAGCCTTCATCTTCTGCCAGTGCAATGAGCATGGGAGGAATGTCATCTTCATCTTCCTCTTCATCTTCCTCCTCATCTTCGGGGGCCCCTTACTCGTCCAACGCCGACTCGAAGACCCTTCATGAGACTTACCTCTGGTCTTTCTATGATGCAGTACACTCCGGTGCTGGCGGTGTCATGTGTGCTATGACAAAGGTTAACAACACTCTTTCATGCGAGTCTTCTTCGCTCTTGATGGACCTCCTAAAAACCGAGCTTGGTTTCCCGGGCTTCGTCTTCCCTGATACCAATGGTCAGCAGCACGCCCTGTTATCGGCAAACAACGGTCTGGACTACGGTTCTTCCAGCCTTTGGAGCACATCGACCATCGAAGGTTATCTGAAGACGAAAAACATGACTGAAGCCCGTTTGAACGATATGGCGGTCCGCAATCTTATCGGATACTATTACGTTCACCTGGACAATGGCACCCAGCCTTCGACCGCTGAGAAGAATGCTTACGTCGATGTTCGAGGTAACCATGCTAAGCTGATCCGCTCCAACGGCGCCAAGTCCCTGGCTCTTCTTAAGAACAAGAACAACGCTCTGCCTCTCAATAAGCCCCACACTATGGCTATCTTTGGTGCCAATGCCCGTGCCGTCATTGCTGGTCCCAACCAGGAATTCAGCGTTCAGGGATCTGGTCCTACTTATGATGGTCACCTTGCTACTGACTCCGGATCTGGACAGGGATCGCTGCCCTATCTCATTACACCCGAAATTGCCTTGACAATCAAGGCGAGTCAGGAGGGAACTATGCTCCGTTGGGTTGCGAATGATACCTACTCTACCTCCAGTGGCTCTTCTCTTGTTGTGAAGGGGTCTGATACTACTTCTATCTCGCCGTCTATCAGCAACTATGCCGCGGACATGGATGTTTGCCTTGTCTTCATCAACGCACTTGCGGGTGAAGGTGCTGACCGAACCGAGCTGTACAACGATGACCAGGACTCTTTGGTCAACGAAGTTGCCGACAACTGCGCGAATACCGTGGTGGTTATTAACACTGTTGGTGCCCGTCTTGTCGATCAGTGGATCGAGCATGACAACGTGACTGCCCTTGTGTATGGTAGTTTGTTAGGCCAGGAGTCTGGAAACTCGATCATTGACGTTCTCTACGGCGACGTCAACCCCAGCGGAAGATTGATCTACACCATTGCCAAGAATGAATCCGATTATAACGTCGGAATCTGCGAGACTCACAACTGCAACTTTACCGAGGGTAACTTCATCGACTACCGCTACTTCGATGCCTACAATGTTACTCCGCGCTACGAGTTCGGATACGGTCTTTCCTACACCAACTTCACCTACGCCGATCTCAAGATCGATTCGCCCAAGCTTCAAGTTTCGCAATATCCTACCGGCAAGCTCTCTGTCGGCGGATACGAGGATTTGTGGAATGTGGTTTCTAAGATCAGCGCCACTGTCCACAATACTGGATCCATTGATGGTGCCGATGTGCCGCAGCTGTACATCAGCTACCCCAAGGCCGCCAAGCAGCCCCTGCGTCAATTGCGTGGGTTTGAGAATATCGACCTCAAATCTGGACACAAGGCCGATGTAGAGTTTGAGCTTCGCCGTCGCGATATTTCTTACTGGGACGTCAAAGCACAGCAGTGGGCTATCGCTCCTGGCACTTACAAGGTTTACCTCGGTGCCAGCTCGAGGGATCTGAAGCTCCACGATACCTTCAATGTGGAGATCAAGGACAACGCTTAGAGTTGTGTGAAATATAGTCTATACATTTTAATTAATCCAATAGATCTGTTGAACGAGACGAGACCTCTTTCTTTTCATTAATACAGTCCATAGACGAGTATGTCTATTCGCAAAAACACTTCTAATAAGGCTATTATTTCCTGTCAACACCTATGGAATCTGCCCGAGGCCAAGGTTAACCCCTCACGATTTAAAGTCTATAATAGCCGGCCCGGGGACCGGCAAAACATACTAGTCACATCAAGCATAACTGGGGGGGCAAGTCACGCCCGCTAACCCCCATCCAATCCGAGATAGGCTTATCACTTGGCATCGCCATCTCCTCCCCTTCGCGGGTTGGGGTACCTGTGGCGCCTGATAACGCCCGCCTTTAGTCTTTCCTTTATCTGTACTTGGCGGTTTGACAAAGCTTCTTCAACCTGCAAACATGGTGTTATACACTTTGCAAGCCAACCAGAGCATCGTGCAGTATACCTTGAACGATAACCCCTCAAGACACACGAAATGGCTATCAACATGGTAGTGTTCACGACTCCGCACCCGCACGATGGTCCGAGCCTACTCCTAGCATTCCACTCGAATACAACGTCGGTGCGCGTTTATCTATAAAGAGCCAATGTTCCCCGCTCTCTGATCCGGATCCATTCCCCTCATAGCCCTCCGGTATACCATCAGCATGGAGAAGAAAGCATCAGTGGAGGACATCCCCATTTCCAAAGAGGATGCCAGCACTGGCACCTCTCTCCCCTACCGGGAGACCCAGCGCGGTCTCGCCTCACGCCATGTGCAATTGATGGCGATTGGGGGTTCGATTGGAACCGGACTCTTCGTCGGAATTGGCTCATACCTGCGCGATGCTGGCCCTCTTTCATTGTTCCTGGGCTATCTGATCTGGGGCTGTCTATTCATCTTACCCGTGAACCTGAGCGTCGGAGAAATGTGTGCCTACCTACCTATTCGAGGATCGATCTTCGAACTCGCTGCACGGTTCATTGACCCTGCTTTTGGCTTCGCCATGTAAGTCAAGTCCCCACTCCCCTGGCGGGCTTCCCCGCATTTCAACCAGTGATCCACATTCTCATTGTTTTGACTTCGACCAACTGTAGGGGATGGGTCTACTTCTATGGCGGCGTCATGCTAGTCTGTACCGAATATGCCGCCGTCGCTACCGTCATGCAATACTGGAACACCAGCGTCAATCCCGCGGTCTGGGTAGCCATGGCCCTCATCGTCTGCACATGTCTCAATCTCGTCGCAGTCAAATACTACGGCGAAGCGGAATTCATCATGGCCTCCACAAAGATCCTCCTACTCATTGGTCTGGTCATGCTCACGTTCATCACAATGGTAGGTGGCAATCCCAAGCACGACGTCTACGGCTTCCGTAACTGGACCCACGGAGTAATGTACGAATACTACACCGACGGCGCGACAGGACGCTTCCTCGGCTTCTTCTCCGTCATGGTCTACGCAGCCTTCTCCGTCGCAGGACCAGACCTGCCCGCCCTCGCCGCCGGCGAAATCCAAAACCCGCGCAAGACAATCCCGCGCGTCGTCAAGGCGACCTTCTGGCGCATTGTCGGCTTCTACGTCATCGGCGTCCTAGCCGTAGGAATAATCTGCAGCCCACGCGATCCCCGCCTCATATCCGCCATCGACGACGCGGCCGCCGGCTCCGCCGCTTCACCGTGGGTAATCGGCATCCAGAACCTCGACATCCAGGGTCTGCCGGACCTAATCAATCTCCTGATCCTGCTATCAGGCTGGTCATGCGGGAACGCCTACCTGTACAGTTCGAGCCGCACGCTATACTCTCTCGCGCGCGATGGGCAAGCACCTAAATTCCTGCTCAAGTGCACCAAGTCGGGGATCCCGATTAATTGCGTTTTCACGGTTACGCTGTTGTCGTGTATTACCTTCCTTGTTGCGGATACTTCGTCCGTGACGGTCTTCTTCTGGTTCGTTGATTTGACTACTATCGCCTTCGTGCTTACATACACCAGCATGCTGTGCGTGTTCATCGCCTGGTACCGCGCGCTGAAAGCGCAGGGTATCGACCGCAAGGCTTTTGTGCCCTGGGTCGCCCCGGCCCAGCCATACATGGCCATTGTCGCGATTGTGATTGGCTGCCTGACGGCGCTGTTCAACGGGTTCTCGGTCTTCAAGCCGTTCACGATCGAGGGATTTGTCACTGCGTATTTCGGAATGGCGTTTTGGGCGGTGATGTTTGTATTCTGGAAGGTGTTTCACCGGACGAAGTTTGTTAGGCCCGTGGACGCGGACTTGGTCTCGGGGAAGGCGGAGATCGATGAGGAGTGCAAGATCTGGGAGGATGGGGAGTGGGAGGAGAGGCGGAAAGTGGAGTTGGCGCAGATGAACTGGGCGCGGCGGATGTGGGAAAAGATGTGGTAATCAATACCAGTTACCCGGAGCCTCATGTACATCGGGCACTACTAGTACTAGGTACCTAGGTAGACGCACCCTTTGGCTATGTAGACCTTAACCGTCATGGTCGTTGTGCCTATGTAATCATCTGGCCTTCAGGCGACGAACTTGCAAAGTAGCTCACTGCGGTTTATATATTAAATCGAAGATAAATCGAAGATATTTCTAACTCTAGTTGCACTGCAGACGCATTCTTCCCCTCCAAAAACCCGGCACTGCCGAATAAATGATGGGAAAAAAGAAGAAAAAAATCAGCACCTTTCAGACCTCCTCGACACCCACCAGGCCCAGCCGACCGAAGTCAGACACCGAGACCAGGTCAAGATCATCACCACTCCCTGGACATTAACGCAGAACCGAAGAACGCGTAGCAGTCGAGGCGGGAGTAAAAAGGTTTCACTTTAGGGCATCGAGGACATGTAGTCATCAGCAAGGGTGGAGATTCTGTGGCTCTTATAAAGAGCTTAGAAGAGGACGTCTACTCTAAAGTGATTCTTTGAACTGGGGGGTTGTTAGTGGAAATGTTCCTTGGAGAAGGAAGTGAACCCTGAGGAACACTGTAGGGGGGGGGGGTCACTAACGTAGAGTCGCTTGAAGAAAAAAATTGGATCGGGGGATGGCGGGTATTTATACCAGCGACGTCTGGGCGGTGAGAGCGTGGGCGGTGGGTCTGCGTGTCCTAGGCTTAAGCGAGAGGATCACTGCCTATTTGGGCTGGCTTGGTTCGGTCTAGTTCCGTTGGTCCCATATTTTCACGGAGCTGATCCATACAGTGTTTGCTTTTTTAATACAGAGAATACTATTTTCACGGCGATGAGTGTAAGGTGGGAATAAGTTTATGTGGATTGTCGGGCCGGAAAAATGATTACGTAAATATAGAACTCCAGACCCAGGGGGTACTAGTATGGACATTGAAAAAGGGACATAGACCAAGGCCAGCCCGAAAAGAAGGTTCCTAGTTCGCCTTGATATCACCAATAATCACCAACAACAGCTTGGGCTGTTCAAATGGGTATATCGAACGATGGAAAGGGTGGATGCAGGAAGAGAGGACGAAACGCCGAGGTTCCATAGATTATGGAATTGAACAAGAAGAACAAGGATGTGAACGCTATTCAACAAAGGAAGAGAAATGCAGCTGATCGTTGATAAACCCGATCAACGGATGGTCTGGATTTAGTGTGTATGCGGAATCAATCGCGCAATACTGAACATGGTATGCAAGAAATTTGGTGCTGGTTGATGAGGTTCACCTCGAGTATGCGCGATCGTGACCAACGTGTTACGATTGGGACTCGGGTGTGATTAGGTGCATGGGATGAAAATGCACGGATGCAGGTGTGTAATAAGAGGAATTCATCAACGCGTCCTGTCAAGGTTGCGTGCATTTCAGGGACCCTCATTGCATAGTGGCACGACCATCAAATGCGAGGGGGCCGGAGTCATTTCGTGGAGTCAGCGGATTATCGTCTGATGTTTCCGATCGGACTGGAGTATCCGCGCGCAGATGTGAGGATCGGCCGGACGGGACATTAAGAGGCAGTGTCGGTTGAAAGCCAGGGATGTTGATTGTCGCGCTACGGGCCAGGTCGTTACTGCTACTATCTGGAGCAGGCGAGTTCGAGCCTCGACTTTCGGTGTCTGCGCCCAGCAGCTGGCCTTCCTGCAAGTGTAGATTCTCCACATCGGTGACTAGTTCACTGTCTTCGGGGCGGCCCGCTTCTTGCGCCGGTGGCTGTTGCGCATCGTTGTTTGCGGCTGGTACATCTGCCGGGGTCTGGGTTTCGGAGCGGGCTTCCTCTGATACATTGGCAGAGGCGGCCCTTCTTGCTTCGACATCCTGATCATTCGAGTCGTCGACCTCGGCACTCAGGTCTGTGAAAGCCCGGCAGTTGGGGCATTGGAACATGGGATAATCGGGAGAGTGGAGAAGGCGACTAATACATTTATAATGCCAAACGTGAGCACAGGCTGCCATGAACAAACACTGGTATGGCCGTAAAACGGAGCCAAGACAGATAGAGCATTCGCGGCAACCAGCGTAGTCCACGTTATCTCCTTTGCCGAGGTTTTGGATAAGGTTTTCGGTGTTTTTGCTATCACCACGTTAGCGGGGGAGCCTATAGAAAGCCAACAAAGAACTGATGGGGTCGATCATACTTAAACTCGTTTGGCTGCTGTTGCCAGGATCTGTTGCATTCGATGCGAATCCGCACACAGCGAAAGATCATTTCTTCTCCTCCTCGGAAATCGATACCGAGCTGCACAATATCGCCGTCTTTGATAGAATACAGACGAGAGACCATACCTGGCTGACTGAGACGCATATGGTTCAAAAATGTCCCCGAAGAGCTCCCAACGTCTTTGACGTGCCACTGTCCATTGATGAACATGAACTCGCAGTGTTTTCGACTGACTACCTTTGACTTGAAGCCGACGGGGGCGTCCGAAGGCTCGGCGGGGTTGGGAATGGGAATGCCATCGCGCTCTGAGTACCGACCGACTCGAACGACGCAACTTTCAGACGGGAGAGAGCGAGTGACTGGGACGAATGGTAGCGAGGGTCGAGAGCTCTGGTAGGTGTCTTGGTAGGGAAAAAATCGAATAGTGGCCTTTTGCTTCGGCTGGTTCGAGTCTCCCTCTTGTATATCATTAGTAGGTGTGTCTACCGACTCCAAAACCTCATTTGTAGCGGCGGAGGGATCTGGCGACGAGGTGGGAGCGTCTGAGGTGGTGGTTTGGCCCAGCGTTCGGGAAGGCCGACCTTGAACAGCGGAGGCACTTCTCAGCCGCGCCATGACATTGGATGTTCGAGACGACTCGTTCGACTCGTTCGGAGGGGTCGAGTGCGAAGAGTCAGTGGAAGAGACCTGGTCAATACCAAGGCCGTGGGAGCTCGCGGGGGGCGCTGAAGTGTAGCGAGAGAGGGTGGGTTGGTCAGATTCGGGGCATGGAGCAGTGGAGTTCCCCACCTGCGTCACTGTGGAATCGGTACCAGGCGAAGGGGACAACCAAGGAACTCGACTGCTGATGCTATTGCGGGAGCGATGACCGGAGGAGATATTCTGGGTGTAGGCACGCAGCTGGCTGAAGCGTCGAAGGCGGCCGGAACGAGGAGAAGAAGAATCGGGGAAGGAGGTGGAGGCGGTGGCGGTCTCCATTGTTGAGGCCGACATAAGACACCTGCAGTACTTTCTCACTATATCTTACTCCCTCTCTGTAGATCGTACCACGCGACTCGAGTCGGGCGCCAATGCAATTGCGAATGGGGGAGCGGGGAGGCTCTTTGATGCGATTCCAGATTCGGTCAATGCGATCAACGCGACAGGGGAGGGGGGGGAAAGGATTCTAGTGATGCATTTTCGGAGGGTGGTCTGAGGCGATGGTCAAAGAAAGGTACAGAAAAAAGCAAAGAAATTTCGGAGAGAGAGCAAGAAAAGTCAAAGGGAGAAGGCAGAGGAAGAATCACGAAGAGAGAGAGAGAGAGAAGAGAATGGAGAATGAGAATGGGGGCTTGGTATGATGTTACCGTTGGCGACTTTGCGGGCGAGCCAAACCCAGTTGAACCAAGACACCAAAAGCACTGGACCAGGCTGGGACAGGCTGGACCAAAAGATTTTAGATAGACTAGCCGAATCCCGGGTAGTTTAAAGGTACACTAGCTACAGGAGTACTGCCCAGGTGTACTCTGTACTCCGCTTATTCCTCTGGACTGTACTCTGTACTCTGTACTCCTCTTAATGGCACGATTTTTGCGGGGAAGCAGCCCTATTCGGGACTTTTTCCCTGTCTTCTTTAGCCGACGCCCCTTAACCTTTTCTATCGCCACTGTGTGTACTCAGTCCCCTCACAGTCAGTTTAAGGATATACGGAGTAATAATAACCACTGTACTACGTATGGATTACTGCAATCATGGATGCTTCGGCGCCTTCCCGAATATTTACCATGGTCTACCACGGTATACCGGTAGAATGCCGATCGCGATGTCACTCTGCAGGCAGTAAGTGGGGAGTTAACCTCTTTTCAGGTGCTCCTCTCGTCTTGCCTGTTGCCTCTTGCCTTTTGCCTCTTGCCCTGAGCCGAGCTGATCACCGGACGGGTGATCAGCTGCGATATTTCGCATCACAAGGGCGCGCATTGGATCAGTAGGACCTGCACGGACCTCGAAACGGTTAACAAGGGGACACGGGATTCTTCCTCGTTCTCTTTCCAAGGGGAGAGAGGGTCCTGTTGTGTAGACCCTAACCTCGAGGGATTGTGGAGTATTTGATCCTTTCAGGATACCACATAGATCATAGACCCAGTGCCACAGATGATCCAGGGCTGTCACCAGGAGAGGCACAGGAAGGTCAAATCGGATCAAAATGCGCAGAGGACGGAATGCAGATACTAGTCAAATAGGTCAGTATCAGCATTTATGATAACCGTGGCAATGGTCTTGTCGATACTGTGTAGACGAGGGGAAATGGCAGAACTTGAACCCGCCGGATTGGATTGGCCGAGATGATGTTACTAGTCGGACTAGCATATGTTATGCGCGGGACCGGGAGCTCATGCGTTATGCCATTAGGCCATAGCTACTACTGGTAGTATCTAGTAATTAATTATAATTATGATTATAATTATAATTACTATAGCAATTAGATTCAGACTCATTTTCATATGAAGATGAAGATTCAAATACTTCCCCAACAAAGTTACCACTGGGCCTCTGACTGACGTACGACCTTTGGACCTTGACTGGAAACTAGTGAGAGCTCCTGCAACCTCGTCCTCTCTCTCTCTCTCGCTCTCTTCCCCCTCTCTCCTCTCCTCTTCCCCCTCCCTATTTCTCTCCTCCAGCCTTATTTTTCCTCTCCTCATTTGGATCACCCACCTTCTCCCCGGAATATTTCCTCTCTAACCTTCCCGCCATCACGCGCCCGCTTTCTGTGTTCCCTCTCCAAAGCTTGACATCGGTGCATGCAGTAGCCCCAGCCACCCTCCCTCGACCCCCATCCCGCCTCCCCGCGGAGATTTCGAGATTCTTTTGTCCCCGACGACTTCCTCCCCCGAAACATCGCCTGTTCATTGCTAGTGCCCTGATGCGGGCCTGTTGAGGAGGCATGAGTGGAATCGCAACCACTTGTCTGTCGTGCCTGTCGGCCATCGACCGATGGTGTCACATCACCGCCTGTCTGGGTGGAGGCCGATCGCGAGATGGCATTTATGAAACAACTCTCGCCGATAATGAACGTGAAGCTGTCTCCGATCTGCTGGGATATCTAGAGAACGTACGTCGCTTCGCTTTTGTGTCCTTCCGTCGTCGTCCGACATGACCGCCATCATATCTGCCCAGGCCACCATACTGACCGAGACCTGTCTATTCACAGCGCAACGAAACCGATTTCTTCACCGGAGAGCCTCTACGAGCTCTGAGTACTTTAGTATACTCCGACAATGTCGATTTACAGCGCAGTGCGAGTTTGACCTTCGCGGAGATCACAGAACGAGGTGCGTACGGCGGCCTAGATGGTGACGCGGTGAATCCAACTAACACCCTTTCCTCTCTGCAGATGTCCGTGAAGTCGACCGAGACACTCTAGAGCCCATTTTATTCCTGCTTCAAAGCTCTGATATCGAGGTCCAACGAGCTGCCAGTGCGGCGCTGGGCAACCTTGCCGTCAATGGTCTGCGCCCGAACTCTCTCAGCTCTCCTATCTTTGGTCTCTGTCGCTAACTTGCTCCAGCCGATAACAAGGTCCTGATTGTCTCCTTGGGAGGGCTGGCCCCTCTTATCCGCCAAATGATGTCGCCCAATGTGGAGGTACAGTGCAACGCGGTGGGATGTATCACGAATCTGGCTACACACGAAGAAAACAAGGCCAAGATCGCTCGCTCCGGCGCGCTAGGTCCTCTTATCCGCTTAGCCAAGTCGAAGGACATGCGCGTTCAGCGCAATGCCACGGGCGCTTTGCTGAACATGACACATTCCGGTAAGTAGCTTTGTCGATTGTAGCTGGAATGGAGCGTGGTGGGCTAATCAAGCTGTTAGATGATAACCGGCAACAACTTGTCAACGCCGGGGCTATTCCTGTTCTCGTTCATCTTCTATCCTCCCCTGACGTCGACGTTCAATACTACTGTACCACCGCCCTTAGTAACATCGCCGTTGACTCAACAAATCGCAAGCGTCTTGCTCAGACCGAGTCTCGCTTGGTTCAATCGCTGGTCCATCTGATGGACTCATCTACGCCAAAGGTCCAGTGCCAAGCAGCACTGGCCCTGCGCAACCTTGCGTCCGACGAAAAATACCAACTGGAAATTGTTCGCGCCAAGGGGCTGTCACCACTTCTGCGCCTTCTCCAGTCCTCATACCTTCCGTTGATACTATCCGCCGTGGCTTGTATCCGCAACATCTCTATTCACCCCCTCAACGAGTCCCCCATCATCGAGGCAGGCTTCCTGAAGCCCTTGGTGGACCTGCTTGGTTCTACCGACAACGAAGAAATCCAATGCCACGCTATTTCGACGCTGCGCAATCTTGCCGCCAGCTCTGATCGTAACAAAGAACTTGTCCTGCAGGCCGGCGCAGTTCAGAAATGCAAGGACCTGGTTCTCCGGGTTCCGCTGACCGTTCAGTCTGAAATGACTGCTGCGATCGCCGTCCTCGCACTTAGCGACGAGCTGAAGCCTCATCTCCTCAGTCTCGGGGTATTCGATGTCTTGATCCCTCTCACCAATTCGGAAAGTATTGAAGTTCAAGGGAACAGTGCAGCAGCCTTGGGCAACCTGTCCTCGAAAGGTATGATCGATTCTTAACCCTACCCCCCCACTCCTCTTCCCTTCATATAATTCCTTTGTTCATGCCATTCAAACATCGAACTAACAAATGCAGTTGGTGACTATTCGATCTTCGTCCGCGACTGGGCCGATCCAAACGGAGGTATCCACGGCTACCTCCAACGCTTCCTTGCGAGCGGAGACCCGACTTTCCAGCACATTGCCATCTGGACACTCTTGCAGCTTCTCGAATCCGAAGACAAAAAACTCATTGGTTATATCTCTCAATCCGACGACATTGTACAAATGGTGAAGTCTATCTCGGACAAAGACATTGGAGATGGCTCAGACGAGGATGACGGTGACGACGGTGGTGAAGGTGAGGTTATTGCGCTATCGCGGCGATGCCTGGAGTTGCTGGGGGCCGGTCCTAAGCAGACCCTAGTGGAGGCTTAAGGCCCCTTGACGATTGCAAGCACGACTCGGACTATTTATTTTTTTCGGTCCTTTTCATCTTTGGCCGGCCATTCTTTCTCTTTCTCTTACTCCCTTGCACTTCTTTTCCTCTCTTACCCTTTGGGTGTTAGTATGGGCATTCAATTTACTTCGGTTACTGCGAGCGGGCATTTGGAGTGGCAAGGGCCTTTTTTTTGTGTTTCCTCCTGTTTCGCCCAGGCCCAAGGATAGGTCTCTGGTGCCACTGTCTTGTTTCTACGCATACACCGTGTATTCATGCTAGATATGGGGTTTTCATAATTAATCCATCCCAGGTGTGGTATCTCGTACAAATGAGGTATTCTCGTAAAAGCAGGCTTCTAGATACATTCCATTGGCGTTCTGGAGAATGCTAGTGCTCCGGCGCAATTCTGGGGAGGAGCCACCAATAGCGGGCAAAAGCAAAGTTAAAAGGGCTAAAATAGTATGTACTGTCACCAAATCCCCCGGATGGTTTGTTGGTATTGGCCTTGACCGGATGGGGGGAACAGATGAGGAGGCTTTGAAGAGACGCAGTGGGACCGGTGCGTGCCTACCTCTTGTTTTTGCTTTTTTTATTTCCAGGTTTCCGGGTTCAAATCCAGGCCAGGGCGTTTCTTTTTGTCTCCTTCCCTTTTTGTCTCTTTTTTTGCTGTTCTTGTTTGTTGTTGCCTTGAAGTTCTGAATTCTGTAGTGAATCGTGCCTTCCCAATGTATCCGTTTGCTATTGTTCTATTGCGGGTCTGGAGAATCTTTCTTCCGGAGCTTCCCTCTTCCCCGAAAAAATCCATGGGAGAAACCTCCACCTTTCCAGTAACCAGCTTGAACAGAATTGCCCCGAAGGGCCAATAGCCAATACAATGGCAACATCTATTCCTTCATTGGCCATTCCCGGTCAGCGCCTGGGCTCTGCCAACACATACGCCGCCGGTCCCGGCACCCACGTCCAACAAGCCAACATCTTTGCTTCCATTGCTGGCCCCGTCATTCTGGACCCCGCCCAGCCTAACACACAATCAAAAGCCACTCTTCGAGTTTCACGGGTTCTTTCTGCCGCAGCTCAATCATCCCCAACTACTGCGTCCGCAAAATCAAAGCCCAGATACAACACCCTCCCCGCAGTCGATTCGATCGTTCTCGCACGAGTCACCCGTGTGCAAAAGCGTCAAGCTGCCGTCTCCATCCTCGTCGTCCTGGACGAGACATCCGCGCCCGATGCCGACCTCGCAAAGGCATCCTCAGACAATGACAACATCGCTTCAATCCTCACCTCAGCCGCGAACCCCGAAAATCACAGCAGCACCGACGAGCTCCGCTTCCAAGCCATAATCCGCAAAGAGGACGTGCGCGCCGTCGAGAAGGACCGCGTCGTCATGGAAGACATGTTCCGCGTCGGAGATATTGTTCGTGGCTGTGTTCTCTCTCTTGGTGATCAAACTTCCTACTACCTCACTACCGCACGCAACGATCTCGGCGTTGTCATGGCCCGTAGCGAGACTGGAAATATGATGTTCCCCATTAGCTGGAAGGAGATGAGGGATCCTGTCACTGGTGCTGGGGAGCCGAGAAAGGTTGCTCGCCCTTACTGAGGAAAAAGTATACCCCTGCCTATCGCTTCCATGGCGTCTGGCCAATACGCTCTTCCTTCCGACTGGCTCGAGCATGAAGATGCCCTAGGCTCTTCCGAATTACACGCAGACTCTAGCCGAGCTGCGACGGCCGTGGCACTGGCGCCCAATATCCTATCCGTTGTCTGAGTACTGTCATACACTCGGGTTCCCACCGAGGCTCGGGCTCGGAATTTGAACGCACACCCACACCCGCATTCGCACCCGGGTCATACTCTCCAGGTACACATCCGTGCTACACAGCCCACGGGAAAACGCAGAGCTTTCCGTGATGGCTGTTTATACCCGCAATAATACGGACTCGCGGCCAACGAACAACGCAAATCTAACAACAGCAGGGATTGAAACATCCCTGCATCTTTTTGATACCCATAGACCGATGAATGAAAATACTTTCGTCTTTCTAACGTAATCTTCCATCAGTCCTTTCTTTTTCTGTTCTTTTCCATTGTTTTCCACTCACCTCCTAAGTATACACGGTCGAGACACTCAATGTCGGGCTGTGTTTGTCATGCGAGGAAGATTGAAGTTTTCGGCGCGGGACTCTCATCCTTGCGTACCCCCTCCTACTGTTCTCTGTCTGAATTGTGGCTGGAGAGTAATTGATAAGGGGGTTACATTCTTGTAATACTGCCAGTGGCTTAGAGCTATATCTGTCATGGTATGGTAGATTTCTGTTGTTGAGTTGAGTTGGGTTGAGTTGAGTTGACTTTCCAAGGTTAAAATCAGATATTCTACTAGTATCTTTCTTTCAAGAATTTATCCTACATATCTATGATGTTATTCAACTTCAAGCATTTTTCTTACAGCCATGTCTACATTGCCTGTGTACCTATCTAGATAGTGTTTCCAAGGTTCTACTCTCTCTCTTTGAAGAGATTTAAGTTCTTCGAGTGGGCCTGGTAATGGCCTATTCTAGGTGCCGCTGCTTAGAATGAATTGATCAATCGCATATACTGATAAAGCTTCAAGTTCCTGAAAGGGCGTCACGAAAGATAAGAAAAAAAAGGATACATTTGAAAAGTGCAAAGTCATTGGTATAGCCTCGGATATTCACTGATATCCATATATCCATGGATATATTCATCAATCAGATATCACAATTGGTGATCCATGAGACTCTCCGCTAGTCAAGAAGTGTGATGATTTACGCAGGGCGGCTGCTAAAATGTCGGAAGACGCGAGAAAGTTGAATGTTTCCTCAGAAGTCTTGTGCGTAGAGCAAGCAAGCATAAGTTCTCTCAAATCCTGAGAATCTTCGGGACGGTCAGTTCTTTCCCAACTCGTAGCCAAAGTTTCCATCAAGAATAAAGCTTGAGGCTCAAAGTCAATACCGGGATTTCTCAAGCAAATTTCAAGAATTTCCTGCTGTAGCTCAGCGGCCTCATGGCATCTATCCAGTCGGAGGCAATAAACAACTGACAATACATGTAAGGTGAAGAGTGTGTCTGGACTTTCTCTCCCGAAAACTGATGTTTTTGAATCAGCGAGATGAGACATCATCTGTGATAGCTCTGCAGGAGCGAGTAGCTCATGCCTCATGTAGAAGTCTATAAGCAGCTGTAATGACCCCAATGTTTTTACATGTTTCTTGCCGAAAGCCTTCCTACAAACTTTGTGAATGTCTCTGTGAAGGACCTCGGCCTCGAGAACACGGCCTTGTTCCCCAAGCCATTCAGCCAAGGACAACTGAATTCCAATCACGGTGTCATTATTTGCGCCGAATGCTTGCTTCTGCGTCTCAACAACCTCAGATATAGTATCGATAGCTTTCTTTGTCAAGCCTTGGGCTCGGTAGATATGCGCAAGCTTGTTTTTACAGAGGCTAACCAGACTAGGGTTTGTTTGAAGCACGTCGATCGACATTTCAGCCAGGCATTCGGCTGCTTCAAAATCTTCATTCTCCATGAGCATCTTGATTAACAGACTGAGTGTTTGCATGGTCTCAGAGTTTTCATTTCCAAGGGACCGAGTCTGCCTCTGGAAGACATCCATCATTAGCAAAATTGCTTGTTGGGAGTCGTCGGTGGTATGATATGCGCGTATAAGGCTTCGCATGCTTGAAAGTGTTCGATGATGATCAGGTCCAAATAAAAGTTCTTCTTTATCAACGACCTCCTTTAAAAGTGCAATCCCCTTTTCATGGAGATCTCGCTGCAGATAGACAGAAGAGAGACCTTTCATATAATCATGCAACACCAGAGGCGAATCTGATGAAATCTCTCTTTGAACCTTGATTACGTCCTCAAACATGGTTTCTGCCTCCTGGAGTCGACCTTGGTATTGGTATAATTCGGCGAGAGATGATTTGATCTCATTCAAGCCGCTATTTGCGTTAGGGGCGTCTCTTAGCCACATCTCCCATACCTTCTTATACTCAGCTTCCGCTTCAGTCCATCGATGGCGGCCTTGTTCACGAAGTATATCGGCGTACAATGAGTGGTAGGCAAAGTATGCATGCTGGCTTGGGGAGGGTTGTTCACTAGGTGATGATTCGAGCGCCTGGCGAAACAAGTCCTTGGTGACTTGTAGATCTCTATATAATGATTCGAGTATTTGAAGACACAGGTCCTCGGCGGCTTCCAGATTGCCGCAGGCCCTTAGTACATTGAGTTCAAAGACGCAGGCAACGATGGCATCACCCGAATCCTTGTCTCCAAGTGAGTCTTGGATCTCCTTTCGTGAAACACTGGCCATGTGCCTCGCTTCACCAAATAGGCCGGAGAAATTGGCGTAAAAGGCGCCCTGGCTGATGAGTCTGGCCCATCGAAGTCTGTAATTTGAATTTGGCCCATATGCTAAAGCGCGTTGAACGTGGGGAAACAGAATACGGGATTTCGCTTGGTTCGCGTAGTTGGTTTCCTTTGGAAACTCACGATACAAGTTCCGAAGAAAAACTGCTTTCCACGGTTCAATTTTTCCCTTGGCTTCAAGCCAGTCTCGTGTCGAAAATTGTATGAGACCATGCATCTGAAAGGTGTGGGACTCGGGGCCAATGGAGATCAGAGAGTAGTCTTTCAGCGTGTTGATGCTATCTTCGAACCAAATGTCTTCGGGTACGCTGACTGACATTTGAATATCACCATCGGAGTCCGAATCCAGTATATCGAGAGTATCGGTTTCATGTTCTTTTATATGACTTAACCATGACCCAGCATAATCTCCACCATCACTTTCGGAGTTACTGCCGCTTTCATTCCAATCGTTGATCTTGGAAGGGGGCTGGAGGAGATAGTCTGGTATGCTCTTTCGATCGAAGAAGCTCATTAATGATAGTAGATCCATCGCATCCGGGCTTGTCTCTTGGATCACCTCGAACGAAAGTTGCAATGCCACAATTATGGAGTTGTTTCTTCGCCGGTCGCGATATATATCCCTTCCTTCACTCTTCAAAAGTTCCGCTCTTACTCGGCTACCCTTTCGAAACATCTCGAGGTATTGATGCACAGAGCATCTAGGAGCCCGCCTTGCAATATATGTTGCCGCTTGCACGACGGCCAATGCTATACAGTCAAGCTCCTGAGCAAGCATACGCAGGCTTGCATCATCTACCACTGGCATAGTCTCCGTCGGGAGGATTCTTTGTAGCAGCGAGAACGCATGAGCATCGAGAGGCTCTATTGCTATGATATCGCACTCATTGACGAAGTTTCTCGCGACTCGTTTACTTCGAGTTGTCATTATAATTGACCCAGTCGGTTTCATGGGAAGATATTCCACAGGGGACTTGCCGGGCAGCAAGCTTTGGGACCTTTCCAGTTCATGCATGCTCGTACTTGCGGCGCGGTTCAATCGTGAAAATTGTGGTATCGGCATATGAAGATATTCATCGTCATCAACATTATCAAGAATGAGGAACCATTTCTCATTCCCAAGATCTTGCAGCCAAGTGCAGACAAGTTGAAATATGTTCGCGCTGGAGTCTTGACGCCCGGGGATTTTGACTTGATCTGCCATGTCACGAAGTCCTTCTTCGTACCTCACTATGTCGCTTGCGTCAATCCAAAATACCCATATCTCCGACTGCTCTCGAACACGATACGAGTATTCGATCAGAACCTGGGACTTCCTTGAAGAGATCAGTGGATGCACATTTAAGATCGCTCATGTTTGGCGGATTTTACTTACCCAACTCCACCAAACCCGACCAGAGCTGCTCGAGATGAAGGTTTGGAGTTGATTTCATGCAGCTGGCTCATAACCGAACCAGGCTCAACGAAGTTGGGGTTGCGGCAAAAAGGGACCATCGATAGGGGGCTCGGCCTCTCTTCTCTTTCTATGGGCTGTTAGAAGATGACTTCATTTCATATCCCAGAGAATTAATCAGTACCTGAGGGTGGATGGAAATGCACGTTGATCTCCCCATCATTATACCCGGCTTGGAAACCAAAATTTGGTCCCGGAAATGTAAATCTAGACTCCATCAGAGGAAGGAAGGAATGTGGCAGATCTTGTTCAGAACAATAGATGAGGTCGATGGATGCAAGGGCTCAAGTTGGTATGTTTACCCCGCTTGTACTTGTTTGCTGCCCGAAGTACTACTACTAGTAGTAGCCACTGATACCTAATCAGCTGATGCGGCAGTGAGCACTAGTATATTAGTTGTAGTACCCAGGTATTAGAGTACTAGTAGTAGTGGATATCATGCAGCCCGGTATCTTCCTAGTATCTTACCTAGTATCCTCTCTGGTATCCCACTAAAAATACTTAGTACCCTAAGCAAGTAGGGGCAAGTAATTTATATACGTAGAATAGCTTCCACCAGGGGCTGGTATATCTTTAATAAACCCTGGCAGAAATCTTCAAGTTGGAACACTTGGTCCCCGATTGCCGCTATGAACCGCCGTACCTTTGGTATCTTAGCCCGAGATTAATGGAGTTCACTTGTCAACTTGAACGATGCGTTGTTTGTATTTTGACTGTTTTATCAACAACAAAAACAACAAAAAGCAGTATCAAACTATATACTTCTTCCATAATAGGAAGTGACAGAGAAATTCTTCCCGAGTCAGCATTCCCAGATGGGCGAGGGAACATTATCTTCCATTCTTTGACTTCTAAAGGGCGCTCTTGATCAAGGCTTCGAGATCAGCCTTGGACATGAGTGGTATACCAAGAAGGTCATTATCAACCTTCTTAAATTCTCCTCCGTAACCTTCGGCAAAGACAGATCGACAAAAGAAGCCCACGGAAGCTACCAGATCCATCGATCCACTAGCATATTTTTGCTGCGCCATAGTCTCCATTTCCGCAGTGCTCACATTCTTTGGGGTCCAAATTATTTCTGGCTTAACGCTTCTGGCAACAGCGAGCATCTCGTTCTGAGTCGTGATGAGGTCTTGAATAAGAACAGCTCGGTTCTTGGTCTCGTGCAGATTACGCAAAACCTCCACCACAGCCTGGCCGATTGTAGCCAAGGTAGTTGTACTGAATGGGCGATCGCCGCCATCATAGAGCGAAGTCTCTCCTCCCTTGAGATTAAGGAAGAATCCAAAAGCAAGACTCCAGTCAAGAAATGGTCCATTACGGATCAGACTGTACGTGAAGTTGGGATTTTCATCGGCCTTTTGGCGTATAACATCATGTAATTGGACCTTGGAATGGTAGACAGGCAAGCTAGCTGCCTTTGGATTGCCAATATTGGCGCAAAACTCGGATGGGAGGAATCTGCGCACTCCAGCATCCACCGCTGCTTCTATCAGTGGAATCTGCGTCTCCATGGCACTCGTCGTCAGAACCGAAACGACAGCATCCTGGCCAGTCAGAGCCTGGGTGAGTTCCGAAATTGAAGAATAGTCCACGCGAATAATTTTGACAGAGTACGGAAACTGAGCTTCGGATGAATGGCGTGTTAAAACAGTTAGATTGAAGTGTCCGCTGTTGAGAAGCGCTTGGAAGATTGGTGAGCCTAGAGCTCCAGAGGCCTGCAAATCAATTGTAAGTTTAACGTTTAAATTCAAACCATGTACCATGATCAACACGACTTACCCCTGCAATGGCAACGTTGCGAATGGCCTCCATTTCCTGATGGGTGAAAAAGGGATGGATATTATATGGAACTTTCCACCTCATCCTCGGGAGAGAAAGACTTGATATAAGTAATCTCCGAGTCAACGAGTAAAGGATGAAGTATGAGTGGAAATTAGACATGCGGGCGTGGATGCGGGCGCTAAACCAAATTAGGTCTCATACATTCCGCTCAAATGCCACAGAACACTCAATACTACCACGCTGCGGGGCCAGTATTTAAAGAACTTTAGGATTAGCCTCCGCACCTGCGCCCGCATCAGCTGCAGGTACTCCGTACTCGCATTGCCAATTCGAATCATGTCCGCCGATAAGGCCTGCCTTCGCTGTCAGAAACAGAAGCGGAGATGTGACAAGATTCGTCCCCACTGCACGTTATGTAAAAGGTATACAACAACCGTGGGTTACATCGTCGACCATGAGTGCTGATCGATTAAGGTTGAATAAGCGTTGTGCCTATCAGCTTCCGACGGAAGCCCCTCGTCTATTACCTGTGCCAGATTGGGGCGATCTGAATCCTATCAACCTGAATTATACGCTGGAACTTCAAGTATTCTCAATTGTTGGTGATGGACTCCAGCTGCGGGAAGCCGCCTCCCTTTACTTCCGAACAGTGCACACTTGGTTTCCTGTCGTATCTGAGGAGAGGTACTATGCTCAATTAGCAAGTGTGCGAGTCAAGACGGATCCTACACCATCTGATTTTAGCCTCTTGACCCTATGCATGGCTCTGGTTTGTAAGGAACCCATAGCAGGGGACGTTCCTGGTTCGGCAAGATCACTATATGTCTCCATCAAAAGCTTCGTGAGTATTCTGGAGGCAATGGGCACGAATTCATTGAAAATAGTACAGAGTCGTATTCTGTTGACGATCTTCGAGATCGGTCATGCAATTAACCCCTCGGCGTATATCTCGGCTGCAGCTAATGTACGCGCTGCAATGAGTCTCGGCCTTGATTCTTTCACCAAGGACGTTGGCTCACAAAAATATGAAGAAGCGCAAAACGTCTGGCGTGCAGTAATGATAGTTGACAGGTAAGATCTGACAACCAAGATCATAGATAGAAACTTGAAGTATCTACTAGTATACTGAACCAACGTGAGCTATTAGTTATGTATCCCTAGAAAACGGCCAAGCACCTTTTACGCTTAGAGGACAACAGTCGGTGGTAAGAATCTGAGACAACGGAATGACTTGCATGATCAAAAGTTCATTCAAAATTGACGAACCATGCTGAAAGTGAAATAAGAATCAGGAGACCGAAGACTCGGACTTGGCCAATGTGGAGCCGAGTGCATTCATGAAACTGGCTCGCGCATCCCAGCTCTTAGACCAGGTGCTGATCCATGTATATGCGACTAGTCTGAATGATCGTTCGAACGGGGTGGAGGGAGTTGAGATTCTAAAATCTCTAACCTCATTCATGACCACCTTCCAAAATGGGCAACTGAACCCACATCCTCTATCGGATAGCGCACTAGCAATATCGCGAAGGTAATTATGTCCAGTCACCAAGGCCGAGTTTAGAATGAGATATCTTATTCGGGTATTGTATTATAGTGCTATGCTGGAAACTCTAGAGCTCGGATCTCGCACAGAGACCCCAGGAGATTTCCATTGTATCTACACGTCGGTGAACATTCTAAAATCTCTCGTCCGCGAAGTTGGACTCGGGGGAGAAGTGTCTCCCCCAGATGAAACAGCAGCACTCTCGGTATTTCTACCTCATTTTCTATTCAAGGCTGCTATGGTCTGTCTTAGCGATACTCGAGTCTCTGGAAGAGCTGATCCGGAGCCGCTCCTACAACCCATGAGAGGTTTACTGAATAATCTAGAAAAAAGATGGGTGGCTGCAAGTAGGTACTCTGCTTTTTAGGACTATATAGCATATACTAACAATGATAGCACGATATTTGGAAATAATAGAGAAAGCACATGGCGCACCTCTAGTTTGAATTTAAAGTCTGATCTAAGGGTTTAGTGCCACAGAAACAAAAACCTAGCTTGTTCTAAGAATCCCATCTCCTTCCAATTCTTGACATACTGCTGAACCAGATTGGCATCCAAGATTACTTGGCCCGCAAGAGTATGCGAGTGTTCTTAAGCGTGAGCGATATCCAAGATTAAGCCTCGCAAGACATGCACACAAAGTGCTTCGCCAAGAAGTCCACAATCAATCCGGCGGGATTGCCGCATTGATTATAATATAATAGAGTATTACAGTACTTAGTATCTTATTATAATTGTTATTGAATTTTATGCAATCTATTGGGGGGGGGGGGTCGCTCAAGTAGTACTATCAATTCTCGTCGAATATACAATACAACACAACACACTAGGGGCTGGTATAGAAACTGGATGCTGAATACTATTATGTGGTGAAAAGGTACATGTATAATCTAGAACCACCCCGTGATGAGGTTTTTCGGATCACCTGAGGTATGGTAGTTGACTTGTAATCCCAATTGCCGTATGAGAAGTGGATAATGTGAACCGCATCCACACCAGGTCATAGCCTGTCATTTCTGGTAGATAATCGCGTCTCTTTCTTCATTTTTCGTCAAAAGTGTCACCAACCACACAGCAACAAGCATCCCATCGAAGCAAATTATCACGAAAAAGGTCCTTCATGTGAGCGGATCGTCCACATTTTCGGAGATCAAGTCCACGTTTCCTCCACACCGCTCAAGGAGGTTTTCTGGCCTTTTGGAGGTGTAAAGGTAGATTTTATTGAGGAGATCTTGTGTTCAATCCGCGATTCAAAGTCAAAAGGAGTTTGGAAACAACAATCTACTCGAGATATGAGGAAATCTGGCTTGGCCTGCTGTCAAGAGGAAGGGACGACCCCACAGTCCGACAGGCAAGTACCCGACTAGTATTGTGACTGGCATTTAGACGTCCATCGCTGCTTCCTTTCCCCTCCGACTATTATTGTTAGTCCTTAAAAGGAAATTATATTTCAAGGTTCTCAATCGTCGAATTGAGTCTTTCGAAGTTTTCTCTTGCTTGACCACGGCCATCCATAGCGGCAATCGACCCGGTGTTTATGCCAGGGTGGAAGCGTCCCAAACTTACTGGTTCGCCCTGTAAAAATTTAGATAGAAAATACTATTATCTTTTGTAAAAAGCTTTAGTAAACATATAATTAGAATCGGGAAGTAGTTACGTAGTTGGCGCTAGTATATCAGTTGTAGAGCGCCGTACTCAATCATGACCAATCAATTTAGTCATTAAGATCCAAAGCAATAAGTAGCTGTACCAAAATTATCCTACCACAGGGTTTATTGTCTGTCACATACTAAAATGGCTATAGTTTCAACGTCCTGCTAATTCATGCCGATTCAATCCACCAGCCTCATGCACCTGTGTTACCACATTACCATCTGCCTCATAGGTCTGCCTCGTATCCGCCTCATAGGCATGCTTCGTATACCCTGTCTTATATATGGGTTTTGAAGGGGCGATTTCAGAACTGGCCGATTTGCCCTCAGCTGCAAGTATTCTATCTGGAGGCGGCGCGGTGTATGTCGGCCCTGGAGGGTAAGCGCCTACCGCAGGATTTGGCTGTGAGCGGTTGCGCTTCAGGAAAAAATACAAGGCTCCAAGTGCTATTATCAGGGCAACTATCACGCCTGCAACGATTCCCCCAATGGCACCACCTGGCAAGGAGGTGGAGGGTGAATGTGAACCACTGCCAACGACTATGGTTTCTCTGCTTTGGCCACTTGAAGTAGAAGCAGGGTTCTCGGTAGTTGTTGTCGCGCTGGTCGTCGAAGGGGAAGAAGTTGTCTGAGAACCCGATTTTGTGGGGTTGAACGTGTAGCTGCTCGCAGACGGTGAACTGGAGGACAGGGACGAGTACGTCGCATTCAACTCCTCGGCGCTGAGATTGCTAAGAACGTCACTAGCTTTACTAAAACAAAGATTATACCGGCCAGCATCTGTGATGCAATTCTCTCTATTCGCATACCAAAAACCTCGGTCAGTTCATCGTGAAGGAGGCAACTTTGGGGTCAAGCATGAAAAGAGAGAAGGGAGTCAACCTGTCATTAACGCAACACCAAGTCACGCCATTATTCTTACAGCCGAGAGTGCTGCCATCATTGGAACAATCTGTCGGGATAGTCCAGCATCGACTCTCCTCCTGTTTGCAACAATAGACCCTCCCGGTAGTGGCATCGTGTGCGCAGGCGTCTGGGGGCGTACAGAGCCACCCACTGTAGTGTGTTGGACATTGAAAATTAATCAGATTCGAGGTAAATGCATAGTCACTAAGAGCAGTCGCCATCTGGGCGTTAGACGGGTTCGATTTTACGCGGGTTGTTTGTGCCCTGGGGCTGCGTTTCGCGTGCGTTTCGAAGATTGAGCAGCCTTTGGAAGAAAGGGGGAGACTTGATGAAAAGGGCAAAGCAACAACCTTTGGCAACTCAAAAGCTAATGAATGATTTATTCTAATGAGATAGAAGCTAAATTAAATCCGATTCACCCGCTCACGGCCAAGAATAATCAGCCTAATCCTCTTGCAAGCGGACAAGCGTCAGCTTCTTCCCACAGAAAAAGCAGTTGACCACATTCTCTGGGAAAATCGACAGACAGTAACAAGGATCAACCCATGTACAGCTCGTACACATTCCTTGGACGCGATACTTGGCTACCTTTAAGACTAAATCCGAAGCAAACCACATGGTATTATGCAGAAGCTCCTGGAAGCCCTTCCTTTCCCCAAAATTACTAAGACATTCCAAAGCCTTGTCAACTACCAGATCCCGCAGCCCGCGATCACTCTGCGGTGTGCTCTCGTAAATAAGCGCCGTGGCACTCAGGAAATCGTCGAAGTTGTCAGGGTCATTGAAATTCCAGTCCTTTTTTAGCACGTATCTGAATTTTTCTATGGAATGCTCCTTCAGTTGTGGCACGAGGTATTTATCTGCGACTTGATAAACTGTAGCAAGGAATCGGAGCGGAGTTAAAGAATCGTCCCTGGGAGGGAAATATTCCTTTTGGTAGAAGAACTTCATCATTGCAATCATGGCATGTGGGTTGTCTTCCTTTAGTGAGAGGATTTCTTCCTCGTTTTCCTATGCGATAACATGTCAGAAAGCTTGAATTCGTATTTACTGAGTATGAAATGGGATGTCATACTTTCCAATTATCACCCATCCATATCTACCGGAAATAGGCTGACTGGCTGACAAGAATGACCTTGTGGACTGGGATAATACCGTTGTCTGCAAGTTTTAGCGAGGTGTCAGTCAAACTATCGGTTCCCCAGAGACTGCCATTTCATCTTTGGTCAGGATTACGACCAAATCTAGAGGGAATCTACAACTTACTTTGCCATTCCAGCAATCAAAGAATCTGTCGTGGAAGGAGGATTTTTGGTGTCATCGGCGTCAGAAGGAGCAGGTTCCTTACTTTCAAGACGAGACTTGTTGCTCCGTTTTGATTGCGCACGAGGAGGATAACAGTCCGCCATTATGAGCGATGTAGTATTGGAATAGAGCGAAGTCAAAGGAATGTCGTAGAATCAAACCTAGGGGGATCTTGTTCTTTATATCACGTCCAATTGTTAGGTTGATGAAATTGCCTAGTCCGGTAACTGCCTTCATTGGTACAAACAGCCCCAGCGGGATTACATCACTGTGAAAAGCTCTCGGCATCATCCATCGAAAAACATAGTTTTAAAAGCGCAACCCGTATATGATAACGAGAATCAAAGAGAAGTAGAAAATGAAATATCTATCAAAGTGGCGTATTGGGCAAGTTACCAGTTTTGAACTGTGCCCAGGTGGTTTTGGTAAATGTTGGCTTGGGAAAATTTGACTGCATAGCAGAGAAGCCAATTCTATTTGAACAGCCTGAGCTTAAACCACCAAGGACACTACTAGTAGTAGTATAGTGTAATACAGAGACTTCCGAGGTCGGAAGTGCTTCAAGTTGAAAACTTGAACTTGACCTCAGGCTACCTAGGCCGGGTTAGTACTAGACTACTAGGTTGTAGGCCATCATGACCACAACTTGAACCTTCGCCCACCAGGTGCCCAGGTGGATTTACTGGTAAGTACCTAGGTACTAGTAGGTAGTAATAGCAACTGGAAAGGAACCAAAAATATACTTGTATGACTTTTATGTATCCGCGCGAGAAGAGAATAGAACAACATGATGACATCAAAATCTTACTTCTTGAGTGTCTTTTGCTTCTCAGCATCAATCAACTTCCGGCCCTGCACAACCAAACCCTTCCGGCTGCGCACTGCATCCATATATCTCTTCGCAACATTCTCTTTATCGGCCAGTTCACCCAGATCCTCTAGCTCTTCTTCCGTAGCGGGAACCCAGAAAGGATCTTCGTCCAGGGCCTCAAAGCCCGCGAAGATCAGTTGCGGCTGAGCCGCGCCAGATGTCCGCTTGCGAATCTCCTCAGCAAAGCCAAAAGATTCAGCAACGGGGAGAAGAGCCATGATTGTGAAGAACGGAGTGCCTTCTTTCATGATCTCGGAAATGATACGACCGCGGCGACGGGTGATGACACCGTAGACACGACCCAATACTTCGGCTGTTTTGGGGGTACATCGGTTAGAACTAGTAGTACAGACAAGGATGGAGGGGGGGAGAGCTTACTTGTTGCTTGAATCTCACAACTGTACATTGCGAGCATGATACGCGGGCTCCAGTCTAGGATACCTTGCGAAATTCCCTCACGGACAAGTCGAATTGCGTCGCCAGTTAGACGACCCATATCAAGCTCGTCGTTTGAATTGGCTTGCACGGAAATGTCCTCCAGGAAAACAGCAATGCCTTGAATAGGCTCCTGGCAGAGTGGACCTTGGCCGGTTGCCAGCTGGAAGGAATATGCGATCTTGTCGCAGAGATCGCGAACCAGGTGAGCTTGCAGGTCATTGGCCACATTGGCATTGTTTTTAGGCTCATCAACCAGGCTATAAAGTCATGTTAATTATGTCCTTGTCCAGAGACAAATCAAGGCGTAGTAGTAACTCACAACTTATCGCAAGTGTTGACTGATGTGGCATCGATAAGGATGTTAGGACCGATTCTCCGAGGCCCAAAGGAAATGATTTTGTCAACGAGATCCTTCCCAAGCTTCTCACTCTCTCCTGCCTCTTGGTATATTCTCTGCAACTCTGTTCGGAATTCATTCAATGAGAGAATGCTACCTTCGCGGGCTTCATCGGCCGCGTCAGTAGCCACAATCTCAGCTGACTGGCCATTTTCAGCTGCACCTTCGGTAGCAGATCGCTTGTCGGATTGGAGCTTCTTGATAGTGCCGACTTGCTTGGTGAGGAACTCCGTCACAGTCTCTGGCAAAGGCACGACTCGCAATTTAATAGTCATTTGCTTGGAGCCGGATACCATACAGACGCCTCCGCGGCCCATTTCGGGATCCTTGGGGGCGGCCATTTCGGAAGATTCCACAATCGTCTCCCGATAGGGGACGATGGCCTCTCCAGTTTGGATTTCACAGCGAGCGAAGCGCTCAGTGAGATCTTTGACGCAACGCTCTAAGTGCAGTTCACCAGCAGTGACGATTACATGTTCACCGCTGGGAAGCACCTCGTACAGTGCACAAGGATCGCTCTGCTCAAGCATACGCAGACCGGTCACCATCTTGCCAAGGTCCGCGGGATTTGCGGGCTCAAGTGCAACACGAACGATGGGTGGTGTGCTTAATGAAACACCAGCCAAGTTGATACTTCCCTCGACCTGACTGCAAAGAGTTCCGGTCTTGAGAACGTAGCCAGCAAGACCACCAATTCCAAATACAACACCGGCAGGAACTGACTTGAGAGGTTCCAGACTTCTGCCCATGAGAAGGTACAGGTCGGTGACTGTAACCTTTCTCGGCTCTGGACTCTCGTGCGGGCTTGCGGGTGAGAATTTGGGGGGAAGGACATAGATCTCATCTCCGACAGACAAAGTTCCCGAGAACAAGCGCGCAAATCCAATGAGATGTTCAGGATCTTCTTTTTCTTCCGGCTCCTCGGGTTCGTCTCTTTCTGTTATAAGAGTTGTGGTCTCGAAAGCGGAGTGCATTCTTGAAAATTCGTCCCCTTTCCCTGCGCCAGCTTCTGCGTGCATTTTCGCAATCTCTTCTCGCTTGCGTCGGGCAATCTCTCTTGCCTCATCTGCGGTCATAGTCCCACCGCTACGCTTGTTGCTTGCCAGTAGCTCACTCTCCGGGATAGCGGCCATCTTACTAACATATGCAACGACAGGCTCCTTGGGTTCTGTCTTGAAATTGATCATAGCTTGTTTGATCTCCTCTGAGACAAACTTTGATCCGGGGATGACTCAATCAAATCCGGAAGTCTGGCAGCTTGTGCAGCAGGTGGGCTCGGAAGGTATTCAATCACTGACACTAGAACAGCTGTTGACAAGGGTAGCCACTGTGAAAACAAGGTGGTCATGATGTTCTTCGGATCACGAGAGCGGAGAACGTATGGTGGGATGTTGATGTTCAAAGATTTCGTAATCTTTTCAAGCAACACTGGATCACTATGGCCGAGTTAGTACCTTTTTTTACTGTTGTTTCGTTCAAACATACCCTTTCCCTTTATCACCGCCTGTCGTGGCAGCGTATGCGGCCCAGACACTGTCGAGTACCAACTGTACGAACATTGGCTTCAAAGGTCTGCCTTTCAGATGCTTTTGACCCAGGACACGCTTAGTCTTCGGGTCCAGATAATAGTCGCCCCATAGAACCTTCTCCAGGACTGTACGTTTGATTCCGAGCTTCTTCTCGTAGATCGCAGCAAACTGCCTGATTGTGAAAGCCCAGCCGTCAACCGCACTGCAAAAGATGACATTGTTCTTTTCCGGGGCGAAATAGAGATCTTCATCGTCACGCTCCTCAAAATCGGTGAACTCGCTCACACTCTGGGCCGACTCCTCGTCCACAACTTTGGATTTGGATTTTTCCTTGACAGAAGAAGCATTGGCGCGGTCTTCCATGCGTTCTCTCCATTGCAGATCCTCCTCCATGCGTTCGCCCTGGTAGAAACTACCAATGACGGCGTTGATCTGTTCCAAGAGTCTGCTGAGATGCGAGTAGGCCTCGCTTGGGCTCATCATGAGTTCCGTGATCAATCGATCCATCTTGTTAATAACAAGGATCGGCTTCAGCTTTTCGACCCAAGTCTGACGCAACACGGTTACGGTCTGACTGCATACACCCTCAACAGCATCGACCAGAACAACGGCTCCATCACAGAGTCGTGATGCCGTAGATACCTCACTACTGAAGTCGATATGACCCGGAGAATCGATCAGGTTAATCAGGTACTCCTTCGATACAGGCGCAGCCTCCGGGCTGGGGCGACGGAGCATGGAGAAGAAAAGAGAAATGGCCGAGGACTCCATAGTAATACCTCGCAGCTGCTCGTCTGGACGAGAGTCTAGGTAGCGGATCTTACCCGCCAGTTTAGGCGAGATGATGCCATTTGTGGCAATCAGACTGTCTGTCAATGAAGTTTTGCCATGATCCTAAAATTCAGAAGAAAAAGAAGACATCAATAATTAGTATTGCTTCTCACCTGTAACAAGAGTGCTAGTTATGATTTTTTGACTTACGACGTGTGCTAAAATACAAATCTGGTCACGCGAGTTAGTATATCGGAATCAGAGGGCACTGACATCACAGTGGGATGGATGGAGGGGCAGAATCTAGAGTCTCACGTTTCGAATGTCCTCAGGCTTTCGCTGGAGGCGAACTAGATCGTCGACGTTAACCACGGGCATTTTGACCAGTTCTGAGCATGCCCGGGGGTTCAGTGACTTCAGTGAAGGGGAAAGTGGCGGGGGGAAGTCAACTTGGTTCGGAGAAAAAAAAGTTGCTGAGAAATGGAGAATACAAAGACGTTCCCGCCGCCGCCCCTGCCCTTTGATAATGCGACAACTTGTGCAAATTACTTTAGAAAAATCCCCTTCCAAAGATTATGACAAACTAGATTCCGTTAATTTATGTCAAATTGAGTGCTTGATCACATTCTCTAGGCATTTCATTATTTTTTCTATGAAGTGGTACTTTACGACATGGCTAAGTTGACGCTGTACAATCGAATCCACCATTTGACTCATCGTGATTCATCGTGATTCTCGAATAGGTACGAATACTTCGAACCTTCTATTCCTGCAATGATATTTCAAGGATGTCTGAGTCACTCTTCATCGAAGGAGAGTTTAATCTTCTTCGCCTTCTTGGGTTTCCGCGCAGCTGCAGTCTTGGGTTGTATCTCCTTCGGTTGTGTCTCCTCGGGCTCAGGCTTACTGTCCTCACCCACCACCTTCGCTTGCTTTCGCTTTTTCTGACCTCCAATCTCGGTCAAATTGCTCTGTTTTGAGGCGGCGGTATCGGGTTGAGGCTTTGTTTCGTCCTGGTTATCGGCAGTTGATGTTTTCTTGGCCGTCGAGTCATCCTCCGACTCATCGCCCTTGACTAGAGCTTTGTATTCCTCTTTAGATATCACCTCGTTGCTTTCCTCATCCACGTAGACCGGTTCGTCGTCCTCTTCGTCTTTGGGATCCTTGGCTTTGCGAGGTCGCATGGCAGGTCGCTCCAGGCGACCTTCACTGCTTCCATATTGGCCTCGGAGCTTTGCGAGAAAAGCAGGCTCGTTTGCCTCTATGATATGGATGAGCACAACTCTATATAGTAATGCGATCGTGGCGTACCGTAGGCAAGATTGGGATTCTTCGGCATGGTCGCGCGGGCTCTGTGATATGACTGCGATTAGGTCAGGTCAGGTCAAGGTTCACACCGTAGTCTCTAGTGGAACAGTTGAAGTGAATCATTAAGGACCAGCCATGAATAATTTCACGATTGGGTCCTATCTGGGCGGAGATTGAATCGTCAAATCGTGAAGGCGTCAAAATGGACAACTTCCATAATGCGCGAGGAAAGCCGCCGCGAATAGCTCCTGCCACGCTAAACCCGAACGGGACACATCGAAAAGTCCCAAGGAGCCGCTCTGCGCGTTAAGATCTCTCCATCCACCCACCCCAACCCGCACCCCAGTTAATCATGCTCTGCGCAAGTGAGTATTCTGCTGGAATCGGGCGATTTGTGTTCTTGTTGATGAGTTGATCGCTGACAATCTCTTTACAGTCTCTGGAGAGGCACCTCAAGTGCCTGTCCTCTCCCCAAGAGCGGTAGGTCTTTCAAGCCCGTATTACGCAATTGACAACCAGCTGATTCCTGAATAGGCAGTGTTTTTGAGAAGCGCCTGATCGAGGCTTATATTTCCGAGCACGGAAAGGACCCAGTGAACGGCGAGGAGCTTACCACCGAAGATCTCATCGATATCCAGTCGCAGCGCGTCGTTCGGCCCCGACCTCCCACTCTCACTTCCATTCCTTCTCTTCTCAGCGTCTTTCAAGAAGAATGGGATGCGCTTGCCCTCGAAACATATACACTGCAGCAGAACTTGGCCCAAACACGCCGTGAGCTGAGCGCGTCACTTTACCAGCACGATGCTGCCGTGCGAGTGATCGCGCGACTGACAAAGGAGCGGGATGAGGCACGCGATGCCCTTTCTAAGGTCACAGTTGGCGCTACTCGCTCTGCGGCGGGTGGCGAGGCCATGCAAGTAGACTCTGCTGGTCTTCCCCAGGCTGTTTTGGAGCGGGTTGAGAACACACAAGCTGCGTACGTTGACAACTGGCTCGCAATTCTGTCGAATATCACTAACAGGTCTGATTTTATAGTCTTTCCAAGACACGCCGCAAGCGTCCTGTTCCCGAGGGCTGGGCTACCAGCGACACTATCTCTGCCTATAAGCCTACCGAGTCCTCTGAGCCTCTGTACCCGGGTGGCCGTACCTTGTCCGTGAACTCCACTGGCGAATTAGCCCTGGTTGGCAGCGCCGATGGCGTGGTTGGTGTCTACTCCATTTCCCAGAAGAATGTCCTGCAGACTCTGAAGGCAGATGGCCCGGTGACTGGTGGCGCATGGGCCGGTGATAAGGCGGTTGTTGCCTCTTCTACTGGCTCGGTCAAGGTGTTTGAGAACGGAAGCGAAGTCGCAAGCTTCGCCTCCCACGCCGGTGAGGTGACTGATATTGCTGTTCACCCTACTGGAGATATTGTTGCCTCTGTTGGTGTTGATAAGAGCTACGTGCTCTACGATCTGTCTACGAACTCCGTCATTACCCAGATTTTCACTGATGCTGGTGAGTATCCGCTGATCCCCTTTCAAATCCATCTGGTATTAGAAACAGTGCTGACCACAGTTTACCAGCTTTGCTGTCCGTCCAATTCCACCCCGATGGTCACCTCATCGCCGCAGGTGGATCTGATAACCAGATCAAGATATTTGATGTCAAGACTGGTGCCCCTGCTGCGGACTTCGCCATGTCTGGCCCCGTCAAGTGTCTCTTCTTCTCCGAGAATGGTACCTTCCTCGCGGCGGTCGCTGCGCAATCTACCACCGTCTCGATCTGGGACCTGCGCAGTTCTTCGGAAACCAAGGTGCTGGACACCGGCAGCCTGGTCAACTCAATCTTCTGGGACTACAGTGGTCAATTCTTGTTGACCGGTGGCCCAAGTGGATTGACTGTCCAGCAATTCACCAAGTCGTCCAAGAGTTGGTCAGAGCCCTTGCGCAGCGCGGTTCCCGCAGTCGCTGTGGCCTGGGGAGCCGACGCCCAGAGCATCGTGGCATTGAACGAAGGTGGTGCTATTACAGTGCTCGCACAGTCATGATCATTTGTTTCAAAATGTGTAATTTTAGAGCTGGATATCTGAATTTCTATATGGTGTTTGCGTTCACAACAGCTCTCAATGCAAGAAAAAGCGTCAATGCTTTCTTTACTGGCGTGTCCGTAGGTGCTCAAGCTTCTATGAATTTGTGTAAACGATGTTACTCCAAGCTATCTTTTTAGCTGCGAGAATTGACCGCTGTTGCCGCAGTATGACTAATTTCACAGACTCTACTCCTTAGTCTTACCTGCGTTGTGATGGAAGGTGAATCCTTACTTACCGCCTTCACTGTTACCGCCCTTTGACACTTGGCAAAATATCTACCGCCCGGACTCGACCTGGTGACGATGTGCCGCCGGGCGTTGACCTCTCTCCTCCTTTGATCTTTCCATGGCCATTCCACACTTTGTTTCAAGCTGAACGGCCCTTTCACCGTCTGTGCGCTTTGGCTTTGATATGAATGACGAGACTGGCGTCCAGATCGTGGGCGCCAGGTCTAAGGTAAGCCATAAAAGCGCGGGGCAACTGATAAAGAAAGCAATCTTCTAACTATATCGCTCTTTTTCTGGTCACAGCGAACACATCAGGAAATGTCGCACGAACCAAACGAAGGATCTTCAAGATCCTGGTTTGGTCACTTCCGTCCCAGACCCGAGATGGCCAATGCTCGCCCTTCTCGGTTGCCATACATCCGAGCCTCGCGCGATGGAGATGAGCTTAGGAGCCCTGTCCCCAGGCCAGCGCAGGAAGAAGCCGTCATTGACCTTACAGAGGAGCCCGAAACACCCCCGCAACCTACCCTGCCTCGCGGCTCAGAAAGCCGAACCTCAAACCCCGGAAGACTACCGCGATTCGGGAGGGATATCCTGGAAAACATAGTTGATCTTGAGGCGGATGAGGATGAGCCTCCTAGCAATCCCACTGGAGGAACTTCTAGCAGCCCAGAGGTCCAGTTCGTCGGTTCCACAACTCGCCGCCACCCCCTTCCATCCCGGGGATTAGACCCTTTCTCCGCGCACCGGTCGAACCTCGCCCCACCGAATCCCAGACGTCGTCCCATGAACGCTAGTTTGGACGACAGTATGTTTTCGTCAATATTTTCCTCGGTTCCAGGTCTACTCGGCCGGAGAAATTTGGGCAGATTCCCGCCTCCGGAGGTCGAGTCTCTTATATTCGGCTCGGATTTACTTCCTGAATCTCTCGATGACCTGGGTCAGCTCAACTATTCCATGTCCTCATTCCCCATGGGTGCTCCAACGCAACAAGCACCCCCCAGTCGACGGAATGAATACAAGCCGCCGAGCCCGGCGCCAGAAGGTTTTACGCGGACACTTGGTGACGATGACGTTGCTGTTTGCCCCAACTGCTACTGGGAATTAGGTACCGGAGAAGGCAAGAAGCAAGAGATTTGGGTTTCAAAACAGTGTGGACATGTTTGTTGGCCTCTTATCTTGCAGACGGTATTCTTTTATACTGACAGTTCTTCTACAGGTCTATTGTGGCGAATGCACCGACAACCGATCTTTATCGAAAGCTAAAAAGTCACAAGGCTCTCCAAAGACAAAACCTTTCTCCAAGTGTCAGGTTCTCGACTGCGGCAAATCTGTCAGCGCGCCGACCTCGATGATCCACATCTACCTTTAAACCTCTCTCGTGATGTCTTGCATCACTCTCATGCATGTCGGAGTTGTTCCTTCGGTTACTGTGTCTCAAGTTTAGTTTCATTCTCTCTCACGTCGATACCCACTACGCATGGAAATGGATGGCGTTTGTTTTTTTTTCTCTTTTTTCTATCTGGGTTTCTTGCATGTTCGAAATTTCTCTGTGTAATGCTCATACTACCCGGTCAGACTTCTTGAACTCGGATTAATGATCACGCTTCGTAAAATTCCTCTCACATCTTGGAACACAGGCTCCTTTGCTAGTTTAGCTGTAGGTGTCACATTTCTACTGAGCCTTATGAAGTCACCCTTCAAGGACTTAGAAAAAAGCACAATATACGAATCTACAAACGGGCGATATTTTCCTCTTAACAGTCTCAACAAATCAAATTTCAGAAGGCAGGCAGTATTGCATATTATGCCCAGGTGCTCATCAATGTCTAAGAAATAACAATATGCAGTACATATACTCAGGTAACAAATAATGCTCCTAACCCTTCGATTTTAAAGATTTCGAATTCGAGCTTCAAAGTTATTGCATATAGTTACAAGTATGAATTGGTACCGAACAGTACCTAAGTCAATCTATCTACAAAATATACATAGTTAGACATTCGCTTTAGAAGGTATACTCCGGAATGTCAATACGGCTGACAGTCCAGGTCTTGCCACCATCAGTGGTCTTCATATCGCCCGTGACTCCCTCGCCCTTGCCCATGGTGTTGATATAGTCTGGATCGGCAACGTCGAGGATGATCTTGGTGTTGATCCACGCTAAAAACGAATACATTAGCTAGCCATAGGCACGGGATGAATGCCCTAGTTCTTATAGCTTACAGTGGGCGCCGACAGTGCCGCAGTTTTCCTCAGCACACTCAACGGAACTTCCCCAGCCCTGAGCATGGCCGGAACTGGTGGAAATGGTGGAAACAGTCTTGTTGTTGATCTGGGCGATCTGAGTGTAGTTTCCGCTCGCGTCATCAAACTTGTCTACATGAATTTGTTAGTTGGGTTGGATACTATCCTTCGTTTTTAGAATACACATACAGTGCATGGTCACCCGCTGACCAGCAGTAGCATCCTCGGCCGGTCCCTGAATGGGCATCTGAGTGGTGGCTATGAAAATCATGAGCTAGGAAAGGGGAGATAGTATTTGCAAAACAAACCGCTAGTACTGGTCAGAGTGTAGGCATAGATGCTCCAGGAATCGGACTGCCAATTGTCGGCGATAGCTTGGATCAAGTCGCCATTTGAGGTTCCCATTCCAACCCAAAGGGAGGCATCTCCCTTGTTGTTGGTCGGGGCTTTGGGAAGAACCAGAGTAGAGGTAGCCTCACGAATCCAGGAGTTAGTCGCGACAGGTCCTGTGCTAAATGCAGGGCCCATGGCAGCTTCGACGGAGCCAAAGGCCAGGACAGCGAGAACAGAAGCGATCTGAGCGGAAGAAGGCATTGTGAGAGATATGAAACAAGTCTCTAATCAGAATTCGGTTTGAATGGACTGTTAGAAATTCGATTGTCGTCGAGGATCCATGTTCTTTATACTTCTTTGCCTTGAGTCCCCACTTCGATCATATTAGTGACCTAGTGGAGGTGATCTCGCCCTTCATTCAATAGGTGGTTTGATACATGGGGCATTTTCCACGAGTCAGAACAACAGGGTCGAAACATTGCTTGCAAGATGGAATGGCAATGGCTTAGTTATCGTCATTCGGTAGTTGCCCCGAGGTCTCCAATTGGCAGGTAGCACTTTAAAACAACCGGTTCATTTAATTCCAACCCACTAGTGCTGCGGCCCTTTGTCCCGGGACGTCGATGATCTACAGGGTCGAGCTTCTCCGTTTCAAATTAGGCAGCTTTACTGGCCGTTGGAGTATTTTGCAGTAAAAGCAGCGAATTTAGAACTGACCGCTACGAATAAAACTACATGTTGTCTCAACTCGTTAATACAGTATTTCCGTTGCTGGACCTGCTTACAAGGGGAGACACAACGCCTAATTTCTACTACTAAACTTGTCCACCATTACTAATGTTGACCTGAGATTGAAAACCATTGCCTGCCCAGGTGGGCCAGAGCTTTAATTCGCATTCCCGAGATTTGACCACCATAATTTCGAGCGTACCGCTGGCACATAATTAGATAGGTAAGGGCTGGATTTCAACCTCATGGTTGTAGATTTGAGATAGATTTCACTTGGTATAGTGGCTGGCTTGACGATGCAAAAACGAAATAGTGCTCAAGCACCAAGAAATAACAAAGAGGTAGGAGTGAGAAATGAACAAAGAAAGAAACTGGGTCCGGTTCAATAATACAGTAGTAGAAGGCAGTGTGATAGGGTCAAGACCGGATGACCGCAATCACTACCTCCCAGAGATAAAGTCCTCGAAAAACGCCCTGCTATGTAGAATAGCTCATACGCCGCGCAGATCACCGTGGTAAGGCGACCAGATACCACGCACACTCTCGTTCAGACTCGTCACGGGCTTCTTGGTGCGCTTCAGCTTCTCGCCGTTGGCCTCCTTGAGAATGTTGGTCTTCTTCATAATTTCGCTGGGCTCGAGGTTTCGCACGCAGATGGCTTTCTCCTGGCCATTGATGTAGTGGCCCTTGATAACAGGGTGCTTTGCTGGTCGGGGGGAGACGCGGATCTCGATCTGGGGGTGTTCACGGGCAAAGGCAGCAAGATCTGTTGTTAGGAAGGAACTGTAGTGTTTCGCTTCGTCAGTATCACGTATCATTCGAATAAAATGAGTCTCACTTACAGCATGCCCCGGGAGCTTCCGCCGAAGTTGCAATAGTGGAAGTCAAGGCGCTTGCATTGCAAGATGAAGGCACCGACGCCATTCTGAGCTTCAGTCAGTTCACATTCAAAAAAGACCCCACTCATATCCTTTTCATCCATTGACAGCTTACCCTGGCCGACGAAATCGTCTTGATTGCTTTTACCGGCATCGTTGTAATTGAAGTGTTCTTGATATTCACCTACTTGCACGCTTGCGCCGACTGGCAAACCGCCCGGGAACATTTTCAAGTATCACGTGGGCGGTGAGACACACCCGCGCCAGGATCGTCTACAGCGTCTATGGCGGATAACTTACTTGCTACCGCAGGACGCGACCCTCCTGACGCCTTTGTCAGGTTCCAGACTTCATCCTCACATCACAGCGATAGTGACAACGAGTCGCATTTCTCGATGACAGACAAACTTCCCCCGCCATTGCTGGCCCTCTTCCAGCCGCGGCCGCCCCTCCGATTCATCCCTCCGTCCGATCGCGCGCCCGAGGACTGCCAGAAAAGCACCATTTCCGGCGTGGCTCAGTACCTCGCCGAGGCCAAGAAGTTCCAAGAAGAGGTGCCTTACAATGCTACAGATTGCTGGATCCAGCGCAAGTGGCGCCAGAAGCTTGAGAAAAAGGAGCAGCTCGCCAATCAGCTGACGGAGGGCCTGCAAACCTGTATGCGCTGCTCCTAATCCTCCCTATATAATATTCTACACACATGCTAACTGCCACTTCTTTCAACCAGTCAACCCCGAAAATGACCCTCAAGCTCGAGGTGACCCATACAGGACTCTTTTCCTTGCGCGACTCAGTTTCGACGTCAAGGAAGCTGACTTGGAGCGAGAATTCGGCCGCTTCGGTCCCATTGAACGAGTGAATACCCCCGAGCTCCGGATATTCAATTTGCGATTACTGACATTCTACTCTCTCAGATTCGCATAGTGAAGGACACAGTGTCGCCAAAGGCTGCCAAAAGACCCGCCAGGGGATATGCATTCATCGTTTACGAGCGTGAAAAGGACATGAAAGGTAATACTATCAGATATACTCTACACTCGCAGCATGAAATTTCCAGTTTGTGGTAAGAAAAGCAATGCTAACACAGTTCACCCACGTTATCAGCCGCCTACAAGGAAACAGATGGAATCCGCATCAAGGATCGACGAGTCCTAGTTGATGTGGAACGTGGACGCACAATCAAGGGCTGGAAGCCTCGCCGCTTCGGTGGTGGCCTCGGTGGACGTGGATACACGAAAGCTATGCCCGCGCGGCCCATGGGATTCAATGCGCCATCAGGTCCCGGTGGTTTTGGCGGTGGATTCCGAGGTGGCTTTGGTGGAAGAGGCTTCCGTGGAGGGGGTTTCCGCGGTGACCGCGGTGGTGACCGTGGTGATCGCTTTGGACCTCGCGGAGGAATCGGTTACCAAGGAGGTCGCAATGGCTTCGGTGGTGGACAGCCGCCTCCAAATGCTCCCTCTGGCCCAGGTGGTGGTGGACGCGGTGGGTTCGGAGGCGGCTACGGCGGTGGTGGTAGAGGAGGAGGAGACAGATTCGACCGTGGCGGTACTGGCAGCAACCGAGAGCCCGTCAGGCCCCGAGATAGCTACGCTGACCGTGACCGTCGTGGTGATCGCGATGGTGACCGCTACAGAGACCGCGACCGCATGTCAGACCGCAATGGAGACCGCGGCGGAGACCGTGGCGGAGATCGTGGCGGAGACCGCTACAGGGACCGTGACCGTGAGCGTGACAGGTATGGCGGCCGAGAGGATTATGGACGGAAGCGACACCGTGAGGACGATGAACGCGACGACCCGCGATCTCGGAGACGATACGATTAAATGCCCTAGTTCCTTGTTTTTCAACGGAAGCTATTCTTTTCCCTTTCTCAGCCCCGATATGCTGGTGGGTATCCCCGATTTCTCTGTCGTGCGTCTCTTTCTTCACAAGGTCAAAGGGGTAAGGCGAGAACTAAAACGATGCATTGGAAAACGTGTTCGAGATGTTCAGCGCAGAACGTCGAATGTTCCCAACCCGCGAAGAATTCCGCCTCTACTCTTATTTTGATCACCAGGGCCCCTCCTTTACCTTGCTCCGAGGCACACATACTAGCCGGACTCGGTCTCAAACCATTGTGGTCCCACGAAGTGTTTCTGTATTCCCCGTTTCCTACCTGTTCTGAGCCCTCTCGGGACTTTCATTTCTTATGCGTTTGTTCCATTTTTTCCCTTGGTCCAGTTGGGCTTATGTGCCTCTCCGCAGGGGTAAGTATGTACTTTAGTCGAACCAATTTTTCTTCAAATGGTGGATTTCAAATGAAGCTCAGGTAAGACCAGGTAAGGTCCGTTGCAACGACTGAAAAGCAGACATCTTCCTAGGTAATTAAAAAGCTTAGCGAAGATGAATACACCATCAAGAGTTTTATACGATTTTATGTAGAGAGACTTTTTTTATCCAATTTGGTATCCATAGTCATAGGCACATCAATCGGAAGAAATCACAATCTTCCAGGAGAAATTTGTGTAAGATAAAAATATTCAATATATTTCAAAAGGAGAAGGAAAGCGCCAACCCAAAAACTCCGTAAGATGCCCACAGAGAATCTTTTTTAGTCGACCCATACAGAGGCCGAAGAAGACAGAGAGAGAGACAAATCAACAGAAAGAATCGGAACTTGAATCTATGCATCGACCTCCATATCACCCTGCTCGAGGATCTTCACCTCGTTGGATTCGCGCTCCCATTGCGCCTTCAGGTCGACCTTGAACTCCGAGGAAGTGACGCCAAACATCTTCATAAGAGTGCTTTGTCGGGAGTCCAATGTGTCACCTTTACGGCACACGGGGAAGCTCTTTTGACCCTCGGTCAGCTCAAGCATAACCTTGCCCTTAATCAAGCGGGTGGGGACACCGAGCTTGCGCAGCGCAGGCTCAATGGTGTGGCTGATAGGCTCGTCATCATGTTCAGGGACCTCACCAGCCCGAGCGCAGACGAGGCCGTTGGGGATAGAGAAGTCGCGAGTGGCCTCGGTGCCGGCACGAGCGAAATCCTGGGGACGGAAGTTCTCGAAATATTCGATGACTGACTGGGCGGGGCGGGAGGTGAACAGGAGACCGACAGCGCCGGTGAGGAAGGGAGTAAGCTTGTGCAGGTTAGGAGCAGCCTCAGTCTCGGGGGTGCTTCCCAGAGCCTTGGACATGACCTTGGTCTTGCCGAAGAAGAGACTGAAGATTTTATATTAGTAAAGTTTATGAGACGAGTTGGCAGATACAACAGGACGATTGCGTCGCTCGAGAACCAAATCAAATCTGCAAAAATTTCCGCCGGATTTCAATGTACATACCGGCTGTCGGAGAACTCAGCACGCACATCCTTCAGGTAGGTGTTCCGCATGTTGTCCACCGCAAAGAGGAACATATGATCATATTCCTCGACACATTCCCGAATATTGGCATACAGACGGCGGGTCTGCTCCTTGTGGTCCTTCTTGGTCGTCTTGGACTCGTGAACGACGCGCGCGCGCTTGGAACGAGGCATTGTGAAATTGGTGGAGTTGAAGTGTGGTTTGTAGTTTGCGGAGGAGGGCCTGGGTGTGGCATTCAAAATGCCATGGCCATTTTTTTCTGATAACCGGATCAACAATTGTGCCGCGCTTATCCGACCCCACTAGCCCCGATGGGGCAACCAGCTGCATCGCATCGTCTACACTTCCGCTCCTCCTCTCTTACAATTGCGAGACGACCAAGTTGAGGGCCGACAAGGCACAATGCTGGATTTCATGGACTACATCCAGTTCGCCTTCGCGGAGGCTACAAACTGGAATCGTGACAATTCCTACCTCTCACTGACTACAACCGCGCAATGTAAGTGGTCTCTCGATTTCTAAGGGTTCAGGGATGCGCCGTGAACTTGAATATTAACGTGTTAATCATAGCGCTCCTCGACTTTTCTACCCCGGAACGACTCCGTGTTCGTGCTTCCTCGCTGTCCACTCCGCATTTCGCGACCAGTTATACCCTTGGCACTGGGGGCATGCTCGATGGATCCGTCTCATACCTCTTCAGCACAGTTCCCCTGCATAATACTCCCAGCCGGAGTGCACTGGTTCCTCTCCGCAAGATTTCTCCGGGTTATCGCCAGGTATATGCGCCAGTGGCCCCTATACAAACATGGGATTGGGATACAATCCTAGACAAAGTCAGCATTCCCGGCTTCAAGGACGGATCTCCGTCGCGCCGGAAGGATGAAACGCCTGAAGAGCTAGCACAACGAAAAGCAACTCTTTTACATGCGTCTTTACAGCTTCCTTCGCCAACTACCCTTTATGCTCTGTTCCTGCGGAGAATGTCTCCAACCATGCAATTGTCTCTAGCTGTCTGCTCGACCCAGGGGCCTGCACTATCAAAGTCGGCACCGCAAGCATCTATGCTAGCTCAACTATCCCACGATACGGGAAAATACTGCAACGAGTATTTATTCAGTACAGACAATGCCCTCTTCGGCTGGCGCGGTCTCTGGAACTTCGGCCCTGACCCTCGTTACACTCCCGACGATGCTCCGCCTCGCTTGTCACTTCTCTCTGCTGGTGCAGAAGCATATTACTCCCCAATTTCCTCTCTCATTGGAATGTCAACGGGGCTTCGGTTCAGCACTCTCCCCGCAGCAACTGAAACACCTTCGCCTTCATCTTCATCTAGTCCCCCAGCGCCAATATCCTCATTCCCATACACATTGACACTCACCCTCACACCCATCACTGGCTCTTTGTCCACAACATACTCCCTCCGCGCCTCGCCGAACCTCGCCTTCAGCTCTCGATTCGGCTTTAATGTGTACAGTTGGGAAAGCGAGATGGTTGCTGGCATTGAACTCTGGCGCAACACCAAAAACTTCGCCAGCTCAGATGACGATCTTGAATGGGCTCGTCGCAAAATGCGCCTGCATGATTTCTCCGCCTCGCTGCCCGGTTCCCCGCCAGCATCCCCACTACTCTCCGACCCGGTTCATCCCGAGTCTGCACCGAGCCCAGAGAATGATTATGGTGAGGCTACTGATTCAGTGATCAAGCTTCGCATCGATCAGTCCTGGAATCTGCGTCTGCTGTGGGAAGGCCGAGTCAAAGAGCTCCTGGTGAGTGCGGGTGTCGGGCTGGGCCCGGGTTCATTCTCCCTGTCACCAAATGTTTCCTCCGGCGGCGCGGGGAGTGGGTCAACACAGAGTGGAGGTGGCGCTCCTTCATACTGGCGCGGGGTTGGGGTTTCAGTGATGTATTCATCATGATAGAAAATGGGATGGGTATATCAATGCATTCTCACTGACGCATTTACTATCGTTCAAGCAGTTTAGAAGTTGGTTTACCAACATCTACGAATTACTTATTTGATGGAGGGGGTTTTTTTTTAATATGCCGCAAACCGGAAATATTCACGGCTCAACATTGTACATAGATTCTCATGACAACATATCACGTTTAAATATTTTAGCCAAACCGTCTGGTATTATTAACCCTTTAAATACGGGCGTTGATGATGTCGACGACTAAAGGTAGAATTAGTATTAGGTATAATGTATATTGGGCGAATCAGCTGCAACTTACAAGCAGGCTTCAAGCTGGCACCGCCAACGAGGAAGCCGTCAACATCGGGCTGGGTAGCGAGCTCGCGGCAGTTCTTCTCGCTGACGGAGCCACCGTAGATGATACGGACGGAGTCCTGAGCCTCCTTGGAGACGGTAGCACCGAGCCACTTGCGGATCTCGGCGTGGACCTCCTGGGCCTGCTCAGTGGTAGCGACCTTACCGGTACCAATGGCCCTGGAAATAAGAGTTAGCAACTATATGTAACAGGACGTAATGTTCAAAGTAGATGTGTTCTTACCAGACGGGCTCGTAGGCGATGACAACCTTAGCCCACTGCTCCTTGGTCAGCTCCTTGGCGGCAGCGTTGAGCTGGCGAGTGACGACCTCAATGGTCTTGTTGGCCTCACGCTCCTGTTGTTATGACAAAGAAGTCGGGTGTTAGCGGAGGGTATTTCATGCAGGTCCCATCCCGATGACCCACACCGGGACCGGGACGAAAAACGGGTAACCGAGCGAATGCGAAATGACGTACCTCAAGAGTCTCACCAATGCAGAAGATAACAGAGAGACCACCGTCGATGGCGGCCTTGGTCTTGCGGGCAATGAACTGTTGTTTTATGCGTTAGCGTGAAGCCAGCCCCGTCTACTCCGGCGGCCGTATCGGGCCGCCGGTGTAAGTATAGAGCTTGTAGAGTACGTACCTCGTCGGACTCCTTCAGGATGACACGGCGCTCGCTGTGACCGATGACAGCCCAGTCGATGTTGGTGTCCTTCAGCTGCTCGACACTGATCTCACCGGTGAAAGCACCGTTGGGCTTGTCGAAGACGTTCTGGGCAGCAACGCCGATCTGCTTGTTGGCGAGCTCGCGGGTGAGGGCGAGGTAGAGGGCGGGAGGAGCGATGACAACCTCAGTGGAGGCGTCGAGCTTGGCTTCGTTGAGGTTCTTGACGATGTCGGTGATGCTCTTGACAACACCGTTCCTGGGAATTGGTTAGATTCACGATCTGGGAAGCTGGATCCGCGTTCGCGAAGGGAGGTATGGAGGGGCAATGAGTTGAACGCGGGGTATTCAAGAGAGAAAGTAACTTACATCTTGAAGTTACCACCGACGAAAAAAGTGCGAGACATGATGAATGATTATTGAGGGGGGTATTTGGTAATTGAGAAGAAAAAGCTGAAGGGAAATAGGTTGAGGAGGAGAGTTGGGCGGGCCAAGGAAGGGAAATAAATGGAGGGGCAGCCCATCCCGAAGATCGGCAGTCGCCTGGACTGTAAGGCACCAATTATGACATAACCAGCTGTCAAGATCCATGGAAGACGGGCTTTAAGCTTAACCCCCAGGGCAAGATCTATGTATACTCTATGCATGGGTTACAGCAGGCTTACATGGATTAGCTGCAGGTCAGCGAGTGTATTCTTTGCCACTTGCTAGTCAATTATACGACTGAAAAAGGGTAGGGCGGTGTTTCCGAGGTTGAATTCGACCAAAACAAAGTATCAGTTTAAATACTACTAGTCTCCTAAAGCATTCGTTCATACCTTGACTTCTTGCATACGCGGTAGAATCTATGAGATGGTCATTGATTTACTCTTGAACTACTATAATACTCTACGCCTTTCGCCCGCTAAGAGGAGTGGATCTTTTGCCATTTAGTAGATATACAAGTATCTGTATACTATCTTCCCTTCTAGCCTCCTCGACTCTTCGCTATCTTCTTGTCATATCATTGTATCATGATTCCACGTACATTTTTATCTTTTCTCCTGGGAAGCCTAATGGCTACATGCATGGATAAAAGGATAAAGATCACGATTCAAATAGTATGCGGAAATAACGAACATCAACCGAAAAGCAAAGACAATTTCACAAGAAAACGAACATCACCTGGACACAATTAAATAGAAATTATTTATTATTCCCCATGACACCAGTCTTAGTGCAATCACATCCGCAGTGACGCATTGAGGAGAAATCCCAGAAAGATCTCCGGCGCTGTAATTGACGAGAATCCTTCATGGTTTTCTGCAGTACTCGAGTCTGGTTCTCAAAGGCTCTCTCCCATTGCTCAATTCGAGCTTCACAGTCAAGCAGACGACTTCGTAGTTCTTCATCATCGATCCGTTGGATTCGATATTTCTTTTCCCATGTTTTATTAGCGTCTGTTCCCATCCCCGAGGAGCCCCTGGCCCTCTTAACGGGCAGACTGTTCTTTGCTGCCATCATATCTAAATTGTAATAGCGCAAAGGATGATACCTATCCAACTTCCGATCCATATTACGGCTGACTGACCGACGACGATGTTGGGGCCCATGGCTAGCCACTGGGGCCTCGCGGTGACCAGGGCTACAAGAGCGTTGTCGAGGAGTAGCCAGATCTTGGTGAGATGATGGCTCTTGACACTCACAATTGATGCCATCAGGATGCTCCGTTTCTGAACTAACATCAGATTGAGACTCATCAAATATCATTGACTCGTCGTCATCGTCACTGGTAGCTTCCTCAGAGGACCAGATTGACTGATTGTCGATGATTCGATTCTCCCTATTGCAACTTCAATATCCATACATATTATTTGGTGTTTCAAGTTCCAAGGTTGGTGCTTACTTCTCGGGTATATTATGACTATGTATACCTCTATATTGATCTTCTGTTGACGGGTGTCCCAAATCAAGCCTATTAAAAGGTGAGGTAACTGACACCGGCCGTTGCAGCGGTCCTTGAACCACGTAGCCTGGGCCAACCTTTTGACCCGGCAAGAATGGCGGTACTGCCTGGTAGCCTGAAGGCATCATGATTGCAGATGGTCTGTTAGAATCCTGTCTAGTAAAAGTCATCCCAAGGTCCACCAAATCCCCCATGGCCGTTCTAGGGTACAATTTGGTCTTCATGGGTCTTCTCATGAGGATGACATCCATGGAGACAGTTTCGTAGTCGTCACGATGAGCGTTTCGGGGCTTAGATGCTCTGTCACACTCTTTCGCATAGACACAGCTCCACTCATTGGATGGGTCGTTCCGACGCTGCTCGTGGATCAATTGATTCACATGAGCACGTCGAGTATCTGACAGGTTCTGATACTGCTGCGCGGCTGAGACTTTATTCGCACGCTTGTGAACCATTTTATAGAATTCACTCTGGCTGAGGTGCATATGAGTGCGCTCCACCCGGCTCCATGTTGCCTTCTGTCCAGGCAGAGGGTCTGCTTTAAAAAATTGAAAGCCTTCATACCCTACGGTATTGACATTGGAATCCGGTGCCCCCGAACTTTGGGCTGGCAGCGGCTCATTCCCAGAATCGGATTGACTGTTTGGTCGTAATTGAGGCGAGAGTTGTGGAGTTGGGATTCCCGAGGAACTGCACTTGTCTGAGCTGCACTCTCTTGGGGTCTCGTTGTCGATGTAAGAAGTAGTCATGGTTCTGGTATGAGGGAAGATAGAACCGCACGGCACATAAATCAATTGTATGTTTTAAAGGAGATCAAAGATGGTGTTGAGCTTTCAATAGAATAGATGGTGTGCGATCGTGTCTTTATGGAAATCGTTGACACACCCGGGTTAAAGCACTCGGGCGAGCCTCGGCTCCCTCATTGGTTGGTCGGAGCTTGTCGAGCCGCATTGTAGTTCGAGGCTTTTCAGCCCCCATCACCCGGGTGTAGGTCTGGGTAACCTACAACTTATCATGCACAGGGATCATCCGATATGTTTCTTTCATAAAAAAAAAGGGTTCCCAGTTGGGCTGCATTCCGATAATAACCTGAAGCGTATTGATAATTCATTACGTTACGTTGGTAAAATACCACGCTTACGATCGGCGCCAGGGATCTGGACCGGGGGTAAGATTTTGAGGCTCTATTTGAGCCGCGTCTGGTGACACTATACGACTATATGGGTCATAGAACCTGGTTGCTTATGCTCCACCCAAATTCAAGGCAAGGGGTTGCAGTTTAACTCCAGAGTGAGGCTGAATTGTACATCGTTAGATCGCATTTTGGGTCATGCCTCACGCTTGTTGCGGAGGCCGTACTCGCCGACAACCTTTAGTTCCGAATCACTATATGAGGTTTAGCATATGAAATCGCTTCTAATTAATGTTTGGGAGTAGCACTGGTATATGGATCGAGTTTGAAGGGGTACTAGAGTTGGTATTGAGATCTTCAACTCTGCTTTTTTTAGATTGGGTCTGGTTCCTCTTTCAGCCTCTAAGCAGTGTTTGTATCCGCAATTCTCTTCGGCTCTGTTGTTATTATTGGTTCTAATTTTTTTTATTTTCTTTGTTCAACGTAGTATATTGGATTTGACCGGGTCGCTTCTCAAGGTGAAAATCCCATCTCCTTTGTGAAACCCAATGCCCAAGACCAGCCAACCATTGTCACTCTAGCACTATCATTCTTTGAAAAGGGATATCTCTATTTGTTTGTAAAGGATTTTCTTTGATCTCTGTTATCCTTTAAGGCATAGAATAATCATTGTCACCGGTCAGTCCCCTCGTCTCCTCTTATAAACAAGTATCCTTGAATCTTGTATTTATAATTATATTAGAGCCATTCTAATTCAAGTTCTCATGATACCCTCCCGGTCATAACAGGCTCAAATTATCTTGCAGACTATCAAGTTTTCACAATGTCGATAACACTTGAAGATCGGTGGGCAAGCTCATTCCCTGCCATAGTTAACAGTTTACTAAACCCCGAGAGCCCTTTAGCCAAAGGGAATCCCCATCTTCATCACAATTTACGCTCTCGCCTAGAAGGGGCATTTATTTCCCGAGGGTATCAGCCCCTCTCGCAGTGCACACACACGAATTTTGATGGATACGAGGCCGGCCGAAGTGATACACTCCATTTCCAAGAAAATGAAGACATGGGACTGATCAATAGAATAGATCCATTTTTAGACACATCTGAGACTCGAGCAACATCTCTTTGTGCAGATTTGATTAACAGAATGGAGTTGTATGGTCTCGCTGGCACCGGAAGTAAGTTACTAATACCCTTTCTCTTTCACCATTTCGTTAAACAGGCTAACAGATAATTCCAGCTTTTGGTACAGTATACCTTGCACGTGAGAAAATGAGCAAAGATGTTGACCCGCGCTCCTTGAAACACTTTGCGATCAAGGTGGAAAAGCATCAAACAATGCTTTCCCACTTTTTGGCATCATATTACTCTCCTCCCATGGTTATGACTTTTGAGAAATCAAAAGATCTTCGATTTATCCCCACCGAAGCATTTATCATGCTCTTATTAACCACAAGTAACAGATTTCCCAAGCTAGATTCCATTTATATACATGATCGTTTTCAGGCGATTGTCATGTCTCCATGCGTCGACTACGCCCCTGACCTTCATCCTCTTCCAGGGGGAGGATTCCGTCGTATATTTAAACCTTTCACTGGAAGATATCTAATGACGTCCAGGGGAAAACCACTTTTAGATGAGATGGAAGCTTGCAAAGTTGCGGGCCAAATCTTGGAAGGGTTTTTGGAGCTGGCTGATTTGAATATCTGGCATAATGATTTTTCGGTCAATAATTTTGTCGTCGATCAAGAGCTTAATGTAAGTGATACCCAACTCATGTTTTTAATCCTGGTACTAACTGTTCTTTAATTATATTAGGTCACAATTATTGATCTGGGGGATATCAAATTTGGGCTAAAGGATGCTGACTTTCTTGATGACAAGCGTGTTTACTTGCCCTTTCAGGAACACCTAATGTCACCCGAGCTAGCCAGGGTTTTGTCAGTCCAAGGCTGGTTTAAAATGTATACCGATGACAAGCACGACATGCGTCAGGTCATCATTTGGAAATTTGGTGTTATATTATTCGGAATTCTGCATGGATACTGGCCATGGGATGATCAACGAGAAGGGCAAGGCAACTTGCTTGATTTTGGTTCCTCCGAGGCTCAAATTCCGAGAGTCATGGAGAGACGAGCAAGGATTATGAGTGATCCATTACTCCTAAACGAGAGTCTCAGCCAGGACTGTAAAGATGTACTGCGTGCCATGTTGGCACTAAATCCGGAAGATAGACCCTCCCTGCGACGGTTGGCAACCAGCTATCCTTGGTTCTTGCAATGGACGTATGCAAATCGCGTTTGGAGACGACCTTTCTCCAGGAGATTTCATCGGCATTCTTTTAAACAATCTAGCTTAAATTCATAGTGCTATAACTAGATGGTAGTAAAGTAACCAGGAGCAATGATAACCTCTGGAAGATACATACTCTGCTAGTAGTTAATAGTTAATTTTACTTAACTAGTAGTAACTAATGTATACTATTCAACGAATGAACCATCAAAAAGACTCGGACTTTACAGAAACTTCTTTCCGAAACTCGGACGTCTTCAGGTTGTAATTTACACTATTTTGAAAATGATCAATGCTAAAATTTCCAGCATAGGCCCAATTGGTGGGGCAATCTGGCATTCAAAAATGGAACGTGGCATGTCATACCCCGGGCGCCTCAGACAATTTTACTTTTACCCTCAGAAGCAAGTAGCTTATTGTGGACACTGAGGCTCCTGGTGATCTAGCTATTCTATTATTTAGCTGAAAATTATGGAAATTGCCAAGGTGGACTCGTGTTCCTGGTGAAACTTCGCCACTTTCAAGGTTATGGATTTGTTACTGAGCGTAGGCAGCAATAAGCGCATACTTCGCTCCATAGCCGCAATCGACCCAGTGCCTCTATCAGGCTGGCGGAGTCCCCAAGTACTAGTAATCTGAACAGGACTATTAATAGTATTTGTATTGTGTAAGTAGTTTTGGAATGCCTAGTTATAGGCAAGGCCTGGAAGAAATACTTACTTAGCGCTAATGCCAGCTAGGCAGTACTATTATTGGAAATATGACCACTATACTACTTGGTATTCTACCCAGTAGTATACTCAGTGCCCTTGATTGATAGGGTCGAGCAGTTTGTATAGATAGAATAGCTTCACTGAAGGGGTGGCGGAGCCTCAACTATAGCGAGCACTAGTAATTTTGGGACGCTGCCTGCCTGGCAGAAACACTGGGTCGATTGCGGCTATATAGAGCCGGATTTGTAAAATATTGCATGTAAATTGACGAGTAATACGCTAAGTAAGGGGTGACAGTATCAAATCAAAGAGGCTTACGCCAACAATCAGCCCATTTCCAGGCCCTGATGATCAGTAGCGGAGAACACTAAAGCAAAAAATCAAGATGTCGTCGTCATCGTCGAAGACTGTCCAGTCTAGCCTGAAGGTCATCATCATCCGTATGCGCCCCGCCACCTATGGCCTGGGCAACTCGGGTTTCTTCTGCGGGTGCCTTTTGAATATCCGAGGGGGGTTTCGCCCAACTGTGATGAAAATGGTCAGCGTCCACGCAAGTCAGTCTTCGTGCTCGGATGTGAAAACGTACTTGCTGTCCCAGGTCGACACCAATTCCGTCCAAAACTTCCTTAATAATGTCTTCTCCTTCCTCCTCCTCGCCTTCCATGCCGGTAGCTTCATCGATCGCATCATCCATCATTTCTTGTCGTTCATCCATTATTTCGTTCTCACGCTCAAATTCCATTGCAATGCGCTGGAGGCCCGGTAGGTTCATTTGTCGGTTCATGCCGCCTAGAAGTTTCGTCGCGCCTTTCATAGACTGCATCATCTGCTCATTGCTTCGGACGGTCTGGGGTAAACAATAGTAAGCGCCTGAACCAACATTATTTGTGAGTCGTCTCCTACCTGAATACGAAGCGAAATGGCCTGTAGCTGTGTGCGCATCTGGTAGAACTTCTGAATATATCTATTGTGCGATCTTTCGTTAGTCGTCATTGTTCGAGGCACCATCGAGGAGTCCTAGACGACGCAACGCACCTTCGTGTCCGCACCAAGTCCTTGGCTTGGATCTTGCAAGCTCCAATCTGGCCATTTTTGGCGCTCTTCTTAATGTCTTGCACAAGTTTCTTCTCTTGATTCTCTAGCTTCGTCCGCTCACGGTCTAGTTCGCGCTGGGTTCGATCAAGGGCTCGCTGGTGTTTGCGCAGACGCTCGGCGGGCGTCATGCGCTTACCGAAGGCCCATTCAATGACCTGGAATCCAGATTAGCAGTAGTCACACGAATTGAAGAACCGAAGCTGCTCACGTTCATGATAATTTGGAGTAGAGGGAATGGGGAGAAAGAGGGGGATCCGGAGAGGTTTAATTGCCCCCAAGGCACCTCTGGGCAGTGACATCAAGGCGGGACCGCCGCATTACGGCACGGTACCGTGGGCTGTTACCATACAAATGTAGAGATAATTAGTGCAGGATCATGCATTCACTCCTAACAACCAAGATTTTACAAATTCCCTCAGAAATCACATTTGTGAATACTTTCCATTCTTGATAGCAAAATTCACACATAAAATATATATCAACAAATCAGCCTGAGTCAAAAGACCGAGAGTGTTCAAGGCGATCGGCATGACGGCACCGGTAAGTTACAAGTCACATGGCCCGGCTAAACCCCTTCAAGCCGAAACTGACCTTCCATGGAAAACTGTCCATCTAACAAACAAACACCTTAACACAGTTGATGGCACACCAGCACTGCATATATCCGTCATGAGTCAGGAATATCACCCCGGCGAGGGCTCGTCGAGAGCCGGTTCGTCTCGATTTGGGGGCGAAGAAGAGGAAAGAAGTCCTTTCCAACCCCCGCCAGCCTATATGACTGTGGGCAACGGTTCGACGTCAGATAGCGCCACGGCTTTGATGAGCTCGCTGAACAACGACTCGGGATATGGAGGTAGCATCGCAGGAGAAAGCGCCATCGAAGCCGATGCGAATGCGGCTTGGCGTGCAGAGTTGAGGCAAGACAGGCCAACGCCCGCGCATACTCCGACGCGCCCCGGCGAGTGGAATCCTGCAAGTAAGTTGCTCGAACGGATAGAACGGCGGAAATTCTGGCCAGGACGCTCTGAACTAACATTACGTCCTATAGTGGAACACGAAAGACAAGTTGTCGCAAACCATGTGCATCAACTTCTATAGTATGTTGGGATCCTTCCAAATCTCCGTCAACTCGCCGAAATACTCATACTTTTCTTTCTAGCAACTCAAACCGAACAAAGTTAGGGCGTGCGATCTCCAGGACCATCGAAACCTTGAAAGAGCTCCAGGATATGAATCGCCAGTGGCCTGCCCATTATCCCTCCGTGCAAACCTCCCAAAGCAACCCTTCTTCTCCCTCACAACGCCCCCAGTTACCGCATTCGCATTCGTATTTCGGTCCAAATGACAGCCAACCATCAACACCACCTCGACCAAGACAAGTCAGGCGTGCAGCAACTACCATGGGAGGGGATGATTTGGAAGAGTCCAGTGCATCTGCTGAGCGCCGCGCACAACCCGAGCCTCGATTGATCACACCTCAGATTGCACAGGAATTCTCTATTCTCAAGTTGGACCTGAAACTGGGCGCTCTATCGCAGGCTGAGCTGGTGCATTCTCTGGAAAAGGCTTCAATCGCCTCTTTGTTGGATGGGAAGATTAACCAGAGCATCAAACATCTTCTTTCCCTCCGAGACCGAATCGAGGATACTGCGAGCAAGGTACTTATCACAGGAGATCTCAACGCCGGAAAATCCACATTTTGCAATGCACTTTTGCGGAAGAAGGTCCTCCCCGAAGATCAACAGCCCTGCACTAGCATCTTCTGTGAAGTTCTGGACGCTCGAGAGAACAGTGGTATCGAAGAGGTCCATGCTGTGCACAAGGATGTCCAGTATAGTCGTAACGACGAAAGCACTTACGACGTCTATGCAATGAGCGAGCTCGAAAACATTGTTGTAGACAACACTAAATACATGCAATGCAAAGTCTACGTCAAGGACGTTCGATCGATCGACGAGTCTTTGCTCAACAATGGCGTGGTTGATATCGCCCTGATTGATGCTCCTGGTCTTAACTCGGATTCTCTCAAGACAACCGCCGTCTTTGCCCGGCAAGAAGAGATCGACGTTGTTGTATTCGTGGTCTCTGCCGCTAACCACTTCACCCTCTCCGCAAAGGAATTCATCCTCAACGCTGCCCACGAAAAGGCTTACATCTTCATGGTTGTAAACGGATTCGATCAGATCAGGGACAAGCAACGATGTGAGCGCATGATCCTGGACCAAGTCGCCAAGCTCAGCCCTCGCACTTATAAAGAGTCCGCCGAGTTGGTTCATTTCGTTTCGAGTAATGCCATTCCAGTTGCACCTCCTGTGGCTGTGTCTCAGTCCGGCTCTGGTGGTGGCTCTGATCCCCATGATGACGGTGACGATGATGACAAGCCCGATTCGGGCAAGGATAAGGGCAAGGGCAAGGAGAAGGAGAAACTGCAGGACTTTGAAAACCTGGAAGGTGCTCTCAGACGCTTTGTCCTCGAGAAACGGTCTCGATCTAAACTCGCTCCTGCACGAACTTATCTCCTCAACCTTCTTGCCGACCTGAACTCGCTCGCCACCGTCAATCGGGATGTTGCCGAATCGGAGCTTAAGCGAGTGACCGAGGAGCTGGCAGAGCTGGAGCCTGCTTATGAAAACGGTAAAAAGAAGAAGAGTGAGTTGGCCGACGGGGTTGACAAGGCCATTGACGATTCTTGCGATGATGTTTACAACCACACTCGATCGTATTTGTCGAGTACCATCGCTCGAGTTTCCGATGCTGATCTTGGTGTCGAATACCCTGGTCTATTTTCGGTTTTCCAATATGCCGAGGATTTGAAACTCGCCATGCTCGATCAAATCTCTGCTGCAGTGACTGGCTGCGAGGACTATGCTAGAGATAAAACCGTTCAGGGCGTTGGCTTTATCCAAAATATCGGGCTTTTGCATGTAGGAGAAGACAAGTTCTCTGCTCTCAACTTCCGTGCGGACATGATGTTCCGCAAGGGTCGTCGCCATGCCCTTGGCAGACAAGTCAACACTGAGGTCGAGCTTTGGGATTTCTTTGATGTCGCTGGTCTCTGGGAACGCCAGGAGAAGCTGGCAGGTACAGGGGTTGCAATGACAGCCCTTACCGTGGTTGGTGGTCGGGTCTTTAGTGGCTTTAGCTGGGTTGACAGTGCACTCAGTGCTGTCAAGGTCTTGGGCCCGAACAACTTGCGTCGCCTTTTCTTCCCTAGCGTACTTGCAGCTGGTAAGTCTCTCATCGCATTCATTCACAGAAAGTGTTTTGCTAATAATATCATAGCTGTCTTGACCACGGCTTACGTGCTATCCTCAATTCCGACAACCCTACCGCCGCGTTTGTCTCGCAAGATCTCGGCGACTCTCGCCGATATGGACTATGTTCACTCCAACGCCAGCCGGATTTCATCTGAGGTCAGACGTATCCTCCGTCTGCCCGCAAACAACTTGCAGGCTAGCCTGTCCCAAGATATCGAAGACCTCGCTCGACGCAAGCAAGAGGTCGGCAAGGTCAAGCAGGAGAGCGACGTTGCTCTCAAGTACTTCGGAAACCTCTTCCGTGAGAGTGGCGAGAACCGCCGTTCTGTGGATGATCTTGACCTCGATGGCCCACTCCCTGCTGGCATGGGCGCATATGAGGCATAAAAAAGTCGTCCCTTGTAACAACATTCCCGGCTTCAATTTTAAGCCTACATACTCTCTTTCTCGATGTCGACCTTTTCATCCCCATCATTCTCTCCAGCCATCCCAGACGTGTACATTTTTCATGCTTTCTTTCCGTTCTGATATCCCTTTCCCTGTATGGTATTTCTAACACTGGTTCTGGCACTGCCTCCTCACGGGGGTCGCTGGCTTGTTGGTATACCTAAGTATTTCACTTTCAAGGCGTGGTTCGGCGTGTACCGGTGGTCTTTCCAAGTTTCAGCCCAAGATTCCCATCCAATTTGACCGACACTGAATTCAAAAATCAAATTCCTACTTGATGTACCTAAAGTTAGTTGCGATGCTCTTGGTCGAGTTGTTTCTCTAAGCGTAATCCTTTTTCTAAATTCGAATGGTATGTATCATTAATGAAGAGGTTCATCTCAGTCTAGATGAGAAAATGAGCAGAAAACCAATGCAAACTCCATAGGTCTTGAAAGACGCCATTCGCGATGCAATGCCATCCATATGCCTTGATTTACGAATCCAGCCCCAATCCAATGCAAACGCCAGACAAAATTAAAAACAAAAACAAAAAAGCATCATTCATCATCCTTTTTAGCGGGCTGTTTTCTCGTCCTGCGTCCAGATCCCCACCCAGTATCTTCCAACTCCCTGATCTCACCGATGACCGCGGGATCGGGCTTCGTAGCCTTATCAACAAGTTTCCCTGCATCGCGCAAAAACTCCGCCCTCATAGCCGCGGCATCCGGGTCTTCGTAGTCTAGCTGCGTCATCTGGGGCGCTTGGTTCTCTTCATCTTCATTGTCGATTGGAGCGAGGGTCTTCTCTGCCGTGAAGTCGAACTTCCCTCCGCTGAAGATCGACGACAGACTTCCTGCGTTCTGCTCGACGCGACTGGTCGTGCGGGATAGCGAATTTTCTCGGGTAGGATCATTGCTTTCGATTACACTGCCTAGTCCGTCGTCGTTCAATGTGTCAATTGAACTGGCCCGGGAGACTGGGCGCGTAACTTCGAGTTTACGATTGGACGAATGCGATGGAGCGCGGCCTAGGAGGGGTTTGCGTTTTCGGCGAGCGGGATAGCTGCCGTCATCGTTTGTGGTTGAGCTCTCGCTGTGTTGCCGTGATTTGGCTGCTTGAGCTTGCTGGAGAAGGCCCTTCAGTGCGGAGTCGAGAGCAGAGGGCGCGGCTGAGGTGGCCGATGTATCTTGTTCGGGGCTTTTGGCGGAAGCTTCCTTGGGTCCGGGATGATCTGATCCTCTAGCGGGCGATCCAGATCGTGATTCCGGTATTGTTGGCTTGGGTGGGATATCGGCGTCTTCTTTTGAGAAGCCATCGCCAACAATAGGCAGTATTTGTGATTTTCCTGTCTTGGTCGTCACAGGTCTTTCCGTTCTGTCTGCTGGCTGGGCGGAGAGGCTCGACGGCCTTTTCCGCCCTTGGCCGCTGGCTTTATCTGGGCTGTTCTCGCTTGTGAATCCATCACCGGGCTTTTCCGTGCTTCCATGCTGTTGGGACACTTGTCTTTGGACGAGGTATGGCTCAAATGACTTCTTCTGGCCAGATTGCACGGATATCCAAAACCAATCGGCGGATACGGCTGGGACTCCCCATTCGCTCGTGTGCCGAAGTTTGTCACGACTCGCTGTTTGTGGGTCGTTGCAAATGAGGACCGACGCTTGATGCGTCAGATACTCCTCGTACGTAGCACCCATAAGAGTAACAAGTTTGGAAAGATGCAGGAGGTCGATACGTGCAAATCCTGTTGAGCATATCCGCATGCCCGAAAATCCTAATATGGTCAGAATAAAACTACGATAGGCCAGTGGCGAGAATCTTACCTGGTAAAGGAAATTTGGGAAACGGGGTGCTCGCAACGTGGGTTTCCGGTGGGACCAAGGCCCTGGCGTCAAGACATCTCTCTAACCACATGTCTGTCACAATCTCGCATTCGAAGGCCATGTCGTCTGTCGAGGGAATGTTTGCCCTAAGGGTATTGTATGGCACCATGATATAGAGCCCGTGTCCAGTCTTGGGGATGCTGGGGCTAGAGAACTCGCTTAGAGACTTCACGCATTGGGCTCCGTTGTACCCGAGGTGTTCTCTCAATATGGTCATCTGGAAGGTGTCAGTTATCAAGGCGAGAATCCAGGAAATGTTCTTCTTACCTGTTTAGGAGAAAAGCCAAGGACAAGAATATAAGACCCGTCAAGAAAGCCACCGTTTTTCGATATGCTTTCTGACTGCTGGCGATTCTGCGTTGTCTCGGAGAACGTCGTCTCGCTCGCAAAGGATTTGGCTGCTTGAATGACAGGCGGCCTCGGTTTTTCGAAATCATCCTCATCCCATTGATCGTGTTTTGGCTCCGCTGGCTCGGCACTTGTAAATCCCATGCCGATGATGTCGCCCCATATATTCTCATTCTGGCCAACTAGCTTCTGACTTGCAGTCCTGCGAAGCTTTTTCCTTGGTCGTGGATTGGCGGTGCTCTCATCGCGTACATTCTCTTTTCCTGCCTTTTCTTTGGCTGCGGGAAGAGACCGGTTCCATGCTCCGACACCTTGCTCTTCCAACGATAGCATGGGGTGGTATTTCTCTTCATCCAGGATCATTCCGCGCTCAACACAGTCATGGAACCATTTCACAGTAACAACCTTGATATTCCATTGCGTTGCGAACTTATATTTTTCGCCCTCGGCATTTCGCGCGATCAGGTGGGTGACGCTTTTCGTTAAGTCTTTTCGGAATTCTGCGCCATTTTCCACGGCCAAATCGTTCATCTGGTTGCGAAAAGCCACTGCACACAGTCTCGTCAGCCTTCAGATATATCGGGGGATAAGATGGGGCAAATCCACGCCACTCACTGTCCGAAAAACCAGTAATACAAATTGTCAGACCAAAGAAGACTGGCAATTTATACTGCTCCTCAAGTGCTCTGGTATCGGTGTCCTCGTCCTGCATCCACAGTTCCCGTACAGCCTCGACCCATTCCGGTTTCAAGACGAGCACATCGTTCCGTTCGCGCGCAACAAATTTATATTTGGGTGAATCGGTTGCTCCGACGAGGAGATGTGTAACATCGGAGGTAAGGTCTGGCTGTTCAATTGCGCCCATTTCTTTCGCAAAGTCCGCGAGTTGCGTCTGGAAATTGGGGTTGTACGTTAGTCCATTAGGTCTTCGGGGAAAGCAGAGAGATGCTGAACACGCACCCTACGCTCTGGAGGGACCGATGTGAAGCAAATGACGGCACCCATGAGCGGGTGCTCCTTGTCTATGGGGTTTGGCAGGTTAGCTGGGAAGCCCATACGCGCTCTGGAAAGGGCTGTTTCTCAACTTACCCACGGCTGTTGACCCTGCCATCCTTCATGGCCCCAAGGCTGACAAAAACACAATTCAGTGTTCTCTGGTCCCGCGCCCGCACTCCGATTTCTGTAAAGTGGAAATTCACAGATGCGCGTTAAGAGGGAATTCATAGCTGTGATGGTTCGCGCCCGCTCTCGTGGAGACTATATCACGTGGTGATAAGCAATCCAGCTGCAGGGCGGTGTGGTAATATGCCATCTCTAATTGGTTACACCAAATGGGCCGTGCTTCCTCACTCACTCAGACTAAAACTAAAAACTAGAAGCAATTCGGATGAAAATCATGCAAAAAAAAGATATGCAAGCGACGAGACTCGAACTCGCGCGACTTTCGTCAGTGGGACTTGAATCCACCGCCTTAACCACTCGGCCACACTTGCTTGTATATTAGATAAGATCGTCAGCGGCATTATGACCGTCGTGAAGTCAATGCGGGCTCAGTATGTAGGGTTCCGGAGCTGTGGGGAATCACTCACGTCCCTCATTAGTCCGTCACGCGTCTGGCTGCGCGTGTTTGTCACGAAATTAACCTCAACAGCAAGTGTTTTTATTCTCCCTTTCCTTGTTAACCACTTTGTTTATGCATGTTGCCCGAGCTGGGGCACGACCTACCAAGCTCTTGCGACGATTTTCACTGCCATTGTCATCCAATTGTCCCAAGAGACCATATTCCTCCGCGCCACGGCTTGTTCCCGAAGAAATCGTGATGTTCAAAAAGGCCGTCAAAGACCACCCAGGTGTGGGAGCCGCAGCCGGAGTCGGAGCATCAGGCTCGGCCAAACCACTGCAGTCCAATCTGCTCCGCGCCAACCCGCTCGTCTCCTCCAAGCCGCAACCTCCCCAGCCCACCGGCGTCAAGCGAAAAATCGATATGACCAACACAGGCTCCTCGGCCCTGGGTTCCCTCCACAGTGGGGTCTATTTCGACGAAAACGACTTCGACGATGACCTTGATCTCGATATTGATGAACCGTTGCCCTTCATCGCACCGCCCACTACAACTACCTCGAAGCCGGACCCGGTATCGTACCCCGATCTCGAGATCCTTCCAGCGAAACCTAGCAAACCAATCGTCGCCGCGCGCAAAACATCGCCGTCAGATATCAATTATCCCGATTTGCCCCCGAATTCCCAAGAACATGCAGCACCTCCCAGCAGTATGCCACTGCCATGGTCGTCGTCGCCGCCAGCCCATTTCCAACCGCCGCCCAAACCACGCAACCTGCCATGGTTGAAGGAGACCAAGGAAGAACATGCACAACAGCCCAAGAAGAGCCTTGCAACCCCCAAACGTCAAAAGCCAGCTGAGTTTTGGAATAAGAGTGCCAGTGCCATTAAGGATGAGCAGAAGGAACTCAGGCGGGAATCCAAGAAATCCCAAAACGATGATGCTGCGAAATCGAAAATCACCCCCAAAGTCCCGGGTGTCTTCCTGAGTGATGAACAAAGAGGCGTTGTGGAAGCCGTTGTGGAGCGTGGGAAGAGTATATTTTTCACCGGATCTGCGGGTACCGGAAAGTCTGTTTTGATGAGAGAGATTATCAAGAAGCTGCGCATCAAGTACAAACGGGAACCAGACCGTATTGCAGTGACTGCATCAACAGGTCTCGCGGCTTGTAATATTGAAGGTGTCACCCTTCACAGTTTTGCTGGCATTGGGCTGGGCAAAGAACCTGTACCAGAATTGGTCAAGAAGGTAAGCAATTGCAAAAGAACGCACTTTTAAATACAATGGAGCTGACAGCCAGCAGATCAAGAAGAATCAGAAGGCCAGGAATCGTTGGTTGCGCACAAAAGTTCTGGTCGTTGATGAGGTGTCAATGGTGGATGGTGATCTATACGACAAACTCGAGGAGATCGCTCGCCGTATTCGGAACAACGCTCGGCCCTTTGGCGGCATACAGCTTGTTGTCACTGGGGATTTCTTCCAACTGCCTCCAGTCCCGGAAGGTGGCAATCGTGACGTGAAGTTTGCTTTCGATGCGGCGACTTGGAATACTACGATACAACATACTATTCTGTTGACGCACGTTTTCCGTCAACGCGACCCCGAATTTGCGAACATGCTTAACGAAATGAGACTGGGCAAGATTACACCGCAGACAATTGCTGCGTTCCGAGCACTTTCCCGCCCATTGGATTTCCATGACGCCCTGGAGGCTACGGAACTGTAAGCACGATTCGCCCACCTCCCGGTATCTAAAGTCACGGAGACTAACATTTCTAGATTTCCCACCCGCGCTGAGGTCGAGGGTGCTAACACTGCACGAATGACCAGACTATCTGGCGAGGTGATGAAATTCCATGCAGTAGACGGAGGAACCATTACAGACCCCAAGTATCGTGAAAAGCTGCTGTCTAATTGCATGGCTCCACCGATGATTAACCTGAAAAAGGGAGCCCAAGTGATGCTTATCAAAAACATGGAGGATTCTCTCGTGAACGGATCTATTGGCCGAGTGGTAGCCTTCATGGACGAGGGCACTTTCGACCATTATCGAAATAATGAAGCGGATTTTGCGGGCGGGGATGCCAATCCCGATGAAGACGACGCTGCTCTCCGCGCACGCAAGAAGCTGAAGCCAATGATCAACAAAGAAGGGGGCGTTACAATGACGCGGAAATGGCCACTCGTGTGCTTTATGCAGCCAGACGGTACTGAGAGACACCTGCTCTGTCAGCCTGAGACCTGGAAGATCGAGCTTCCAAATGGTGAAATCCAAGCCCAGCGCCAACAAGTTCCGTTGATTCTCGCCTGGGCGCTCTCTATCCACAAGGCCCAGGGCCAGACCTTGCAGCGGGTGAAGGTTGACCTTGGAAAGGTCTTTGAGAAAGGACAGGCATATGTGGCCCTGAGTCGAGCTACGTCCGCGGCCGGGCTGCAAGTCACCCGCTTCGAACCGCGAAAAGTCATGGTCCACCCGAGGGTGGTTGACTTCTATAACAAACTGGTGTCCATCGACAAGATCAACAACCCTGCGAAGCCCAAAGAGTCCGGTGTCGATGATGATTTTGAGGGAGATTCTGCCTTTGACTTTCTGTAGTATAGATAATGAAGATGTATGTGAAGATGCATCGGTAATGATTTTGGTTGAGTTTGAATTGCCTATATATCTATCCATCAAGAATAGAAATATACCTACCTGGGTAGTAGTATAAACAACTTGACAGCTCGACCTTTCTTGAATCTCGCACGTGCTTACTACTAGTACCTACCTAGGTATCTAGGTAGGTATCTGTTTAAAATTAAATAAACAATAAGCTAGCATTCCACCCCGTCTGGGCAACTTCAAGTGTAAGTTCGAATTCAACCTTCCAAGGTTCCAAGATTGGAAAGGGCTTGAAGTTGAATGTTCGCCGCTTTTCCGAGAAATATATATACCACCTGCCCGGCAGTACCTAGTACTAGTACAAGTACCCACACCTGTCAGCGGGCGCTCGGGCAGCACTCCTACTACTTTACGGAGCTTGCGTAGATGAACCTGAACTGCGTACTAGTTATACTACAGCACTAGATGGTAACTTATATTGATGTGAAGCCATTTCACACGCACTAGTAATTTAAGTTGTTCTTTTTTAAGGTTGCTGCTGCCCAGGTCGCTGCAGCTGCAGGGTACTAAGGTAAGGTAGTATGACGCCTCAATAAATTTCCCCCACACCTGTTATCAGCACGTGACCACTCTTTCCTTCAAAGCTGCCCGAGGGTCTCGCCCGCGGTTTATCCCCAGCACATCAATCCCCTCCCCAATTGTTCCCATCCGTGTTCGAGTGGCCATTTGAAACTCTCCGTGGAACAAAGTGACCATGGCGGCCGAGTTCATTGGCTACAACGTGCTTGTGAGCTTGCAGACCCCCCCCGGGTGGGAAGCTCCAAGGCCAGGTTGCTGATGTGATCGGACAAAACTTGATGCTTCGAGATGGTAAGCCAAGGGATTTTATACCTTCGTGACCTGGACCATAGCTAATTCCTCCTTCTAAAGTTACCCTTCTCTGGAATGGCCAACGGCTCGCTCAGTATGCTATTGACGCATCCTCCATCACGGACCTTTCTCTAGAATCGACTGGCATGGGCTCTTCACAGCCCCAATATGCTCAACACCCTCCAATGGAAGCTCCGAAACCCAAGCCTAAGCCCTCTGTCAAGCCGTCGTTTGTGGACCCGGCAATTCTGAGCTACGCCAAACCCGCCCTACTGCCCACTCAAGCCCACCACCCGGCGCCGGTCGCCAACGAGGTGCCCCCAACAGTCGCAGCATCTCTCACCGAGCCATTCAGTGATCTCGAACTGAATGTGGGCACTGGTAATATTCAGAGGGGCTCACAAGCGAAGGGATTTCCGGTTGCACAGAGCGTGACTCCGGCCAAGCAAACCTCACGGCGCAAAGATCGCGGCAATAACGATGTTCCTGCCCGAAAGCATGGCGCAGCTGCAAGCACTAACCCGAAAAGCAAGGGCTGGCGCCAAACGGCATTCGTGGAACCCGCTACAGAAGTAACCCAGGTTTCGCCTGAGAACCTCCCTCAGCCTGGCGCCAAGCTGCGCAAAAAGAAGACACGCCGTACTTACGCCGAGGACGCCAGCGGCTGGGCAACAGAAGATGCAACAGACATCCAAGAGCTGCCCGAATTTGACTTCGCAAGCAATCTGTCAAAGTTTGACAAACGGACCGTGTTTGAGCAGATTCGAAATGATGACACAACTGCGGATGAAGCTCGCCTCGTTAGCTTCAACCGGAAGCCAAAGCCAGGAACCAATGGCGGGAAGAATCTTCACTGGTCAGAGAACGTGCTTGATAGCCCGCAGAATAGCGACACTGGAGATGACGTCGACGTCATCAGCGATGCTAGACATAGCTCCGAGAACATCTCGGGACGAGACCGATCACGAGCCGCAGGACGCATGCAATCCCGCAAGAGTAGCGGAATCATGGCGCAGCCAATGGTGCAGCAGATTAGTGCTCTTGGTCGGAGCCAACTCAACATCTCTCGTACCACAAGTCCTCGACCCGGTCGATCATCCGTGTCCCCCATGGTTGGGCCCAGTGTCTCTGGAGCGTCGCTACGACTTACTACAACTAGCCGGAGTTGCCCAACTGTCAGCCCACTGCAAACACTCGAGGTGGAGCAAATCGCCGTTGCTGAGTTCGGTCTTACCGAAGATATCATGACGGAGAATGCGGGTCGGGGCATTGCCGAGGCAGCAGTTGCCAATCTTGCTAGTGATGCTGCTGCACCCACGATGCTGATAATTACTGGCAATCATAGAACTGGGGCTCGGGCTTTCGCCGCGGCTCGCCACTTGCGCAACCGTGGCCATCGTGTCTCTGTCTGTGTACTCGGACTGGAACACGAGGCCGAACTGCTGGAGAACTGCCGCAAGCAACTCGACATCTTTCGCAAGATTGGAGGTCGGGTTCTGAAGTGGGAAGATCTGTCCGCACGTCTATCCTCGGCTGAGTTGGTCCCTGACTTAGTGGTTGATGCTCTATTCGGCATGCACTTGGCCTTTGATGACCTTCGCACGGAGGACCAGGCCGTGGCATTTGAGATGATTACGTGGGTGAACCGGAGCAAAATCGATGTTTTATCGGTTGATATTCCCTCGGGGATGTCCGCTTCCAATGGTAAGTGCCAGTATCCTATGCCCGCGTGGGACTTATAACCTCTAATATTTTTTACTAATTTCGTCAACAGGAGAGGTGACAATGGTAGAGGGAAACCCACTCTGCATTTCCGCATCCTCGGTTGTATGTCTCGGTGCACCGAAGACCGGCGTCCTCAACGCCCTCGTCTCAGGGCTTGCTTTCGGCTGGAACCTTACTGTTGCAGACATTGGCATCCCGCAAATCGTGTGGCGCAAGTATGGCACTCGACGTCGACACGGTATTGACTTTGGCAATCGATGGGTGGTTCCACTGCAATACCAATCGTCAGCCCAGTAAGCCATCTTGACACAATGGGACCGATAATGAACAAAAAACTATTAGCGGCGCTTTTAATGAGGGTAGGAAAATAGTGGGAAGATATTATGGCGCAACTGGTGTGTTCTCTCCTGGTTGAGATTTCTCTGAAGGCCTAGAGGTCTTTTTAAATGCATCATTAGCGAGCAGTCTACGATTTTAAATGTGAAATCTTCCTAAGCCTCTCTTTTGGCACTTCTCGGCTTCTAGATCTACATCGTAAGTTGACTACTAGTGTAGTTTTAGTTGGCGCCCCAGATATCAGATCAATATACCCGCTAGTCCCAAATAGGCTAGTACTTCCTGCGTCATTCTCGCCGTCTCCGAGTCGAAAGTGAAGGCCGAGCTGTTGCCAATACTTGAGCTTCATACACCATGGGAAAAGGTATGTTAACTTTCCTGAATTGAGCAAGGTAATCTTACTAACCTATTCGCGCTCCAGGAACGGATAAGCTTTACGTACGCGATCACCTCCACCTCCTTCGTTAAAAACTCCCCGCCGTCTCATTTTCGAATCTTCACTAACAACCATTCGATATAGATCACACATTCCGAGTGGGCATCGGAAGATGCCTTCTCAGCCAGCGCTGGCGCTGGCGTCAGCAAAGCAAGACGAGGCGGCGGTCACGCGCCATTCAAGCGTCTACCCTTCAACTTCTGCTCGCTCTCCCTACAGCCATTCGCGCATCCAGTCTGCACGCCCGCAGGCACAATCTTCGACCTCACCAACATCCTCCCCTGGATCAAGAAACACGGAACCAACCCCGTCGACGGATCCCCGCTTAAAACATCCGAACTGATCAAGCTCACGCTCGCGAAAAACGAAGAGAACGAGTACGTCGACCCGGTGACGTACAAAGTGTTGACAGACAACACGCACATCGTGGCGCTGCGTAACACAGGCAACGTATTTGCCTGGGACACAGTCGAGCGATTGAACATCAAGGGCAAACTCTGGCGCGACCTCGTTACGGATCAAGAGTTTAGCAGGAAGGATATCATTACGCTGCAGGATCCGCAAAATGTCGAGGCGCGCAACTTGAGCACATTCAACTATCTCAAAGACGGCGAGACGGATATCCTGGACGAGCAAAAGGCAGCCGGCAGCGTCAATGCCGGTGCCTTGGGTAGTTCGGCCAAGATATTGAAAGCGAAGGAAGCGGTCGCCAAGGCTCGCGCTGAACGCGCGCAGCAGCAGAGTGGCTCTGCGGCTTCGAAGGCGATTTCCAAAACTGGAGGTACAGGCGCTAATGCCTCTAAGTCGGCTGCGGCCCAGCCAGGGAAGGCTACGCCGTACAACGCTGCGCGTTTCACGACCGGCAAGGCTGCAGCGTCTTTTACGAGTACAGGGCTGACGCCTCACACTTCGGGTGAGTTGGCCCTTTTATCGGAGGAGGAGTACATGTTGAAGCGGGGCCGGATCAAGGCCAAGGGCTATGCGCGACTGGATACGACTGCTGGCCATTTAAATGTGGAACTGTACCCGGAATATGCGCCCAAGGCCGTGTGGAACTTCATCCAGCTGGCCAAGAAGGGCTATTACAAGGATGTTACCTTCCACCGCAATATCAAGGGTTTCATGCTTCAGGGCGGCGATCCTACTGGTACTGGACGCGGCGGAGAAAGTATCTGGGGCAAGTACTTTGCGGACGAATTCGAGGGACCGCTGAAGCATGACGGACGCGGGACTTTGAGCATGGCCAACAAGGGCAAAAACACCAACAGTAGTCAATTGTAAGTTGGGGACTGCGATCTACCGCGTTTCAAACTGAAACTAAGCTAAGCTAAGCTAACCTCCCATCGCCAGTTTCTTCGCATATCGAGCTTTACCGCATCTCGACCGCAAACATACTATCTTCGGTAGACTTATCGACGACCCAACCCCTTCATCCGCTACATTGAACTCGCTCGAGACTCATCCCGTGGAGTCATCTACCAACCGACCGACGCCAGAAGTCCGCATTAAAGAAGTCACCATCTTCGTGGACCCCTTTGAAGATTTCCTTCGCCAGAAGCGCGCCGAGGGCCAGACAGGCGCTGCTGGGACCAGTAACGCCGAACAAGATGACGAGAGCTCTCGTCGCGTGGACGACGATAAAGTCACCTGGACGGGTAAGCGTGTCCGCGGATCTGGTGAGACTAGTGAAAGCGGCTCGACTGGCGTCGGCAAATATCTGAAAGCTGCGCTGGCGGATCGTGGTGGAGATGATGACGAGATTGTGGAGTTTGTGGACGAGGAGCCTGAGCCCGAACCTGCACGTAAGAAGGCTAAGGGGACAGGAGGGTTTGGAGATTTCAGTTCATGGTAATGCCGTGGCGTCTGCACTTGGCTCTGCGGAGTATTCATGTACATTTCCCATGAGGCCGCTGTTATTTTTTCTTTTTCTTTTTCTTTTTCTTACTATTAGGTCTTATGATTAGGATTATTGCTCCTTTTGGAGTCTGGGGAATGACTATTAGGGGCAGTATGTGGAGTTCAGGGGTGTTGGATCACCGGGATAAAATATGAGCTATCTGCCATCTATGCCGCATTGGGGCATCGTGAGATTTGGACTACTCCATTTTCTTAAAACTCCTCCGTAGTATGTATAACTAGTGGTTATTAGTACTATGTAAATAATACCGAGTTTTCTATTAATGCTAGGGGTGTCGATCATAGAAATGATGTATGAGGTGCAGCTGCCTAGTACAGTCATTCTGATGATGTGATGTTTGATGCTCGTCATCAGGTGTACTCTGCCTAGTGACTATGTAGTATACCTACGTAGGCAGACGCAGGCAGCAAGCGATTTGCAGGGATGATGTATCCTCTTTACGACAGTGACTAGTTTACCAAATTACTCTAGCTACTCTAACTAAGTTACTCTAGTGACTCCATACTCCATACTCCATACTGCTCATAACTGAAGTTCTCAGTAGCTCCACTTCCTCCGTTCTTGGCTGCACCTCCGCCCAAAGCCGCGACGGGGCGGAGTTCAAGTCGCTTCCTCCGGCATCACTCTTACTTTGGTTCTACAACTCCCCCTCTTTTATCGACCACAGGCCTATCACACTCACGGTATGTTCAACTTTCCATATTCTCTATGAAAACACACTTGGCCGGGTCTTCCGGGGGTTAGGCATGGAGCATAGAGCAGAGCAGAGCAGATCATAGAACATGAGCAATAGACGCGCGCTGGCCGCATCGGCAGTCAATGCTTGTTCGAGTACATATTGTACAGCCTCTACTCTTCCCACGAACGCATTTCATTTACTCAATGCTCCAACTTCCTACTTCCTGCCTTGCCAATCTTACAGTCCAGTCGCTTCTCTTTGCCCTCCAGCGATCTCCCCCCCCCATATCCGTCCACCTTACCTTTCCCATTCCCCAACCCACTTCTCTTCTGAACCCCCTCCATATTCTCTGTCTTTTGGCTTGTTATCGCTCGTCACCTCGCAAGACTTGATCTCTTGTTAACTTGTCTAGACCTAAAGCTTCATCCCCCTCCCTCCTGATCCGATCGACTGCTCCTCCTACGTCAGTCCCCTAACGCCGCTCTCCATTCTCACCCCCGCGCCAAGTCCAACCTCATTGAAACCCCCCCCACCATCCTTTTCGAGGGATACAATCAAGCTGGCAGGAAATAAGCGCCGTAGCTTTTCTTCTCAGGGTGGGTTGCTGAACAGAATGTTCAGTGGCTCCTCGAGCCCACCCAAAGATAAGATCGAAGCCACCTCCGTACCTGGCATCGACACGAGTTCCCTGAGCCTCCAGCCCGAAAACGCCAGCCCCCGCGAGAAGCGATTCTCCCCACCTGGCGCTGGCTTCTTCCGTCGACAGAGCGAAGACCAGGGCCCCGCCGGCGAAAAGAAGCGCAGAAGCAGCACCGTCACCAAGGCGACTAACTTCTTCACCAACGCCAAAAACTCCCTCTCCCTGAACGGTACGCGCGAAGGTTCCTCCTTCAGTACCAGCCCGAGCATCTCGGAGAGTCCTCTCTCTAAGCTAGGAAGGATGGACCCCGCCTTGATTGTGCCCCAAGGCTCATTCAACAACTCCGCTGGAGAATCGGTGCCGACTGCACGCTCATCTTTCCGCGTCGGTGTAACAGAAGACCGCAATCGAAAATGCCGCCGGACGATGGAAGATACACATGCCTACCTGTACAATTTTCTGGGTACTCCCGCCCCGGCAGGCTCGTCTAGTACCAACGGCAACGACTCCCTGGCCAGCGCGAACGAGTCGCAGACATCCAACGACTCTCTGAACGCGGTGGAAACAGACAATGGTTACTTTTCCATCTTCGACGGGCATGCGGGTACTTTTGCGGCGGAATGGTGTGGCAAGAAGCTCCATCTGATCCTAGAAGAGGTCATGCGCAGGAGTCCGACGACCCCTGTGCCCGAACTTCTCGATCAAACGTTTACCAGCGTAGACCAGCAGCTAGAGAAATTGCCTCTCAAGAACAGTGGCTGTACTGCAGTTACCGCGGTCCTTCGCTGGGAAGATCGTGTCCCTAGTCCAAATTCCGCTACCGGGTCTGCTGCTCTTGCCCCTGCTACTGCGGCGGTTAACGCTAGCTCGGATGCTGCGGAGACACCGACTCAAGATGCTCCTTCGACAGGGTCCATCGCCAAGTTGCAAGATAAGGCTATTCGTCAACGGGTGCTGTATACCGCGAACGTTGGTGATGCTCGCATTGTACTATGTCGTAATGGCAAAGCATTGCGTTTATCGTATGATCACAAAGGAAGCGATGAGAACGAAGGAAAGAGAATTACCAACGCTGGCGGATTAATTATCAATAATCGTGTCAATGGAGTGTTGGCCGTCACCCGTGCCTTGGGCGATACCTATCTCAAGGACCTGGTTACTGGGCATCCCTACACCACTGAAACCGTGATACAGCCAGATGCTGACGAGTTCATCATTCTGGCTTGCGATGGGGTATGTTTCTATTCTAAATACCCCTTTGACCCCGTCTTTGAGAACATAACTAATGAGTTGAAATCTAGCTGTGGGATGTATGTAGTGACCAAGAGGCCGTTGATCTGATCCGCAATATGCAGGATGCCCAACATGCTTCGAAGATTCTTGTCGATCACGCCCTTGCGCGCTTTAGTACAGACAACCTGTCCTGTATGGTCATCCGTCTTGACTCCAACCGGGTGAAGGACGTTGTGAACAATAAAGCAGAGCCCATCGGAGTGGACGGCGACCCATCAACCAATGTGCCCGGCGGCGTCAGCGAAGCCGACAAGATCGTCGAGAGTGCCCGAAAAAGCATGGCCAAAGCCGGAATTGCCGATAATCCCGAACTTGCAGAGCAGGCCCATGAAGAGGTCCTGGCGAAAATGGCCAGCAGCGGCGAGGATAAAGAGCCCGGTCCCGAACTCAATCTCGGAGATAATCGCCAACTGCCCTCTGTGGATATTCTGAGTTCGAGTAATGTGCCCCAGCAAAACAAATAAGTTTTCTGGGAGACTTCTTTCAAGGAGCACAGCAAACAGATAGAATGCGCACATACGTTTTCCATTTTATGATTTTTGGATCCCATACTTTTCTGAGTGACTGACTGAGCCTGAACTGAAATATGGAGTTTCCCAGTTGTTTACTTCCTTTCCCCTTTACCCCCTGTTTTTCCCCTTCTCTTTTCTATCCATTTTCTGATTTACACGCTGCACGTCGGCGCCCGATTTATGACTTCCACACAACTTACCCTACTACCTTTGTCTTTTGTTGTTGCCATTGAGGACTCTCATAGAGTCCTGTTCTTGGCATATCTCCAATCTGTTGGACCCTTTGCCCTCAACCTGGGCTTTATGAGATTAAGACTTTTTCTTCCCCTGCCTTCTTCCTACTTGTCTCTTCCGAAAACTTTTCACTTTTGTTGTGATGGGATATCATCCCATCCCATCCTCTGTCTGTATGTATGGCTATCTTATTGCACTACGTAAATCGAGGTCCGGTCGTTACACTTCTGCACAACTGGTTCAACTTGAAGTTTTTCACAGACAAACATGCATACAAGATAACTAGATCTGCTTACTACGTACACCGTATGCCAACCTCCAGAGCTACGTATTGACTGTCAACCAATCATGAATTGGTACGATGGTCTCATCCCCAACTCAAGTTTCAAAGATGCTGCCTGGCCGAGCCGTAATTCAGGCAGCTAATGTTCAGCCTTACTCCCTATTCGAGCTTTCAGCTGCCCAAAGCTCTAGCGGGCCTGAGTTTACTTTTGAGCACTCTCACAGATGGCCTTGTTAAACCTTATTTGAAATTCAATCCCGCAGTAGTCCGGACCAAGACAGACATTGACTTTATGAACCCGTTGATTTGTGGCATTCTGCCTCTTATATGACAAACGGAGAAAATCTGCAGCTAGCATCCTTCTAAGCTGTCAGATGATATTAGATCAGGATTCCGCTACTAATAGGTAGGCAATGACTTGTCACGAACGTGATATTGAATTGTCTAAAAATACAATTTATGCAATAAATAGTCCTCACAGCTGAGTAGAACACATGGGAGAAAAACACAGGGTGAAATACAAAAAGGGATCAACCATCTCGCCCAGGCCCAAAAACCCAGCAACCAGACGACCAAAAAAGATATCAACAGCGTTAGAGTATCGCTCAATGCGGCCCAGAACCAAAACAAAGGGCAACGAAATACCAGAAAAGAAGCCGTCGAAAACTCATCGCGAGTCCCCCAAATAGACGAATTGCTTATTGGTCCTCCTTCCTCTCGTTGAACTGGTGCTCAGTAACGACCTCCTCCGCGCCCTCGGGGCGGATCTCAGACCCAATGATATGGCTGCGCTTCAGCTCCAGCTCGCCGTGCTGCACACCCGCAGGCCAGCTCTCGGCAAAGTAAGCGTCGTGCACATCGCGCCAGAGAATCTTCACGTCCTTCGCGTTCTCGGGATATTCACCGGCCACCTCGCCGATCTCGACTTCCTCGCCGGAAAGGCGGGAGAAAGTCTCCTCCAGCCCAGCGATGCGTTCCTCATTCCACCCCTGCTGTCTCGCCTCGCGCTCCAGGGCTGCGCGGCGGCGTTGGCGCGCTTTGCGGGTTAGATAGCCGCGCTTAGAGACATCGTCTCAGGAGTCCGTTTGCAATTGCCTTGTCCTGGATGGTTAGGGCTGCGGCGATGTCGGCTACCGAGGTGGCCTTTTGGTTCATTAGGACTCTGGCGCGCTCGCGCTTCTCCATTGGCTGGCCGATTCGCTTCAGGTTGATCTTGTCGAATTCTTCGCCAGCTAGGGGGGTCCTTTGGTCGCTTTGCGTTTAGGTATTCCTTTGACACGGTGATCATTTCTGCGGGCGGGGCGAGCTGTCGTTGCAGGGAGAATTCGCGGAGGAGTTGGTAGGCGCGGAGACCCAGGCGTGCGTCTCCGAAGTGGACGGAGTAGTAGGGCACCCACATGTCGCGGCGGAGTTCGGCGGGGACGGTCTTCTTGCCGTGGTAGACCATTTGGCGTAAGAGGTTGGTTTTCTGTACGGGAGATAGTGGGATTAGCCGGCTGTGGTTTTTGCTTTGGATGGAGAGTAGAGCAGAGCAGAGCAGAGTCTCTAGCCACGATGATTGATCAATTCAATCAATGGCAATCATATTGATTGAAGAGACAGGGTCCTAGCCACCAGGAGCTATGGTGACAACTTACCTCTAGGTATCGAGTCAGGGAGTAGACGACTTGCTTCGTCCGAACATTGTGGTAGACAAAGATGTGCTTGCCGTGAGCGACCGCATTCAAGGCCTTCTGCAACCGCACGCTCTCACGGGTATTGGCCTCCTTGAATGCATTTGAGTTTCCCTCTCGGGGACGTCCTTGAATGGGGACGCGAGCCTTGGGGTCGAGGGGTCTGCGGACGAGTTTCGAGGTCAAGGAAGAGATCTTGGTTGCGTCTAGGATCCTCTTGATCGGCTTCGTGGCCGAGTTTGTGGAGGCCATTGCGGCCGGAGTTTGTGTTCAGTCGCTCGAAATAGAAGATCGGGAGAAGCGACTTTGCTCAATCTGTCGCAGAGATCGGCGTGGTTGGGGATTGGGGGGGCGAGGGTGTTCGGTGTCGGCGGGAGGTGAGGACGGAGGTGGATTTTTTGACGGGGCAGTCGTGGTCTTGGCGGCCTGTCTGCAGGTCTCCGCATCGCCTTATCGCTTCTACTTCAACCTCCCATTGTCCCTCACGCGTCAAGCTGCACGATTCGGCTCGTGTTTGTGAAGCATGCATATTTATCATTGGTTACTGAATACCTACTGAGCACCGAGTCCCCCCCTGGTCGACCCTAGCCTCCGCGATGGAGGGTATGGGCGCCATGGACGCAGCTCCGGGGCATGACGCCGGCGCGCGCAGGGGAGGGCCGTTCCTTTACCCATGGGTATGTTGAGCACTGAGTGATCGTTTGTTTGTGATATTGATTGGTTCCAGAATCGGCGACTACGTAATGTCATTGGTATTTGGGTGCGCAACCTGGACGTGACTCCACCCGCATCTCGAGGCCGCGGCAAGACCATTGACGACGACGATATCCCCAACAGCCTGAAATCTCCCTCGAAATTCCTCGCGCAGAAAGATACCCAGTCGCTGCATACTTCCCGATCATTTTCCGACCTGAAATCGCCCGGGGTACAAGATCAACAGCTTGAAAATAAGAAGCAAAAGAAGCCCGAGGGCCCATCACGCCGCCGCAGTACCCTGCCCTGGAATGACCCCAATCCTAGATCACGGCAGGAAAAACTCGCTGGAATTGTTAGGAATCGCATGGCAGATATATTCTTCTCGATTCATTCCGATGGCATTGAAGAGCCTTTATATATCAGTGAAACCATCTGGAGGACGACCAATCCCAGCTTTCAGTTCTTCGACTTGAATGCGTCGTGGCCGTTAGTGTGCCGACTTGATACAATAACAATCAAACTTTGGGTTCAAACGGAGGCCATGTCTGAGTTTATACTTTTGGTCGAGTTGAAGCAGAATCTACGGTACTTGCAATTCCTGGGAAAGACCCTGGACAGCTTCCACCAACCTCTACCTACCAATTGCCTTGTTTTCCATCTTACGGATGGTGTCTATGCTAATTTAACTGACATTCCTCCGGTGGAAAAGCCCTTCAATGGTGCCAATCGCCGCGCTGTCAGTGACGGGACTACTCTTACCACTTCTTCTTATGATCAGTTGATGAAAATGGTTAATTTGGATTTGGTTCTTCAAGACACGCTGGCGACAACGAGAACTATTGAGTCTCAAATTGGACACACTGTGACGAAAAATGAGAATCAATTCGAGCTCGTCAGCAAGGCTGCGGGTGCGAAAGAACGATGCGATTCAACAAAAGGGCTTGTAGATGCCCAACGGAAGGCGGTGCAGAGAACGATGAAGCGCAAGGATGAACTGAAAGCCAGTCTCGCGTATCGTCGCAAGACAATGGAGTATGGCCGAGCCACTATGGACAATGAACGGGCTCATCTCCCTGATGCCAGAGACAAATTGTCTCACAGTGATCAATTACTAAACAAGACACATGAAGAGACCAAGGGCCAGATCCGCCGGATCGCAGAGGATCTCATGAATGTTTATCCCATCGAATCTATTCCTGAACAAACGCTGGGCTTTACCATCCGGGGACTGGAATTACCCAACTCAAGTTCCAACGGGTTTGGAGACGCTGATCCCAAAATACTTGCCGCAGCTCTGGGCTACGCAGCCCACTTGGTCCATCTTCTTTCCTTCTATCTGTCCGTGGTGATTCCATATCCGATTACTCCGAACAGCTCGGCTTCATTGGTCCGGGATCCCGTGTCCAAGGACCTCTCGCAACGGACTTTCCCTCTATACCCAGTTGGTGGGGATTACAAATTCGGCTACGGTGTATTTCTTCTAAACAAAGATATCGAATTTCTGCTCAACCGGCAAGGGGTCCGCGTTCTGGATATTCGCCAGACTCTTCCAAATCTCAAATATCTATTTTACATACTGACTGCGGTGACGCAAGACATACCGGCTCGGAAGCCTGGTGGTATTCGGGGTCTCTTCACTGGAAGGTATACCCCGAACTTGTCCCGTCGCAACAGCGCAGATAGTGTGGTCTCTGGCGAGTTTGTCCAGCCGCGCAGAGCTTTGGACGGGGTCTCGCGTATGAGCGAGCTCAGTATGAAGGGCACACCCAAGTTAGTTACTGCTGTTGCTGGTCCGTCCCTGTCGCCCCGGATAGCTTGAGCTTAAGCTGCATTGAGGCTCTTCTTTTGGTTCGATGTTCAGCAACACACTGGGACAGATACATTTTCTTTTCTGTATATTATCCTTTCGGTACTTAGAGGCGTACGGTATACTCGAGCGGGTTGCATTTAGCGAATGGGAATGATTGTCATCATATTCTGTGTGTGTATCTACGAAAGCAGTAGCTATATTGCGTTCAAGTTATTTTGACCAATGTACGGATGAGAGCAAGGCTGCAATCGACCCATGGCCAGGTGGTTCTGCCGAGGTGGCAGGCTCCCAAATACTTAGAGTAGTTGAGATTTGACTACCAGCAGTAATTTTGGGATGCTGGTGACTTGACAGATGGTACAGAGCACCATGGCTATAACGAGATAATTTGGCCAAACTAACTACTACCAGTACCTACTACTAGTATGTCTCAAATTGGACGTCATGGCGATCTAGTGTCGAGATCGCCCGTGTTTATATGACCTATAGCTCCGTTCGATAAAGGCCCATTGGTGCCCACGAGTAGAAGCGAACCCATCCAATCCACTCAAGGGTTTAGCGATGTAACTCTTACACTTTCTGCTACCCCGCAGGCCTATTCTATTATACAATGGAAATCGGTGGCTGGCCGGCAACGTGGACTACGGATAGCGCACAGCCTAGATTTGGCTTTATGAAGAAAAGAGGGAAAACTTTTTCCATGGGGCAATTTTCCTCCTGAATCAATCTCTCTCCAGGCAATTGTACACCCCCCCTCCCCAGTCCCCGAGGGTCACCCCAGTCTCCAGTTCTCCTCCAATGGCGGCATCCAATCAATTGTCGCATAAATAAAACTGCCCTTCCCTCTCGGCCCATTGCAGACCGCCTTCCAGCTTATCTTCGCTTTGCATCGGCTTTCCCCAGCATCGCCAATCCGCTAAACCCACCCTGCTGCAATAGACAACATGGGACTCGACGCGGATGTCGGCAAGTCACCGTCGCCCTCCGCTGCCCCGCAGCATAGGCGCGGCTATCAGGCTTGCGATCCGTGTCGCAAGCGCAAGGTGAAGTGTGACTTAGGCAGTACGATCAGCAATCCCACCCCCGCTTGTCACTGGCTGGCTAATCTAAAAAAAAATATGTATCAGGTGTCGATAATCCTCGTCCCCCGCCCTGTGTTCGATGTCGTCGTGAGAGTAAACGATGCGAATTCTCAGCCACTCGTCGCAAGCGCAAGCTCTCCGATGCCGAAGATGAAGATGAAGAAACTCCCGATCCGGGGCCCGTCCTTCAACGTGACAAGCGAATGATGATTGGCGAGGTCTCTGTGAAAGAAGCACCAACAGAGGGATCCCCATTCCCCGCATCTGAGCCCTTATTCGACGCAGAAGGCTTTCGCGCGCGCCAGCGATGGGCAGAACCGGCCCCAGCACCGGCTCCAGCAGCTGCGGCCGCTGCCCAACGATATACCCCCCAGCGCTCCCATATCATCCTCGTCAAGACCCTTTGTGGATTCTAGAGCTCCACGCCTACCGCAATATACTACCGGGGACCGTAACGCGGTGCCTGTACCGGTATATGGCGGGCAGCCCATGATGAATCGGACTGCGGTAGAGCTCTTGTCGCCAGCCATCACAAATACCCATGATGCCTTGCATCTACTTTCAGAGGCAGCCGGCAGGACCGAGGATTTGAACCGTCAAAGCCTCGAAAATCGTTTTAATGCGAGGCGGTCAGTTTCGTCTTTTAATTCCGGCCCTTCGCCGCTGGCACATGGCAACTCTCCTGGGTCTTTTTCGCGGACCCCACGATCCGGTCTATCCTCGGGTGGTAACAATGGTTACTTCCCGGGTGGCGGTGCTGGGTTAGCAGACCCCCATACATCGGATCCCGCCGACCACCAGGAGGAGAGCTCCACAGATACTCAAGATCCCGGATACATCGATGCGGTTCGAGCATGGTCACGGTTACGCTTTGTTCGTGCCGGATGGATGACTGTAGAAGAAGGCATGGATTATGTGGCTTACTATTATGAGAACCTTGCTCCAATGAGTCCGGTGGTAACGCCGGACTACTCAGAGCCCTCGACACATCGAACATTACTCACGGAAGAGCCCGTACTAGCAGTTACCATCCTCACAATTTCATCTCGGCACTTGAAACCACAGGGCGACGGAGCAAGCACTCGGGCATTCTATATCCATGACCGTCTCTGGTCCTATCTTCGTGGCATGATTGAACGGTTATTTTGGGGCCAGGAGAAGTTTGACGCTAACGGACCGGGCGTTCGTGGGCCTCGAGGTCTTGACTTGGCGCCAACATCTGGACGACCGAACGCCAAGGGTAACCTGAGAGCACTGGGAACTGTAGAAGCGTTACTGATCCTCACCGACTGGCACCCGCGTAACCTTCATTTCCCACCTGGTGATGATGAGAACACCTTGTTAGATACAGAGGCTCAGTCATACGGCCGTGACAAGGACTTGGACAATGATGGCGACCATGCCAAGGGACCAGCTACCTCTCCGGAAGGACGTCTTGCTTTTCAAAAATGGTTGGAACCTGCATGGCGGTCAGATCGGATGTCTTGGATGCTGCTTAGCACCGCTCAAGCCTTGGCTTTTGAACTTGGTGTTTTTGATCACAAGAGTGAAACAAAAGCGGCCCCAGAAACACCAGCAGAACATTCGCGGAAGCTCCGATTGCGGCGGCTGATCCTGGTTTTCATCACCCACAGCAGTGGGCGCCTTGGGATTCCTTCCATGCTTCCACTGCCCGAGTGGGGACAAGACCCTGCTTCAACAACTGCTGATATGAAAGAGGGTGATTCAGATCTGGATCGGATGCAGGATTGTTGGATGGGAATCTCCAAGATTGTGTATCAAGCCAACCACCAACTTTTTGCTTCAACCGAGCAGACATCAGAATTGATCCGGACTGGGAGATACCGGGAACGAATCGATTGGTTCCAACCTCAACTACGAGAGTTCCGACACCATCTGGATCGTGTTAACAGTAAGTCCTTCCTTGATGGTTACTCTTTCTCAAATTAACGATGAATAGTGTCTCCGGCCATGCGAAGTGTTTTGATTATTGAATATGAGTATACACGTGAGTTATAATATCCAGCCTCTTCACACCAGTGATCAGTACCTACTGACACGGCATAGGGCTCTATGTCAATTCATTGGCTTTGCAAGCGGTCGTCGATCGCTGGACTACTATGTCCAACGAGTCCGGCCAAACCCAGCCTGCTCGGCCAGGAATGGGATCGTCTGCTGGTAGCACTGGCTGGTTCCGGACCTTGATGGAGCAATATCGCGTCAATGAGCAATACATCCAGGAAGTCGTAGACGCCTCACGTCGGATTCTACAGACTGTTCTGGAAGGGCTGGTCCCCGGCGGTCGCCTCAAGCATGCTCCTATTCGGACTTTTTTCCGCATCCTGTCCGGCATGATATTCATTTTAAAAGTAAGTTCTCTTTTGTATTAGACAAAAAAGAATGTTAACTCACAAACCCCGCCATTTAGACTTTCACATTGGGTGCACGGGAAGACGATGTACGAGTCTCCTTGGATCTCCAGGACCGGACAGTCGAGGCACTGCGAACATATGTCGTCGATGATGTTCACATTAGTAACACTGTTGCTCGGTTGCTGGAGCTTCTGACCAGTAGCATTCGTACACGCTTCTTGCGATTTGCGCCGCATGATCGCGGAGGAGATGGCGACGCACACGACCGCGGCTCAGCGCCGGTTTCACGAGCTCATTCTCCACCGCGCGAGGCCGTATCGGGTCGCCGTGACGGCCCGCAAACCCCTTGGTCATCATCCCACGGCCAAGATGCAACTCCGAGCGGAAGTGGATTGGGATATGTGGATAGTAACGGCGCCAGCGGACATCCGATCGGATCGGGTCATGATCCATTGGCCAATATCCCTTCGCAGTCCATTAACTCTTCCAGCTTGAACGTGTCATTCATGCCGCCTCCGCCATCCGTGTACTACAATTACTACGATTCTAACTCGACGATGCCTACCAACGATATCAATTCACCAAACCATGCCGTTCCATCGCAGGCTGTTGGGGACACAAACGGAGCGACGAGTACGTCCGGCACGCTAGATTGGTTTGCCCTGCCCCTGGACCAATTCTTCAACAGTTCCACTGGTGTTGTTGATCAAGGTTTGGGTGGGACTGGACCAATGCTAGGCGAGTTCGATATGCTAGAAGTGCTCCTCAATGAGGGCTATGACGGCGGAAATGCCAACGGTGAGGGCGAGTCTGGGGGTGGGGCGCTTGCGTCTCAGTTTTTGCCTTGACAGCTCTCTGACAGCTCTGGCAGCCCGTTAATCCCGGCCGAGGGTATGCCCCTGCTTCAGATGGCTTCTCGAACTCCGCTTCGAAGTCGATGAGACACGTACTTTATTTTCTCTTGCATTTTGCCCCTTTCCCCGTTTGACGATATATACCCCCCCCCACCGAAAATGACCGCCTGGTGCTTTTTGTTAGTGCATGTCTTGGGCCGTGATTGGTCGACGTAGCAATCTGGTTGAAACATGACCTTTTCTCCTACCTTTTCTCCTGCCTTCTTCGTACCTGTCATCTAGATTATTCTTTATTCCCTCTCTCCGGTCCTTACGCATTGCTACCCTCTCCTTTTGTCGGGCACTTTGATTAAATGGATCAGCTATGGAGTATCGAAGATCGAGATTAATGGTCACTATCCGGTCTCCGTCGGTCTCAAGATTGCGGGGCTCTAGTTTCATCGCGTGATGGCAGATCTTCACATGCTTAATCCTTAGCTTTGAATATCTCAGCCTTGTAGAATAGGCTACCGGGTGGCTTGGTCTAGAGATAAAATATCCCTAGAGAACAGGGGGAGATGCAGTATACGGAGTACTAGCGGGTGGTGTGATGATGCCCCTGCATTGGAAAAATTGAATGAAAATATCCATTAAATTATTAGTAGTTTAACAGTATATTCTCCTCCAAATATCGCAAGTGCATACAACTGATGTGTATGCAGCTCCGTCTGTATATCGGCGAGTCCGAAGCACTCACTTTCCATAGGAGGTTGAATGTGTTTAGGGCAACATGACTCGTAGCACCTGCATTTCTAAACCCTCCGGCCGCACCTATCATGTTCCTCACACCACGCAGATGTGATCGCGAGTTTGTCTTCTAGGTTTGGCTTTCTATCTCGTCGATCCAGCTCGGCCGATCCTACACTTCGTTTGGTTATTGCAGAAGCCACAACCAAGCCGTTTGCCGGACCGAAGGATCTCGCAGCAGGGCTGGCTGGCTGCTGCATGTATTACAGCATCTAGAAGGCTTTCATGGCTTACCCTCCGTCAAGGGTCACATTGCCTTGGTCGATCATTTCCATTATATCGATACTCTGGGCATCTCTGGGCGTGGTTGCTTGTCTGCGCCAAGATCGCGCGGCATGGGTTCAACGTATGTGCAGGGTGGGTTGCGCCACGGACTCCGGCCGACCGACGTTATGGTCTGTCATTCGACAACGGACTCACATTATTCCCCGAGGGTCATGCTCTCCTCTGCTTTAGACTGTTTCCCGTGGATCCAATCCCAAACTGCCCTGCTATATCCAGATCTGCGTCTAGTCCCTCTGGGTCAAGTGGACTGGGGTGGGCTCATATCGAAGGTTCCAAGCGACTGCTTCACCAGTGGATAAAGTCCTCCAATAACCTTTGCCCACATCCATGAAACTCCCGAATGGCGAAGGCTGCCGCAGGCGCGATGTGACCTCGATTGGAGGGGAAAGTCTGTGGCTAGCCATGTTGGGTAGGTGATTGGCTGCTCATGGAGATAACAGGCGATGATCGCCAGGGCCTAAAGGTTGTCTCGATCCCCTCGACTTCGATATTGTAGTTCGATTTGACGACCATGACGGATTGGACTACTCTTGATCTTAGCGTGGTCCCTGATCACTTTCCACCTCCACTCCACTTACTCCGTGCTGTCTATCGTGTGGCTCTGGAGTCTCGCTCCGCCTGAACCCCGAAGACGACAGCGAATGGAGATCGTCAGGGCTCTACCGAATGGATATGAAGCTTCCTACATACTCGTGATGGTCTTGGCCGGACTTCCCCGTTTTGGCACCCGTGTAGCTTGTCGCGACCAAGCCTCCGCTCCTCGTTTCCGTCGCATTCAAGGCGTCATCCACGCTGTGCCCCCCCTGAACGCTATCAGGTGCAGCCTAGACCAAAAACCCTCACGAGATGCTGTCTCATGTTCTCTTTGGTCCTTCTCCTCCGCGTGCCCCTCTTGGCGGACTCCGTTGTGTTAATCTGGCTGGCCGATGGACTCCGCGTCGATCTTGAAGTTTGAGGTTTCGGGTCCCTGAAGTACTGGATCGGCACCGTAGGCTTCCAGGAAGAGCAAGTTCTCCTTCTCTTAGACCCTGAGATAGGTGCCACCCCGGGGCCTGTTTGTCAAAAGAAGCTTGTAATGGCGAAACGTCTGATATCCTATAAAGGAGGCCTGGTCTCCGGCTCATCTGAATAGATCCATCATCCAATCCTCTCAACATCCTTCGATCACTCTCCATTCTTTTTAGAGTATCGTTCTTTTTTTGTATCCATTCACTATGGTTGTCTTCAGCAAGGTCACCGCCGTTCTGGCCGGTATTGCCTCCGTCTCTTCGGCTGTGCCGATGGGTGGAAAGAGCAAGTTCACTGTCAACCAGTCGGTTCGCCCTCTCACCAAGACCAAGACTATCAACTTGCCTGGCATGTACGCCAACGCCCTCTCCAAGTACGGCGCTACCATCCCCTCTGGTGTTAAGGCTGCCGCTGAGAGTGGCTCCGCTACCACTACTCCCGAGGCCAATGATGTCGAGTATCTGACTCCCGTCAACGTCGGTGGTACTACCCTGAACCTGGACTTCGACACCGGTTCGGCCGATCTGTATGTTTATACCTTGATTGATTAGATTCCAGTAACAGATACTAATGTTTGTTATCTAGTTGGGTCTTCTCCGGAGAGCTTCCCGCCTCTGAGCAGTCCGGCCACTCCATCTACAAGCCCAGCAATGGTACCAAGCTGTCTGGTGCCTCCTGGTCAATCTCCTATGGTGACCAGAGCTCCGCCAGCGGTGACGTCTACAAGGACACCGTCATTGTTGGTGGCGTTAAGGCCTCTGGCCAGGCCGTCGAGGCTGCCAAGCAGATCAGCCAGCAGTTCGTGCAGGACAAGAACAACGATGGTCTGCTGGGCTTGGCTTTCAGCTCCATCAACACCGTCAAGCCCCAGTCGCAGAAGACCTTCTTTGACACTGTCAAGAGCCAGCTCGACAAGCCTCTGTTTGCTGTCACCCTGAAGCACAACAAGCCCGGCTCCTACGATTTCGGTTATATCGACAAGTCCAAGTACACTGGCGAGCTGGCTTACACTGATGTCGACAGCTCTCAGGGCTTCTGGATGTTTACTGCCGACAGCTACAAGATTGGCAGCCAATCCGGTGGCTCTATCAAGGGTATTGCTGGTAAGTAATGTCTTTTTTTCGACTAGAATTATCATGTATCTCAAGCTGACCTAAATCTCCAGACACTGGCACCACCCTCCTGATGCTCCCCGACGATGTTGTCTCCGCCTACTACAAGCAAGTCGACGGTGCCAAGGAAGACCAGTCCGCCGGTGGTTACACCTTCGCCTGCTCTTCCAAGCTCCCCGACTTCACCGTCACCATTGGCGGCTACGACGCTGTTGTTTCCGGTGACCTGATCAACTTCTCCCCCGTCACCGACGGCAGCTCCACCTGCTTCGGCGGTATCCAGAGCAACTCGGGCCTCGGCTTCTCCATCTTCGGCGACATCTTCCTGAAGAGCCAGTACACCGTGTTCGACTCGAACGGACCTCGCCTCGGCTTCGCCGCCCAGGCCTAAGCTTAAAACCTTCAATGAAATTCCAACTCTTAATGAGCCTGAGTAGTTTTCCTCTCCCGCTTGCTGGGCGTGGAAGATGAAACCATTCGTTTTTTTGTTCATTGTCGGCTGGCTGGCTAGCAGGCTAGCTTTTTCGGAGGATGTTGAGATGAGATGATCTATGTGGCAATTTGGTGACCTTGCGCCTAAGTCTTGACGCGGCTTGGCTTGTATATGGTGTCTATTATATATTTGAATGCGCGCAGCACATAATATAAACTACGCATTTGATTGAAATTGGATCTTTATTGTAGAGCCCTTAAAAGAGCATGGAATTGGTACCTACCTACGGAATAGGTAGGTATCAGTAGTATATTCCAAGGTTCCAAGGCTGTATTTCATTCGAACTTCCAACTTGAAGGGCTCCAAGGTTGGAAATAGGTAGCTACTAGTTACTACTAGTACTAGGTTCCCCTCTTTCTTGATGATACTATATTTTAATTTTCTACCTAGATAGCTCTACGAAGGTGATTTTCTATGATGGGTGGGGCGTTCCCCCTTTGACTGCCGCCGCTTTAGCGAGGACGCTCAGACTCAGACTCAGTGATCGCTCAGTGACTCTGACTGGATGATCATTGATTGCTCAGAGACCCTCCGAGGCTATCTATTAAGTACCCAGCCCAAGCTAAGGCTATACCAAAATAGGTGCTCGCCCTATATCGCTTTTGGGTCGGAGGCTGATTTCTGATAGCTAGAAATGAACCTTAATTCTAGAGACTTATAATACAACCCTCACTTTTTATAATCCCTAATATATGAAGCCAAAGAAATTAGCTAATTAACGTAAAATTATAAGCATAGTCCCTAGTTACCAAGTAATTTTGTATAGCAGTGATCAAATCAGATAGTTCTATAGTTGGCTATAGAAAAAAGTATTTCATATTAAGAGCACCAACTTTTCCGCTATTTTATCAACGGAATTCTTCTTTCCTTCTTTCCTTATATTAGAGATACTTCTATTTAACTTACTAGCTACTAGTTATAGGTTAGGTACCCATCTTTATCTAACATACATGAATTCCTTTCATTTGTAAAGCATTTAAATATGAGTCTAGGTAATCACAGGAAGAAATTGGATTACGCTAAAAACAATTGTTATCTACTAGGGAAACAGGCCAATAAGACTTTGAAATCCCCAATTTATATGCAAATCAAAAGCGACTTATCGAAGTTGGCCTCTCGCGATGAAGAATTAGACGCCTTCATTCAAACAAAAGACAAAGACATCCAGACTTGCAGAGTGGAAGCAAAAGATTCGTAATGAAGCTTCTGCTTTTCTAAAGTATCACTCGCAGCTGAGAAAAATCTGAATCACCAAAATGTTCGCTCTCAGCTCGCACTGGGCAGGGTGAGCTCCATCTTCGAATTTTTAAGGAGGATTAAGATGGGTAACCCATCTCTACAAGGGTGTGTGTTCCTGCAGATAAGGACGGATATCTGTGCATGACAAGCCTGTTTTTTATATATTTTTATCTGTCTCAGCCAGACAGCTCCCTGACTGCCACTCGTTTCAATTATTATAAAAGCCAAAATAGCTTGAGAATCAGATGTCGGTTTTATAACGGGGCTAGAATTATTTGCTAAAAGCGTGGTGTCGCCATTGTGCATATAACGTGGCATGAGCTTCATTTAAATCGAGGCTGGGAACGATATGTCCGATTCACGTTAAAATGCTAGCTGACGGCAAATAGAACTCTTTCTCCCAAGCTGCCAGCTCGAAATATCTCGATACAGTTCGAAGCGGTGCCTTTGACGCCACTGCACCCTCAAAACAACATGTCAGGTAAGGTGCGGCTTGCAGGATAAGACAAGCTGTTTCTTCCGCCAAGGCCAGGTTCTTTTCCAATGATTGAGCCTGTATGTCAAGCAAGCTTCGCTGGAGTTTTATCATTTGCATAAGAAGTTCTAGCCGATATGACCAGAAGGTCACAGCAAGACCTGCTTTTTGGGTATTTTGGAAGCGGATTTGGTATGTTTCATCTGGAAATGAGGGTATGCAAATCGAGTCGACGTCGACAAATTTGCTTGGCATTGGGATATCCGAATGCCAGTATAGAGGACCCTGCTCGGAAGCTTTCAAATTGCTTTCCCAGTCTTCTAATTGATTGAAGATGACCCGGTAATCATTCAAAAGGGAGAGAGCGAGTTCTAGATTTTGATCCGTAGGATCCGAGGTTTCTTGATTGGAATTGTTGAAAGCGGAATTTCCACGCCCATCAAACCATCGATCTGTTTGGTAGAAGAGCCCGGGAATCTGCAATGCAATATCGTGAAGAAACTCCATTCTAGCCTTCTGAGCATTCAGAAATGGGAGACGTATCCAATCTGGATCTGCTAGGAAGGTTGGGGTATGCCTGCTGATTCTAATAGAGAGCTGTGGAATTGTTAGCCAAAGTAAGAGCAGTGAATATTGAAAGCTTACAAATATTCCCCTGAATCCACTAAAAGCCTGTCGAATGTGAGGTGAAGAGAAATTGTTCGGCCCATAGAGCTCTAAGATGCTTAAGACTCCACCGACGTGGGCGGAAAGAGCAGTCTCTGAGTATTCATTTTCGTTCACGAACTGGAAATAGTAGTTAGAAAAGGAACGATTTTCCCCCCATTTATAGACCTAATTCTCACTTCAAATGCCAGAAATGCTATCGCTAGTAGCAGAATATATTCCAGTTTGGCCTTTAATTTCGCACTGTGTTGGCTATTCTCTATGACCTGTTGGATATGCGGGCGTGACTTCTGCAAGGCAGATGTGTACAATGACTGTGCAAGTTGTACTAACTCTTCGTCATTTCTCAAGCTTCCCATGTAAGTCGCGAGGAGACTGAAAATGGGTAAATTGAGCGAATCGATCTGCAAAGACGTGAACCGCAGTAAAGCTCGAATGCACAATGCTGCGCTCGAATAATGGGGGTCACCTCGCGATATTCTATCGCCCCTGAAGACACCCCCCAGGGGGTGAGGTTCAAAGTCGTTAATCAATGCCAAGAACGTCAAGCGTCCAGGAAAATCAATGGAAATTATATCAAATGGTGGGCTTGGCTTAGTGACAGCTAGCGTACTTTTTCGAGATGGAGAATCATCCGTGCTAGTACTCGTGCTTGAGCTCTCAAAGTTGGCGTTGGCTGATTTCGGCTTCCTTCTATTTTGTAATGCGTAGACTAGCGCTTTTTTGTCACTTTCTTGGGTCAGATTTGTAGCGTTCCGATTGATAAACGTTCGTGAATCTTTGGGGCCACTACATTGGACACCATATTTGCAACATCGAAGACACTCAGGTTTGTTAAGGTCACACTAATTGTTCACATTTGTTTCTATAATTAATACAGAGTCCGAGTATATCATTTTTAGAACGGAACGATATGCATACCTTCTTGCGGCGTCGTCGGCATTCATCGCATCCTTGAGAAGCTCCTGGGTAGAGTGGCATGGCGCGACTCGGCAATCAGCAGAAAGCTCAAGAGCATCCTTTGTGGGCCACTGCTTTGCAAGGAGCGCGCAGTGACTGCCGAATATATGTTGGTGCTTGTTAGCTTCACCCGACGATCCCGCCCTTTCGCCACTTCGCACTAGTCCCAAAAAGGAAGTCACAGCGCCCAAGGATCGATAGTACATACTTTTTATACTTTTCTCTGGCGCACCCTCGACGCAAACGATACGTATAATGTGGGAGCCTTCATTTTTGTTGAATAATACATTATATCTTGCAATTGTCAATGATTACAGACTAGTACCGAACACCGATACTCTTATAAATCAACTATCTGGACAGGGTATAAGAAGGAAGAGCAGGTACGGTGGTTTGATTTGACCTACATTCTAAAGCATTCTACTCAATTGTCTGCAACCATGAGCTCCCACACTGCTGTCCTCCTCATTGATCCGCTCAATGACTTTCTCCACCCCGATGGAAAGTTGTATCCCACCATCAAGGCTAGCTTGGAGGCGACCAATTCTTTCGAACATATGAAGGAGCTGGTTGCCGGCGCAAGAGCAGCCCACATTCCTATCTTCTACGGTCTTCACCAAATCACCAAGGAGGGAACTTATTCAGGCTGGAATCATATGCATGAGTCTCAGATCAAAACTAAACAGAATGCGGTCTTTTCCGAGGACTTCGGTGGCCAGATTCTGAAAGAATTGGAGCCTCAGCCTAGCAACGGCGATGTAGTTGTCTCTCGACACTGGAACAGCAGGTGAGTATTAGGAGGCCAATTGCATTCAAGTCATTGGTTTGTATAGAGAGCGATGCTAATTTAGATAACGCCAGTTCCTTTTCGAACACCGACCTGGAGTACCAACTCCGGCAGCATGATGTTACTCACGTCGTGATAGCGGGGTTAGTGACCAACTCATGCGTGGAGTCTACTGCGCGGGCTGCTCGTGAACTGTAAGTATTTCCGAGCTACCTGGCCTTTTGATTACACTTTACTAAGAACTCCTTCGAATTGAATAGCGGCTTTCATGTCACTTTGATGTGAGTTTTAATTTATTTCTAATACTAAAGGCTGAAGGTCTCAAGACGGGGATGCTAACTCCATAACCAGCACCGATGCGACTGCCGCATTTTCGATAGAGTTGGAAAAGGCAGCAGTCAATCTGGTTTGGCCCATGATTGCAGATCAGCTTATGACGGCCAAACAGTGGACATCCTCCTTCTCAAAGGGGCGTATCTAAGTATCACTAGCGAGGTGCCTTATTGCGTGAATTAAAGAGTTCCTCTCCAAACACGGATATTATATACAGTATGGCAATCCCATATAGCTCTGTCACATTTCGGACGTAAACAATCAACCCAGCCCTTTTTTCAGGCTATTCTCTAGTTCTTCCCTGACCTGCTGGCTCACCTTCGCCAGAACCGCTTTAACAAAATTATCTCGATAAGTTCCGTGGATGATTTTGATAAGCTACATACCTAGGTATATATATCATAAGAAATACTTTTCAATCTAACTAGCTTTATATCTTATACTTATATAATATTTGTTGGAAGGATAAATTTCTTAGATTAAGAGACTGTGTTGTGTTAATCTCTTAGGAGACCTAGGTAGGTACCGATAAGGACTAAAATTTATCTTCACAGGAATTAGACTGACTATAGAGATAGCCCTTGGAGGTTAAGACAAAGCCTAGAATTTCAAAAAATACGAATTTCAAGTAAGTTTAAGATTAAGAGAAGTCAAATTTTCGAGAAAGGATTTAAATAAAGCTTATTATACCGGAGCATTAACCCTTCTTAGAAGTTATAGGAAATTAGCTCTCTATGCTCTCTGGTCTCTAATCTCTACAAGAAGCAGTATACTAAGACAAACTAGACTTATTGTTCCCAGGAACTTGCAGACTTCAGCCAGAATTTTATAGGATAATAAGGCGAGCTGCTCGGTGTATACTCCTAGAAGGTAGTATTGTCACGCAATTTTGCAGCTGTTTGTGATGCGTCACTTTCCTTGATGGGGCATTTGAGCGTTTTAAAAATGGGGAGAGACTTTAGTGAGGGGTACATAGTGTGCTGCGTTTTATTGGGGTGATTGAGCCAGACCGCTGGCTCTCATGTAAGCAATGCCCAGAGAGCAAATCAGAGCAGATCAGAGTGATCAGAGAGCTGCTCAGCGCAGTCACGTGAGGACCACTGATCCGCCCAGAGCGCTCAGAGACGCTACTCAGAGAGCAAAAGCGGCGCTCAGTGAGCACTAAAACGGAAAGGGAGAGCCAAGACTTCGCATAGAAAATCCACTACTTAAGTACAAAATATTAGGGTAGTTGGGCTAAGTGGTCGAAGATAATTAAATCAAATAGTAATAAACCTATCTTATATTCTCTCTTAGATGGAATTTTAAGGATTTCATTATTTGGGGATGTCAAAGTTAATCGGTAGACTACTAGTATCTGAAATTATCCCTTCTTCCTGTATTTTAAGGTTGTATTGTATTTTATTTCAAATTCTCGCTTTGGAAAATGAATGCAAGCCTCGTTGCTACCTCGACTTGACCTATAGGTTTACCTGGCCATCGGCCTTGACAACAAAGGTTTCTTACCGACCTAGGTAGGTACCTACTACTAGGTATGATTCTGCGCTTTTGACGTTTCGAAGCCTCTAATATACCTCCGTGGGCGGCTCATATCGTTAGTTCTCCTTAACATGCCGACAATTTCTCCGATTCCTTGTATTCACTTTCTCGGAACTATTTTGTCTATTATTGTGGAATATTAATGCGATAGGTGTATAATGAATCAAGATTTTCCAGTGTGGTCTTTTCTTTGCCTACTCCAGAATAGTAAGTGTCAGTGTAAGTGTGAGTGTAAGAAGAGTGGAGAACGAACGCCAAGTGGACCAGAGTGGCGGATCATCTCGACCTTCAACCCCAACTCTTGAGACTCCAGACTCTTCCCTTCTCAACTTGTTCTCTCCTATCTCCCCCGACTAGTCTCCCGATTAGACGAACCTCAAGCCCTGAGCGCGTCTCATAATACTGCTATATACTCTCCGTTTCCCGCCATTCCTTCTCCAACCAGCAACTCGATTCCCGCGCTTTTCTCTGCCTCCCTTTCGCACCGTATCGGGTCCTGCACGCGCGGCCTCCCTTCATTCGAGAATGGCCGTCTAGCAGACTAGATACCTATACTATAATTCACGAAATTTGAGAGGAGACCCGGTCGAAATTGCTTGACTGCACGCGCTGCAGCGGCCGAGTCGAGCCCTGAACCCGCTTGAATCGACTCGACCATGGGAGATGAGGCACCCCGTGTGACTCCCCGCCAGATTTGGGCGAATCCGACCACCACGTCGACCAAGACCTATGCCTCCGGCTGTACGCCAATTCTTCTCCCCAGCAATGGTATGTATGCGCGCGACTGTCGTCTGAAACTGCCCCCCTGTTGGACTTGGACTCATTAACTGATACTGCGGCCTTGCGACCCCCGCCACAGGCATTCTACACGTCAATAATTCATATACCGTGACCCTCGACAAAAACGCCGTCTACGAACCCGTCTGTACAGGCCAACCGGAGGATTATACTCATGTCTCTGCCGTCCTCGATACCCGCGATCCGTTCTATTCCTCAGTCACACCGCAACTTTATGCTATCGGATGCGCAACGGTCGTCAGTTACGTCCTCGTTATAATACTTCTCATCACACCGCGAACATTCTATGTTGGAGGACCTGGGGGTGGCGCAAATTTCCTCGGACGCCATGGGATGATCAGCGGCTCGTATAGTGGAAATTCCTCCGTCGTCGGAGTCGGAGGTCGCCCCTGGCTGCAGAAAGTGGCCGCGATTCTCGTTGCGATTTCCCTGACGATCGCTACGGTAGATTCCTTCCGAGTTGCCGAGCGCCAGTATGACTACGGATACTCGGACGCGGAGGCACTTTCAGAGGAGGTGATCGATGGGTTGGAGATTCGGATTGTCCGCGTCATCTCGAGTACATTCTTGTGGTTGGCTCAAGTCCAAACTTTGATCCGACTGTTCCCACGACATAAGGAGAAAGTCATGATTAAGTGGGCTGGGTTTGCACTGATCGTCCTGGACACCACATTTAGCATTTTGGAGAACTTTTGGTTCAGGAATACCTCGACACATCCGAGGTTATATGAAGACGCGATTCCCGCGCTCAGTTATCTATTCGAATTGGCTCTCAATTTACTATATGCCGCATGGGTGATTTTTTACTCGATCTCGAAACATCGTTTTGCATTCTTTCATCCGAAGATGCGCAATATCGCCCTGGTTGCGCTCTTATCTTACTGCGCAATTTTGATCCCGGTCGTCTTTTTTGTTTTGGATATCGCGCGGCCGGAGATCGCCGGTTGGGGTACATATGTCAGATGGGTTGGATCTGCTGCCGCGAGTGTGGTGGTCTGGGAATGGGTGGAGCGCATAGAAGCACTTGAGCGCGACGAGACGAAAGACGGAATTCTCGGACGAGAAGTTTTCGACGGCGATGAAATGCTCGAAGTCACTCCTTCGGAAGAAGTTGATTGGCCGCGCTACACGGCGCATGGCGACAAAGGAGGCGGACATGGCGCATCGTCGGGATGGGGTGGAGTGATGGGCCTGGGCCATCGTCCTCTACGAACTCGAGTGGGAATTCCTCGTGGTCATCGCAATCGCAACTTTGGAGGATTGCTGCCGAACTCGAACAATGCCACTTTCCCGCAAAATAGCACTCGGCCTACTCCACCACCGGCTGTTGTGACCCCGGTCAGCCGGGCTGATACTACTAGTGCGGCAAGCACGGTATACAATGTTCGGTACCATCCGGTTTCTAGCCCTACACCTCCGGTGACGATGCCGCATATGGTAGAAGAAGAGGAAATGGAGGAAGGAAAGGAACCTGAGATCGAAGACGCACAGGATCACAATGGCACTGATCAAACCCCACCCCAAGCAGAAGCCAGAGAACAGTCCCCTCAGATTATCCACGACCCCCGCTGGCGAGCTATACTCAACCCGTTCAAGCGGAGACGAGCGTCTCTCCCGCGGGAAGTTGCTTCTGCACAAGCCGGTGGAGAGCCTGCGGCCCAAGATGAATCCGAGTTATATGACGACGATGAGTTTGGTGGCCAGGAACCAGATGCGCAACCTAATTCCCAGACCAGAGGCAAACCCCTTTTCTCTCGCAAGGGACTTTTGGGCTCAGGACAATCCTCGGATACGCCACTGTCAGTCACCGTCATCCCCGCTCGTCGAAGGGGTCAACATCACACATGGTCTCCACAGAATCGACTGCTTGACTCAAGCAGCGCACACCATGAATCGAGAGCTAGCCAAGTGAGCCAAGTCAGCCAAGCGAGTCACGAACCCCGATCTACCCGTCCGGGCCTTCCTGTGAGAGTGATCCCATCCCAGCCACAAGCTTCCGCCCCCTGGAGCAACGCCGACCTCGAAAATGGAGACGGGGACTACACTTTACGATACGACCCCGACGCAGCTGCATTGATCGATGAGGATATCGGCTCTCACCACGAAGAACACACCGTCATTGCCGACCAAGCCAGCTGGACCGAGACAACAGTTTCAGAGGATAGGAACGATGCTCTTTCCGAACATGATAGCTCGCACCAACCGACTCATAGGCATGGGTCCCCTTGATTCTGTTCGATTTGTTGTTCCCGTTCCGCTGCGGGGTGATTGCATGCATGTGCGCAGGCGCATTGGGGCTGACTGGTAGCGACTCCGGCCTTTGGCCGACATTTCATGGAGTTTCTTTTATTTGGGTGATTTATTTGAATATACGGATTGGGTTAAGGATTTGGGGCATGGTTCGATGGATCTGAGCTATGTAAAAAGAAGATACCCTAGGACTATACACATAATACTACATACTGCATACACAACTGTACACACAGTGCTTTGACTTATGGTACCTGAAAGACTTGAGATTGTCGTGGTACGGCTTGAACGTTAGCTTTGACCGTACGTCTCCACGATTTTAGATATTTGTTTGCTTTTTTCTTAGAGGCTGAGTTTTTTCACTATAAGCTAGTACTGATACTGTAGTACTATCACTAGTAGTATACCTCTCGTGTCATCTCGCGTCTGACAGCCTCCACCCTTGCGTCACCATCACCGTCACCATGGTCAAATGTCCACGATCCCTGCTCATGCACAGGAAAAGTGAAAACGTGCACAGCAGACTTGGATCATCCTGGAAAAGATGAGAGTTATGAATTACATTGGGCGGTTGCTGACTGGTCCAAGTGGATCGTTTGACGCGATCGGGAACTTTTTGCTCCGAACGGGCCTACCCCATATTCTCATTCCCATTCCCATTCTCAGATTCAGCCTCCTTTTACTTCCCCCCATGCCATAGCAGACCAGATGTCGCATGTCGCATCATGGCGACCGTCAATCAGAATATGTTTGGTGCCAGTATAACCACCGATCGGCCTGGTGGTGGGTCGTTAATGAGGCTGCCACTGAATCTGATCGTGCAAATCGTGTCGAATGTCAGCTCTTATCACAAGCCAATCCCCTCATCGCGTCACCGAAAACTGATTAACACTGTATAGGTTGAGGATACTGGCGATCTTGCCCGACTATGCCGTACATGTCGTGTCCTTAACTACATGGCCCTGCCACAGCTTTATCGCACCTTGACCCTCAATTCTTACGGCAAAATCCGGTATCGCGATGAACAGCCAGAAGGAATCGGAAGCGCCAGTCCTTTCACGATGGGCCTGAATGCGATTATCACCCGACCATATGCGACGCTCGTTCGATCGGTAACACTCCGGGGAGACTGGAAAGAGAGAGAGCTGGAGGAGCATTCCGCAGTTGGCCGCGTGCCCGACTCATCAATGTTGCTGAACATCGCCGTGCGGGCGGCAGTGGATCGCATGACCAACCTAGAGACCTTCCATTGGGAACTTAATACCAAAATGCTGGACACTGTATATAATGGACTTACACAGCTTCCTCGACTCACGACATTAACGATCCGCTTCCCTTCTACCCGCCACCCTCAACCCACATTCGTGCTTCCGGGCATGCCACATTTGCGGTCTCTGAAAATTACCGATATCGATCCTCTCTGCTACCCTGATGATATAGCCACAATGCTTCTCAAGAGCAAAAAGCTGCGCGAATTGAAGCTCCATTGGTCTCCTCGCATGCGCATCGCACAGGAACCCAGCGTCTCCCTGCACGAGTATTTCCGCAAATGCATTGCTGCAAAACATCCCATACCCGTCAAGAAGCTTTCCTTCCAGAATATGTACGCCTTCCATACCGAAGAATTCAATATCGCATTTGATCCAACCACCGTCGAGGATGTCACTTTCCTGAGTGGTACGGATAATGCAGGCTTCGTCAACACATTTATCGAAAATAGTTGGCCAACGATGATGCCCCATAAAAAGCTCCAGATCAAATCCATTCGTGTGGATGCGATTTCCAAGCGCAACTCGGAATTCTTGGGCAATTTCAAGGGACTGGAGCGGCTATACTTCGTGAATGTGACCGCCGATTCAAATGACTACCTCAATTCTCCTCGCCCGGGGTTCGGGCCTGCCTCATCCGCACTCACTCCCCCAGTGCATGAAATTCCAAATGGATTTATGGGCAATTCGCCCACCGCAGCTGCATCGCCGGCCAGTCAGGTGAACCTGGCCACTAGCGTTCGCGATAGCTATCTATCCCACATTGCCACAAACCACGGCGCCAGTCTACGCCATCTACTTTTGTGTTCCAAATGGCCTCTTTCAACAGCCATGATTGCAAGACTTGTTCACGCCTGTCCGAACTTGGAACAACTCGCTCTCGCCACAGAATTTTCAAGTATGGAATCATTGGGTATGCTGGTACCCTTCCTTCGCAAACTAGTCGCGCTTCGCTTGTTGATTCCCGCGGGCTCCGCATCACCACAAGGCGGCCAGAATGGCACTGCCCCGAGTTCAGCCACATCTCACACACTCAGTGGTGATGGTGCCGCCAGATTCCCAAAGCTTGCCAGAACTCTTACATTCTCAGACCAGCAAGTACCTAAAATTGCCCGAGAGATCTCGCGGGAACTCGAAAATGCCCGCAGTCTGGCAGAAATCGTTGATCTGGACGATGAAATTCTCATGGAGATGATGAGCTACGATATGGCCGACACAAACGTTTATAAACATGTCAAGGTCATCGGGATGGGATGGAAGTCATTCGAGCTACGCGATATCTACAAAGCACCCTTGCCGGTCTATGATGAACCCGAGTCCCAATCACCCGACCCTACCTCCGACCAGCATGAGGCAACGTCGGAAGAAAGCGGAGTCCCCAATACCAACGGACAATCCGGACCTGATACAACTTCTACCCCTGCCACAAATATTCCTCCCTCAACATTAGGCAAGCGCAATCGGGATGAAGACGACGAGAATGAAAGCAAAAGCCGGGCGTCCGTTTATCACAACAACACCCGCGAATCATCCGAGATCACTCATCCCGCCCTCGCAAAGACGGGTTGCTTCCCCCCCCGTCCTAACAAACGATGGGCAGGTTATGCGTCGACGCATGCGACGAGTGGGTTGGGAGGTGTTAAAACACTGGGAGATTTGGGCGCTGGACGCGCAAGAAATTTGATTGATTCGCCCGAAACGTTTCATATTACACAGCGACATAATTGGGAGTTTTGTGGGATAGTCTAGGTGTTGGTTGGTTTCCAAGAAATACTTTTCATCGTTGAAGTGGGATTTCCGAACTTTAATAGAGCAGGGAAATAGGTTCATATCGGTGTTAGATCGGGGCTTCATTTTTCCTGTCTCCTCTCACTCTCCTGAGGTCATCGTGGAAGTCATGGTGCTCGGTTTGGTCTACGCATTAAGTACATACAATGATCAAGAACATCTTCCCTTCTACAAGTACTGCCGCCCTTTGACAAACTAATTCTTGGTCTACTTGCGATTGTGGAAATGCTTCATCTGCTGATATGATTAAATTCTTGCTGAAACTTTGTGGAGAAAGTGCACTGCCCAGTACCATCCATATTTTTGGTGGCCGGAATTGAATTCACCCGCTCAGCCCTAAACAGTTAACATTCCCCACAATCTCTCTGTGAAGCAATGCTGCAATTGGTCTCCTCCAAAACTTTGAATGCAGATCGGAGAAGGATACTCTAAGATCCTCGTCATCACTGCTAAAACAATCTCTCGCGTGGGTCGTCGAAAAGAAACCCCTTACGGCCGGGGCCACTCGGATATACTCGAGCCGCCTCATCCAAGCCCACCGATCATCGTACGAATGCGGTCCAGTCTACTCCTTTGGGTTAAATTATGTCAAAAGTTCGGGCGAACCAAGCAGGGGGATCTTCAGACTTCGGTCCTTATGGGATTTAGAGTGTTATTTGTGGATAATTTCGCGGCTGCCTCGTGTCTCAATCGACTCTAATATGCTCCGCACGCCCTAGCGGGAGTACTTCGGTCATTGTATGGATATTCCGTCTCTTGGCATTGATTAATATAGCTTGAAAAGTGGGATAATTGCCTTGGTAGTTGTTTTATCCTACTAGTATGTCTGGAGTGGCGCGAATTGCCGCGTCATGACCGTGACGAAGATGTCCTGGACAGACAAGGATAGGGAATATTTAAGACGACCAGGGTCATAGGAAATATGCAACAGACCTTTATCAATCCACCATCCGGGCCCTGTGGTTTGAGCTGAGCATAAGATGCATTTCTCTACGCTTTTACTGCCAATTGCGGCCTCCTTGGCTGCTGCGGTCCCAACTTCCAGCGGAGCAACAAGCAAGCCTACAGTCGCTCTTGACTATACCACTCTCCAAGCTGCTGCTGGAAACAGTACCCTCGGATACTACAAATACCAGAACATTCGATTTGCGGAGGTCCCAACCGGAAAACTGCGCTTCGCAAAGCCTCAGTGGCCTTCGACCGAGACCGGCATCAACAATGGCACAACATACGCCACTGCCGATGTCGACTGCTCATCCGAGGAAGACTGCCTCTACATGGATGTCTGGGCCCCAGCCAATGCAAAGGGCAAGAAGCTACCCGTGATGGTCTGGACATATGGTGGTGGATTTACCGGCGGCTCGAAGTCGGAGAACACACCCGAAGGTCTTTTCGACCTGTCGAAGGAATTCATCTTCGTCTCTTTCAACTATCGTCTCGGAATCACCGGCATTGCGAACTCGGTGACTGCCACTCACCAGGGCGCCACCGATAACGTCGCTCTGTACGATGTCGAGCATGCTTTCAAATGGGTCCAGAAGTATATCAGCAACTTCGGCGGCAACCCGGACGATGTCACTTCTTTCGGCTTCTCCGCTGGTGGAAGTATGCCTCTCTTCATGATAACTCGCTATGGCGGTCACAATGAGCAGCTCTTCCACAAAGCCTACGTGACTTCCCCGGGCTTCGTCCCCGGCGCCGGCCACCACCAAGGCGAAGTCTTCTGGCAAAACGTCTCCACAGCCGTCGGATGCACTGGCGGCGACCTTGCCTGCATGCGCAGCGTTTCTTTCACCAACTTGACCGATGCCGCGACCGATGTCTACGACGACTACGGCTACCAGTTCCAGCCCCGTGTTGACGGCGACTTTGTGGCCGACACGTATGAGTCTCAGCTTTACCAGGGTCGATTCAACTGGACCGGTCCGTTGGTGATTACACACGAGCAGCACGAGAACAACGGCTCGCCGACTTCGGGCGTGAACACGACCGCAGATGTGGAGAGCGAACTCCGCGCCTTCTTCCCCAGTATCACCGATGATGTCGTCAAGGAGATCATGGAGCTTTACCCTGCTTCTGATTACTCAAGCCCCGGGTACAGATTCGCGGATATGAGGCAATCTTTTGACCTTACTGCTCACGACTACGCTGTCACGCGCGCTCTCAACAATAACACCTGGAATGCAATGGTTGCCCTTGAGCAGGCTACTCACGGCACTGACCAGAGTTACTACTGTAAGAAACTCTTCATATGGAACCCCCTCGAGTCGATTTAAGCTAATATACGTCGCGGCAACAGGGTATAGCACCTACTCTCTTTCAAGCTCCAGCTCCGGCGCTGCTGCTTCCGGGGCCGGAGTCGCTATTAGCGGTAGCTCTTCCGTGAGCTCAGTGGTTGCTGTAAGTAATTTCTTCCAAGGACTTGGATTGTTTCTGGACTCGGGCTAACGAGAATCGTTCCATCAGCGCAAAATGCAGAAATATCTTCTCTCCTTTGTCTTGACTGGAAACCCGAATAAGAAGTGGGCTGGCGATAAGACTTACTGGCCGAAGTACGGTAGCAATGCTACTGAGCTAGTCTTTAATACTACCATGTATACCCAAGAGGATGATCTCGCTAATGCGAAGAGTCTTTACTGGAACGAGGCTTTGTGGTATTAAAGGGTGGAATCTTTTTTGGACTCTTTTTTTTTTTCTCCGCATATGTTTTGTGCGGAGTGTAATATAGCTCCACAGCCTCCACTCTGAATTCAAGTTCATTTCACATAAGGAGCTGACCACGGTCATCGAGATCAAGATTCAAAGCATTAGACCGTGCCTCATATGCGGTTATTGTTGCTGACTGACCCACTTTTACCAACAGCCAGTTAAATGATGCAACTTACAAGAAGTGGTTGGCGGCCCGTCTAGCCGCCGCGGGGTTCAGATTTCGACTCTCTCACTGGGTTAAAGAAGAGCATGGTGCTTTTCGATGTGCTAATTACGTGGCACAGAGTTGGCATAGGACCCAGCGAGACTCGGATGTGTCAATTTCTGAACAACATAAATATGGGGGTCCCTTCATAGTAAAGTCCAAGTTTCAACAGTTACCAGAATTCAAGGTCCAGCCATAATGTCTTCAACTAGTACCAGTACACTGACACTCAATAAATCTTCCTTCAGGTGAGACTTCTGGGCTTGTCTGACATTGACTAGTAAAGAAACTAACCCTTCTTACTATCAGCCTCACAGGCCCATACGGGGATTGGCGAGATGACCTTCAGTCACAGGGATACGCCGTGATCAAGAACGCGATTGACCCTGAAAAGGCGCAATATTACCAACAAAAGGCGTTAGATTGGCTACAATCCTTCGGCACCCCACTCGATCTTCAGCAACGCTCCACCTGGACAACAGAAAACCTCCCCGTACAAAGCAAAGTGAACACCTTCAAGCATTACTCCGTGGTTCATGAAAAGTTCATGTGGGAGGCTCGCATGGAGCCGAAGATCCTGGACGCTTTCTCCAAAATCTGGGGCACCGATGAATTACTCGTATCCTTCGATGCCTTGAATGTAACCTTGCCTAATAGGGAAGACAAGTCTGCCCTCAAGCCCTGGCCGCATGTGGACCAGTCGCCCCTGCGTCGAGGTCTGCATTGCGTCCAGGGGATCATCAACCTGAGCCACGCGGGCCCGGAAGACGGATCGCTTATTCTACTTCCGAGATCGAACACCGTGATGGAAAACTTCCTTGATACCGAAACGGAAGCAGATACGTGGGAGAAGAGGGATTTTCGCTTTATAAGCGAGGATGAAATGGCTTGGTTTGAATCTCGCGGCATGAAGCCTATCAAAGTACTCGCCGAGCCGGGGGACTTGATTGTCTGGGATTCCCGCACAGTACATTGGGGTGGTGAGCCGACGGTCGATAGCGAGACTATTAGAACGGTTATTTATGCGTCGTATTCACCGGCGAAGTTGGCTTCGCAAGAGACTCTTGAGCGGAAGAAAGAGGCCTTTGAATCATTCCTGGCAACTACTCATTGGGCACATGATAATGTTGTCATCCGAGAAAAGGAAGCTTGTTTTGAGGATGGGAGCGTGGATCCTCGCAATAGATCCAAGCCACTTGAGGAGCCCGAGTATTCTGATCGCTTACTCCAATTGGCGGGGCTCAAGCCTTATTGATACTCTGGGCAAAACAGAGGCGTCGACCAATTTGGTACTGCAGAAGTAGGACCAGTTCTAACTAGTGGATGGGATTTAGCTTGGTTTCTTATGAGAAGGTTGAAATTGAATAAAATCGAACGATATGAAGAGGAATCGACATTACCATGCTATCCAGAAAATGATTATTAAGGATGTTTGTTGCTCGTATGTACTAACAAGTAAATAAACTAGTAACTAACAACCTCCGCCAAACAAGTTGCCCCACCTTTTCCCCAGATCCTTTCTTTCCCTTTGAGAACCCTTGCAGCCAGATGGACTTCCCTCGGAAACGCGCAGCGATTGCATGTACCTTCTGCAGGCATCGGTCAGTAATAATTCATAAGCCCGTCTTACGAGTCTAGACCTAGCCCCTTAACTCGTTCTAGAAAAAGAAAATGTGACGGCGAGAAGCCCGCTTGTGGGGTTTGCGCAAATGCAGGCGCTCAGTGTGAATACCAAGAGAATCCGAGTGAGAGGTGATTCAACTTGGACCTGAAACATAGAAATAGCCGACAATCGCTGACAATATGTGGAGGTCTGGAAGTGATACATCGGCAGAACTCTTGCTTCGTTTGGATCGGCTGGAGAATCTTGTCGAGAAGCAGACTGCAGTGATCACCACGCTATCCGATCGCGTTTTATCGGATTATTCCAATCGAGATATGGTGAGCTATTCACATACCAGTCCTTCTGTGGTATTTTCACAGACACGGAGACAAAGTCTTCATTCAATACCCGGCCCTCTTCCAGTCGACGGCCCTGTGTTGATGACTCCCGGTATCGGGCAAGCATACATGGAAAATGACCCAATTCTCATCCCATTAGGCCACCAGACGCCAACTGGAAATCTCCTAGGTCTTGATCCAATAAGAAAACTCATTGGTCACTATTCGCAAGACTTCTTTTTGTTGCTCGAGTCTGAGCGCAAGATACCTTTTCTCACGCCGCGAACTGCCATGTCTACGATCATTGAGCGGCTGAACCTAGATATACCCGCGACGAACTTGCTTATTTCAAATTTCTTTACGCACGTCCACTCTCAGTTCCCTATTTTGGAAAAGGAGCCGTTTTTACAGTTGCTTGAGAAATTCTTAGCTAATGACCAGATCAATGAGATTGATGCTGCCTTATGTCTCACAGTGCTAGCACTCGGGGAGACGTTCTCAAGACATAACGATTTGTTTGATATGGACTCGTCTATGACCGGAATTGGCGCAGAATATTTTGCTCATGCATATCAAATTCTGATGGCTGGGCAAACTACACTCTTTTCAAGGGATCAGACCGTCCCGCTGACATTCTTCTATGCGTCCTTATACTTTCGATACAGTGGAAGACCGCTTCAAGCATGGAGGCTCATACATACAGCATCTACCGTTGTCCAACTAATTTACTCATAGTGAATATTTGATCTTTCCATTTACTTCAGCGTTATGTACTAATGGTTCTAGTCTGAATGAGAAGAGTGTCCTCTCGACCAAGCATGCATTATTGAACCGAATTGCTTGGGGCTGTTATGTTCTTGAATGGTAAGTATGATTCTGCTAGTATGTATCAATAGCTAAATTTAGAAAACCAACAGCGATGATCTCGCCGAGTTTCACTTTCCTCGCAGCGGAATCGAAGTCCTTGTCGATAGACTATCCTTCCCCGAATTCACAGATCCCAACGAGCGTAATAATCTCATCTTTCTCGCCATGTGCTCCATACGCAAACTTTTGAATCGCATCCATAATACAATGTACTCTGCCGAGACGCTCAATCCAGACAAATCATCCTACCGAGGAAACTTCACCAATGGGTCTCGACTCAGCTACGAGCCTTCAATCGCATCGCTAGAGGGAGTCAATATCGAACTTAGCCGGCAACTTCAAGCGTGGTTCGATTCTCTGCCCGAATCTATCAAGCCAGATCTCCAAAATCCGACCTCGCAAGACCTGCAAGATATCCAGCTACGTACAAGATATTATGCTGCAAAACACATAATTTCTCGTCCATGTCTTGTGTTCGCAGCAGTTTCTCGCCAAGTCCATTTATCGGAATATGTCAAAGCAAATTGCGAGACTTGTGTAGACAGCTGTCGGAAGCTGCTACATGCAACAGTTCCACTCCTTGGGCGGAGGACGCATTCGACTTGGCTGAGGCTACAAGCGTAAGTTTCTATCATACCAAAAAAGACATAACCCTTGTATGCTGATAATCATGATGATAGTCTCTTGGCTGCTGTCTTCGTCATTTCAATGGCTAAAACGACACCATCACTCGCCTCGCTCGTGCCGGATTTTGACGATTTAATTGGGATGGTGATGGAAATGACAGAGCCCTGGGCTCGCCATCATGAAGCTGCAGACGCTATATTGAGTATTTTCAAGACCATTCGGCAGAAGCTGCGCCTCTCTGTGGCAACTTTATTATAAGAAAGATAGTGAAAGATAGTTCATTTCGGCCCATATTGCCTCCATATCGGAAGTGAAGTCTATCTAAATACCCTTTAGTTGTCGCAATCATAGAAATACGACTAGCATCACCCTTCGTAGGGCAAATATGCCTTGGATAGTTTCTCGCGGACCCACTAAAAGGTGGGTTAACTTTGCGCCACATCCAATATTTGTATCATGAGGAACTCACATCGCCTGCTTTGAAAGGCTCTCTGCACGGTAGATTTTCTTGCGAGGTGTGGTTTTCTAGAACAGACACAGTGGCATCGTAATCGACTCCAAAGAAAAAAGGGATCGAGTAGCGTTCTTCACCCGAGAGGTTTGTAACTCGATGAATCGTAGATTTGAACTTCTTATTCGTCCTATGCAATCCAGTGTCACGATTATTCATTTAATAAGCGTGATATTCTGAGCTTACCAGGTCGATAAACAGTCCGCGATATTCACAACTAATGTACCGGGAATAGGCGGTGTTAAAATCCACTCGCCGTTGTGATTTAAGACTTGCAGTCCAGGAACCGCATCCTGAGAGAGTATAGTAAAGCACTCGAAGTCCTTGGATGTTCCTTTTCGTTAATAACGAGGTTGATGGGAGTGGAAGGAAAGTCCTCACCGTATGCGCTCCAAGTCCTTCACGCTGGTCTCCCACCGGCTGAGCAGGGTAGTGCATCATTCTAGAAATGACACCAGGATTGTTAATCTTTGAGTCAAAGTAATCTTCCGGAACGTCCAGCGCAAGTGCAAATATTCGGATCATCCTCCGGCAAAGCTCAAGAACCCTGGCACAATATTCAATGTAGGTTGCAGAGAAACCAGGGATGGTCTCATCGTCAGGCCATTGGTTGTCGCCATACAGTTCATAAGTGTCGGGAGGCAACTGGTCATTTTCAGATTTTCGGAAATCAAGTGCATTTTCATAGCCGATTACGAATGCTTCAGAGAGAACACCTGCAGCTTCCTCTTCTGGGATGGGGTCATCATCTGTACCTGTGGTCCGTTCAGCGCCGACGGGACTATATCCGCGGTATTTCTGTAGCAGAAACGAGATTGAGTTTGTCTCCTATTATCGCTTATTTGGATTGGGTGGGATGAACCTTCGAGTTTCCGATATAGATCTTCATCTTCTCCTCGCTTGGAAGACCGAAGAACCTCTCTGCGGCGTCATGGATTCCGCTGATCAGGCTCTCGGGTATGCCGTGATTCTGTTATAACTCCATTCAGTTTAGAGCAATAAATGCGATGGTTATCAAGAAAATTGATACAAGTACCTTGATATAAAAAAATCCAACACCAGTACATGCATCGCAGACTGCTCGAGCAAGTTCTTGTCGTTTCTCGACATCGGGGCTATCTATGTTCGATAAATCGATGATAGGAATATGATCGCAGCTCGCCGCTTTGGCTTCATCTACCAGGTTTAAGCCCATGGTTGTTTACGGAGGAGTCTTGGAGAAAAAAGAGGGTCGTGTCCTTGTAGGGCGATTTGGAATGGGGAGTGATGCGGGGGTGACAAGCTCCTTACTCCTCTTCTCTCGTAGACCGCTCACCTCAGTTGCGTTGATAGGGGGTTATCTCTAAACTTCTTTATCAATGTCACGTTACACGCCTTGAAATAGTGTGGCAAATGAAATTCATTCGAAGTACTGGGGCCTTTCCCTAGCCGAATAGATCTGTTGTCCCCACAACGTGTTAACCAAAATGCTAACCATTTCAGTTCAGCCAAGCTGTAAGTCCCGGCTCAGAAAACCGAAAATATCTTGTAACTCCGAAGAGGAGATGACTACCTTGGAATAGATAAGATGTAATAAGGGTGGAGCGGTGAGATTGTCACTCTTGCTGTGAGCTGATTGGAGCGCATTTATTTCTGCTTGGAGTCCGACCCAGCGCTTGGCTGTAGACGTCAGTCCTGCAGTACAGCCCCGGTCAAGATAGATCATAATAGCAGCTTGAATGTCTTTGAAGAATTGCTGTGATACAAATTTGGAATGTGCAGTCGTCTGGTAAAAACGGAAGAGCAATATGCACTTTTCTGCGTGGATTCATGTTCTCCTACCTTCAATCGGGCCGTGCCTTCAAGGGCTTCCCCAAGAGCGTGCAAATTTAGAGTTATGGGGGGCATTTTCACATATCTTGTCAATTCAGGGTCTGATCTGAAATAAACTGCCATGATTCGCCATATGGTGCTCTCAGCACCCCGCTATGTCCCAGCCAAGAGGTGAACACGAAGGCAGATGCTTTATGCATGGCAGATTTGCATTAAAAAACCAGCCATTGCCAATATCGTAGCGAAAGAGTGTCAGCCTGGCGGTACGCCTAATAGTCTGTAGCCCACGCTTGATATATGAGTTTGAGGTGAAAAGCTATAAAAGGGTCCTAAATTCCCCGAGATGTCATATGGAGTATACAATTCGAAGACATCAAGCCTGCTCTTTTACCTATTAGGAGGTATAGACTGTCGATACCATATTATCTCTTTGTTTATTTCAGTTCAAACATTTGACAATGTTGCTTCGATACTGCATTGCATTGGTGCTAGGTTCATTAGCCTACGCATGCGTTCCCCGGGACATTGACAACAGCGATGGTCCCTTTACCATCGGCAATGACGGCCCAGCACCCGCAGCAACTCTGGGCTTCGCCATCAACCATATCGGTCTGGTAACAAAGAACCTGACCGGAATGAAACATTTCTACGGAAACATTCTGGGAATGCGACTTCTCTTCGATGCCCATGTGACGCCCGAGTTCACCGTGACCTATTTGGGGTTCGCACAAGGCGGACGAAACGGCACCGGATATCAAACCGGAGCAGAACTCCTCCGCGACAAGAACAACCTGTCCGGCCTCATCGAGCTTGTACAATTCAACGTGTCAGATGATAATCCGCAGGCATCGACCCAACGCACCAACACCTTCGGCCACGTGGGGCTGATCGTGCCAGATCTGAAGAAGGCGCAACGATGGTTCGAAGCGAAGGGGGCTACGATTATTAAGAAGACGGGGGTTCCTATTACGGCGCATACGGGCCGGATGCAGAATGCGTTTGGGATTGGCGAGTTTGCCGGGGAGCATTTTGCGGCGAAGGAGGCTCTGGTTAAAGCGCAGAGTATTATTGGGTTTGAGACATTTTTGGTTTTGGAAGACCCTGATGGGAATTTGGTGGAGATTCAACAGCAAGACGCTTAAGCGGTTAAGTTGGTGGAGTTTGTGGGTTGTGGTTGTGGGTGGGTTGGGTTGGGTTTTTGTGGGCGAACGAGGATGGAGCTGATGACGTACATTATATGAAACTGGAGACATTATGCCAAGGATTTAACGGGGTCACTAGTTGATGTGACAGATGTCTCGAGTATGATAGAGGTAGATTAATGGATCAATTGAAGATTTGATAGAGAGGATGGGGAGTAGGGAGTACTCTGAAGAGAGTACCCTAGGATAAGTAGTCAAAGTGGATCGTCAGGAGGCGATACTGTAGGCAAAAAGAAAATAAGCCTTGAGAAAAAAAAGGGGCATTGGTGTCAGGGATAGACAGAGATAGACAGAGGACCCTGACCCGAAGCAAAAGGCCAGATGCAAAGCCAAAAAACCTGAAACCGAAACGGAAGGGCCCACGCGTCGACGTGTACCAATTTGGATGTCAACCAATCAAAAGGCAGGAAAGGGGGTCACCGCCCCACGACGATCTTTCGCTGTTTGCCCCTAAATTCAAATGTTCCCCCTTCACTGCCATTTTTCCAACACTCTACACTTACTCACCTCAGTCACTCTTTTACGAGCTATCACGACTCTTTCGCCATGGCCAACAACAAGGATGAACGCAAGCTTGAGAACGGTGCTCCGGCTTCCAAGAGCGATGGCATCCACCCCGCCTTCTACATTGCGTGCGTTCTCTTCACCCCCTGGCTCCAAGCAATTGTCAACAGTTCAATTTGCTAACTGACTTCCCTTCTCAGTCTGTGGATTGCCCTGAGTTCCAGCGTCATTCTGTTCAACAAATGGGTCCTCTTCTCGGCCAAGTTCAGTAAGTCGAGAATTCTTCCCCCTGGAGTACTGGAGATGAGCCAGTTGAAGCCCATTTTGTGCGAATATGACAACTAACCCAAATTCCCTCTTTAGACTTCCGTGAGTCCTCTGCCGAATATCGTATCATCAATTGACGATATAACCCACCTTCGAATCGATCCATCATATCTAACACACTCGATAGCCCTGTTCCTGACCACCTTCCACATGGCCTTCGCGACCGCCATGACCCAGATCCTGGCTCGCTGCACCACTATTCTTGACTCTCGCCACAAGGTCCCGATGAACCCTGCCACCTACACGTGAGTCCCCTCTCAATAAGCTTTGTGGCTGCCATACAGATGCATGTCGTGGTAGTTCAGCCGCTAATTGCTGAATCCAGTCGTGCCATTGTCCCCATCGGTATCATGTTCTCTCTGAGTCTGATCTGTGGTAACCTGGCCTACCTCTACCTGAGTGTCTCTTTCATTCAGATGCTCAAGGCCACCAACGCCGTTGTTACCCTCATCGCCACCTGGGCCTTTGGAATTGCTCCTGCCAACTTCAAGACCCTCGGCAACGTCGGTGTCATCGTCGTCGGTGTTGTTATCGCCTCCTTTGGTGAGATCCAGTTCGACATGCTTGGTTTCCTCATCCAGGTCGCCGGTATCATCTTCGAGGCTCTTCGCCTGGTCATGGTTCAGCGTCTGCTGAGCTCCGCTGAGTTCAAGATGGACCCTCTTGTCTCCCTGTACTACTACGCTCCCGCCTGCGCCGTCACCAACGGTGTCATCGCCCTTTTCACCGACATTCCCCGCATGACTATGAACGACATTTACGGCCTCGGTATCATGACTCTTATCGCCAACGCTCTCGTTGCTTTCCTGCTCAACGCTTCCGTCGTTCTCTTGGTAAGAAACACTCCCCTTCGCTCGCGAGCCAACTGATGCCAAGGGGAAAAAACAATTGCTAACTTTCCAACAGATTGGCAAGACCTCTGCTGTTGTCCTCACCATGGCTGGTATCCTGAAGGACATCCTCCTGGTCATCGCCTCAATGATGATCTTCCGTGACCCCGTCACCCCCCTGCAGTTCTTCGGTTACTCCATCGCCCTGGCTGGTCTCGTCTACTACAAGCTCGGTGCTGAGAAGATCAACTCTCTCACCACCGATGTCCGCCTCCAGGCTGGCGAGTACCGCCGTGCCAACCCCGCCAAGGCCAAGGGTATCATGGCCGGTGCTACTCTGACAATCATCTTCATTGTCCTGTACGCTGGCGCTCCCTCTTCCGCCCAGGTCACCAACTAAGGAAACTTCGGCAAGCCAAGCTGTGACCAACGGCCTGGCCTCCACTGAGCTTGCACGGAAAAGCTCCAGTGGGCCACGGTGCAGCTTTTCGATATTATACCATCTAAATCTTTTTGACTGTTTTGATAGAAGTGTGTGCTTTTGTTTTGCTTGGCGGAAAGAATGCATGTAAATTTGGGTGGTTAATAGATTATGGGTCATTGGACATTTAAGGCGAAAGCAATTCTTGCAGGCTTATGTTTTTATCTGGATTTCTGATGATTGGGTTTTCATCCGCCTGAAAGCCTTGGTATAACCAATTGACACCACATTAAGAAATATAATACTGTGATGAAACTTCAAGTGACTCCTACAGTAACTGCATGAAATTACTATCCCCGATGATCCTCGTAGGAAGGGATCATCGGCTAACTCAAACTGCCCTGAGCTTGAGCGCTGCGCGTCTTTTAGATATTCGGCCGCACCATAATCCTGGACCATCCGTTTCTGGGTTTATTCGTGCTCCTGTAGTGCCAGCCCGGGGAAAACCGCACATAATCCAGCCTCAAATATAATTAGTAGAATCTTTGAAGAACCGTAGAGTAATCAGCTCTGATCCTACATAACGCCTATCAAAGCCGCTATAGCGCCCATGTTGAAGATAATAATCGCAAAAAAACTGGCGGACAGGTGCGTGCCCAAATCATACTGTGGATGAGGTCAGACGGTTGGCCTAGGGCATCCATTTAGTAGTTTACTTTAAACTGACCCAAAGTAGAATGGTGGAAGTATTCAATGACCCACATGACAACAATGGTCAGCCACAATACAAAAGAGAGGACTGAGCCACAAAACTAAAAATAAAGCAGGGTGTACAATGACGAAGCTTGACCGAAGCTTAGCGCTTTTCAGCACTGAGTGGAATCCACTCCCATCCACGTTCTGACCGGGTCGGAGAATGTATTAAAACGCAGGCACCTGTGGGTTTCATGAGCTATTGACCTCGCAGTACTGTACATACTTCCTGCGATACTCGTACGCCATGTTTGTATCTTTACCAAAGCGGCCGAGTCTGTGAGATCATTGTCGACGCCACGTTGAAATCCGAGCTCCCCCATATGCTGATCATTGGCAAATCTGGCCGACCTCGTGGAAAGATCCCTACGTATGATAGTCCAATGCCCACAGTCTGCTTCTCGGTGGACGCCACGTCCCTGCTGGCGGTTACACACCACCAGCCTGGTTACCATATCATACAAGCATTACGACGTTGCTCGAATGTAGCAGTGGGTCTCAAGGTCCCTGGTACCTCCAAGTAGAGTATATGCGCGTATTCTCATCCAGATTCACTTTTTGTTCGAGTACAGTACTTGCTTACCATACGTAGTCGTGTAATTGTGCCAGGTAGTCCTGCCTACAGTGAGGCACCATAAAGGGCACCTGATCGTCTCCTCTTTCCTTCTCCTTCTCCTTCTCCTTCCTCTCCTTCTCTTCCAACCTCACCTTTCAACACTTCAACTTTACTACAACGTACCAATCGCTCCTCTCTCCAAAATGTTCAATAATATCTCCAACTGGTTCTCCTCCAAGCAGGAACCTACCCAGGAAGCTACCTGGAACGCCATCACCGCGAATGTCCAAACCCACCAGCCCACCAGCCCTGACGCCCCCTCCACCGAGCACGTTGTGACCGAGCAGCCCGTAAGATCATCCCTCAAGAACAATGCCCCGAAACCTCGATCACTGACCCAGACCTGATTCTCTAAAGAACTCCGAGCAGAACATGAAGCTCCGCGGCGGTGGCGCCGGCGACGTTTGCTGCGGCCTGTAAGTAACCCACGACCCCGAGAACCCACACCAGTCAATCCTCATGCCCAAATCCCATCATCTGCTCTCTCGGGTGAAACCCCGCTGACATTCGCATCGAAACAGCTGCGCCGGTCTTCTCTGCTTCGAATGCTGCGAGGACTGCTGCTAAACGCATCACGCCCCATACCACGAAAGTCCCAACCATGTTTGAAGCACACGCCATCCTGACCAATATAGCGCGGTACGGTGTCTTTTCAATAGCCTCGTGAGAGCTGTTTTCTTGGTTCTACCGCGGGACTCCTCGATGCTCCATTTCATTTGCTGCAGCTTTCAAGTTGTCCTCTCATCGTCTATGATACATACTATACTCTGCTTTTCTCATTTAGTTTTTGTTCTTTCGTTCGTTGCTTGTTGCTGCAGATGCCTTGAATCGAGGCTATTATGGCTGTGCTCTGATTGTTTGATAATACCCCCTTAGCTGAGCAAATTCTATCCCACGATTTATTGACTTTACTCTGTTTTCTAGGTAGTTTTTTTCCTTTTCAAGTTTGTGATTGATCCGGTTGTGATTTTGGATCACGATGATGTCTTACTCGATCAGATAAGACGGTGACTATCCTAGTGGCCCGATAGGTATGCGATCTACCGAGATAGATAGCGAAAGATATCTAGAGACTTTATATATGGCTGGCTACCCTACGATATGCGAATTATTTGTTAAGAGGAAAGTTTCATTGGAAGAGATATCAACCGATTAGTTCCATCAGAATTGTTTGCACCAGAATTTTCCACCAGAATTTTCCACCAGAATTGTTTCCATAATTGAACCGGATACTGATATTTCACACTATTCCATTTCGTTCCATCACGTTTTGATACTGATCTCGTTCGTCCACCCTCTGATAATCATCCCATATGTAGTGTCTGAAAGATCACTGATCCACACGAGAAAATTTACCAGTAGGTACCGTGAGGGACCTTTGTCGAGCGCAATCCATAATCTCCCTTCGCACGGTAACGCGGGGTGTTCTGCGCGAAGGTCGGAGGCCGGTCATAGACTTGAAACTCGAGCTCGCCGATATCCATCGGCCCATCCATGTCGAGCCGACGTTCAGCAGAAGAGCCGTTCCTGAGGACCTGCCCACTGCGTCTGTTCTCCTGTCCTTGGAAGGTTGGATCCGGATGGGCTACCTCGATGTGCGTGAATAGATTGGGGACAGAGGGGAAGCCCTTTCCACAGTGGGTGCAACTATATTTCAACATGTCAGTAAATTTCTTGATGGCACTTGAAGGGATGGGTTTCGCCTTAACATGCCCCATATGCCACTTACTGGTACTGGTGCTCGGATGCACTTCGCTCCATGACCACGTGTTGCTCATAGATCTTCACGAATGGAGTGGTAAATCCGCAGTCACAGAAATAGCGCTTTGTCTCGCTGTTCCAGTGCTCCTCAGAGTCCCATTCGGGGATGACCTTTTGAATCGGCGGGGTGGCAGGTTGCTTTCGCTCAGGCGTCCGGAAAAAGTCTAGCGAGGGTGGCCACGGACCGACATAGAGGTTAGGATCCCAGCCGATCAGATCATCAGGATGAACTGCGACGTTTGGAAATGGCGTGCGCTTTGGACGTTCCGAGGGAATGAGATAAGTAAATTTCTTGTAGAGGCCAAGGGGCCGTGCCGGCGAAAGGCGAGGGCTAGAGCGAGTCATGGGGAAATTACTGCTTACGCCAGGCGAGCTGCCTCCATCGGGGTAAGTGGACTCGTTGGGTTGAGTGGACTCGTCGGAGGCGCCAGAATACTGTCTCGCAAACTGACGAGGCCGAGGTAGGCTTAGGCTCTCACTGTCGGTTCCGGTGTCTCGATAGTTGTCATCGTCCGAGCAGAAGGACAATCTGGGTCCAGGTTGGGATGCTTCCCTGAGTCCCACTTCCATTCTCACGCGGCGGGCATTGTGCTCGTTCAAGGCCAGAACAGCAGTGCTTCTGCACGCGTTGGAGATAATGTGACTGTGGTAGGATTCGCTGGACGTGAAAGTCATGCGGCAGCCGGGACAAATGAGGTCCCGGTCTTCTGGGTGTTCCTATGGCAGTGGTTAGCTCGAGTCCATGAGATCACTTTTTGAAGCAATGTTGCATATTTCTGGGTCCTGGGGGATGAGAGCCTCGCAAGGCCTACCTTTTGGATATGATAATCCCGAGCATCATCGGTCTTGAAACTGCGGTTGCAGACTGGACAGTTATGGTGACGCTTGCTGACGAGCTGATGAAGGAACATCTCTTCGTGAGTATCAAACTGGATGTTGCAGGCTGTGCAAAATGCATGGTCCACGTATGACATCTGGTGGGATTCCAGAACCTCTCGAGAGGTGAAGAGACGTGGGCAGTCGTCCTTGGGACACTCCAACATTCCAGACGGAGGCCATGGAGCCGAGGGGGGAGTGTTCTCCTCTTTCTGATCCATCGTGAGTTGTTGGGTTGGGATAGATAAGTTAGGGGAGGGGAGGTTAGGTTTGGGGTTTGAGGTGAAAGAAGAGAGAAATGAGATGGTGGAAGGTGAAAGTGAAAGTGACGGGAGGAAACCACCGACGTCTCACCTCTTAAGGTTGACAACATGAGGCAACGAAACTTGGGGAAAAGAGCTCAAAGTTTACGTCGAGGATCGAGAAGAGTGAAAAAGAAAAAGAAAGAGAAAAAAAACCGAGTCACATTGTTTCTTTACTCTGACCTAGACCCCATCTGCTACCACTCCTATACTTGTTTATACTTCTCCCTTGGTCTCTCTTAGAACCTCGAGAAGGGCAACCTATACATTCTTCGTCAGTCTTTATCCAACTCGAAGGATATCGGGTTATACGAACCATTTACCACGCAAAGTGATGACCGCCCAATTGTTCCCATCCTCATCGGTTTCCTTCTCCACCTTAGTCGAGAAAGAAATAGCACTCATGATGCCATCGCCAAACTTCTCATTGAGCACTGCCTTATACGCATATCCATAGTTCTGCACGATCTCATACAAACGATAAATGAGGGGCTCCTTGGGAGGCATCTCAACCGAGCGACCCCGATCGGGGAATCCACTCAGCTGTTCCTCCAACGGCTGCTGAGGGATTTGGAGCAACGAGGCCAGTCCATGTATATCCTCGGGAGATGCCTTGGCCTGGCCGTAAAATATGGCAGCAACAGCAACCTCACTACGACCAAGGTGCGCAGCAATCTTTTCGAAGCTCAATTTCTTTGCTTCCTTGGCTCTAAAGAGCGTTGCTGCGGAAGTGGGCAGATTTGGGTGCTGCGAGGTCTATCATGGGACGGGTCAGCCTCAAGGTTCGGATTCGCATCAACGACAAACCGTCGACTCACATGAAGAGTGGCAAGCTCCATGGTGATTATGTTGAATCTGGACGGGTGATTGAAAAGTGGAAGAAGCAGCAATAGAGAAGTTGGGGGTGCGACGAGCAATGTTTCGCAATCAATCGTTGCGGGGCTGCGGTGCGGGGATTCTTGCAGCACGACAGCTGGCCACGACACTCTTGGCTTGCCCTGGTGAGACTGCCAATCGACTGGTAGGGACAGGGAGTTGGTGCCACCGAGATTGCTTTCGTCTACTTGTACATCGGACTGGCACACCAGGGTACTCGAGCCATGAAGGTCATCCTGGCGATATGAGTTGCTTCTAGTAGCAATAATGAGCTACCAGTTATCTTCAAGCTATGGGGGCTGATTTTGAACCATATTGTGAGCCTATCACTGATGACAGTAAATAGTACTAGTAGTACTACCAGGAGCCTCTGCGGCCATACGGCCGTAGATAGCAGATGGACCAAGAAAAGAACAAGTGGCGCGCAAACAGAATTCCGCGATCGGCATAAAGGTGGAGCCCCGGGCGATCCGCACGTTGTGTACACAGAGAGAGTAGCATGATGCGCATGGCACGGCCACAGTGTCTACCAGCTAGGCAAGATGCAGTAGGCGATTCGTAAGAGCCAAAAGCTGAAAGCGTAATTATGGTAATTTAGTAATTTAGTCACTAATTTAGCAGCCTGGCTCACCCGACAACAACTAACTCAGCCACCACGACTCCATCGTGGCTGGGCAGCGGGGCATCCGCTGTTAAAAACAATCCCCCGCCCCGATCTTTCTCTCCCCTCAGCATTTCCTCTGCATCGCGATGTCGCAAAAAGAGGACGACCTGGCCTATGGCCGCTATTATGAATCCCAGCGTGGCTCTGGTGGTGACAGTTCTCGTGGATTGAGCGACACCTTTAAGAAGCTGAAGGATAGCTACAAGACTCACCAGAGTTCCGGTCAGAGCCACGGTCAGCCCGGAAACCAGCCAGTAAGCGATCACCCTCCCCGTCAACGATAGCTTGTTTCGCTCATAATCCAGCAAAATTCACAGAATCAGAATCAACCCCCATATGGTTATAGTACCAACCAAGGTCAAACTACAGGCCAGTACCAGCAGCAACCGGAGTACCAGGGCCAAAGCCACAGCCAAAGCCAAAGCCAGGGCCAGGGTCAGGGCAACCAGTTCCATGGACGCCCCCAAAAGGAAGATAAGATTGGAGGGTTCCTAGGGAAGATCCAAGGCGCAGTGACAGATCTGGGCACCGAAATGGCACAGAAGCTTGGCAACACCATTGATCCTCAAGCCTATGCGCATTACGGCGCAGTCAAGCCCACCGCTGAGCAACGCTTTGGAAGCTTTGCCCCACCCCGAGAGCGCAACGATGCAAAGTGGTATGTGGATGGCTGCAGCTATTTCTGGGCCGTCTCAAAGGCCTTGGAGAGTGCGCGCGAGTCGATTTGGATTCTTGACTGTAAGTGTCGACTTCTCATTTCCAACCTCGATAGGTTTTGTCTAATCGTGATATAGGGTGGCTTTCCCCAGAGCTTTACTTGAGAAGACCCCCCGCCAAGAATGAACAATACCGACTGGACCGGATGTTGCAAGCTGCCGCCCAGCGCGGTGTTCGCGTCAATATCATTGTATACAAGGAAGTCACTCAGGCCCTGACGCTCTCCTCCGCGCACACAAAGCACACCCTGGAGAATCTGCATCCTAATATTGCAGTCTTTCGACACCCCGATCATTTACCGGATCGTCAAGAGCTTGCCTCGTCAATCTCCAGCTCCTTCCAAAATATGTCTCTGGACTCCGCAAGTCTTGGCAAGATGTCCAAGGACGCTTTGAAGGGACTGTATGGTATGAACGACGATGTTATTCTCTACTGGGCCCACCATGAGAAGCTGTGCTTGATTGATGGCCAAACCGCTTTCATGGGTGGACTGGACATGTGCTTCGGACGCTGGGACACCCACCAGCATGCCATTTCCGATGTTCACCCGGCCGATCTCAACGAGAACGTCTTCCCAGGCCAGGATTACAACAACTCGCGAGTTCTTGATTTCCAAGATGTTTCTCACTGGGAGAACAACCAACTCGATCGGAAGACTATGTCTAGAATGGGATGGTCCGATATTTCGGTGAGCTTGCACGGAGGCGTTGTTGAGGATTTACGCCGACACTTCGTGGAGCGATGGAACTTTATCTACGACGCGAAGTACAAGGTTCGTCAGCAGCCTCGATATGTCAGACTTGCACTATATGGTCGCCCCACCTCTACTGGTCCGCAGTCTGGCTCTGCACCATCGCAGCAACAGCAGCAACAGACACAGGAGCAACAGAGCCCTTATCCATCCGGACAAGCCAGCCCACACGTTCAGCAGCCATCCTGGCAAGGCGGAGGTTCTACTTACCCGCCTCCACCGGGACAGTCGTCTTCTACTGCGCAGTCCCAACAGCAGCCCCAGAGCTCTGCAGTGTCGAATCAGTATCAAACCGGTAGCACACCAACCTACCCTCCACCCCCGGGTCAGGCCCATCCAAGCCAGAATCAGCAACAGACTGGAAATTTCCCTACATATCCGCCCCCACCAGGTCAAGATTCGTCTAGCCATCAACAGCAGCCACATAGTCCTGCTCCGTCCTGGCAGTCTGCATCTGGGAATACCCCAAACTACCCACCTCCGCCAGGTCAGGCATCTGCTAGCCCGCAGCCGTATCAGCAGCAGCATGCCACTCCTTCTTACCAACAATATCAGGCTGGTAGTACATCATCCTACCCATCCCACTCGACCGAGTTGCCAGCCAACACCTCCCAATCTCCACCTAGCTACTCAGGCCACTCTACAAGCCAAGATCATTCTCAATATACTTACACTGGTGATTCCTTCCCGCCACCTCCCGCTGGTCCTCCCCCGAGTCAATCACCTGCCAGCCAGAATTATCAGCCCCACCAGCAGCCCCACCAGCAGCAGCAACAGAACCAAGCACCATACTATGCACCTACGCCTACTCAATCTCCCAACTCGACCCAACATGCCCAGGCACAGAGCCAAGCACCTTACTATGCGCCACCACCGACCCAGGAAGCATCGCATTCGGGTACCCGTGGAATCAGCGATTACTATCAAGGTCAAGCAGGGGATCAGGAGCGAGGCTTTGCTCCACGCCGCCTTCGTGAGGATTTCACGAACTATGGAAACAACCTTCGGGGTCAATTGGCCGGCCAAATCCACACTTATCAGGATCGCCTCACCACCTACGGCCGTCCCACTTCGCAGAGCCGTGGCAACATGTCTTGCCAAATTGTGCGTAGCTGTGCCAAGTGGAGCAATGGAACTCCCGTGGAGCACTCCATCCAAAATGCGTACGCGGCGGTCATCAAAAACAGTGAGCACTTCGTGTATATTGAGAACCAATTCTTCATCACGGCAACCGGTGATCACCAACACCCAGTGAAGAACACGATCGGAGCTGCGATTGTGGAGCGTATTCTGCGCGCCGCTCGTGCAGGCCAGAAATATAAGATCATTGTTGTGATTCCTTCCGTTCCGTGCTTTGCCGGAGACTTGCGTGACGATGAGACCCTTGGAACTCGCGCTATCATGGAATTCCAATACAATTCGATCAACCGGGGCGGTAACAGTATCATGGAATTGATTGCCAAGGAAGGTTTCAATCCCATGGAGTACATTCGTTTCTACAACCTGCGCAACTACGATCGGATTAACAACGCGGGTCTGTTGGCTGCCGTGGAGCAACAGAGTGGCGTCGACTACGGACATGCTCAGAGACAGTATGATGTTAATACTGCCGGCCCCGGGGGGTATGCTCCAGCTCCTGCTCAGACCGCTACTCGCAGTGCCTTCGATACCAGCGCGCCCTTCCAGCAGTATCAGCAAGCCGCGCATCAGGTGCAGGGCGCCAAGGGCTCCGGCTCTGGCCGTTGGGATAGCGTCAGCTCGTGCTATATGCTGAATGGGGAGGATATCCGTAATGTGCCGTGGGATGGTCACCCTGATGCTGAGATCGATGCATTCGTGAGCGAGGAGCTCTACGTGCACTCCAAGGTATGTGATCTAGATATGGAAAGGGTTAAACTTCAGTGCTAACAGGAATGCAGGTGATGATTGCCGACGACCGACTGGTTATCTGTGGATCTGCCAACCTCAACGATCGCTCGCAGCTTGGTGACCATGATTCTGAGATTGCTGTAATCATCGAGGATTTCACCCCGGTACAGTCCAGCATGAACGGCAAGCCATGGACCGCCAGCCGTTTTGCATCCTCTCTCCGTCGCGAGCTGTTCCGCAAGCACTTGGGACTCTTACCCGCCCAGGACTACGAGCGACCGGACGCCAACTTCGAGCCCGTCGGAGTCCCCAACAACTTCGACTTCGACTGCCCGGAGAGCAGAATTGTTGCGGATCCGCTCGCTGACACCGTGCAAAGCATGTGGAACACCCGAGCTCGCACGAACACCGAGGTCTTCCGCAAGGTCTTCCACGCCGTCCCGGATGATAGTGTGCACAACTGGGCCACTTACAAGGAGTTTTATGAGTACTACTTCCATGGCGCGGACAAGCAAGCTGATGGAAAGGACATGGGTCGGCCAGCCCGATTCCAGTGGGGCCATGTGGTGCGCGATGATTTCGCCCCTGGCGCAGAGGGAGCTAAGCAGGTCAAAGAACTGCTTAGCCAGGTCAAGGGTACCCTGGTTGAGATGCCCTTGATGTTCTTGATTGAGGAGGATATTGCGAAGGAAGGGTTGACTTTGAACGATTTGACCGAGCCCCTCTACACTTGAGGACACTGATGTCGATACGATTTTGCAATGATCTGTATTCCAATCTAAATTGAGCTTTAGCAATTGCATGTGGATTACTTTGATTCGATTCCCTCATATTATTTTTCCTGCTTCTATTTTTCCCCGCTGGTAGATCCACTGTTGAGGCTGCCAGCCAAACCCTAATGACCCGCGCCAAGAGCATTGTTGTTCCGAAAACAATATTAAGAGTTCCGCCTGCATCTTCTCCCAATTTGGCATCTCCACAGTGGCGGCGAGCTTCTTTCAACTCAATGGATCTCTCTCGATGTACCTTAATATTGTTCTTCATTGCATGTATGTACCTTTCCGAATATTCTCCCCAGCGCTGACAGGTGCCAACCTCGTGGCACATCAATATGAAAGAAGCACAATCAGCGTCCCTTGCATTCTCGGAATAGTTCTACAACCACGTGCCTACGTCTTATCCTTTCGGGGACAATGAATAGGAAAAATTGTGCAGTCTAGAGTGTCTTTCCTTGACGCCTCGTAGGCTGGTTTCTGCTTTCACCTCGAGGACAACAATATTAAGAAAACGCCACCAGGGGCGGGGACAATCCCAGAGTCGGGTATCAGATCCCATGTAGCTCCAATTTTCAGAGCTCAGAACAATGAAATCGCCAACGGTCAACCTCGACAGCCTCGAGCCCAATGCATAGAGGTCGAAGAAATCTACCTTGACAGCTTGCGGCCATCAAGTATAAAGACTCAGATCTTCCTGGCCCAACAGACTTCTTTTTCCATCATCCACAACCATCCCGACCATCCCAATCATCTATCTTACTTTCAATCTTTCGCTTTTTACAAGCTTCAAACAATCCATCACTATGTCTCCCGCTCAGATTCAGAACTCCGCCGTTGTTAAGGGTGTGTCCCATTCCAATTCCCTTCTTGCATCTTCCAACCTTCAATTCCGATATACTGACTGATCATTTCTCAATACAGCCTCCCCCGGTGCTGGCTGCGTTGTTATGTAAATAATTTACATCTGCACCATAGAATCCACCATGTCCACAACCCACCGCATTGACAGACCTGCCTCGATGGTCTACTCTACGGCAACCATGAAGTCTTAAACCCTTTCCAAACAGCACCACAAAAACTCGAAAGAAACCACTACAAAATCATCCATCTCAAAAAGAACATGACCAGCAAACTCGTTGTTTTCACATTTGTCCGTCCAGCCATTCTTTCCCCCGCAAAATCGGACCCCCTCGCTTCAAATTTCTCCCCTGCCCTTATCGGTCTGTGGTTCTGCTCCGGATCAAGTCGACACTGAATCACAGGCCCTTTTTTTTTACCGACGGAGACGGTGACCCGGTTTCCCGATTGTCGATTTTTCTTTGGGCGTGTCGAGGGTGATTGGGGATGTATCCAGAGGAATCGGGGTTTGGTTTACTATGTTTTCTCTTTTTCACTGCGCTTTTCGAGTTGGATGGCTCAAAAATAACTTTTCTCTTTCGTTTCTTCTCCTGGTGATGGGGTGCTGCTTTGCTCATGGCTTCTGGTTTGGGGTTCGGGATTTGTGTGTTCGATTCTGTTCTTTTTATCTTATTAGTCTTCAGACGCTGGTCGTGGCAGTTATTTTGAATGTGACCATTCCCCAACAAAATTTTTCTCTTATTGTAGCTCCTCGTAGTGTGTAGTCTCGGCTCATTTTCTTCCTACTTTCAGGTGGTACTTAAATCCTCACACGAACGAATGATCGGATGCTGATGAATGATGAAGTCTCCTCTATTCGAAGGCACAGGGTTCACTCTACGAATAGATATGAATAAATAATATGTGATTCGCTAAATTTAGATGATATACCTAGGTATACGCCAAGCCCACCCCTTTAATAGCCCTGCTCTGCGTATCTCATTGAGCTGGTTGATTCTAATTTTTCCCTTTTTTACATGTAGGATCTCCAGAGATGGTTGACGACCCAATTTCGATTTTGTCCCTTGTGGACCTTTACCTAGAGCACCTGATTATTGTAATTCTAACAGATACTACTGGCGCAAATATAATCCACATTTTCCCATACGAACAAGGAGCTTCAAGAGCGGAAGGTTCGGGTGAACAATTATTGGGATCGAACAGGTGTTTGACTAGTGTTGCTTCGACAAGTTGAGGGAACCTCAAAAGAAGCACACCATGTAATTCAAAAGGAAATACCTGAGATATTTTCAAGCTTCTCTACGAGCTTCGAATCGCGGATAATAGTCTTGAGGTCACTGGCAGTCTTGAAGGATACCGGGTATCGAAAGGATGGATGAAATGAGAATTTGAAGATGGAAATATGCCTTTTTGCAACATAAAACTGATAAGGCATTTGAAGAGATTGAGCTCTGGCAGCAGGTATCTGATCCGTCATGGTATCGGATTATGAAGAGCCCGTCTATGTACCTAATCTAAGCTAGCCTATAGCTGGCTGTTTGTGCGACCAGGCTAGGGACTTGACGGTATCTTGGTGCAATCCGAGTGTCTGTAATATTGGCTTGTCCGCTGCTAGATCCCAGATTCCAACTGCGTTCCAAGCTGACCCTAACGCCAGCCGGCTGTCATCGTGTGACCAGGCCACAGACCAGACCCACTGACATAAGCCATAGCCGCCTTTAAGCGTCGATATACACTCACCCGTTGTTGGATCCCAGATCTTAATTGTCTCGTCGAGTGATGCTGACGCTAGCCGGCTGCCATCGTGCGACCAGGCCACAGATGTGATCCGATCACCATGACCTTTGAGCATCGATAATCTCTGGCCTGTTGATGGATTCCAGATCTTAACCGTGTCGTCTTTTGACACTGACGCTAGCCGGCCCTTATGCCCCCAGGCCATGGACCAGACCTGGCCACAGTCGCCTTTGAGTGTTGATATACACTTGCCTGTTGCTAGATGCCAGATCTTGACGGTATCGTTGGCTGACCCTGACGCTAGCTTAGTGTTATCTTTCGACCACCCCACGGTTAAAATTGTATCGTCGTGGCCTTTGAGCGTCGATATACACTTTCCCGTTGCTGAGTCCCAGATCTTGACTGTTCCCTCGTCTGACCCTGATGCTAGATTGCTGCTATCGTGCGACCAGGCCACAGTAAAAACGGTATTGTGGTGACCTTTGAGCGTCCATATACACTTTCCCGTTGCTGAATCCCAGATCTTAATTGTCTCGTCGCGTGATGCTGACGCCAGCCGGCCATCGTGCGACCAGGCCACAGATGTGATCCTATCGCCATGGCCTTCGAGCGTCCATATACACTCCCCCTTTGCTGGGTCCCAGATTTTGACTATTCCTTCGTCTGACCCCGACGCCAGCCAGCCGCGATTGTGGTAATCAACCGCTTTTTGTCCTAAATCTGCCCCTTTTTGTCCAGTCTTCTCGGTTTCTCTGTGCCTCTTCTGCTTGCCATATATCGCTGTAAGATTCGGCGTGCTAGGTGGACGAGGTTGCGGCTGGTGACTGCTATGTGTGTTCAACCAGGCATTAGACGGCAATGTGCTCAAGTTCGTCTGAGTATCTGCTGCGTCCATACCCAGTTTTTCTCTGTACCATGCATGTTAGATAAGTACCCGTATTTGCTAATCTGACCTCTGGCAGATTACCTCTGGGAGACATCCAGCTGCATAGAAAGCCAGTCGTGTGCCAAGACTTCCTCGATAGTGAGCCGTCGTTCAGGAGCCTCGGCCATGGTTCCCAGCGCAAAGTTCATGCAGAACCCGCTCGATGCACCTAGCAGTCGGATAGGAAAATGTGTTTTGTGATCACGGGCATACTTCATTAAGTGCGGGATAGTGGGGAATGGGGGCAAGCCAGTCACCATGCGAAATGCTACGGCCCCGAGTGACCAGACGTCGACAGCTGATGTGTATGGATTCGATGAATCGCCCCACAGTTGTTCCGGTGCCGTGTATCCAATAGTGCCCATCCCGAGTGTGTCAAGATTGGTCCCATTTACGTTTTTAGCAATTCCAAAGTCCGCTACCTTGACGTGCCACTCAGGGCCTAGACAGGAAACGAGAATATTCTGCACCATGTTAGTATCGCGAAGCAAGGATAAATAAGAATCCGACCCTGCCTGAGGCTTGATATCCCGGTGGACGAACTTCTCCCGATGCATGTACTGCAAAGCCTGGGCCACCTGGGCCGTGATCAATGCCGCATCACGCTCGGGTAACGGCTTCTTTATGTATCTCCCAAGATCACCGTGTTCCAAGAACTCCATTGTGATATAGATATGCTCTGTATCCTCAAACCAGCCATATCCCTGTACAAAATAGTTTTTATGCTGAGTTTCGTTAGTTTCCCACCCTTACTATTAGGTACTTGACGTCGTATTCAATTCGCCTACCTCAGGAGTATCGGAGTTAGAGAACGTAAACAGCGCACTGAGCTCCCGTCTGAAAATTTCTGCAAGATCTGACTCACGCTTGCTGAGACATTTCACAGCGCGGACAGCATTCTTTGAGGGTCCCGAAAGACACTCCTCCTGCTTGACTTCGCCAAAAGAACCTTTCCCTAGATATTCCAAAGCCCGCCAGCAGTCAGAGCCCGATGGTTGCTGATGATATCGGTCTCCATTTGCTTCAAACCGGGTTTCTAGCCTCCAACCAAGTAGAGGGCCAACCAACAGATCCATCAAGTTTTAGATCCCCCGAAGAGAACAGTCGACAACTTGAAGGGGGATGAAGATACGCTGCTGAGCGAAATACCGTTGCCTCGAACGTGCGGGGTCAGCTACAGAACTCAGCCCCGTCGAAATGGGGCTGAATTGTTGGCGTCCAAAGCAAATACCTAATTGGCCCAGTATCAGACAGGGGGGAGAGCTGAGGAGACTTTGCAGACGCACAGCCTCGGGACCGATGCATGCGAGCGCTATTCTGTTGTGGTTTTTCTTTTAAGAGATTTCAGGTCAAGGGATCCATCCCAGGTCAGGGTATCCATTTAATTTGTTTTATTGTCCCTCCTTCCCTTTTTTTGTTTGTTGTTGTCCTACCTTGTCCATCGTGCGTTTCCCAATCACGGGGTATCTGTTTGCTGTCCCCATAATTAAGTGGGTCTGTTGCCGCTAATGGGACAGTAAGAGGCTCTCTACTTTCTCACCGCCGGGTAGCTAGCCACTAGTGTCATGCCAGTGACCAATTATATGTAGCGGATGGGACATACCCTGTCGGCAGAATATTATGTAATTCGGATAGCTAGGCCTGCCACTGTAGTTACCTAGTTTTAATTATGTAGTTACAGATGTACTTGAGTCTAGTATGGATAAGAAAGAACTTTGAACAGGTAGATTTGAACATATGTTCAACGTTTCTGAATCAAATTTACAAGGAAATCTACACATGATCCCCATCACTATCTCCTAGTTCCAGCTTTCCGTGTCTTTGCGTATCTCCCTGAGTCTCGTTTCCTCCGTCTCCGAGTAATCTTTGAGGTCGGCCTCATCAGTACCAAATGACTCGTTAACAATGTCCTCTATTTGGTCGAGAATAAGCCCGATCAGACCAACAGATCTGTCGTTGCCAACCTGGCACATTTCTTCGCCAACCGCAGCCTCGATAAGCCCGTCGCCTCCTTTGGAAGGGAGGTCAGACTCGAAAGATCGGAATATCTCGCGCAGGGGTTTCAGAACCTGACTGCGGAAGAAATTTGCGGTCTTTTCGAGGTGCAGGTGACCTCGGAGGGATGTCGAGGAGAGGAGTAGGTAGTAGAGGTTCAATGCGGAGTGAAGGGCTGGGCCATCAGTCTGGGTGAGGCGGGTCCAGTTCTGGACAAGATCCGGGGTTGCCGAAGCTGTCTTGACAGTGCGGAAGAGCAGGGGGAACAAGGTCCAGAAGTACAGTGGATCACGGAATATGGACTCTGTTGATTCGGGTGGCGCATCAAGAAGCTCATTCCTTAGCCAGGTGATGGCGCTGTCTCGGGCCGAGTTTAGGCGGTCATTCTCCAAGACTGATCGGATGAGCTTGAATCGGGTGATTTGTGATGGATGGCTGTGTACAACTGCATTTGGAATTTGGCGAACAATTCCGTGGCTTTGGCGTGCGGTGCAAGCCGTCAGTAATATGGCGAAGTCTTTGAATTCAGTTTCACTGGATGGGGACGGGATTTCTTGCGTCGTTGAGTGAACGGTCAGGGCCAGTAACGAATCAAGCAGAGCTTGTGGCTGACCAAAGGCCACCTCATCGAGGCTATCCTGGCCCCCAACAAAGTTGGAAAATATGTTGGCGAGGTCAGGGAAGACAGGTAGCGGCGGAATTGGTTGTCCGGATGCGAAAACGTGGGCGCCCGCCTGTCCGTGCTGCCAGCAGCAAAAGAGAGCCATGGCGTTCCAGTGGGATCTGATCTGGGTGGGCGGGAGCCTCTTCGAAGTCAAGTGGGGGTGGCTGGTCTTCTGCCGATCGTGAAACAATCGACAAAAGATCGTTGTTCTCGATTCCAACATCCCGTGAAAGCGCCTTCATAGAGACAATTCAGTTCAATTGTTCATTTTTTAGGGTATATTTGTCTCAACTTACCACAATTTTCCCCATAATCATGTCTCGTTCCTTAAGGTCCTTGTTGCTAGTGTACGCCTCCAGCTGTGACTGCTCGGGTAAACGCAGGTTCGGGTTCAGTTGCTCCTGAATGCGAACAGTCCAAGACAATCCAGGGTCCAGAGGGCCGGAAAAGCTCAAGAGATACGCTTTGAGTAGCTCGATCAGACCGAATTGGATGAATTTCCGCACGAGCTGTGTTTCGTTATCTGCTTCGGGGGATGGAGAATGGATTTCGGCCTCCGGGTCTGGAGCTGAGGCAGCGTCGACTCGTAGCACGCTTGATTGACTCTGGGTTCGTGGAGGCGGGGCAGGTCGTTTGCTGGGAGATACGTCGCGAAGGAACTCGAGCAGGGCTAGGGTGGTCTCGTCGGAGGGCATGGTCTCGTAGGCTTCCAATGCGGCCTGGAGGGAGGTTGCGATGAATCGACTGGGGGGCTTTGGTTTTAATCCGGTTGTGCAGAACCGACAGCATGGCGAGGAGGCAATTGAACTGGAGAATGTGCGACGGAAGAGACTTGCCCGCATCGCTGTTCTCCTCGGCGAATTCGTCGTCGCCATCCTCCGGTTGAAGATGTTCGAGAGCTTCCGCCACGCGGAGAATCACCTCTCTTGGGTTACCGAGTCGGGCGACATCATGAAGACATTCGGTAGATGCGGGCAGCATAGGGAGAAGCAGCTTGACGAGGTCCCAACCGATGTTGGTGGTGAGACGTTCATCTTGCAGGAGCTGGTGCAATAATGGTAGACGCTCGGGAGTCAACTGGTATTCAAGTAGAGTGAGATAGGTCAAATAGTCGGTGGCCGGTGGCAGGGCCTGAACAAGCGGATCATTGGCATCCATGGTGGTTGATAACATTGTTGACGAAGGAGCAGTTGCGTCGGCGGGGAAGATGGGGTGACATCACTGGGTCAGCACAGCCCCGCCCCGCCAAAGAATCATTGGAGAATCGCAATCCACCTATCAACCACACTTATGCACAAATAAACCCTAATTATAAGATTTCTAGCAACGTTTCGGACATTTTTTCAGTTGGTTCATTTTATTTCAATATTTTGACTCATAGGAAGGCTGCGATATAAGGCAAAGCTATGGTCAGGTTGTAACAAGAGCAGTAAAATTCGGTTGGGTGATATGATAGGATTCAATCTTGGAATAAATGCAAGTCGAGTAGACATATATCAACAACTTGAATTATTTGGCTACCAGGGAATAGTCTCACCACTCCAATCTACAGAAGAGCCCGACTTCTCCGGCGTTAATTTCTCAATGATATCGACCATCCCTTTACATGATTCCTCGATATCAACCCGGCCGCGCCAACCCGTGAGCTTTGTCTTTATAAAGCCTGGTTCGAAAGCAAGAGTAGACGCGGGTATGTTGGCACGTTGGAAGTCGAGGGCAAGCGTTTTGACCTGTTGATTAGCGGCGGCTTTGGCCATTTGATAGCCGATGACCCCTCCGTCGTGGTTGGGAGCTTTGAGAAAAGTAAGAATCTGGTTAAGGCTGACTGCTTAATGGGCGAGAGAACTACCTCTAATGCTGCCCGACTTGGACCTTATATAAATGAGTTTTCCATCGCCGCCTTTCGCAATGAGAGGAAGGAAATGTTTGGCCACGAGGAAGGGTCCCTTCACAGCAAGGTCAGCTAATCATATAAACTGCCAGTGGTATCTTATTCGCTTAGACGGCGCCGTAACACATACAACTGCTATAGCCTAAAATCTCTCCATCAGATCCTCTTGTTTATTTCTGTCCCATTCCAGTGGGCGGGCCTTGATACCTTTGTTGAAATTTAGTAAAAGCCTACAGCGGCATCACAGATAGGTAAGCTTGCCAGCGCAGTTGACGAGCACATTTAAGCTAATATCCTTGGATTTAAGCTTAGACGCTGCCAGTTTGATAGTTTACTCCTCTGTATAGTCAACCTGGACTATCTTTGACCCTGTCTCTCTAAGCTATGACGGAGACATCATTTAGCCATGGGGCCTACAAAGCAGAGAAAAATGAATCGTTCTTATATCCTCGTTAGAGGAGTCATTTTCTGCCAAGATTTTGGGACGAATGGAGCCGATCGTGTTCCATTTTCTCGCCTTGAAAGTTTTGATGAGTTAAAGGCCAATTCCCCGATTCGCACCTGAGAACGCCGGAATTAGTCGGTGATGCTTTTTTTGAGCAACAGAGGGCTCTACTACTGACCCACGACCAAGCTGTTTGGGCCATTGTTGTGTGCGAAGTATTCGAACCTGACGAAGACAGCTACGGTGGACGGAAGGACGAAGGAAGGTATGGATTCTAGAGACAAAGGAGGGAGTCTGATATACTAGGCGATCTGGACAGCCTAAGGCATACGGTATAAACCTCAACACAAGTCAAATGGGCCTCCAAGGGAGACATATCGGCTGATCTCAGTGGTCTGTTTCTATCTTTTAGTCCAGTTTTATTGAGGCGGTTCGTGAAGTTGACGTGTCTTGGGATATCCAGGTGAGGCCGTGAATCAAAGCATATTCATTTCCCCTCCAGAATCAAAGGCGGGGTAGTTGACAGGGGTCGGGGCGGATTTGTGTCACCTGAGCGGTGTGACATGGTGAGGCTCAGGCTGTGAAATTTCGATTTCCCTTTCAACCTGAGCGCCTATACATCCCTGCAATGAGGGAGTTCAAGTGGTAGGGCAGATGTGGTGGCCGAGGTGACGTCAGCGGGCTAGGCGGCTGAAATAAAGTATAACAAACTAATACAATAATATTATCTACAATTTAGTGTTAATCTACTATTCATCAAACTATTAGTATTTGTATAATAAAACCATACATACAGATCAAGAACCTCTATAATCCATGGACTCGGAATTGACTCCGTTTGGTCCGGGGCACCGACCATGGTTTCCAAAGTTGTTCCTGGCGCTTCCCGCACCAAACTCGTCAACTTTGGAACAGGAACAGGAACAACAGGAACAGGCTGGGATACAACAACAATATGCCGTGATATAACCGTCGTTATTTCAAAAAGAAAAAAAGAAAAAAATTCTAGTCTCCCCACAGAACCGGTTTCCGACATATGACTCCCTTGGCCTGAACTGGTTCTAGTGATTAATGCGAATATCGAATTACCAAGTTGGGGATAGGGCTGAATAGTTTCCGACTCCTCAGCCCTGCCGACTTTCCCGATCCTTTCTTCAAATTCCCTCTTTGGGATTCATCGGTCTGTGGCCTGGCCTTGCCTTCCAGGCTTGCTCTACCATGATGGTATTACTACATTTAGTGATCTTCAAGAGCAATTCTATCTCCTCCAACGCCACTCTCTGCACTTTTCTCCCCTTTGTCTACAGAGTATGCCATCTCCTCTAACCCTTCAATTTCATTATTTTCGGCATTATACGTCCTATCTTCTCTCGCTAGTATAGCCTGATCACATCCGTCTATATCCGCACCTTCCGTTCAGTCGGAGACTGAGGTCAATCTCACTTGCGCCTGGCCCTCACCCTCACTTAGGGAAACCGCTACCACCTCTTGCCAAATCCCTTTCCCTTTTCTCTCTCTTTACATACCAGAGGGAGCAAGACGCATCAAACAGACGACAAAATAAACGAGTACCCTCATCTGCCTCCTCACCTCCTCTACGCCTTTCGCTTGGGATCCTAGATCGACACCATGTCTACAATGACGACCAAAACCGAGATACAAACATGCTATACTTCGACAACTACGAACCTGCCACATGCTCCGACGGCTATGGATGAGCTTCTCATCAGGTACCCTTCGTCCATGTTCAGTTCCTCGAACACGTTGTGCAAGAAAAGTCGTAACCCATTTCAACGTGTGGTTGATCGCATCCGCCTCGTGTACTATAGATACGAAGTCACTTTCGGTCTCTACGTCATGACCCCGAGTGAGAAGTGTATCGCCAATGCCTTTGTACTCGTCGTCTTATCACTCTTACTGTGGGCGCTATTGCTATACTTCCCGACTCTTCTCTTTCACAAGCTCAGTCGCGCGATATGGCTGGTGACAGGCCACAGCGACGAGGCCAGCGCCACGCTACGGATGATAGAGATGCATGGCAATCTAATTCCGACAGCCTCTGTCGCCGATATCCCCCAGACTTCATGGTGAAAAAACTCCTTCGGCATTTTCTCAGAGGACTCCATCTATAGAACGTTTATACTCCGGGATCCATGCCAGCCTTGTGCTGAGGTGGGACTTCTCCGATGAAGGGACAATCCCATCGTTGATTGGGAAACGATTCCGCACCATATGGACAGTCGAATTTCAAAATTCGAATGCTGTTCTTCGTGGAATTTTTCACCTCATCTCTGTCTTGCTTCTCGTTTGCGCGCTAGCATTGTACCACCTTTTTGCCTCTGTTTTCTTGGCGTTTTTGAGGGATTATTCGGAGGCCATACCACATTCGTTTCAGCAACAAAACATCCCCCATGACGCACACCGGGCACATCCTTGCAGTTGACCACACACAAATACGAGCACACGAACCAACCCGGTCTGCCACGTCTCAGGGTACCGGGATACCAGGATACCTGTGGGCGGTTTTTGAATGTCGCAGTGGGAAGCATGGCTTTGCGGATCATATTGCTACTCATTGTAATACTCAATGTCAACTCAGAACTGAACAGAGCCGGTTTACACTTACCAGTACATTCTCTGTAAAACCCAGCCACAGGCGGTTGGGCATCTCCACTGTGAATTTAGCGGCCTGTTGATCGCCGCGGCTTGGCGCCTGCGGCTGAGTCTTGAGTACTTCGGGCGGTAAGACAGTGTCAATTGACCCTGATTTCTCTCGAAGAAAAGAGAGATAAAGTAGAATACGATGATATAAAATACAAAAGTGATATTACTAGTTGTCATGAATAATTCAAGCACATCCAAGTCAAGTCAAAGTCACAGTTGTGGTGTGCATCAACAGACTCAGCCAGAAACACACGCACTCGCCGCGCGGCTGTGTTGATGATCCGCCCCAAAAAATAACTTCCCCAAATGTGACTGCCTTGTCCTTCCTTTCTTCCTATATTCTTTCTTCTCGACCCTCTCATCCTCCATCCAACCGTCATTTTCCGCCCTCTCCTTCGCTAATAGGCCCCGATACTTTGACTTTCATTTTCACTTTCCAACCTTCTTTTTGGCGATTTGACGATTTGACGACACCCCCGGACTGCCCGGCCATCCCCTGTTCACAGCCTCGGCTCGCCCACCATGGCTTCCAACGACTACTACCACTCGAACATTCCCAGTCCCCCAGCTTACGAGCAAGCTGTCCCCGGGACAACTGCACCAGGGAGGACCACCCCAGCTGCTGGCGCGACCGCCTCCACCGCCGCGGCTCCTGGCCTTGGCTATTCTAGCTACACCACGTCCCATCATGATGACCCCTCCGTTCCCTATCACAACCGCGAGAGCCAACATTCGATCGCATCAGATGGAGGTGCATACTATTCGGCCGGGGGAGCACACGATGGTGACCACTACTCAGAGAACATCCCGCTCAAGTCGCAAACACAATTTGGCAACAACCCAGAATGGCAGAACCAGCAAACCCAGTACAACCCCTACCCACCCTCCCCTGGTGCGGTAGAAAACCTCAACAGAGGCCGTGGGGACCCCCGGCAACAGCAACAGAAGCGCGGGTTTTTCAAGAAGAAGCCCGCTTGGGCAACGTGGATTTTGACATTGGCGATGATTATAACATTCATTATTGAACTGGTGAAAACGGGTGAGTTGTGCCTGTTCAATCAAGAAACCTGGGGGTTGAAATTTGACTAACCTCGCCGTTACAATGTATAGCACAAATGACCGGTTCGCCAATCACAAAGCCCGCAAACAACCCATTCTTAGGTCCCTCAGCCTACATGCAGATCTATATGGGCGCTCGGTTCACCCCATGCATGAAGAGCGTCCCAGGTATTCAAGACCTGGGCGAGTCTGTCACATTCCTTTGCCCAAACTCCACCACAACCGATACGAAAGACGAAGTATGCAGTCTCTCTGAGCTTTGCGGCTTTGGTGGAGTCCCCAACCCGGGCAAGGGCGTAACGCTGGATACGAACCCATCACCAAACCAATGGTTCCGCTTCATCCTTCCTATCTTTTTGCACGGTGGATTTATTCATATCGCAATCAATCTATTCGCCCAAATGTTCATCTGCACGGATATGGAACGCTTGATCGGATTTTGGCGTTTCACATTGGCCTACTTTGCCAGTGGTATCTTCGGCTATGTGCTCGGTGGAAACTATGCTTCTCAGACTGAGCCTAGTGTTGGCTGCTCGGGTGCTCTGTTCGGAATAATGGCTCTGTTCCTCCTGGATCTGCTCTACGATTGGCCGAATCGCGAATCCCGCTGGGTGGAATTGATTGTCATGATTCTCGGTATTGCAGTTTCATTCGTGCTAGGCCTACTGCCCGATTTGGATAACTTTTCCCATATCGGTGGATTTGTCATGGGATTGGCGATTGGTCTTTGCATCATGCGCTCTCCCAACGCGCTACGCGAACGGATCGGTCTTGCGCGCCAACCGTATGTTGCGATGAGCGGTGGTGCAGCTCGGCCTGCGGAAGACACACGCAAAACAACCTCGTTCATGGACTTTTTCAAGGGCCGTGGAGGCATGGTCTCTTCATCAAGTGATGAGAACGCATCCAAAAAGAATCCTCTCAACTTCTTCAAGGGCCGGAAGCCCCTCTGGTGGGCCTGGTGGCTGATCCGAGCTGGTGCTCTGGTCGCCGTACTGATTGGATTCATCATGTTGATCATCGACTTCTACAAGTACCCCAAATCTAACTGCTCCTGGTGCTACCGCCTGAGTTGCTTGGTAAGTCGAAATTGCATCCGTTTTATGATTTGCACCTGCTAACAAATATGTGCGATTAGCCCGTCAATGGTTGGTGTGACCAGTCACTCACCACAACCACCACGAACAAGACCTCATCCTAATGAGGTCATTTCTTTTATCATTTCTCTACCATTCATTCGTGGCGTTGATCTTGGTTGGATAAGCCGATGCGTGTCATGAAATATCTGTAAATAGAACCAGGTGTGCAGGTGCACTATCCTTATTATCATACCAGACTGCACCCCGCTGTCTTGAACATATCATACCCTAGTACTACTTAAGTATGAACTACTAAGGGCAAAGTGAAAGAGGGGGGATAGATAGCTTCTCTAATTTAACAAAGATACCCAGGGCTATATCAATTAAGTCAAGAAGAAGCAGTTCTGTTCAATGTGCACGATTGAAAAGACCGAACCCTGACTGTAAAACAATTAATAAGTTCTCTCCCAAAGTTGATCTCCGTATACTTCGAGTTCTTCTTGTACTCCACCGAGGCTCGGCGTGGCTGAGGTGGCTGAGTCAGGCCCGCTTACGACGCCGCTGAAGCCGGACGATGGGCATGTGCAACGCTTCAGCTCTCTCCCTGATCAATATACACCCCTCGATGCCCATCGCCCGCTCTTCGCTTGAGTGAGCAAGCATCAGTCATGGCCACCTTGGCCTCATCACCCCCGACCTCGCCAACATGGCCGAAGCGGCGCCCTCGCACCTGGGCACTCCGCTGTGAACGCTACTGCTGCGCCGCGGCCAGCTGCTTTCCTCTCTTTTTCGTCTACGGCCTGACAACTTGGGCCGTTTATGTCGAGGCCAGTATTGGCTTCAAGGAGTCACGGAGTGACTGGCTTGGTATGAATAACCCCGCTGTTACTTGGATGCCTAGTGGGCTTGCGTACGGAAGTACAATTCAATTAACTAACGACATGGGTCGGCTTCGCAGGTCTTCCTAGTACGATACTCGGCGTCTTCTTTTACTGCATGCTCAATGCATCATATACCGTCGCCGTCTTCACTGATCCCGGTTCACCACAATCGATCCGTCGCGGAAATGCCCGCGGACAATACAGCGCCTTGCCTGTTACCGAGACCCCCGAGTTCACTTCTTACACCGTCAGTTCAACCGGCGGATCGCGATACTGCAAGAAATGCATGTGTCCGAAACCAGATCGCGCACACCACTGCTCAACATGCAAACGTTGTGTCCTGAAGATGGACCACCACTGCCCCTGGCTGGCAACCTGCGTCGGACTACATAACTACAAGGCGTTCCTTTTATTCTTGATCTACACATCCTTGTTTTGCTGGGTTTGCTTCGCTACATCATCCATATGGGTTTGGACGGAGATTCTCAACGACACGCGCTACATGGACACATACCTCCCCGTGAACGTGGTTCTATTGGCGATTTTGGGCGGCATTATCGGTCTTGTCCTATCAGGATTTACAGCGTGGCATATCAGCTTGGCTGTCAGAGGCGTAACCACTATTGAATGTCTCGAGAAGACACGATATGTTTCACCGCTGCGCAAAGCGCTCGAGCGACAGCATTTCGACCCAGGATCCAACGGCCACGGCGCCGGTCACGATGAAGAGAGCCTAACGCAACGACTACAAGGCTACGGGAATCAGATCATCGATGCCCACGCGAACGCCATTCCCGGCGTAACCCGAGCCGAAGAAGGCGAAGAGCGCCTCTCCCCAGCACCCTATGGACCAGGCCAGGGCCCGACTCTCGGCTCCGCAAGCAACAACCTCACACCCGCCCAGCAAGCGCTGACCCGCTCATACGCGGAGAACGAGCGACAACGAGAGCACGAGCGATACCAACAGTATCTAAATGACGAAGACAGTGAGAAGATGCCCAATGCATTCGATCTCGGATGGCGCCGCAACCTCCTCCACCTTTTCGGCGATCGTTCACTTTACTGGTTCGTTCCGGTCTGCAACACAACTGGCGATGGATGGCGCTGGGAGCCAAGTCAGCGTTTCCTCGAGTCCCGCGACCGCCTGCGTGATGATCGCGAGCTGGCCGCCTCGGAAGAGCAGCAGTATTATCGAGATCTATACCAGCGTAACATGGACAATAGCCGCAGCTGGATCGGCGGTGCCAGTAACGGCGCTGGCGCCGCTCAGCCAGGTTGGACCGCCAATCGCGGGCGACAGGATATTCCCGAGCGTCCTCCGACTAGTGTGTCGATGCAAACGCTCGCGCCTGCATCGCCGCGGCCTAGGCCCGGAGACAGTGACTTTGAAGACGACGTTGAGGGGAATGGATTGCTGGATCCTGAGGAGGCAGGGCGTCGAACACGCAATAGAGAAACGGACGAATGGCGTGATTGGGATTGAACAGGGACATTCCATCTATAAGTAGTTGCATCATTGGTTGGCGTTCGGATTAAGCGGTCGGCCTAAAGGCCAAGTTGGCATTTCCCCCCCATGTATGACTAGCATGCGTGTACATTGTGGATCTCGAGATCTGGAACTTACCTTACTCGTATTTATTTACAAGTTTCTTTTCCCTCTTTCGTCTCTTCCTTTCACCTCCCCCTTTGTGATATTTTTTAGCCTGGTCCGATATAAATCCGGTAAACTGCATCGCTGTATAAAACACCGTCATCCAATCTGATTACTCCGCACTCGTCCAATCTAATCTCGACTCCACCTCTGCCTCACTCCAACTCTCCTCCAACCTCCAACCACCCCAAATAACCGCGGGGTCAACCAACACCAAAGCAAACAAAAGGGGAACATTGGAACAAATACCCTCCAGTCAACATACATAAAAATGACCTCCCCCCTCAACCCGCCGCCTCCTCAAAGAATCAACAGATCTCCACAAAAACCCAAGTCCCTACTTCACCGCCGCCCCAGTCAACGACACGAACCTCCACGACTGGCACTTCACCCTAGTCGGGCCACCAAGTCCAACCCCCCTACGCAAACGGCCTCTATCACGGCCGAATCACATTCCCAGCCGCATACCCACTCCGCCCACCGTCCTTCCGCTTCCTAACCCCCTCCGCCCGCTTCGAGGTAAACCGCGAAATATGCCTCAGTATCTCGGGCCACCATGAAGAAACATGGCAGCCGGCGTGGGGGGTGCGCACGGCGCTGCTGGCTATCCGGAGCGAGATCTTCAGCGGCGAGAGTAAAGGGCAGGTTGGTGGGATGGAGGGTAGTGAGGAGTTGAGGCGCGAGTATGCGGGTTTATCGCGCGGGTGGGTTTGTCGCGAGTGTGGGGGGGTCGAATGAGTTGCGTATGCGGGAGTTTTGGGAGCTTTGTCGGGAGGTTGGGGTCGAGGTTGATGTTGAGGGTGATTGGGATGGGGATGGGGATGGGAAGGGTCAGGAGGGAGAGAAGGATGCGCAAGAGGGGGAGACAGAGCAACAGCAGCAGCAGCAGCAGCAGCAGCAGGAGCACGACTCTTCAGCTGCTCCTGTTGTTCAACATGTGCCTGTTTCTGCGCCTGAACCTACACCAGAGACTGAGATTCCCGCATCTACGGATCCCGTCATATCTCAACCCCCGGTGTCGGAACCATCACAGCCTATCCAGAGATCTACGTCTGTGTCGACGCCGACAAGATCAACGGCTCCGAACTCCCCACCTGCGTCTACGCAGCTTTCCCGTACTAGGCCCCAGGCTGATCCTACTTCGCCGGCTAATAGCCCATGGCTAGATCGTGCTATTATTTGCGTGATTGTCGCGCTGGTGATTTTGGTCCTTCGGCGGACAATCGATCCTGACGATCTATAGCGAGGAGTTACTCCGGAAGCTGTTTGAATGCTCCTGCTTTGAAAACGATACTTCATGGTATGCTTGAAAATCGTCGTCACAGGGAAAAGTTGTATTGTTGTATAGTTGGCTCTTCATTTGTGAAGCAACCTTTACACATCGAGCCGAGGGAGTGACTATGCATTGATTTTGTTTCCTAGATACCCGCTCGGCGTTTGGTATAGCCTTGTTTATTTGTGTTTTTATTTTTTTATTTTTTAATTCCAAATACGAATGCCAGTGGATAGATATTGAATATTAGAAATTTTCATTATTACTCCTTTTCGTTGACATTTGCAATGCACTGGCTAGGAATAAGGGGAAAGAATCACCGTGCAATAGCATCAAAGTACCATCCACCACCACTCCTGTACTTTCCATCTCTTCTCCGATCCAACGTCCTCGCCCTGTACAACACCGATATCCGTCAACCAGCCAAGCATCATCTCAATCTCCCACGGCGCCATCGCCGGCTTAATCATGCTACTTATACCCTTCGCCGAAAGACCCTCCCGCAGCACCAAGCATCCAATTACCGAAGCAAGCCCCATCTCCCATAGCGGCTGGACCAGATGCCCATTAAGATCCATCCAAAGCGGAATCTTCTGCGGGTTACCAGGCTCAAGCGGAGACAATGCTGGGGGCTTGGTGCTAGTAACACGCTCCTCGATAGGATTGCCATAGACGTATGACGCAGTGGGTTTGACATCAACCGCAAAGCGGAGCTTCGTCTTGTCCATTTGCCGCGTGAGATATCCATCATCTACAAGGCCGAATTTATCGCGCGGGGCTCCGCGCGGGAAGAGTTCAACATGCCCGTTGGTGAAGAGGTTGATCATAGCCAGGATGTGGCCATCTTCGGCGTTGTATTGGACCTCAGCGACACCCTCGTCCCACATCTTCAGGTCAAGTGTTGAGATCTTGAACGCTGCCGCCTGTTTGAGAATACCGCATTCGATCATACGTCTGCGGTTCAGCTGTTGGAGGAGATGGTCGGTGATGTCGAAATTGCGACCTGGTGCGACGCGGCCGCGATTGTTCTGGCCGATAACGCGGTCTTTCATCAATGACTCTACCGCTGACTGGATGCGTTTCTCGCCGAATCGCTCGAGGATTGTGTTGGACTTGGCTGGGTCGTAGGTGTCTTCTGGCGTGACGATATTGGCTCGAACAAATGTCTTGGTAATCTCTTCTCGTTTCAGCTCTTGCTGTCGGTGGCTTTCGTGTTTGGCCTCTCTGTCGTCATCTAGCATCACGGAAAATGCTGTCTGGGCCAATACCCCGCGTCGGTAATTGAGAGTCATTCCCACGGTGGTGGTGAAAATCTCATCGGCCGTAGGAACGGGCTCTTCGCGGAGTGCGAAAATGTCATCGAATTGTTCACGGGTTGCGGGGAGAGAAGGTGCGCGCTCGGATGTTGAAACTTCCAGCTGGAAGTTTGCCCATTCGATCAAGGTCGGCCAGGGGTAGCTATCTAGATCTGTGTAGTCGATCGTGGGGACCTGGTCATTGGCATATGCCTTCAAAAACCTGTCTTGGAAATCGTTTTGCATCTTCATGATCTGCAACCGGTTTCGGTTTAACACGTTCCGCGCCCTGTCGATCAAGGACGATGCATCATGGCCAGGGAAACAAGCCGCCACCAGATCCCAGTCAACATGTCGTGCTTCCGTTCCACCTGTCAAAACACGTACGGCAACGATAGCGAGCATGATTTTCCGAAGCAGGGCTTCGGGGATCGGTTGGAAGGTACGTCGCTTGGTGGGTCGAGGTGTAGCTGGCAGTGTTGGCTGAAATCTTGCGCTGGCTGGAGTGGACGTATCGACCTTTTCGAGTCGTCGTTCCTGGTTATTGTAATCTCTCTGCTTCCTTCTGCCACGCTTTCTAGTCCTCATTGGCGTCGGCAGCTGCAGGGGTGCTAGTTCGGGTTCGTCGACATCAAAGCGAATCTGACCGTCAATTGGAGCCCCATAGAAACTGTTCCTAACAGTCTGCGAAATATACGTCTCATCAGGAAGGACAGTATCGAGGAGTTCCTCATGGCCGATCTCCCATCTGGCAATTCTATCACTCGTGCGGTGGAAGTCGTGTTGATCTGGGTTTGCCATGGCAAGTTGAGAAAGCTTACGGACAGGGTCCGGGACGGCAAGCCTTCTTGGAAGTAACCTTCGCATTTGGCCCGCGATACCTTGAGTAGCAAAAGTGCCACTGCTGGGTTGGAACGTTTGTTGCGGGCTCATTATCAGACTGAACCCGCCAGGACCGGAGATTTTTCTCACAATCCTCTTTGACAGAGTGTCCCGTTCTCCCTTCTGTCGCTGGCCCAAGCTCATCTTCTTAGGTCTGAAAATGATCGTTTGTTGGTGATGGGATCCTGGCGCAAATTCTTCCGCCGCCGGTGGTCGTTGAATCTGCATGAGTCGAGAGGTACCGGGGATATCAAGATCGTCATTGTCGGAATGAGGTTCAACATGTCCAACCACTCGTTTGTACAGAGCCATTTCAACTCGTCGGTTCCTCCTCTTTTCCGAGTTTACAACGAACGCTGGTTTACTTTGCAGCTGCACTATCGCCCCTTCTTCAACACGCAGCTCCTGCTTCTGACCAGTGGCGCGCGAGCTGTGCTTCGAAATACTAGGGTCCAGGACGACATTTGGAGAGTACGATACTTTCGGAGTGGATCGATCCGTGGCTAGGACTTTCTTTTGCATCTCCTTGACGAAAGGATCATCGGGCGACATTTCAGGCTTCGTGACCATGGTCTTTGTAACCATTACATCGCAAGGATCCTTGCCGCTGAAAGTGAGTTGCCGAAGCTTGCCAGCATCAACCAAATGCTTGATTGCCATCTTCACGGTTCGAAGATCTGGCTTCTCCTTGAATTTCAACCTCATCCACTCAGTCACGAATGGATACCAAATTTCATGCCCAGAAGGATATGCACCTCCGGCCTTCTCAACAATGTCCATGACGATCTTTCTCCGGAGCAGATTGATAGAGCCTCCACCTTTCTCTGCCCTTTTGGGTTGCACTTTTCTTACTTTCCGTGTTTCTGAATTGGGGGTATCTGCAGCCGTCGTTGTGGCGGCCGCCGATGGAGGCCCCATTATCTCCTCTTCGAGAGGGGTATGGCTTGCAAGTGCAACCGAACCAGCAATTTCAGACTCGGCTCGCCCAGGTGACGTAATCCTCTGTCGTTTATTTGGAGATATGTGAGTGTCTTCAGTACTGAGCGGATGCTTAGCCGTGACATCAGCTTGTGTGGAAATGTCATCCACATCAGTGTTTGGAATCTCCGACACATCGATTGCGGCCTCGGTCCCAGATGACATTGCTGAGCCAGCAATGTCACCAAGCTTCTCGGTTTTAGACTTTATAGGTTCGCCTCTCGGCTTTTTTGATGGACTAGGAGAGTCGGCATTGTTGAAGCCAGTCGGGGGTCGTTTGATAGAAGTCTGCGGGTGGGGTTTCGAACTCTGTTGATTCCCATCGACAGGCTGATCACCGCCCGAATTTTGCGGTAACCCAGCCACCTTTGAGTCCACGGTGTTTTTCTCAATGTCTGAATCTTCCTTGACGAACCACGGCATGTTAGAAATGTTGGGAGATTTGAAGACAGCGATCCGGCTCTTTCTCGGCCTGCCTTGTCTTTTGCCTGCTGGTCTTCTTTTGCCCTCCGGTGTAACATAAACACCAGGCGAAGGCTTATCCATTAACAAGGCATTGTATTCGGTCCAAGTATTATCCATGCCCATGGCCTCGAATCTTTCTTTTTTGGAAAGACCCGCCAGTTTATTGAACTTTGCTTTGGAAATTTTTGGTCGTTGCATAAACTGTGTGGAGGTGTCTTCCAGGTTGATGTCATTTACTTCCTCATCAACCTCGTCGGCTCCGCGCTTCTTGAAAGGGCCTTGCAGAATACCGTGCGGCTTCGTTGTACCCGGAGTTCCTGCAATCCCACCATAGTAGGGTTTTACGTTCCCGGCCCTGATAGCTGTGTATCCTTGTCAGTATCCAAAATCTATATCGGCCCTCTCCCAAGGGTACTCATGGAAGAACGACATACCGAATTCGCCATTTGGAAGTAGTATCACCGCGGGGTCATGGTTGGTCAATTTGTAGTCTTTAGGGTTGGCAGCAAGCAACCCTTGATACAACGCTCCTCTGCCACCTTTCATCAATCCCGCTGGTGGCCCTGTCTGGGGGAATCCATATTGATCGAGTTGAGCTTTTGCCTCGGGTCCTGGGATCTTCGGGGCGTTCTTTTTCTTACTGCCAGGGTTAAACTCCACGGCCTCCCAGGATGTTATACCAGTCTTGACACGCTCGGCAAAGTTCTTGATGGAGAAATTTCTGTAAAAGATGATGGTTTTTTGAATATCCTGGTCCCTGAGAAGGGCATAGTGCCGAAGGTGGAGAGGCTGTGAGAGCTGCCAGCAATCAGTTAGACGATGTAGCAAGCTTTCCGAAGGCCTGCGGTAGAAGCTTCCAAAGCAGAGTTTGTTTATTTCCTAAAAATGTCTGTTAGTGCGACGTTCGCCAAGTTCATTCCTGTCAGACTGACCAGGTTGGTGACTCCCCCCCGGGCCAGATCGGTCAATGATGTCAAATACTTGATTCGTGACATGGCGATCCGGCGTCCATATGGGCATAAGTGGAACCGACTTCACGAGATGCTTTCCCGTGTCCATATCCACATCTCCATTGTCAGCGCCAGATGTTTGCTGCACGGTATCAATCTCCATATCCTCGTCGTCGTCAGCTTGGTCATCGACATCAGCATTCAAGGCACCCCCGTTGAATTCATGAAAACTGGAAATGTCTTTTGCGTTGGGTTCACGCCTGAGTACAACACATGGGTGTAGCTTTTCGTACTGTGACTCGGCTCTCACACGCTCAACAACCCCCATTCTTTCGAATTTGCGAATCGCTCGAGATAGAATTTTCCAGCGCCAGCGGTCCTGGAAGCCTAGAAGCTTCTTCAGGTCATTACGCGAAATGATCTTCTCTTTCCTGAGAATTTCGAAAAGCTTGGTCGTAAAAGCCTCGAAATCAATGATATTTTTGTCGTGGGTGGCGATCTGAGATTTCTGGTGGCCTTGATTGTCGGATGCATCTTTGAGGAATCGCTTGTGGGTGCATAGACTGGTGCGCGCTGATTTGATTTGAACGGCACGCTTTTCGATGTATCCCTTTCTCTGTAGGGCATCTGTTCGCTTCGGAACGGAGCGTTTATCTTGGCCACTCAGCTTCACCAGCCTGACTTGGTCAATGCCTGCTGATCGGTGGACGGCGATGATTGAAAGCAAGACAAATTCCGAATGGGGAAGTTTGGTCTCGTCAGGGCCATGGCCGGCGACCGCATGCCAGGTCCGTTCCCGAGGGACAAAGATTCGAATTTGTGCAACCGTAGATGATGTCTCGGTCTCTATCTCCTGCCCATTTGAGTCCCTTGGCCCTTGGTCCTCACGGTCCAACTTTTCGGCCTCGTCCAGAGAAAGGCCTTGCCACTCGTTTTCCTGGCCTACCGATACCTCGGGATGTTGAGTTAGCCAGGTCCAAACTTTTGCCTTGAAAGGACGGTCAACAGTCTGGCGCAGCTGGGTTGCATCCTTGGAAGCATTATTGTAGAAAGTTTCAATTGCTTGGAGGACAGTTGAAATTGTTGCTCCTATGAGGTGGTCAGTATGTTTGAATACTTGATCAATGGCTGACAAGTAAAGTAGACCAATGTATGCACGAAGTATACAAGAGGCTGAATTAAGTGTGTATGTGGGTCTGGATTATCAAACCAAATGATACGCACCCTGGTTGCCGCATAACGCGACCTCGCCAAGGAGGAAATCAATCAACTCCTGTAGACTTCGGGCCATGGTTTAACCTTTAAAAGGCATGGCCATGTAATCAGTTACAGGGGTTCAGATTGGCGGAGATAAAATGGAAGGTGGAAGGAGCAAAAGCCAGGAAAATGAAGATGAAAAAAAAGTCAGAGGGATTCGAACGCAGGCCGTTGGAGTTTGCACGCGTCATTGGACCACGTGATTTGCATTCCTACTGCCTTGGAAATCAGGTGACCAATGGGCATACAATAACATAACATACAGTTGTAAATACTAACCCACCATTGCATTAATTTTACCAATTGTGAACGAACTTAATATTATATAAAAACCAAAGACTATGCATAGTTGTACACCTGGTATGAACTTCTCCAGCTCCAGCTCGGGTTGATTGTCTGCAATCTCATCGGATCGGTACTCGGCATCGCCGCGATAGTCGGAGTTGCATGATCCGAAGTCCGATTCCTATACGAAGTATAGACTGGACTGACATTTTTCACCGAGCGAGGTTACTAGTACTCCTTTAAATCCACCACAGTAGTGATATATAAGGTAAATCTATTTTATCTGATCGCAAAGGATCAAATTATCCATTGTAGAGTGGGTGGCAACCGGGCTGGACTGGGCTAGGCAGTGCAATGGTGATGGCCAAAACCGGCTTGGGCATCGTCAGCCGAGAACGAGAACAAGAACATCAACACCAATCAACACAACAGATGAGGGGTACTATGAGAATGTTGCAGGACAATTAATCTAGTAGAGCGATCCAGGTACTTAATTATATGATACATAGTCATAATGGGAGTATCAAGGTACTGCCACAAAGTAACTACCATAACCGGTACTCAGTAAACTTGAAGATGACATCAGGACCTTACGTCAGGTGCGCGCACCTTACTTTGTCTGGCCCTCACCCGTTCGTTTCCGGCAAAAATACTAAAACATAAAAACTAAAATAAAATAATACGAATAAAATCAATCGACTCTTCTCTCCTTTTATACCTATGCATTTTCGCATCTCATCCAGCATGTCCTGATCTTGATTTTCCACTCAACCTGATCACTTCACCGCGACTCCCAACCGACACCTTCCCCTGAACGCCCTCACGGCGGCGCATTTGATCTCCTTATCCTCTCCCCCGGTCACCCCATCGCCACGCTGATGGAGGAAGGAAACCCTCCTCCGCTGCACACCGAGCCGCCTCCCCTCCCATACTCGCTGCACACTCGCAAGAAGGCGATCGCTTTTTTCTGGATTTTGTTCGTCGTCGATACTTTAGGTCAACCGCTGATTCTCTACTGGGCACTATGGTATTGCACGGATCTGTCGCATAATCTGGGTATGGTCAACATACTTCCCTCGCCCACCACTGCCACTTCCAATAGCTAACCTGCCACCATCGCAGTCTTCTCGATCGTCACGGCCTGCTTGGGCGGTATCTCGGTGTTTGAATACTTCTATCGCCTCCACAATCTCTTTAAAAAGAACTCCCGCGCCCGGCCGCTGAACGCCCGCAAATCATGGGTAAGAAGAACACCCCGCCGCGATCGCTGGTCTATATCGCTGATCTTGGAAATAGCTCGACTTCTTTCACATCAATTTTACTATTGTATGGCTTATCCTGGCTGTGGAGCTTATTGTGTACGTTTGTCAATCCCCTACTGTCGGCCTGCCCGGATACAAAAGCTTGAAACCTTGCTAACGGAAGTATAGGGGAACCGTTCCTGAGGAACCATATGGTCAGCACCATGTCATCCAACATGATCCCGACCCATTCAGCTAACCATTCGAACAGTGCGTCTCGTCGCCATGGTCCTACCAACCGTCATGTTCTACTTCGGAATCGTCCACCTTTCCCTCGACGTCCTCCGCATGGCCGGTTACAAAGCCCCATTTCGCATCTCCTCCACCCCCAAGGGCTCCGTCATGCCGACTGCCCTATACGCCCTGATCGAGGACGTAGTCGCCGTCGATGGAGGAGGCGGCCAGATCTACAGATACGCCCTCCGAACCCGCTACCTATCTAGCCCCTACTTCCGCCGAATGCTCTTCGAGATGAATTGTTTCTGGAGCGGCGGGTCAATTATCTTCGCAGCCGTCTTCACAGCCATCATCTTCACGGTCTCCGAACCCGTAGCCTTCACGGTAAGCATTACCCTCTAGGATATCTCGGAGTTGCATCATCAGACTGACGTCAATTAAAACAGCTTGGCTGGACGCTCCCTTTCGCATGGGCCGGAGTCTGGACCTTGATCACCATCCCTTGGGTGCAGAGCGATCTGCGTCGCGAGAAGAAGGCCTGGGCGGAAAATCGCGGACAGGGCGGCATCCACTGGGTCGATGATATCACCGCTCCGACTGCGCGCACCCGTTTCGAATCCGTTCAAGGAGCCATCCCCAGTCTTCTCCCCTGGACCCGTGAAAAGCAAAGTGCCCCCTCGACACCGGGCGCCGATGGCCTCGGCGGGATTACCCCGACCGCCAAGCCTGGGAGTAGCCACGAGGGCAAGCCCAGCATTGAAGGTACTGACGGGGTGGACTTTGCTAATGGCGTCAATGGCGCGGGTGTTAATGGCGTTTCGAAAGATACCGCCGATACCAAAGACGCCGTCGACACCGTCCCCGATACATCTCATGATACTGGAAATATTCCCGACAGTAACCCGAGTAACCCGCCAATACCCGATCAACAAGCAAAATGATCATCCCTTTACGCCATTGATTCATGACTTGACGCTTTGGTTACGGGTTCATTTGGCGGGTCCAAAGTGAAGATGCAGATATTCATGAAAAAACAAATCCCTATTCTCTCTAATTTGCATACGAGAACCGCGCCCTTATAGACTTTGGCTGTGATTGACCATGTTTTTGTCCCTAGTTGTATATAGATACCCTTTAGTATAGCAAACGTTGTGATCATAATTATTTCAAGCCTATTCCGAAGTCATCTCCTAGCTCTATTCCTGAATCGTCTGAAGAAATTGCCCTGTCTAATGGCATGATGATCGGCCGGACGGATCGTACAAGTACTAAGCAATCACCGGCTCCATGGTACAAAAAAAATACATGCCTTGTACCAATTGTACAGGTCTTGGGAAATATACACGGTTGAAACCAAATCAACCCATCATCCATCCAGAAAATGCAATACAGAAGAAGGGAAATGAAAAGGGAAGAGAAGGGAAGAAAGTGTAGCGGAATCACCAACCCTCACAAGTAAGGGGGGGCAAAAGAAAAAAGATCGAATTATCAAATGAGAATAGAATAGAAACTGGGAACCCCCAAAAAAGGGTAAAAGGTAATAAGGAAAACAAAAAAAAACAAAGCCACCACTCCCTCTATGTATGCAAGCCCGAAATACAGTACGGTGTGTGAGTCAAAAGGAGAATAAGGAAATTAAACAAGAAGTTTGACGGGGAAAAAAGAGAATTTCCGTTTTTTTCCCGTCACTAAACCCCGAACAAATCAAAATCAATCAAAACGCCTATGTACGGCCCCGTTGCGCATAGAGGGTATCCAAAGGGAGAAACGGGGCCTGCGGATTGCAGGGAAGGAGGTGCTTTACAGGCGGGGGAGGGGGGATTTTGGGACCAGGGGAGTGGAGGTCGCAGGATAGATAATGACGAGGAAGTATTAGAATGTGATGGGGATTTGGGGGGGGATGGCAGGGGAGAAGATGGGGTCAATTGATCACTTTCGACCGCCCATTAACTTTCGGCCCAGGGCGCGGATGGTATTCTTGTGGCTGGGAGGGTGTTAGTATTTCGAATCCAACCTATCGAGGCATTGCAAGTGTGTGAGAGAGTGCTTACCTATCGTCTTGTTCAGTCCCATTAGCCTCAACTGTAGTGACTATTTGGCCAGATGTCATGGGTCGAACGGGGTCATTGACAAAACGACGCGATTGCTGGTAAATAAATTAGCATGGTGCTCAAAACAGTAGCAGGGGAGAAAATACGAACCTCCCAACGAGAATCGACATCAACATCTCCGGCAGACCGAGAATCAGAAATGGTGTTGTCTTGTCCCTGCTCCCGCGTATCGGAGCTCAGTGATAGTGATCGAGCTAGGGGAGACGCATTTGACTGCATAGACTTCCGCGAGGGAGAACCAGAGTACTCGCTATTAGAGTCGAAGCTTAACATGCTTGGGGCCTGGCTGCGATCGGAGGGCAAGATGTTCGAACTGGAAAGCAATTGCGACGACGAAGCAAGCTCACGGAAACGCTTTTGCTGTTGCTTAGTAGGGCGGTGTTGGGAGAACTTGTTTCCAAGAATGGCAGGGGCATGAGAGATGAGAGCCTTTATGACATCTTTCTTGAGACGCAGGGCAAGATCAAGATTTGACCAGGTCTTATTACTGTATTCGAGGACTGGGAGGCGGAAGACGAAGTTGTGCAGATCCTCGAGGTTGTGTTCACCCTTGCCCTTGTAACTCAGGCAAAGGACCACGTCGTGGACCTTGACTTGCGCTAGAGTCATGTAGTTGGATGCTCGGGACATCATCTGAGAAAGGTCGTCCGTAGGCTCTGAAGACTTGCGTCGTCGAGAACCCTTGCTGATACCAAACTTCTTTCTTTCTTCGCCAGCACTTGTACTGTGGCTAGATAGGGATCGGTTGGTAGGCTGCTTCGCCAACATGCGGATACTGTCGGCTGATTTCTTCTTCGTAAGAGCGCCAGTTGTCGACGGGCGGGGCAGTTTGCGAGGCTCTGGGACTCCGAGCTGAGTGTTGCTTCGGTGGATGGGTGTCATTGCAAGGCCCCTGAGATGGCTCGGGCGTCGAGTAGACTTGCCTTCTTCCGAGAGAGACAGAGTCGGTTGTAACCTAAGCTCGATGGAACCAGGACCCTTCGAAGCTTGCAGATCATCCATTAGAACACTGTCTCCGTCGGTGCTTATCGAATAACTCATTGAGTCCTCGTCGTCCTCGTCGTCTTCACCGTCAGAACCATCAAGCGGCTTCATGTTCTTTATCATGAAAGGCGAGAAACCACCGTTTTCAAATGCCCCCGATCCCATGTTAGGGAAAATGTACTCGAAAAGCCTTTGACCAAGCTCGCGTTCGAGTTGTATCTTAAGCGGGAACAACATAACTTCGAAGTTGTCGACCACGGGAATTCCAGCAACAGCCTCCAGCATGTGCCACTTGACTCGGAGCATGTAATCATCCAACGGGCGTGGTTGGTCAAGATATGGCGCGATGATCTGAGGATAGATTGCATCCGGCAGTAAGTTCAACCCACTGACCTTTTCGATGGCTACCAGGTTATTGTTGGAACCATCTGTATTATCTGTCCTCTCATATTGGGCATTCTTGAGCTGGAACTCGACTAAGGGGGCAGATGCCTCTTTCATCAAGTGCCAAACAACTTCGCTTGCAGAAATGCTCCACCGCAGGACACCATCATTCTTCTTAGACGCGCTAGGTTCGGCTCGTCTCTGGGAAGTGGTGATGGCTTCCATCATGAAGAAGAGCTCATCCTCACACTGCGACAAGTCGCGCTCCAGAGCCAAACGATCCTCCCAGCCCTGTGTGTCAAGGTATTTGGCGTTGATCTGGAAGTATTCTTTGATCTCTTCGAGTTGACGAATGCGTGCCTGAAGCTTGAAAACCATCTCCGGTGCACCGCGAAGGTCGCTGAAATCGGACATGAGCATGATCTTCTCCAGTCGTTCGTTCCGGACCTTTTCAAGCGGTTCGCTATACATCATGAGATCCAGGACGATAATGTAGAGTGTGTAGTATTCGGCGGAGTCACAAATTGCACGGAAATGGGGGAAGTCGACGCTAATCTGGTCCATGCGGGTTTCATCGCCTCCGGGATGCGGCCCATGACTACCCTTGGCCACCTCCTCATTGTACTTCAGGCGAAGGTTGTTGTATTTGTCATAGCGGAGGGTAGCGGACGTTTTCTGGACGATGCGAGAGAAGCCAAACGGATTGAGTTCGAAGTCGAACATGGCCTCGAGAGTCAACCACGGAGGCCATGCAGATCCTGGGGCGTTGCCGTATTTGTTGCCAGCGTAGAATTGCAAGTTGTTCATGAGATTCTTCTGTGTTGCCACAAAGAACTGGGCACCATCCATCTCAAGAGAGAAACGGCGCTGGACCAGGCCACTGACATCGTCTGCGACACGTTCCTTGTCCATGATTGACACAACCTTGAGCTCCATGCCCTTGGCGGCGACCATCAAGACAGACTTGCGGTTCTTCTCGCTGAGGAGTTGAATCTGAGGAGCAATGAGTCGTAAATAGTAGCTATTCTGCGGAGTGAACTCTGGGGCAATATTCTCGCTCGAGTCATCGGACTTGGTAGGTGATTCATTGTTCGAATCAGACGGGTCGGCTTCCTCGGCATTGACGAAGCGCTTGGCGCTATTAAGCAACTCTTCAATACGATCTTCGACTTCGTCCTCGACTTCGTTCTCGTCCTCATTGTCACTGCGGGTATGTGCTTTGGATGCCTTGGGGTTCTTTCGCTCATTTTTATTCTGCTCCTCGACAATATCAAGGATGAACTTGACTGCTCGCCTGGACATGTAGTAAACGAATCCTCGACGCTGGCTAACTTGGTGACTATATCGCAGGATGATGTTCCGGAGTGAGTTGTTCCACTTCAATTGCACGTTGTGGATCATGAATCGATTGTTGAAGTCGCTTGAAAAGTCATCCGCAGCTGACGAATAGAGGCCGTCAAGACCAGGGGAGCGACCATCAGCTGTAGATTCCGCATCAAATCCGGTCCGTGAAGAGGTTTCACTAGCAGTGGCATTGAGACCAGATTTAGGGGTTCGCTCGTCTCGTGCCAAGTGTCTCTCGAGGCGATGCAAGGTAGCCGTCAAGAATTTTCGTCGCCGGGCTAGGGATTCAGCCTGGCGAAGGTAGGTCTCGTGCTTTTCTTTGAGTTCAGGATCATGATCCACATCCCTCATTAACTTGAGCTCTTGTTCTCCAATGGTGCGATCGTAATTGCGGATCTGCGCTTCAACTGTTGCCAGGCGGTCTTTGGTCAATTCGATCTGAACACGACGGGGATCGTTGGTGTCGGACATGACACAGTCATGAGTAGGTTCATAGCCGAAAGTACTGAAGCCGGTCTCTTCGGATCCAATATCATCGTGGTCGGTTTGGCGGAAATAGGTGAGTCGAGGGGTAAATGCGAGTGGCAGAATCTGTGTTTTAGGGTTTGACTCTTGAGGAAGAATCCAGTCGGGCTCCACGAAGTCATCCATATCAATCCAGTCCAGATTTTGATCGGGGATTGTGAATCGAGAAAGATCGACAGAGGCAACTGGCTGCTGGAAAGTCGAGATGATATCATCCCTGTTTTGAGCGATGTCCTCTGCTCTCGTACCTTCGATGCTGGCAGAGACAGCCCTGAAGTCGGCTGACTGGAGATCAATGAGAGCCTGATTCATGCGCATGGCGCTTGTCTTCGTTTGCTTGGAGCGACCACGAGCTTGCATCTTGATCTGCTCACGTCGCTGGTGGACATCTAGCTTAAAGGAGTCAAGGCGAACCTTGAGACCGGTGGCGGTGACAGCATTCTCGGCGTAATCTTCGCGATCCTTGTGCTTGTAGATATGAGCCACAAACAGGGGCGCAAGGAGAAGCTTGTATTTGACAGTAGCCAAGTGACGATTGAACTTCTTGCTTGTTTTGGTGATTCCAGGGAACAGGGGACCTTGGCGCACTGGAA